CATCACATCCAGCACTCTGGTCTGACTTCATTAAGGCCTACTCCTCTTCACATCACTCCAGACCACAGTCATTCTCTCTCCCAAATCTGCAAAGAGGAGGAGAAAGTGCAGTGAAGTTGAGTTTTCAAACTGCCTCAACAAGACTTTAAAAAAAGAAAATGCTAAAAGTCTGCTCACTATCAGTGGAGCAGTGGGGTGGGTTGCTGTGTAGAGTGAAATCCTCTTAAAACGCTGTCTCTCCACCCATCCCTGAACTTTTTCATTAAGTCCTCTCAAATGCCAGCTGAGTTAATTTAGCCTCCTGTTGATGAAGGTTACTAAGCTTCCTTCTATTAGGATATTCTTGAGTGTATCAAACCTAATTCTCACAAATTTGTACTGGTTCCAAATGTCAATGCATGCTCGAGGGCAAGAGAATTTTGAGACTCATTTGATTCATTATCTATTCCACCAGCTGAGGTTCTTGAAAACCAGCAGATATCACCTCAACAAGATATAACCTCGAGATTAAGAGGCCTGTTTTAAGGAGAGTGGTGGAGATTTCTGGGCCAAAATGTCTTTGCTCATGCCCCAGCAGTAGTGCAAAGTCATGACAAATTGCATCACAGCGGTCCATCAAGTACTGTCTAATTTCCAAACTATCTTAAAGTATGGCTGGTTGAGGTGTGATTCTTGTCCCAGGTCACAAATATCCACTGGGTACAGTATTTGTTGACCAAAATATCCCTAGGTGCATTGTTAATCCAAATGAGATAGAAAGGCTGTCCAGGGGCAGGTTGGTAATACATAATTCGAAATAGAATCACGTATTAGCATTAAAATGTACATTTCAGTTTACGGTCACAATCAAACATTAGTCTGTTTATTTGTTATAATTCACATTACACTTAACATTTTCATTGAGGGTTAAGTCAGATAAAATGAACAGGATCTCTGAGGGAATGTTTGTGTTGACCTTTGCCCTCCTACAGTTCTCCTTAACGGTAAGTGTTAAAAGTCACAACTTTTTAACACTGTTGCTATTTCCACTTCCTTTCATGGATTATGTTGATTTGTAGCTACCGATGGAGCTACAGATGGACTCACCAGCACTTCTGCCATGGCATGGATTGCAGGACATGATCCATTTTTAAAATAACCATGTTGTTTGGGCCACCTCTTAAGCATGCTAACTGAAATGAACATTTTTGTCATCGTATCTACCACTTACATTTATATGTTGAAAAAAAAAAAAAAAAGAAAAAAAGAGGTACTGCCTTTGACTGAAACTGGGCTTTTAAAAAATGTTAACACATCAGTCAACTGAAATCCCACTAATTCAAATTTCTCATAGTCAGACTCACAGACCCAGACAGTGCAGTAGGAGATGGATTCTCTCCTCTATATATCTTTTTCAATCAGACTGAAACCGGACCAAGCATTCTGCGCATGCTCCAGTGTTCACACGCATTGAATAGCACAAATGCGTTGCTAGGAAACAAAGCAAACAAAACCTCAAAAGAAGAAGAAAGAACTTTAAAAAAAGATGAAACTTTCTTACTATATGAATAAATGAAAAAGAGCTGTGAAAGTGACAGGGTTTTCATGCATCCTGTGAGCCTCTTGCGTTTTGTCATTTTTTTTATACTTAACAGGTCAAATGCAAGATAAGATATTCCTTTATTTGTCCCACAGGAGGAAATTCCCAGATGACCCATGAGCATCAAGTAATGAGCAGAAAGGAAGGCATGTTGGGTTGGTAGACCTGCTTCTGTCAGGACAAGGACAGTAGTCCAGTCAGACCACTTTATTGAGCTTTAGTGTCAGTGTCAACACGCAGAAGTGAAATAGGCCAGACTCCTTTCCAAAGGGTGACTTAATACAAGGTTTATGAGGTCTGACTGTTCCTTGCTTTGTTCTTGCTATTCTGAATTAATTACTAAATTTGGTCATTAATAAATGATAATGACCAAATAGAGTTAACACAGCCAAGTGTTAAGTAAGAAAGCTTTATATCATCACAGTATACTTTAAAGCCCACATCTTCTCCAACTCTTAGTCTGCTTCAACGTTAGCCTGAAGTCAGTTTGAAGTTGGTATTTCCAGTTTGATAAACACAAGTATGATGGTTTCAAATCAGTGGATCAGCTAGCAATACAGACATGAGAAAACAGGAAGAGGCCTCGAAACTTTAAGTCCTACTTAAGTTTCATGGTGTCGTCAAATTTGGTTGTGCTTGGCCACTTAGCTACCTTTATAAGGCAAGAGCAGAACTACATGACACAAGGGTCAAGCAGCAGCAGCTGGTGACAGGATCAGGAGATCCTCCATAGACTTCAACATCTTGTTTCACTTCTGCCATCGATGTCAACACAGTCTACGAAGGATGCTTCCTTTATGTTCTTCAATGGGACACAATGCGAGCCTTGATTGGGAATTTTGCTACACCTACATGCAGATAGTTGTTAGAAGAGATCAGTAAAGTACTACATTGTTGTCTGATGACACCGGGCTGTTTCCTTGATTGCATTATAGCTGTTATTTTAGCTCCTTCTGCCCCCACACACTGTATTTCTGCACCGAAACAGAACCTGTGAAAACACCCATTTGACAACACTGATAGTACCACAGAGAATAAAACAGAAAACTTTTCACTCACATAACTTTGTACTTCTCCAACACATACTGCATTTATATGCATTTATATACTAAAGAGAAAGACCATTCCCTGGGGAAGATTTCTTCATTTGCCTACTAAGGAAATACTGTGTGTAGCTATGCTTTCAGAATCAAAAATAGATGTAAGGTTGAGGTTTAGAAAAAGTTCACATTGTTGTCAAGGAACACAGACTGCACAGGAGCTAAGAGTTAGGTGTCTGTCAATGAAGCTAAGAATAAAGCTGCTTAAAGTGAGTTTTAGTGGGTGACAGTAGGATACCACAGTGTATGAGAAGGCAGATACCACTACAATTAATTCCTATTCTTCTCCTTCTTTTTCTTCATATTATTATTATTATTACTAATTTATTTTATTATTATTATTGTATGTTTTCATGTGCAGAAATATCAGGCAGACAGCTGGCATGCAAAGAAGTTGTCAGACAGGAAGTAACATCACCCATTCTTCCCTCTTTGCCCCGGTCAGCACTTTGCAGTTTTAACTCTATCACTTCTCCTTTCTCGAATAGTATTTAAAACACACACATATAGACATATTAACGCACTCAGATGAAAAGCTTTGTTGACTGTTGCTATAGTACAGGGACAAAGTTGAGGCAAGCAATGCTAGGTGCACAAATGAAACGAACCAAAATACATCAACCAGAGATCATGTGATTTCGTAGAAGTGGGACTGTTGCGTGCAGAAATATTTATAGCTCAGTGCAGCAACACTTCAGACCAACAGTTCAATTCTAGGCTTAACTTCTTTGATTCTAAACTCCTCTTATAATAAACCTGAACTCTTGCTTTTAAACATGATTTCACTGTTTGGAGAACCAACAGTGTGACCTGGTGCTGGTGAAATAGTTACACAACTATAACTGTGAATAATATTATTTCAAAATGACACAATCTTCTGTGCATAGCTGTAGAGAGAACCTCTTTGGCTCTGGGTGTGTATTGATTTTGTTGGTCCTCATCTGGTATGTTGACAAGAGGCAAATACATGGAGGGAAGCTAAATGATGTTGTATAATGTGGTTTCAGTGATTCAGCAGTCAGCTGTTCACCTGAAGGAAAAGGACGCTGCAGCTTCAGTTTATCGTCTCACTGAGCTGCTGCTGCTGCATACACGTATTTACCAAAGAGAACCTGTCTTTTTAAGTCACTGTTTCTTTCATGAGAAGCCATTAAAGTGCCAGCTGTAATGTTAAGTCTGTAATAATGTTTTCACAAGTTTTGTGTTTATTTCCTGTTTTATTTTGTAATCCTGGTGTTTTTGTATTATTTCTAGTGCTTACTTCTGTTTCCCGCTTTTTTTACCCACAATCCTAGTTAGTCTGACCTGTATATAAACTCTAATGTTTCCACCCATTCTCTGCCAGATTTTCTCTAGTCTTGTTTTCTTGTGTAGTCTTGGTCAGATTTTGAACTTTGATGGATTTTCTTCTTTTGCTGACTGTCTTGCTGTGTATGATCCCTGAACAGTTAAGCAAAGTACCTGGTGTTTGAAACAGTATTTTGTGTCTTGGATGTCTTCTCTTCATCGAAGTCCCAGGTACACTAATATGTGGAAGTCAACTAATTTTTAACCACATGGCAAATGTGAAACCTACACGATTATCAGTGCTGTTTCAGCCAGCCAGCTTCTTTAAGCTACAGCTAGGTTGCTAGCTTTAGCAAGCTGTAGCTGATGAAACTGCAACAGTGTAAATGTCTCAAACTTACCTGGGACTTAAATATTTCTTTTTTTTTCTGTACTTAATTGTTTGGAGCAGTATGTGTATCAGTAAAGTTGATATTTATCGGCCTCTCCTCAATTGTATAATTTAGTAAAACACGATATGAGCTAAAATGCTAACACCAGCTGCTAGCTAAGGATAGCTATTGTGCTAAATTTGTTGTGTTATCTTGAAATAAGGAACATTTTCATAATACAGATTGATTTTTCATGGCTTGAGTGCCCATATTTAATGTCAAATACAGCCCTTTTGCAGTGTTTTCCATTAAGGTGGTTGTTAAGGGCTTTACGCACTCTAATCTGAGTGTTGCTGCATTGTGGCCATTTCACAGGTTAGTTTTGTTAATCAAGATTTGTGGACACAGATTTAAGGTGAACTTTCGGACATTCAAATGGCATGTTCAGCTTGGTGATCTTTTTTTTATTTTTTAGCCTTTAGATTCTGTGTAAGTGTAGGAACTAAAGACACATAGCCTCTCGCTTTAAGAAAGACTTTTACACATTTTTCTACATCATTTTTAGGAGGCAGAGATTCACCTTTATTGTGACTGTCTGTCATTCTGCATTGAAGTCCTGATGTTCTGCAAAGAGAGAAACTCAGACTCTATACAAAAACTCTTTTTTTATTATTTGTTTCATTCTTTGTGTCTGTCTCAGCAGAGGTTGGCCTTGCTGCAGGTAGATCTGCAGAATAAAACCCTTTCCCTCATAATGCCCTGGATCTCACAATTGATCAACAGTCATTTTGTGATTCAATTAAAAACAATGAGGCTGCATCAAAATGTCTGAGAAATGGAGAATATACCAGAAGAGTGTCTGAAATGGATAAAAATCTGCCTTAAATCTGATCAAGATGTTTAACTCAAACAAAAATGGTACTTTCTTTTTCATATTTCCAAGAAAACAGCAGACAGGGTTTGAACCCAGGGGGGTTTCTCTTAAGCTCTACTAGCAACAAGCGGTTGCACCATTACAGGAAGTAACAAAAGAGGTGTGGGAAAGGAAATGCAAACAGGCTTTATAAAGATGAGATGGTTCATCAAGTGATGGGTTAAAATTTTGTCACAGAGCTATTTGTGGCCTGACGCTTTGCACGCCAGAGACAGACAGAACAGTATGGAGACGCTTCTGTTTCTATTTCCTCAATTCAACTACATGGCCTCAAAGGAGGAAGCGTATTTCAAAATGTTTAGCCCAGAAGACCTGCAGGCACCCAACATGAAGGACGATACCAGCAGGTTGGTCCATGTACCGCAGAAAATTTTAACTGTTTCTTGGTTTTTCAGGGTTGTACAGTTCAGTTTTTTTTGCTTAAGTAAACATTAGATTAAGTTATATATCAGAAAAGTACAAATTTAACAAGTCATCTTATTCAACAGTTTAACTCAAGAGCAGCTCAGTTTTAGAGACAGATGAAAGATCCTACTCATGGTCTTGTCTGAGTGTGACGGTAAAAAACTGTTGTCATGTAACAGGGTAGAGCTTTTAAATGTGCTTTCCTCCATGATAAGTGTCTGCTGCCTTTTTGAGCACATGTGCACGAGGTGACTCGTCTTGTGATTTGTGCTGTCACACAAAGATGTTGTGACTGAGTTGAAGTTCTTTGATAAGCTGCTAATTGTTGCTACATTTGTACAAACAGACAGTTTGTGGATCTTGATGTATTTTCTTCTCCGTTTGCAGACAGAAAGACAAGGAGAGGAAGAGCCGACTAAGCCTTTTTCTCACCAAGTCAGGCTCTCACGAAAACGTCAGTCCACATAAAAAGACTAACACGACACCGAACAAGTGAGGCAAAGTCCATTAATTTCATAAGCAAGCAGACTGGTTTGATTCAGTATTCACCTCAATTACAGCAATTCATAACTCAGTGCACACATCTAGAAACACAACACTTGATGATGATCCAAACCCTCTTCCCTGCATCATTAGGAGAGACCTGACCGCATCTCTGATTTTTTTTTTTCTGCAGTATCTCACCAGAGACAGCTCTGCAATGGAGCGACTCCTTTGAAGAACTGCTGAAGCACTCAGGTCAGTTTAATGCCCCCAAAACTTTTCAGTAATGGCTTGAATTGCTGTCAAATACTCTTTTTTTTTTTTGCTGGTGTCAAACGATCTGCTTCATTTAAATAGTTAACTGGTAAAGAGTACCAGAGGGGATCAACAGTTAAAGGAGAGAAGTTACGAGTTTCACTACAGTTTTTAGTGTTTGTTAGTACAGATAGTGCTACAGAAACTGTGCAACTTCCTCATAATGACACAAAGTGCACATAAGTGCCACAGTGAAACACTGAAAACCACTGTGTGCTCATTTGGGAATGCTTAAAATGGTTTATAATGATGGTAGTAAGAATGCTCAAGTATATTTCGGGGATTAGAAGTGTGGTGTAATTAAAATGATAATACATTAGGGACAGTGTGCTGACTTAGAGGAGGAAGTTATGGAGAGTCTGTTCTTTCTTTGTACTTACAAGTGAGCTGCAGAAAATACAGTTTTCCATCTTTGAAGTGCCACTTTTTAAATATTTTCTGTCTGTTTCTCTTTGTCAGATGGGGTCGATTCCTTTGCTCAGTTCCTCAGAACGGAGTTCAGCGAGGAAAACATTGAGTTTTGGTTGGCATGTGAAGAATACAAGACCATAGACTCTGAGACGAAGCTGCTGTCCAAAGCGAAATATATTTATACTGTTTTCATTGATTCGGACGCCCCTAAAGAGGTATGGCATGGCATGTTTATTTATCATAAACTGCATGAATGTAAAAAGGCTATAAAGAGAAGCTGCAAGGTTTAAGCAATGTGTGCATTTTAGCATTTTCTTCCCCTTACTTGTCACTGAGGTCTGCTGGAGGTTTCAAATATTTATGTCGTTGTAAGAAAACTGAGAGTGGGTGAACTGTAAAGCTCTGCATAGTCATGAGCCTGCAGCAGGTTGACCTTAGTGAACAATCTTTGGGAGCAGCAGCTCTGTGAGGTCATGCATTTAGGGCTGCATGCATCGCTGCAAAGCAGGTCGGGTTATGTCTGTGGGAGACTGAAGCGGTTTGAAACATTTCCATCCACTTTGTGAGGATGATGCGACCACCTTGCTCTGTGCTTCCTGCCTGCAGCATATCTGACCGTTTCAAGTGTGGCGTCTGGTCTGAGGTTTTGACATTCCCCTGCAGAACTGCAAAGAGCATCACCCACACACTTTTCATCACTGATAAATGTATGAGCTAAAGATTTTTTTTTCGAGCATGGTGTAGCATGAAAGCATGTAAAAGCTGAAGTGTTTTGCAGTGAGATTCAAGTGAAACTGAATGTAATCTTTCATTTGAATGGTGCTCTACAATGTAGTTCCATACAAAAAACTGTTTTAAAAGCTCTTTACAATTGTAGTTATTTCTGTCATTGTGAGGAGGCCTTGCAGCAGTGTTTAAAAGAAAAAAAGGATGGAAGGACAATTTCTACCTCTGTTCTTATCAAGATTTTAAACAAACTCATTCACAGCAATGTACATCCATGCCTGTGATGATTTTTAGCACGATGATGTTTTACAGCGGCAGTATGAGCTTCAAACTTACATTAGCTCTTCTTTTTAGGTCTCAGCTTCTTGAAAAAGAGCTGAGCCATAAATAACACAGAGTTTAGCTTTAGTTCACCACAAGAATATATCACAGCATGTCAAGTTGCTGCGCGTGTCCTTGAGGAAAAAGTTCCCCTTTAGCCATTTGTGGGGGAAAATTCTCAACATAAAAAGCAGCATACGAGAGTTTTTCACCCTTTCTTAAAGTCACTTTCTTACATTATCTTATTGGGGCTTTGTTTTGTTTTGTATGTCCTTAATCTCTGTTTACAGATGTCTGACAAGACTTTGATTTAAAATATTTGTTGTTTGCCTTTGTTGCCCAAGTAGTGCTGGGTGGGTCTTGTTAGCATGCTAGAAAACAGTCAGAAAGGAGAGCAAGTGGGACTTTCTTTTGTCCTCCTCTATCATCTAAAGACCATAAAGCCTTTTAAGTTCTTACTAGAGTGTGAAGTAGCTGCCTATACTACAATTAACTGGCGGATTTTATGATGTATCTCTAGACTCAAGCTCCAGGCTTTGACAGTAAATTATGGCCAGCATGGGGCACCACTTAAGTTTAGTGGTTTAACCCTGCACCTCAGGTATAAAAAGCTGCAGTCCTTTAAGTGGGCCTCCCAGGTTTGACCCCTACCCGGAGCCCTTTGCTGCACATCATTCCCCACTCTCTCTTCCCAGTTTCCCATCCACTGCCCTATCTATTTTCACTAAAGGCATAAAAGCTCCAAAATATGACTCTAAAAATGGTCAGCAAATGGAGAAAGAAGCCTGACCTGTACATCTGTTATACTGATACTCAAAATCGTGCTGTGATCTCAGAGGGTTAATCATTGTCAGAACGTAGGGAATGTTATTATTATTATTATTATTATTATTATTATTATTATTTCTCAAAATCTAGAATCCAAATACAACTTTAAATAAAAGCTGCAACCGGTGATAAACAGCCCCTCGCACCCTTGTGCATGTTGGGTCCTGTTGCAGTTGTGGGAAGTGCAGCAGGATATGCATGTGCTGCAGCCATTGCTGTGCAGCACAATCCCCATGTGCTAAATGTATGTAGATGAGTTTAGGTCAATACTGTGTGCTTACATATCCAATTTAAAAGTCAAACTGGGAATTGTGGCACTGCCTTTAACCAAAAAGTGGGGGATGTAACCTAAAGAGGGGGTATTATGCATTTTTTAGACTCTATTCCTTCTTTCTGATACCTCTTTGGTAGCTTTACATTATTTTCAGATCAAGTAAAGACTTGTGTGTCTCACACTGGTGTATAGAAATACCAGTATTTTCATCATCCATCTGACACTTGTCTTCTGCTGCAGCCTCTTTAATATGGCAACATCAACTTAAATAAAAATGTCTGACTTCCTGTTGGGTTTAGAATATGAGAGCAGGGGTATTTTTTGTAGGTCTGGGCATGATACAACTGTTTAGTAAAAAATAATTTTTTTACCTGATGTGTACTCAAAAAAGTGAGTTTTGAGGGCATGTTAAGGCCTCTAAATGAGACCATGTTAACATGCCCACTTTGACATATTTGTTGATGTGCTGTTACATTAACTGAATTAACTGTGTTTTTTCATTCTCTTTCTCTCAGGTTAACATTGACTACAACACAAAGATGGCCATTCAGAAGGACATTGCACAGCCCACAAAGAGCTGTTTCGAGGCAGCCCAGATGAAGGTGTACAGTCTGATGAAAAAGGACTCCTACCCAAGGTTCCTCCACTCTGACATTTATCTGCGACTCACCAGAAGGAAAGGCCCTGGGGCCACCATGTTTCGCCGAAGGTCACGTTCCTGTGTATTCAATGAGAGAGGCGAGGCCAATAGTGACCCTGCAGCCTGGTAGTTATATCAATGCAGGTGGAGCAGTCTGAAATATATAAACCAATTCATGATTTGTTGCAATGAATAATGTGTTGTAGGGGCTTGTTATCTACAAACATGTCCAGAGAGTGTGTTATTATTTTATAACCACATGGGTCAGATGGATTATCTTAAATACCTAGTAACAAACAAATTGGCTGCCATACTTACTGTCTCCTTCTTGCTTCAAGTTAATGGAGACTCAAGTGTGTCCATTCAAACGCAGCGACAAACATGTAGCTTACCTCAGTTTAAGACTTGAACAGGGCACTGAAACAGCCGACTTGTCTTGGTCGATTAGTAACAAATAAATCTTACTGAAACCCCCGAAGGCCACTGCAGCAACACAAAGGGACTTGGGAACAGACATTTCTTGGCTAGATGCAGTAACCTTCCAGAGTATTGGTAAGTTAAAATGGACTGCCATGCTTATTTGTGTCTTGGTGGAAAATATATAAAGTTCTCAAGTTGATTAGAGTTGTACAACAAATGACACATACATCTTTTGGCATACTTTTTTGAATAACATATTGGGACGTGTGTTTTTGTTTTTTTACATTTTTTAGGGAGAGTTTAATAATCTAAAATCCATGCAATAACTATTTAAGTACAGATCTTTAACTTAACTTAACTAACTAACTTAACAGTACCCGTGATCCTAAGCTGAGTTAGGTTTACATGCAAAGTAAAGTAGAGAAAGTTGTAGCTTCCTTGGGCAGTTTAACAGTGCTCTTTGTCATTGTATACAAGCTCTGGGGTAAAACTGATTTATTGATAGAAGTGTGTCCGCCTCTGCTTTGTTGGTTGACTTTTAGCCCTTTAATCATATGACTGAAGTTAAAGAGACTTAGTAGAACATCAGAGCCATGTGGTTATAGGAAATAATGAACACCTCTTGGCCAATCTGAATCAAGTCTTCCCTGTTGTCATGGTATTAAGTTTTTTGAAGCACTTGTGGCACAGTCTGCTCATTTTCTTCCTCAAAGGCGCTGTGCTGCCACTGGATTGAAGTCTTACATTCTCAAATCTTGGAAACTTGAATGACAGTGGGCTGGGATGGAGACAGAGTTTCAGCTGAAGTGCCTTCTTGTTGCTGACAGCGAACAGCCACAGTGAAACTGCTCTCCTTACTTCAGGAACATTACTCTTTGATAACTTTGTTTCTAGTCCAGCCCCAGCACCTTGTTTTGTACAGTATACCAACATATTTGAGCTTATCTCACTAAAATTCATCCTTGCACCACCCCGCCTAACTTGCAGAAATACAAGCAATATAATGACAATGTTTGTTTGTGTGATTCTAATTCATCCCGCTTATACACAGAGAATGCATCTTTTTGAATACTAATAATAATTAATTATGATTTCTACTTTTTATTTTCTTCCATGCAGTATAATTTATGTCTAACTATGATCATATTTTGCCTTCCTGTTGTAAAATGTACATAGTTTTAAATGTGGAAATAAACACTTTCTTATTGAAGCAGTTTTAATTAAGCATTCAGTGTCATTAATGAATTTACATGACCAAATCTCAACCAAACAAATGGAGCAATAATGTGTGCGTAAAACACCAGAGAGGTAAAGGGTGATCGTATGTAGCTCTCTATTTCAAATCACTGAAAAATTAATAGACCTTATCAACTCCAGATACTTGAACCTAGAATTATTCATGCTACTGTATATGTATGCACAGGCTATACATCTTACAAAGACAAATAAGAATCAATTCAAAGCTGTCTCTGATCCCGCTGAGTTTGCCCCTGAACTCTTGGGTAGTTATACTGAAAAATGCTGCACTTACATGTGCACAGCATACAGCTGTTGTCCACAAATATGCACACTGAGCTGGTTTGGCTCATTAACACGGATGTCAAGCTTTCTGGAAGCCTTCAGAGGGATAAAGTCCACCTCAGCCCAAATTACTATCACTTCACAAACCTGTATAGAATACCTCACAGTTCACATTAATTATGCATCCGTCGTAGAAGGCAGCAGTGTGCTTTTGCTGCACTTTCTGCCGTCTTCTCTCACAAATAGCCGGAGAAGGAAGGGAAAACGTAATGATGTGTTAACAAAGGTAGAAGCTCAGCTGGCCTGCCAAATTCATCACAGCTTAAGATTAGTTGCTCACTAGGAATTTGCTGGCGGATTTCTTGTTTCTTTCCCATTGGTATTTAAATTTGTGACTCAGACTGGGTGAAGAGCCTCTCCATAAGTTGAAGACATGTTTGCAAAATACCTTGTAGGAGCTCAAAAGATTAGGAGAGCAGTTTGGCTGGAGATATGAGGCTTATTAAACAGGAAGACTAGTTTAAGAGGAGTTTAAAACAAAAATATAAGTCATATAGCATCTAATGTAGCTTAGATACTACAGATTGTTAGCTTATTTTCACCCCTTGAGCTCAGGTATTTGAGCTTTTCCTAAACATAGTCCAATTCTAACTCCTGATTTGTCCCACTTAACAAGCCTCTATATGAGTCAAATGTAGTAAATTATTTACTGACTTCCAGGCTAAGGTATTGAGTTGTGAAATTAAAGTCTGTTTGCACTTGTTTTGACCTGCAACAATACTGATAGAGGTCTATAAATTCCAGCGCAACTGGAAACAGAAAGCTAACATTAGTTTGAGAGACTAAAGGTAAGACTATTCTAAAAACGCTTCAGTTTTTTTATTTAGAGGAGATAAAGTCACATTTGAAAATTCAGGGAACACATTTAAAGACGCCACATGATCATCAGTAAAGCTGCGGCAGGTAAGTAATCTGGTGAGCGATCTGTGCAGACAGAAGACTTGAAGAGATAAAAACAATTCAGAGAGGACGACTCTGATTCAGCGTCCACAGCTATGGAGACATGCAAGGAGGAAAATCACAATTTAAGGCTTTTTCCACACTGCTGCATCTGCCCAGTCTACCAAAAGCAAAATAAATAGTTGTTAAAAGGAAAGGAAAGAGTTCATCAAAAGATAGTAGCTGCATTAGATGTTATTCGCTGAGGTCAAGTACATGCTTGGCTTTAAGCTTTTCTATCTTTGAGTGTTTGGCCTGCTAAATCATGTAGGTGCAATCCCATTTTGCAGAAACAGATGACTGCTGAAAGGATGTCAAAAGGTTCACAAAAGGCACGGAAGCCACTTCAAAATCCTATCTGCTTTATTGTCATAATCAAATTTTCAGAAATTACACTCTATTCAAAAGAAAAATAATCTGAAATTCTACAATTACAGGTTAGAAATCAAATTTAAGGACCAAATCTTTTTGTTCACCTCACACATCCTCAAATTACATTTTTAGTTTTGCAATATAAAAACACATTCAACACCAACTTTTACAGGGAAATGAGGAAATGTCATTGTGAAGTAGATGAAAGGACTGGGAGGATTAGAGTGCCCCCCTGTGTATGAAGGGAAACACTGCAGCAGGATGAAGTAAACTGATATGTCAGTAGATGCACGCAGCACATTTCAATTTAGATGTGAGTATAAATAAACAAAATGTCGCCACTGACCACTGACTCTGGGTAACTTTCTTGAAGAAGAGAAGGATTAGCATCTTGGATGTTTTAAGACAGCACTCTTTATTAGCAGTAGTCTTTGCAGGTCTCCAGTACGTGCCTTTTTTGAAAAACAAATTCCTAGACCTGCTGCGTCTGTACACATGCAAATAGGGTCAGCCTGGGTGTTTTCCATCTCCTGCTGTGATTTACATTTTTGGTTTGCTGGGTCCAGTGCGTCTCCACTGATGGTCAGAAAGGTCAGGACTGGATAAAATGCACCAAACATACTAATTATGATAAATGTATTTGGATTCACTGCTCGACACGACCTGCATACATCTGACGGATGCAAAGAAGATGGTCCTCCACATATAGCTCCTGTTCATGTGACTGAAAGGTGCTGTTTTCTGCGGCTGTGCTGCTACAAGTCTGAAATACCTTTCTTGTGGTGATCTATTTAAAATCCAGAAACATGTTGTCAAGTCTTTCATATTTTTGTGAAAACAAACTGTGGAAAGTCAAGGTTACCACTCATGGTTTCACAATTACTGAACATCAGAAGTTGAATATTTAGATGAACACTGAATACAGCTGCAGAGTTCTTTCATTTGTTATTTTACAAAACATTCAGGGAATATCAATATAAGGGATGAACTATTAACTTCATTCTCTACCTGATGTTGACTTTAAGTAGCAGTTCTGCTAACAGGCCAAAATAATATCATATAGATGGGATGTCTTTGTTTGCAGCTTGTCAGTTTGTCAGCATTTCTGTACAGAGTGATTAAACCCTGGGTTTGCATTTTGAAATAAAAGGATAGACAGTGCAGGACATAAAGAAAAGAAAATATCATTACCGTTATGTTTTATGGCCACAATAACAGTGAGGTGAAAATCTGATATCAAGACAACCCCGTTGGCAATTCAATTTGGTAAAGCCATTTGTGTCCACCAAAATGAATTCAACTGACTTTTATTACCTCATTACTTTTTTAAAACTTACTTTCTTTCAGTCCTGAAGATTGGGATATTTTTTACTGGATTGCCGTGAAAAAAGGATAATTTTAGTCCCCGTAGGATGTGTGAAAATATATTTTACAAATTGTTCTTTAATGTTACTATCCTGTTACTATTTTTTGTATCTTGACATTCAGTAGGTTAACACAGCTATATTAACCTAAGCCAGATTTGTAATACCTACATATGTTCTTTCATCTTCACAATGAAATCCAATACACAAATGTATGATTAATACTGTGCAATAATACTCAGGGCAGCTATTTTAGATAAACTCCTGGTCGTTGTCTGTAATTGCCAGTGATATAAAGGTTTTTTTCTTAGTGACACTCTAGTTGTAGTCAATGAGAAGTCATTACATTTTAGTCATTTCTTTTAGTCAAAAATTTTCCACCTTTAAATGAATTCAAACCGAGGAAAAAGTAACAGGTTTGTATCAAATGCTTGTATTTGTAAAGCAACATTTCAGTTTATGTATCTTGATTCCTTGCCTTGGTTTTATAATCTAGCTGAGACCCCCCATGTAATGTCACTGTGCTGTTCCTGATAATCTTAAGTAATGAAAGTATGACAAGTAGAATGGGAAATATTTGTTTTGTTTGACGTCACATTAAAGTGCAATCAAAAAGTGTGTGTTCGTACAGAAATAAAGAAAGGCGCTGTATTACACTGTTTTTGCCATCATTATTTTTGTGAACTGCTTTAACAGGGATACAGTAAATGAGGAGATGAAGAACTGCTCATAAATGTGAGAAGTTTACTGCTCTGCTAATTGCTGATTCTGTCTTTAAAAGCTAAGAGAAAACCAAAAATCTGCTGAAAGGATTATGTCAGAACATGGATTATGTTTGGATTATGTTAGCTGAGCCTTCCTCTTTAGAAACTTTCTCAGGGTTTACGATGGGATGTGATGTAAGTATGTACCACAGACACTTTTGTGTAACTCATTCATTTTGTTGTTAAGCATCAGTAGAAAACATGAAGGCTCTGGTTCAAGAGGCTGTTGTGAAAAAGGCAGTGTGTTGAGCTTGCAACCCTCAGCTAGTTAAGCTTCAGTTCAGTGCAGTGTTTTCTCAGTATTTCCATGCTTTACATATGGCGGGTTGAGGCAAACTAAATTTTCCTATAGGAAGTTGGAGTAATCCAATTAAGTTACGACAAACAGAAAAAAGCAAGCTTTATAACAATATTTTTATAACTAGGCTGTAAACATGTTGAATTTTGCGTTAAGGTTGGACATTTGGATCGCGTGCTCTTTGACCTCAGAAATCAGGTTAGCCGTTAGCTCCTGCTGTTTGCCTTGTCAGCTAAGATTAAGTGATTATTAAGAGACATGTCCTCAGATAGAGCTGAATTTTTGAGCTCGAGGTTTCTTTAATTGCTCCATGTTTTTGAGTAAGAATTCCAACTTAAGGGGGCATCCCAACGAGCATCTTGAATTTTCTGACTTAAAAGATCATATGACGGCTGACACTTCCTTAAAGCGAGCCTCAAGTGGTCATTTTAGGAACTACAGTTTTTAGAAGCACAAGTTTGTTACCTCCGCCAAGGAGGTTATGTTTTCGGTAGCATTGGTTTGTTTGTTTGTTTGTTTGTCTGTGAACAGCTTTACGGAGAAAATAACAGACGGATTGACCTGAAATTTTCACCAGAGGTGCGTCTCAGCCCCAGGAGGATCCCATTACATTTTGGTGGTGATCCGGATCGCCTTCTGGATCCAGGAATTTTTTGAAGGATTCGTTTTCATTGTGAGATAGGGCAAATTTTGGAATTTTTGCATTTAACTTGATAAAAATGTCCAGAGTCTTTAGTAAAAAATGACACAAAAGGATCTCAATGAGTTTTATGAGGTGTCAAAGGTTGATCCTGATCCAGACAAAATTCCGGATACTATGATCCAGAACACACTAAAATAAGGGTGTCGTTGGAATTTTCAATGCTGAAAGATAACCAATGGGTGGCACAGTGGTGTAGTGGTTAGCACTGTCGCCTCACAGCAAGACGGTCCTGCGTTCTAATCCGGGTCAGGGCATTTCTTGTTTTAGGAACATTATGAACAGTGAACATACCAGTTTAAACACAAATAAAAGTTAATAAAAGACACGTAACAGTAAAAGTTTTGGTGTGAATCACAATATAAGGGGGGACATGAGCTGCTTGGCGGAGGTCTGCGCTCTCCGAGTGCTTTTCTAGTTCTCATTTAGTTTCAGAGGCTGCTTCTAGAAATAACCCAAATTTTTGTGATAACATTTTTGGCACTCTATAACAAGTTTTTTGACTCTGACAACCCAAGAAATAATATATTTATGAACATAATTGCTCTACAAATGTGCTTAAATTACTATAAAAAGCTGTCTAAAAAAAGCACAAACTTTTAGTGTTTAAGAGCCATTAAACACCTACATCCACAGACTGTGTCATTACAGGCATGTGTATCAATGCACGTTTATTCCTTAGTCACCTTGTTGAATAAGGAGCACTGCAGATATGCAAATGGCAGGATGACGAGGCCTTTCCTTAATAGTGAATTTGTTTATGGCTATTTGTTTATGGTTGGGATCTTTCCTGACTTCCTGACCATTGTTCATTGCTATGGTTAGATCTTATTCGGACTTTGATATGTGGTGTTCTACCACAGCAGGTCATCATGTCATTATAATGGTCATTATACTCTGAAAAAGTGGCTTCAGGCTCCAACTGAGTGATAACAAAAATACGTTTCTTATAATCTAAGATTTATGATCACAGTCTCTAATGATACACATCCTTTCTGTTGTCACCTCCATGTGATCTCTGCTGTTTTGGACAACAGGTGTGGTCAGCCTAAATCACTGCAGAGCTCTCCTCTCCACAGTTGAGGAAGGATGCCCTGACTCTCCCGACATCAACACTTTGCATACAGATTTCCATATATTCCATGCATGCTTGGTGGGGGTCATTTAGATTTGTTCAGTCACTTTACTCCCTCGTCTCCAAACAATCACGACTCTATCTTCAGTCTGGCAGGACCTTATCTCTGTCTCCCTTCGTAGAGGACGAGGAGATGGCGATTAAGTGAGTTACTGCACATTTGATTATTGGGCCTTTACCATTTTTCATCAGGAAACAGTTTACAGCAGCCATGTGGAAAATACCGAAGAGGTTTTCATTCACTGTAAGTCTCACTTTTTTTAGCGACTTGATTTCTGAAAGGGCTTTTAGGATGCTGTAAGGCTTTTAACAGAGAATGAAACAGTGTCTCAAAACAATGAACTACCTTGAGTGAATGATTGATCATTTGGCTCTGCAGTGTGATTCCCACATCCCAGATTAATGGGCTAGTGATAGATCTCAATGCTCTTTTCAAGGGTAGATTGTGTTGCTTTCCCAAGGATCCGCTGGACGACGTTGAGACATGGGGCGAGTCTGTGGACAAACTTCTCAGTTGTAAAGGTTGCACCATCTTTTAGTTTTACTTCCATAACTTTCTTTGTTTTTGCACTTGCTCCCTGCCTGATGTCATGTTTGATTTCCAGCTGGACAGATAGCTTTCCGGGAGTTCCTGAAGTCTGAGTTCAGCGAGGAGAACATCTTGTTTTGGCTCGCCTGTGAGGAGTACAAAAAAATTAAGACGGTCCCAGAGATGATCTCATCCGCCAACAGGATCTACTCAGAGTTTGTCCAAACAGAGGCGCCCAAACAGGTAAAAACTGCAAGCCAGGCAAAAACCAGGCCTTTATTTTAGCAGTACATACTGTAAAAAAATCTTCAGAGGGTTATGATCTGAACTTAACAGGCCCATTGTGATGAAGTGAGGACTATAAAGCTATACATTTGCACATTCTGTGCAGATGAAACTGCAAACTTTCTTTTTAACAGCACAGAAGTTGTCTCCCTTCAGATCATTAAGTGAATGATAATAAAAAGAGTTGTTATAAGACACCCCTGGGCTATGTCGTTTGATTTCAGATCAACATAGATTGGGGTACCAGAGAAAGCATAACAAAGAACATCTCCCAGCCGACCCTGACTTCGTTTGATACGGCACAGAAGCTCATCTACAGTCTGATGGCCAGGGATTGCTACCCACGGTTCCTAAAATCTGACATCTATCAGGGACTCCTGAGGCGAGGTGAATCAAGGTGACTGTTTTAAAACTGACAGCCTCTCAACAAAGGCTCATAAGGAGAAAGAAAAAAAGAAAGAAAAAAAAAAAAACCTTCTCTCTAGCCCTGATCTACTGTAGCACGCTTTGATTTCAGCGTGGATAACAGGTTCATGCCAGACAATCCAGCTTCTAAGTGTAGCAGAAATAGTTTTTTTTTTTTTTGTCAACCTGTGTGATCTAGTAGACAGTTCCAGCTCAGAGAATTTGCGGTTTGTATTATTCTCCATCTCATTATTTATCTTTAGTTTTAAATAGAAAGTCTCAAAACAGATTGTGCACACGATTCTTCACAGATTATCTACTTTCTCCCTCTCCCTGTGAGGTTAATAAAGAAAAATCTCTTTTTGTAAAGTATTATCATGCCATTGAGTTTGCAAATTATAAGTCCTTTTATGCTCTGAGACAGTCAGCTTTAAAACAAATAAATATGTAAGTGCATTCTTAAAATTCTCGCTTTGTTTTGTGCTTTGTCAAACTTTTTATTTCTCATTCACATTAAAAAGCTTTTAGAGACAAAAGCTAAATATACTCAGCTGAATGGCATTTGGGTGTGGTTACTTTGAATGTGATGCAAATCCTCTTTTTTGATTCAGTGAAGGCAAATAAACATGCCTAAACAGGGGTGTGCCGAGGGGCTGCACAAAAAACTGATGAACCATGGACCCCTGGAAGAATAATATTTGCTTTCTGATCAGTTCTGATTTGTTCAAAGAAGCTCCATATTTTGTGTTGTGTTGCCTTGGAAACCAGTTAATTCTTTGGCTGCATTCCAGTTGTACTCAGAAGTCGGAATTTTCAAGCTCCGAGTCGGAAATCCATCTGGAACACTGAAGTTGGATTTCTGACTCAGAAGGTCGGACAATTCCCCACCAACGTGACGCCATAATCCAAGATGGCAGCGCAGTGCATCAACAGTAAAGAGTAACAGTAAAAGCTTGTGTTATGTATTATTAATTCGCATTTCTGTTTTGTTTTTGTAAAATTAAATAAGTGGTAAATGTTATACTGCATAACGTCTAACTGTGAACACGGTGCTATGGTGTTTGTAGGATTAAAATACTGTGTTATGAGTTGTTTACAGCTGGTATCGCTAACAACAAACGACAGCTAACAATTGTAAACAACAGCTAACAACTGCTAACAGTGACCATCAATCTTGGTTTTCCGACTTATATACTGGAACGCCGTCAACTCGGGTGTAGCGTCATTCCCAGCTCCAACATCCAACTTCTGAGGTAACTGGAGTTCGATATTTAATCAGTTAATAGATTAATTGATTAATTCAATTAATTCAATTTTATGGGGAAGTGAAAGTCTTTGATATTGAAAACCTCTTCCTCAAGGGTGCTCAAGACAGGTAGCAATGTTACTTACAACAAAATACAAGATAAATGACTATAAAACATAAAAACATGTTATTACAAAATGAAAAAAGAAAGAAAGAACAACAACCACAGCTAGAAATGTATCAGGCAGAATAGATTTGTCTAAAATGATTCATAGTTATTCAACAACACCTCAGTGATGAACCTCAATACTCTATGATACTCGGTGTCTAGAGACAGCAGGCCTTGATAATATACAGCACAGACATGAAGGGGGCAGCAACTTCTCTCTTTATCCGAGGATTTGACTACATAATGTTTTTCTTTTAATCTTTTTCCAGATATGAGGTATAAAAGAAAGAGTTTCAAAGGTGAACATAAGATACCTGTAGTGAGGGACAAGCTTAATTTTTGTACCCTGAAATTATGAGATTAAAGGCAGGTAAGGTGGCTTTTATTTTGTATTTGAAGACAGCACGACTTCAGCTTTGTATGTGTTTTCAATAAGATTTAAATTATCAAAATGTAAATGAACAGCAAGCCAACAGAGGGCTTGAAACACAGTAATATAGTTTGGTTTATCAGTTTATTTGGCAGGAGCCATGCAAAACACAACTGCTGCACCCAAGGCGGTTATGATAATTTACATCTCTTGGCAGGAAAATCTAAAAAAAAAAAGTTGCAACACAACAGTTAAAAAAAACTCTATATAAACTTCTAAAATCAACAAAATTACATCCTCTTTTACTTTACAGGTGTCAACCAATCAGCCTAAAGAATTATTTTTTTTTTTAACATTTCAAACAAAAAATATTTATAATGAATGCTGCAACTAAATTACCAAAACCCACCAATATAAGGTTGTCAGAGGACAGCATGAGCATGTAGAGGAAGAAATCACTTTGTCAACAGAGGCGCCAATTTTAACACAAACCAAAAGTTTCATGAGCTTTAAACACAGATATGTAACCCAACAGAGTATTGGTGTTTTTTATCCAGGGATAGTATTCATCCAGACAGCTAAACTAAGCATCAAAGGTGTGGGGTTTGAGATAAATGGCTCACAAATCCCCTTTGCTGTCATCAGAGAGAGGTTTTATGTCGATTAGGTTGGAAAGTTGAAAAAAAAAAAAAAAAAAAACACCAGATGGCAACAGAGCCTTTCACACCAAACAGCAGGGTGGACTGAGGTGGCACACTTCCTCAGACTCTGTGTGGGGGTTCTGAGCCACACAACTGCACATAGAGGAAGTCTGTACATTCAGCACAGCGCTCAGAGGAAGTGTAAGAAACACCGCCTGGAGATAAATTTGTCAGAAATGCCAGACACGGGTGGATAAGCGGGGGTGAACTTTCTGTGGCAATTCAGTTGGTTTACTGCCGCTCTGTGACTTCATTCATCATAGAGACCTGAGCGGACTCATATCTACACTTTAAATCCAATCTGATGGTGCTCCATGTTAATCTCACCTAAAAGAAAGATACTGTCAAGTGCAGACATTCAGACTGTGTTGAGTAGATTTTAGCAGAACTAGATCATGTGAGATCCTTCTCTGTTTTATATTAAGTCAGGATAAGTGAGATCGTACAAGTTTTTGTATCTGTGTATGCAAAGCATGCAAAAGCTGAGACATCACAAAAAGGCATGTGTTCACAGAAAAAGAAGCTGGCACACCATATTTGGATTTACTGCTTCATTTTAGCATGTTTACAGCTCTAACGTTTTTATTCTCAGTTGTTTTTGGGAAACTAAAAGTGGGTATAGCGGGGTTCTCCATCTAACGGCAGGGTGTTGAACTAACACATGTTCTGTTTATGTCTGAGGTGTGAATGAATGTACAAGAAATGTATTTTAAGAGCTGGTGTTCAACAGTCTGTTTTGTGCACTGTGCAGACAGCTCACCACAACTTCCTCCTCTGGAGACGACTCTGGTTGCTCTCACCTCTTTGTAGGTGTACATTTGAGTAGGTTTGAAACTGAAAAAAAAGGTGCATTTTGAAACCACATGTTTATTTTACATTCATAGTTATAGCACAGACCATCTACTGTGGATGAAGATTTCCAGAGACACTAAATCATGAGAATGAGGGGAACTGAGGAGAGTTATTGATCTGTCAGTGACTGGAGGAAGAACCCGATGAGTGTTCGAGCTGATAAAGAAAGCGTTTGAGATGACAGTTTATGCACCACAGTAAGACATCAACGGCTGCAATACACGACATTTCCTGTCACACCATCTGACATAAACAATGTTACAAAACTCATAAGGAATATTGGGTTTAGTTTGAGCTTGTGTGCAGATGCATTTAATGCTGCAGCTGCTTGTCTACCAACCAGACAATAGCAGGGGATACAGAAACTTACTTTAAAAAAAGACGCATTGAGTAGATTTAGACTAAATGATAGATTTACTCTAAAATGATAAGACATAATATTGAGAAATACATTTTTGAGGGCTATTTCATTTATTAATCTTTTATAACATATTATTACCCTTTTGATTTCCTGTTGTACATACTGTAGCACCGTCATATCATCAGCTGTTGCACAACATAGCAAACATGATCTTTAAACTTCTCAGGGGAACTGGTGCAGATACATATCACTGAAGAATTGCTTTATTTTTTCCATTGCATACTAGAACTCCAGTAAGAAACTTCCTGACACACTGCCCCCTTTTTATATTTACAAGCATCAATAATTGCAGTACAAACATTGTCAATTTTGTTGCAGATGGAATCATTTGTTTTTATAGAGGCATCACTAGTCTCACAGGAGGAGTTTTTAACTGGTTTTGTCTGATTGTTACACTAATCCCTTTTTCAGGCCCACGGTATCAAGATTACTTATTTCATTATACTGACTTTTTGTGTCAGGTCTAGGGTCCGATTTTCAGCACCTACTTGAAGTATAGAGCCTCGCAGGTAAAGTTAAGCAGTAAGTTAGCAAGACAACAGTAGAGTGAAACAACGAGATAAAAGCAAACAGTAAAAATAGGACGAGGTAAATTACAAGGAGTGGGCTAATCTGAACAGGTGGTTTTTGAGTCTGGATTTGAGGAGTGGTAGAGAGTTATGATTGTTTCATTCTCTAAATACTGTTTAACACTGAAAACTCTACCACCAGGGCTTAAAAAGCAATATGCCAGCATGTGAATTAGGGCTGCCATGGCATGACTTTCTATCATACCATATCACAGTATTGACATGATGACATAAACTTTACAAATAAACACAATTAACTCTCATGTCACCATCCTTTTCAATAATGGTCACATTGATGATCTATTCAAATCACCAGCTCTGTGACTGAAACTTGTACAGTGAAGAGACTGTCTGGTAAAACAATTGATTGTTACACTTGTATTTTGATATGTCTTATTTCTTGTGTTAAGCGTGCTGTATTTCATGCATTACAAAACTACAAGTTAAAAGAGCAGGATGACTAATTAGTAACCTGAAGAGCCACAAGTTACACTGTTGTTTTTGAATTCACAATAAATCTGTAAATATCAGTTTTTAGCTGTAAGTAGCTGCTGCGTCTTCATCTCTCCTTAGTCTTATGAAGAGTGGCAACCAGCCTGAAGAACCACTCCTGTGGACTCACAGTATAACTATATGTTTATTCATAGCAAGATGTCAACATTAATATTAAAATTGCTGTTACTATTTTTATCTTTCTACAGCCGTAATGTGAATTCTTTATTGCGCTTAAAGGATAAACAAGTTTAAGAACTAGTTGCATATTTGTGCTGGTCAGACATTTGTCCGGACACTTGGACGTGGTCTGGAATGTATGGTCACCCTTTGTGAGCTACTGATAGTAAATCAGAGTTTACAAAATTTAATTGTTGTTATGTTACACTTGACAAATACTAATTAGCTAAAAATCAATGCGTTCTCTCATCACTCTGCCTGCTTCGAAAAGCTGAAAACTTTCCTTTAGCGTTGGCCATGTAATCTGAGAGTAACAACTGATGACATTCAAGGTTAATCCTCATTTCCAGCAAAGTATAGGACAGTTCCAGTCTGAGCAGAAACAGAGTGGTTAAGTTCATATGAGATATTTGAAAACCTCAAGGTTTTGAAGTCTATGATTCAAAATTTCTTGGTCCAAAGCAGATTCACAAGACACTTTGTTTCTGTCAGTGGAGTGCTCATGTAAACACACGTGGTGAAGTATAATTCAGTTCACTGTGTTGATCTTGCATAATTTGCATACAGCCCTCACCATGCTTCTAGCACCGGCACATATTAACAGCTGAGTAAGACTTCCTGAAGTCATTTATTGTAAATGCAACAGAGTTCACAGTAAAAGAAGGGGAGATTTTGCAGTGAACTGTTTTTTTACTAGTTTATGAGCCTTTGCTTGGTCACTCTATTATTATTACATCGTTATGATTATCAAAGTACTGGATGTGAAATTGTTCGGGTTATTTTGGTAATGATGGAGTTAATCCTTCAGGGTTGCTTGTTTCGTTTAGTAATCAACACAGGGAAGATGTTTCAAAGCATAAAGGCTGTAAGTACAACACTTCACAACACCAAATTTGAACACAAATAGACAACAATCTATCTATCTATCTATCTATCTAAAGCTAGCTAGCTAACTAGCTATGTTTACAGAAACAGAAAATCTTCTGTTCACACTAAAAGCTGAAAACTTTCCTTTAGCGTTGGCCATATAATCTGAGAGTAACAACTGATGACATTCAAGGTTAATCCTCATTTCCAGCAAAGTATAGGACAGTTCCAGTCTGAGCAGAAACAGAGTGGTTAAGTTCATATGAGATATTTGAAAACCTCAAGGTTTTGAAGTCTATGATTCGAAATTTCTTGGTCCAAAGCAGATTCACAAGACACTTTGTTTCTGTCAGTGGAGTGCTCATGTAAACACACGTGGTGAAGTATAATTCAGTTCACTGTGTTGATCTTGCACAATTTGCATACAGCCCTCACCATGCTTCTAGCACCGGCACATATTAACAGCTGAGTAAGACTTCCTGAAGTCATTTATTGTAACTGCAACAGAGTTCACAGTAAAAGAAGGGGAGATTTTGCAGTGAACTGGTTTTCAATTAGTTTATGAGCCTTTGCTTGGTCACACTATTATTATTACATCGTTATGATTATCAATGTACTGGATGTGAAATTGTTTGGGTTATTTTGGTAATGATGGAGTTAATCCTTCAGGGTTGCTTGTTTCATTTAGTAATCAACACAGGGAAGATGTTTCAAAGCATAAAGGCTGTAAGTACAACACTTCACAACACCAAATTTGAACACAAATAGACAACAATCTATCTATCTATCTATCTATCTATCTAGAGCTAGCTAGCTAGCTAACTAGCTATGTTTACGGAAACAGAGAAAATCTTCTGTTCACACTAAGATATAGAACAAACAAGGAGTATTAGACTCATGTATCTGCTGCTGCTGCTGGATGAGTTGAGCAAGTTAAATAGTGGGATAGATAGATAGAAAATAGATACAAAGAGAGAGAGGGCAGCAACAACAACAGCATCAACAAAAAAATAATAGCCTACAGACTTGTGGCCTCAATGTCAATAGTAATAATGATACAATATGTTTTAACATGTGCAAAAACATCATAGTAAAAATGATTAAAAACTCAGAGGTAATTGTCAATATTAAAGTCAACAGGTCTAGTTTTACCATTGACAACATAATTATAACTATAACAGCATGAAGGAGAATCATCATATCCATTATAGCAGTCAAGCAGCTCTGTGATTGAGCATCCTCTCATCAAGCATCCAACATTAAATAGGAGGACCAAAAGCAGATTTTTTTTTAACATACCCTTAAAATCGAAGTATCCCTCAATCTCACTTTTGTTCAATTTTAGACCACCAATTGGAGCTGCCAGTGTTCGAATTTAATCCACAGCTTTAGTCAATTTTTCTTATATGTTATATGTTAAAACTGATTAAAGATTAAACTGTTCTCAAATGTCATTTGATGATAACTGTAAATTTGAGTGTTTTAATAATCTGTACAGCCTGGCTGAGTCCGAACTGCATTCTGTACATGAATAAATCTGCTCTCTTCTTCAAAACATTTTTTGAAATTCCACAGGAATCTCCAGATGACAGGTGGCAGCTTTTGTTGTTTCACAGTTTCAATGCAGAAGCAGGAAGTGTGTGCGTGCGTGCGTGCGTGCGTGCGTGCGTGCGTGCGTGTGTGTGTTGCAAGTCCTACAGTTTGTGGTTCTACTAAACAGCATTGTAAAGTTGGTTTGATCACCATATTTTTGAAGTACAAAATCCCCACAAAAGTTGATTCTTGCCATTTCAAACTCAATCTATCATACATAACTTCTATGTTGGTATTTTTCAGTCTTTTACTGATTTTTTCATTAATTCAGTCTGACATACTGTGATGGTTTATTATTACAGAAAAAAAGATCCTTTGGCCTCAATAAACGCTACACATGAATATGCATTGGTACTTCCTCTGTCTCAAACCCGCACCTGTTTACCGTGGAAACACAGGGGGATCTTCTGTCTTCAAGACATATCTCATGACCCCAAATTTATGTGAGTGGGTGGCCTTTGTTTCATTTTACCTCTCTCTGTTTCCTTCCATGTTTCCTGTCTGCTTCATCTGTGAAAAGCCAGACAAAGGCAAGTTATAGAAGCGGAAACATTAAGTCATTATTAAAGTGAAAATATGTCATCATAAGAAAGGGACAACTATTGTTTAAGATATGCTTCAAATAAGTGAGAGTGTGTCCAGACAGAGAGAGAGCAGAAAAGTTGAGGGCTTATCATGCATAGAAACTGGGATGCTAAGGTGTTGAGGGAGTGACATAAATAGATTAGATAAATATAAAATAAGAAAATAATCATATAAATGAAATATCATCATAAAGCTCCTGTGAGGAATTTTTCACCATCATGAAATAGACTGAAATTCACATTGATGTCTTTTTATGATAAAGAAAAGCAAACAAAACAACCAGTTTGAGGGATTTATATTGTAATTTCAATGGCTAAATTAGATACGAGGGGGTAGGTGTTAGCCAAGCCAATGGAACAAAAAACAGCCCTGTTTTAACTATTTCCGTGTAATATATTCACAATTACTGATACAATTATTGTCAAAGGTCAGACATGTCAGATATTTGTGTCAGAAAACAGTGCACAAGCTTGTGGAGGACAAGACAGATAATTGTCCACAGAGGACACCAGATTGACACAAACGTAGAGCTTTCAAAATAGAGGTTATCAGAAGTTGTAGTCATGATTTTTCTTCTTGAAAATTGTTGTACCTGCTAATCAAAAGTTATGTCTTAAGTTAGGGTATATAGTCCACACTTAACCATACACTACAACAAGTTACAGTGCAACTTTGGTCGTACTTTTGTTATGTTGCACCTTACAGACTTCAGGTTCATCTTAACTAGGAGATTGACAAAATCACATTATCTGTGTCATTTTTCTTCTGCTTTTCTTCTGCAGAGCTCCAGTAGCTCATAAACAATTCACCTTTGAGTCAATGGTGGAGACTGCACTGCTCTTCACACTAGCTTGCAATCCAACATTGCCGTTGTAGTAGAAGTGGCAGATAATATATGAGGTACTCAGCTCTCGGACACTAATGTCTTTGGGGGCATGATGAGAGCTAATATCATAATCCGCTGTCTTACAAGCATTGCAATCCGCTAACGCACACGTTTATTCTGCAACTGCCCTCTCTACTTCTCTGGGTTTGGCCCGCAGAGTGGGGCGCAGGGGGTAGAGCTTGGAGTTGTGACATACAAAATCCCACTGTGTCTGAACCTTGTGTTTGGGTCTGCCAGAGGTTCACAGCAATTTGAAAGTAGAAATACTCAGAAATGCAATTTTGCTCATGGTTTTCTCATGATATGCCCTCTGGCACCAGAAAAATGCCAAATGAACATAAAGGCAACAAGAAAAACATGATTTTCATCGGAGTGGGTCTTTGACACCTACTTAGAGATAGGGTGAACATTTTGAGTCATAACTAGTACCAACACTGATTCTATCTCAGCTGGTACAACTACCTGCTCACATTGACTATGGTGCCCCCTGTGGGCAAAGTGGGCAAAAGTGTAAGCTGTGAATCATGACAAAGATCCTCGCCAAGCTACTTTCAACAGTCAGATACAGTTTGTCAGTGATCAGAAATAGTCACTCTCCATGTCACTGATTTTGCTTGAGTAGGCTGCAAAGAAGCATTAGTGTTAATTCAACTTCACAACTAGCTTAAAACACCCAAAGAAGCTTTTAGTAAACCATTTAACAAAGTTACAGTAGTTACATTTTAAGAAGCATGCCCTGCTTATTAGCTTGTTGACTGGTGAGACAAATTTTAGCTAGAGCAATAAAAAGGGATTAGACTTCTTTTTTTTTTTTCTGTGCTAACAATCTAAACAATCATGAATATGTAATCTGAGCTAATAAAGTTGCAGATGGCTAATCTGTCATTGCCGAGTAGTAGAAATGCAACTCATCGAAGGAATGAACTATAAATATATTTATCACTTAAAAAACAATCTAATTCTACCTTAAAGTTAGCTAACTAACACTGAGCAACTACAAGCTAATTAGGCAAGATTTCAGCAGCCAAGCCACCTGGTGAATTGCTTTGGGTGGGAAACGCATTTATCTATCGTCTAACTTTACCGAGGAATAATGTTTATTATCTTCTTTTATGGTCTCATCTAAAAGAAAACAGTGTTAAAAAACACTGGTGGAGTTGTTGCTGTGTTTCAGATGCTGCTGCTAATTAGATTAACTGTGAAAATACAGTCACTGAGGTAAAAAATACTTTTCACCACCTGGAAGCTTTAAAAAAAGTTTTAGTGGAGCCTCACTTTCTGGATGCTGAATCATTCTTAGGGAAAATGTTCCAAAACATCAAACAGTACTGTCGGTCAGTAGACAGTGGCTAACACATTTGCCTATCAGCTGTTGAATTTTCCACTGCCTTATTTGCATCTTTGGGCTTTAGAGCAAACATGTCACCATGCAGACCTAAGTACAGTACACTTATACAACAACAACAGCAGCTGCCTGTGCACGTCTGCGTCATCTGCAGCTTCCTCTTTTTCTGCGGTTAGCTGTGATGATACTCGCTCTTCGCTCATGTCAGACTTCTGCTCTGGGTATAAAAGTTCTCACTGGGAGGGTTTGTGAAACAGAAACAGTCAAGGAGTTCAGACAGTCGTACAGGCACAGACACAAAGTTTTATCAAAATGCCGAGCCTTGTCACGTCACCACCACTGGACCTGCAGCACTCAACCGTAGAGACTGCTGGCAAGATGAACGGAAAGGACAGGTAAACACTGTTTTTATGCACTTTCTCTCCTATTTGGATTGCAGATCAACCTTTTCAGTTAAGGAAGATGATAGTGTTGAATTAAGCCTTAATGATATGTATTTTTTCGCTATGAAGGGGAGGAAATCTAAAGTTTCTGCTGCAGCGTCAATCGTCTCAAGTCACAAATACTGACAGGTAAGGGAATTCTTGAAACTTTCAACATTGCACAACAAATACAGTTGATTGAAATTTTGTTTTTATCTATTATGTTTTTGACACCTCATTCTTATTTTACAGACTTTGTTTTGAGGAAATGTCTCAGTGGTCCCAATCATTAGAGAGACTCCTATCATCAAAATGTAGGTTTAACAATATGCGCTCCAATAATGAAGGTTGTTTTGTTGTTTTAATGCTTCCTAACCATTTTTTGATGTCTGTGTAGATGGATTGAATATATTCCAGGCCTTTTTGAAGACAGAGTTCAGTGATGAAAACATTGAGTTCTGGCTGGTGTGTGAGGACTATAAGAAGATCAGGTCCTCCTTCAGAATGTGCTCCAGAGCCAAAAAGATCTTCAAACGCTACATTCAAGCTGAGGCTATCAGAGAAGTACGTATAGAGGTCTTAATAATCAAGATACATTTACAGCAACACCTCTGCTTCTATTCCTGTGCTTACTGTCTTTTTTTTCCTCCTTTGTTTCAGATCAACATTGATCACAAGACCAGGGACCTGATCAGGGGGAACATGAAGGCACCCACCACCGTGTGTTTTGATGACGCCCAGAGGATTGTCTACGGGCTGATGGAGAGAGACTCATACCCACGTTTCCTGAAGTCTGACATCTATCAAGCTCTACTGGACTCCACATCAGAATCATCAAATATGTAAATAATACAGATAGCACAGGCTTTATGTCTGTAGAAACTGGACTGTGAAGCTGAGCATGGGCTATCTACGACAGCCCGGGTTGTGTGCTTACATATCCTGAGACCTCTGGTGGTGTTTCTCGAATATGGAGAGCTCCTAAAATATCATCAGGACATTTCCACTGCAGGGAAATCTTTCATTCAAAGGCCAAAGAGAGTGGCCAAAAATTGCTATATTTGTACATGAATCAAGAGCAGCTGCTGTAAAGAAAAGGACTTCCCAGAGATGCTACAATAATGAAACGAAAGTGTTAGGGACTTTCTTCAAGAGTTGCCAGGAAAGGGATGTGGTGTACATGACTAGAGCAGAATCCGGGATCTACATTTGCACTAGGTCTCAAGTTTATTGTTATCTCACTAAAGCAATAATCTAGATTAGTAGTGTGCAGTTATGGTGTTAATGCTGTCAATGATTTATATGCAGCTATGACTTTGTTATAAGCTAAAGCTACCATTGAAAATGTGTTTCAACATTTGTCTAAAGGTTCTTAATGTAAATAATGAAATTTATTTGTACATATTAAATAATAAATTATCACATTTTGTGGAAGTCATTTGAAAATCACTTCAAAAGAAAAGCGCTGCAATGCGTGAAATGTCCTCTTATCAGAAAACAAGCCCTAAATGAGCTCAAGACTCATTATGTGACAATATAAATCACTCCATGAATCCAGCAAAATTAAATGCAGTCAATGAGTCATTTATGTATTTCAGTAACCTCATTTTGTTCATTCACACATTGTATGATCTTATTGTAACTGGTTCTTGGAAAATGGTAAATCCGGCAGCAAAGTATCACAGAATACTATGGTGTCTGTGTCTGATTTAAAATAATTGTTAAAGTTTTTAAGTCCAAAATTTGTTTAATGTGTCAAATCAAAATTTTGAAAATATACTTTCTTTTTTAAATTATATTATTTATTAATTAATTTATTTATTTATTTTTGTTGAGAATTGAGATGATCAATTCCACTAAAGGGGATCTAATTGGCAATAATAAAGGTAAGTTATAATTATATTCAAGGCTTATACAATACAATAAAAGAAGAACAATACAAGAACTTTATTGATCCCCAAGGGGAAATTCATTTTTTCATCCATTTCCATACAGTTATATAATTGTTTATAAACATCCAATTAAATTTTAGAAGTTGTTTTAACTGCATTGAGTTTTCTGCATGTTACAAGCTAACACATGTTGTTAATCTTTAATTAAAGTCTAATTCATGTTGTAAACATCCTATTTATGTTTATGAAATGTATAAGCACTATTTACAGGTTGCGAATAAGAGCCTAGAACTGTGTTATGAGCAATTATAAATATGTTTAGAATGCCCTAAACACGTATTAACATTAACAAATCTTTTGAGCTCTTATAAGCGGATTATTAGCTATTAATTCATACTTATTACAAGGACCTTCATATGGAGTGTTACCAAAGGGGTATGACAAAAAGGAAAGGGTGGATGGAGAGAATCAGCAAAAAGTTCCCTTGAGTGCAGTGTACACTTCATCTACTGTTTTTTTTTTTTACTGCAGAATGGGATGGATTACATTGGTTACATATATTACGGGTTATCAACACCCTCTGATAGAAAACTGATAACATTGGAAACAGTAACATTTACTGTTTCAAGACATGAGCTAGCTTTGTGCTCAAAACAAACAATAAGAAACTGTTAATATGTCCTCCTCCTTTGTGCCATTGCCATGGTACTGACCCACAGGTATGTAAGCGTCCAAGAACTTATTCGCCTTCAGGTTGGCTCCATTGTGCATTTTCAGTTTTTCAATCAGTCATGAATAAATGTCTGACCATCTAACCAAAGGGTCTATTCCATGATTTTGTGCCAATTCATGAGAAATGGGGAACTTACAAGCATGATAGTAACACACCAATGAGTACTTGGTATGAGTTTTTGGTTTCAACTCGGTGAAATAGCTGGTAAATATTGAAAAATTAAACACATTTAAACTTAAAATAACCAAAAAAATAAATAAATAAAAATCATCATGGTAGCTTTGTTACTGGATAGCCAGTTAAGCAACCTGTTCCTTGGCCACAGGGTCAGTGCCTGTGGCCAAGCAAGGGCAAGGCCGAAACAGCTGGTGATGTAAACCTCTGCTGATCTGATCCCATAGACCAGGGGTCGGCAACCTTAAACACTCAAAGAGCCACTTGGACCAGTTTCCCACAGAAAAGAAAACACAGGGAGCCACAAAACCTCTTTGACATCTAAAATGAAGATTTTTTTTTTTTTTTACCTTTATACAAAGTATATAAAAAACTGTAGCGAGTTGCATTTATGAAATAAATGAACTATTTCGGCGAGTGTCTGTCTTCTTCTGTAGTTAAACCGCAAGATATCAAAATCTACCCGGATACAGCAATGATGCTTTTTGATTGGCTGTTCAGTAGATATACTTTATTCGATTGGCTTCTGCGTGGCACGCAGCTTCTGAACTCTCGGAGGAACTCAGTTGATTTCCCCCAGTTCCATAGTTGAAGAAGTGCAACTTGGTGGACATCACCGTGTTCATTTAAATGCGTGAGAAGTACAATGTGTGGTGTGTGAGCGTGTGAACGAGTGGGAATGCGTGTGTCATACGCTGAATGCGTGAGACTTGAGAGCCCTGTGCTCACGCATCATCGATGTACTCCCGAGCCATGCAAAACGGTCTTTGCAAATGTTGCACTGAACGCCTTCCTTTTCAGTCTTGGTAAAGTTTTCCCACACCACTGATGTTTTAGGTCGGGATTTGGGTTGGGTTGTGTCCATGTTTTTCTCAGCTGCTGCCTCGGCCATGGCTGTTTCTTTTCTGTGCGTCCTGCTGATGTTTACACGCCGGTGTCCATGGACATATATAAAGACCCGACGAATCGATTACAGAATTTGTTGGCAACGGATTTTTTCGTCACGACCAATCTACTTAATCGATTCGTTGTTGCAGCCTTAATAGTTTATTTAATGTTACAAGAGCATTATAATCTTTGAATTTAGAATTACAAAAAAATAATAATACTAATGAAATAAAATAAAATGCAATTAAGTATTTATTATTTATTTTCCAAATCCATTGGGAGCCGCAGCTTAGGGAAGAAAGAGCCGCATGCGGCTCCAGAGCCGCGGGTTGCCGACCCCTGCCATAGACTGTATGGACATCTTGGTTCCGCCTTATGCCAGTATACGGATTTGAAGCCAAAAAGCTCTCGGTAATTCTGCGTTGGTTCCTCCATTTCCTGAAACCAACATTGCGCAGTTGCGTTTTATGCATTTGGCGAGAGAGTCGCTGTGATGACGCTCAAAAACGGAGCTGTACAGAAAAAGAATGACGAGCAAAAACCAGTCTTACAGTAACTACATGTCAATATCGCAAGCAGGGGGGAAGAAAATTATGTTCTATGTAATAAATTTCTAAAGTTTGTCCACAGCTCCATAAGTTTTGCTGGCGGAGGCAGGATTTATGACCTATACTGCAGCCCGTCACCAGAGGGTGCTGTTCTTAGAGTGGCTTCACCCAGCGAGGAGGCAGACACTGTCCATTCTATATACAGTCTATGTCTGGTCCTCTGTAGACCGGCTACAGTCACAGTCAGTAATATATGCTCAGTTAAGATTAGGCGATTTGACTAGACAACTGACCTTGTCACAGTTTACGAGCACCTGGCAAGAATTAAATTACTGGAAGAGGCATGTCCACCTTTGCTGCGATTAGTGGTGACCCCCTTTCAGTTTGTGTCTCACAAATGACCCCTTACATACCAAAACAGTCAGCAAAAAATATCACCAAGAGGCCAGCAGGGTGTACATCACAAATGAAAACAAAGTCACTTTGACAGCTCTGTAACATTTGCTCTTATGACCAGAAAGTTTAATCTTTTTTTACGACTTTTGTAAGGTTTGTTTACAATATGACTGTCCTGCAAACATCCATGTTATGCAACTCCTGACACAAAGCCCACCATGAATGCTGAGGTTTACAAAGAACATTTGAGCCAGTTTCAGTCCAATTGAGCTGCATACATGACAGAGAAAATCCATCCCAACGGCATTATCCGGGTATGTTAGTCCTACAGTGAGAAGTTTGATTTAGCACAGTTTCAGTCGCACTACAGCGATTAATCATGTTTCTTTTAATAACATGTAAACATGGTATAATAATCCAGTTTTTTATCCATTGACCATTAACAGTTGCTGTTTTCTTTTTCGTCCTTTAACTAACATCTTATTAAATTGACTTATTTGACAAATTGATCCAAATTGTGCTGCCGTGAATGTTCAGTCCAGAGGGCTTTATTCCATATGCTAGTCCATGGTTAATTTCATTTCATTCACTGGGTTCACTCCCCCATGCATGCTCATGCTAATCCTCTCCTCTCTTATCTCCTGGTCATATCTATATATTCCTCTAGTAACTAGTTCATTCATGCATCAGTTCTGTCCATCACCACCCAGCTTTTGCAGCTCTCCAGCTTTATCAGCCCTGGACACTTTTATCAACTATCTCCCCATTACCACCTAGTCTTGCAGTTTGAATCAGCTCCATCATCTCATTAGCCTCAGATGTTATCACGAGCCAACACCTCCCTAGTATCTGGACTTCACAGGGAGATAGATTTTGCAGATGCCCTTTAATCTCCATATCTCCCTGTAGAGTTCAGGCATCAAAGAAACACTGATAAGTGAACATCACATTGTCTCTGTGATATAAATATTCATCTTTAATGCCTCAATGCCTATCCTGAATAAGTGTCAGTCTACTGGAATTTGTGATTGGAGTCACATCTATAGTGAAGGTGTGCTGCCAGGATATAATAGACTGCTGCTAGGGAGTATTGGCCAATCAAAATCAAGAATTGAACTCAGCTGTACAATAAACTTGCATTACTAACTCGCTGTAGTTTTATTTTGAAATTAAAATTCGTAGATTTCTTGTTCTTCATTTTAAACACATTCTTTCTTACATTCAGTAACTCAAACTATGATGTTGACAAGCATCACACTCAAACGTACATGTCACATGGTCTCTCCTCAGCATTTGTATGCCTTCGACCTTCCATGCTTTTGAAAAATTGTAGGCACTCAAACCCCCTTATGATTCATTTAGCCTTTGTTTTCCTACTACAGCCTTTAGATATCAATGTAAAAAATTACACGTCATCCCTTGAAGCTGTTCTCCATGTAGCACAGAGTTTTATGACCAAAACTGCATTTACGTAACTAAAGCAGCTCAAAAAGAGAAGTCAATCTGTGGAAGACCGTTACATCTGATTTTATTAAAGGTTACAAAAATTAGGGAGAAGTGCTGAGACCCATATGCTCCACCACATCCTCTATTGATCTCACTCAGACATCTTTGTGTGCAAGCAAGCATACAAGGACACAGATGAACATGGACAAGAACAAACGTCTTTGTGCTTTTAGAGATAAAAACAGAAGATATGTTTATTATAGAGGCTTCTCAGTAATGTCATGTTTCTGCCAAAAGAGCTTTCAGGGGAATGAGATAACTCTTTTGCTTTCTATCGCAAGCATGTTTTTTTTTACATGCAGCTGAAGTGTTTCAATGATAAGATAAAGTACTGCCTGACTTGTCATCATTTCCTCATTCGCTCTGGTATGTTTGTTAGCAACAGTGAGATCCTGTGATATAATGAATCATATGACCATGAGAAGCTGTGAAGGCTACGAAAATTGAGGTCACATCAAAGTGACAGGAAGTTTGTGTCACGCAATGTAAGTCACATCTAGCCAGACAAAACGCTTATGTTAATGGTATCTACTATCCTTAGATATGCATTGTTGCAGTATTTTTGCTGCCATGTGTGTCATGACACAGAAGCCGTCTGCTTTTGACCACATGAGCAGTTTACAGGAAGTGACGGGAGAACGGTTTGATGCTGCTCATCCAGTACAAACAGGTTATGAGGTGATGGTAGTGGTAATCATGATGTATTGAGACAATCATAGATATTCTGATCTCAGAGCACTCTTTCCAAATAAAAAACTCAATTTCACAGTTTCAGCAAAAACTGATATTTTAGTATGAACATGAACATGGCGGGGCATCTAAGGCCAAGGAAAGCACATTGTTACTTCTTATGGCCGTTTCCTCTTTCACTAATGCACCCTGTGGATATCAGGAAAGTGCTGTATCAGTGAATGCGTTTACATCGCTGTTAAGTCAAGCTACAGTCAAAACTCAATTAGTCAATTTGACTGGACGACTGTCCTTGTCCCAGTTTACAATCACCAGGCAAGTATAATATTACTGACATGAGCATGTCTGTCTCTGCCTGCATGATTGGTAGTGACATGCCGCCTTTTGGCTCATCATCGGGTTGACCCACTACATATCAAAACAACAAAACACGTTAGCAAGAGGCTATGGTGTGTATGTCAATGTTAAAAATGTTTTTTTTACTGCTCTGTGCTGTTTGTTTGTACGAGAAGACAAGATAAGAGATTCCTTTAATAGTCCCACAGGGGGAAATTCCAAACAAACAATTTAGCAAAGTTTCATCTGTTTTACGTCAGTTCTTCATCTGTCTGAGTTTTGTTTACTACCTGGCTTAGTAGCAACACATTTTAGCTATGCAACTCCAGACTCAAAGCCTGGCATGCTAACCATAGATTTCATATAGCGTATCACTAGATGCTTTATGACTCATGTAAGACTACAGCAGCGAATACGTCAAGACCGCTGCCATCTTGAAGTGGTACCGGTGACTCCTGGCAAGTGTGGTGTTGGATGTAAACAAATGCAGTTGTTAGGTGTATCACAGGCTTTCAAAACTTAAACTGACTGAAAAACCATTGACTAGCACTGTTCCAAGATGGTGGTGGTCCTGATGCACCCTGGGCAGGGTTGTAAAGCATCTAGTGATTATGATATCTATGGTGCTAACACAGAGGCATATGCAGAACATTTGAGCCAGTTTCAGCCCAACTGAGCTGTATAGAAGGAAGAGAAAACCTATCCCCAACTGCACTATCCAGGGGTATTAGTCAGGCTATGAGAAGTTTTATCCAGCGCAATTTCGGTCAAACTAATGTGTTAAAATGTTTTTAAAAGTGCAGGTTAAGGACTGGGGCAATTAATCGATTTTTTAAACTTGTAAATGAACTGACTGACTTTTGACTGAAGACCAGGTTTTTGTTGGTCTAAGCCACAGGAAGCTGTCTGCTTACTCAAGATAGTAATCCTTGAGCACCACCACATTTCCTTTTAAAACCAAAACAACCCACAGACACCAGCATACTCATAATGCTAAAGTTCTGCTGGTGTAATGTTTGTTCAGTACAAACTGGTAACAAGATGTGACATGATATAACTGATAGAACACAACACAAGATGATGCAATATAATACGATACTGTACAAAACATACAATATGGTATTGTATGAATGGTACAATATGAGTTGATGCAACAAGGTTTTGTACGGTACGGTGCAGTGTGGTGCAATGCTATACTAAGAAGGCACGGCATGACACAATATGATATGATACAATGCAATTGGGTATTATATGATATGATACTATACAAAATAATAGAATATAGTTGACTACTATTGCAGCAATACTAGCAGTATATGGTTGGTAATTGGCACCTATAACAAGTAAAAAAAAAAGAAGCATGATCTTGACCTTATTATAGTGCTATATGGCTAGTCTAGGGATCACCAAAGTTATATACTCAATGGACCAAATTTGATTTAATCAATTTATTAATGGCTCTAAACAAATATGTCAGGGGGGCCAAAGTTTTATGGTTCATCTTCTGATGACTACAATGTTCCTATAATTTCAGGACAGTCCAGTGTGCATCCAAGTTGCACACTTTCATTTACCATCTTGTTAAGTGGAAATGCTGATTAAGCATTTCCACTTACTGTTGTATTCTTTTTGAGTTTCTCAGTGAAAATGTCCCCCGATGATTATTCAGAGCCTTTCGCACAAATCGTGGCTCTATATTTGAATCTACCGTAAATATGGGTCAAATCACATCTAAATGTAGAACGTCACAGGTTTATTTGCTACCAAAAGTACCAAAAGGTTATTAAAAAAAAAAATCAAGTCACAACTTGAAAAAAGAAATGTCAATAAGAGTCGTGACGATGGAAATGACCCACTTTGAGCTTCAGCAAACAGAAAGAGTTGTGGATGTTGCGGTCTGTCTGTGGCCTAAATAATTGTGAATACTTTGGGTAATGGTGTCACAAACATGCAGAGAAGACCTACATATCTATTTTGCTTCTGTTCTCCGCAGGTCTTTACATGACTTCCTCTAAATTCACCTCATTGGTGAATTACGTCCATTCACTGTTTCTACAGTAAGATTTCACAAAAAAGTGTCACATTTTTTCAGATACTTTTCGATTATTGTGCCTCTGAGGAGAGCAATAACACAGGGTTTTCAGCTGACATACCGAGATCTGTGTGTGTCGAAGTAAAATCCAATATAAAGGTACGGTGTGTAGTATATTTAGCAGAACAGACTTGGTAGAAATTAAATATAACTGTCATCATAGTTTTTCCCTGGTTTTATAATTACTTGTATTTTCCATAGTGTTTCTGTTCCCTGTTGTCCCTGTTTCCTCTAGTTAATTATTCTTATGTTCCTGTTGTTCTTGTTTTTCACTGTTTGGTTTTTGAGGTCTGTTTTCAGTGTTTCCTGTTTTATTTCGTAGTGGTCAGTCCCTGTGTATCTAGTGTAAATTCCTTAGTTTTCCCCCCCTTTATTGATTACTAGCAAGTTTCACGTCTGCATCATGTGCTGCTCATTCCCCTCCTTCCTTGTTGGTTTATCGTTGGTGCTGTTCATACCTTGTCCTCCCTACCTCATGTCCTCATGTTTTATTGGATTTTGATCTTTGTTGTAATTTTTTCCCCTCACCTTTTGTTCATTAAACTTTTTTCAGTTATGTCTGCATTTTGGGTCCTCTTATTTGTTAAAACTGTATCTGTGACAATAACATTGATTAGAACATCCAAAAGTGTGTGTTTTCACCTGAAAAAAAACAAAAAAACAATATTTTGGTAAAATTTAGACTGAACAGTTCCTCTCTCCAAATAATTTTTCACTTTTCTTTAAGAAGATGAAATCTAAGTAAACAAGGTAAAATGCCATTAAAGTGACTGGAATATTTTTAAAGTCTTACTACCTCTGTACATATTGTATCTCAGCCAATCCACCGATAAGTCTGAGTTCCTAGGCCTAAATACTGCAGTTAGGGGTTCTGAGATTGTCATTGTCAAAATAATGATGATAAACATGATGAATTAACTGCTTAAGACTAAAAACACACAGAGTTAGTGGCTGTACTCTGCAACACATAACTCAATTTAGTTGTTGACCTCCTCTTGTGTCTGTGAACACACATGAAAAACTGTACAGCTTACATCTGGATCAAAGTTTCTCCTTTTGCTGCCAGTTCCTGTTTAGACCTATTACAGTCAAATGAAAACCATGTGAGCTTCATGTGTTTCAAGTCCTGTGGTGAGCTCAAGTTCAATCTCGTTTGTACTAGTTGCTGCTTAGTTTGGTTTCTATGCTGTGTCATTCATGAGGAGATGTCCTAAGAAGGAGACAGACAGAAGAGGAAGTGAGTGTCACTTTCACAGTCTTACTCAGACATAAAGGTTTCATTGCACATCAGTTTAAGCAGCATTAAAAAAAAAAAAGGTCTTAATTCAGTCTGATGCACATTAATCAACATGTTATCAGGAGTATTTTTCTGACCTTATTTGATTAGTTGTGTGCTGCAGTGGTACTACTCGTGGTATTTATAAAGGGAAGTGGCTGAAGTGTTTGTACTCTGGGCTGGTCATTGGGCTAAAAAAGTAAAAATTATACAGTCTTGTTTGATTCATTACTTAAACTACTTCACTTCACTTCTTGTTCTGCTTTTTAAGGTGGGGGCAAAATATCCCACAACTAAAATTAAACTACATAACACATTTAGTCGAGTAGAATGTGAGCACAATGTTTGACGCACTCTGAGCATTCACGTGTCTTTTTTCCAATTACATAACAATCACACTCTGTGTCAGTCTCAAAAGGTGGAACGTGCTGAGATGCATGTTTTAGAGTGAAACATGGAGTCTGTCTCAGTTTGAAGCACTGATGTTGGAAATGTGATTAAAGCTGAAAGAGTACTCATAAGGCATTGTGGAAACTGAGAGGCTTTATATTTCAAAGAAAGATGATTAAATTTTATCATGGTGAGATATCTATGCATCTCCAGAGCACACAGATGATGCAAGAAGTGCCTTATGTGTCTCATTTGCCATGCACTGATGTTAATTTTGGAGGCTTTTGAAGCACCTGCATAACAATTTATATTTTATCTGCTCATCTTGATGCAAAACAAGGCAATCAAGTGAACATGAGCAATGTTTGTTATCTGACCGTGTGATCCCAGCACATTAACCCTGCGGGTGGCCTCACTGTCTCTTCTGCAGCTGTAAGTACAGTGTGTCTCATTGGTGGAGCATAGATTTTTTCTCTTTGTTAAGGCTTTTTGTTGCTGCTAGTCAACGTGATAAAATCCCAAAGTATACCTAGAGTCCATTAGTGGGAAGAAAATCAACAGGTGTTTGTCCTTAATTTAGTCATCAATATTATGCTGTGTAATGTTTTCTTGAAATTGCATACAACTCCACAAACTTTGCTTCTCCTCAGTCCTCAAACAAATACAAATGAAACTAACCTGCAGAGAGAATCTCTGGGGGCAATCCTTTCCCAGAAATGCAATTATCATCTGTTTTCAAGCAGCACAATACTGATATCATGGTTGGTTACTGTTCTTTTTAATGAAATCATTTCATGTGTAAAAGTTGAAAACAGCATTTAAGGACTTTCTGAAATTGGAGTTCTGTAAAGAAAATCTAAACTTTTAACTCATGTGGGAAGAGCTTCACATCTTTTATGGTGTGAGGGAGCTAAAACTTTTATCAGCAAGATTCTGTGAAGACTTTTTGAGGGCTGAGGCTCCCAGAATATAAGAAAACCTCTACTAAATATGCCCATTTAAAGACAGGAGAACCATTTTGCTTTAAATCTGTTCCAACTCAAACTGGAAATTTAAAGTCTATCATTGTACGACAGGATACAAAGAGTGTAAAGTCAAGTAAAACAGGGGGTATTCTCATAGACTGTACATACTATGGACAACTTGGTTCCACCTTCCACCAGTATAGGGATTTGAAGCCAAAAAGCTCTCGGTAATTCTACATTTTTTCTCCATTTCCTGAAACCAACATTATGCAGTAGTGTTGTACACACTTCAGCGCTTGCGCTGTAGCATTGTACACATTTGGCGGAAGAGTCGCCGAGAGTCGCTGTGATGATGCTCGACTCAAACAGCGAATCCCCTGGGTGAGCTACACAATTCTTGTATCAAGTGTCGATCATAGAAAACATGAACCCCCCAATAACTTTTAAAAACGGAGCTATACAGAAAAAAGAGGACTTGAGCACAAACCAGTCTTACAATAACTACATGTCAACATCACAAGCAGGGGGGAGAAAAATTCATATTCTGTGTAATAAATTTTTAAAGTTTGTCCACAGTCCCATGAGCTTTCCTGGCGGAGGTGGGATTTATGACCGATTCTGCAGCCCGTCACCGGAGGATGCTGTTCTCAAAGAGGTTTTAACCAGTGAGGAGGCAGACACTGTCCATTCTATAAACAGTCTATGGGTATTATGCTTTTTTTTCCAGATTCTGTACTTCCATTTTGATACCTCTTTAATAGCTTTACATGATTTTCAGATCAAAAAAGCTTGAAATTTCTCACAGTGGTGTATCAAAATATTATTATTTCAGCCTCCATCTAAAACGCTTCGTTTTAGCCGCTGTCTCTTTTCTACAGAAGAGAGGTCAACAACTGGACCCTGGCAACAGTTCAAGGTGTTGCTTCGTGCAGCTTTGAAACACAGAGGCTTTGAGAAGACATTGAAGGCCTTGAGGACAAAGAGTGTGGGGGATCCAATACAGCATGAGTTTAACCCTGACCTTTATCTCTGCCACAAGCACTGACATCATGCAGGCTGATGGTGGAGGCCAAAGGTTTGCATAGACGAAGGTTCAGGAACTGATCTTGACTAACGTAACACAGGCACTTCTGCTTCCCTAAACACCTTGGAATATAATTTGTCTTATTTAACATCTGATCAATCCTGTGCCTGAGTAATAATACAGATCATACCGCAGACAGTGCCATTGAGTGCACCATTACCACAGGATGAGTAATCTCATAACTTAAAATAAAGCTGTGAATTGTCTGGTGCTTTTGGCTAAGACACCCTATGTATTTTATGTAACCTCTTTATATTAATAATCTTAAAATTAAAGGACACATAAGTGCAAGGCTGTTGTGTATTTAAAATATATATAGGATAAAAACATGAAGCAAATTATGAAAACAAACTGTCTGCTGTTGGAAAAAAAGTTGTTTCTATGTTGCAAAAACGGATTTCAAAAGCTTTATCTCCAGTTGTTTTACACAACCAACAACAATCATTGTTTTACAGTTGATCTGCTACTCCCACCTAGTGGTGCAGGGGGTAACTGCAGATCTAGATAGACTCATATTTTAGGGGGCTGATTTTACAGTTTATTAAATTTTATTACATGTTTTTTTTTTTTTTTTTGCTGGTTTTATGGAGTTAAAATAACACTCCTGTTTTACTGCCAAAGCCCCCGATGGAAGTGACAAGGTATTCTCACAACAGACACTTCTACTTTGTAAGAAAACCTCCTGCACCTCTATCGAAATGAAGGCTCTGCTCTGTTGAACTGTTAAACCATGATTTTGTGACAGAGAGCAAGCGTGCACAACAAAAAGACCCCGAGAATGAAGCAGCTAAAAGTAATTCAGCTGTTGCTCTTTTTATAATTTCCATCTGTGCTGGTGTGACAAAATATTTACACTGCAAATGATGTATTAGTGCATAGACGGACATCTCCTTCCTGCTACTGCTCTAGAAATAAAAGATGACTTGGGTTACAAACTCTACCCGATGTAGATGATGGCATGTGGTACAAAACCCAGTTCAATTGAAGTTGGGAAATTGTGATAAACGTAAATAAAAATACAATACAGTGATTTGCAAATCCTTTTCAATCTGTATTCAACTGAATACACTACAAAGACAAGACATTTAAGGTTCAAACTCATCAACTTTTTCTTTTTTTTTTGTGCAAATAATAGTTAACTCAGAATTTCATGGCTGCAACACGTGCCAAAGTAGTTGGGACAGGGGCATGTTTACCACTGTGTTACATCAACTTTCCTTTTAACAACACTAATTGTTGAAGCTTTGAAGGTGGAATTCTTTCCCATTCTTGCTTGATGTACAGCTTCAGTTGTTCAACAGTCTGGGGTCTCCGTTGTCGTATTTTATGCTTCATAATGCGCCACACATTTTCAATGGGAGACAGGTCTGGACTGCAGTTAGGCCAGTCGAGTACCCGCACTCTTTTACTACGAAGCCACGCTGTTGTAACACGTGCAGAATGTGGCTTGGCATTGTCTTGCTGAAATAAGCAGGGGCGTCCACAAAAAAGACGTTGCTTGGATGGCTGCATATGTTGCTCCAAAACCTGTATGTACCTTTCAGCATTAATGTTGCCTTCACAGATGTATAAGTTACCCATGCCTTGGGCACTAATGCACCCCCATACCATCACAGATGCTGGCTTTTGAACTTTGCGTCTATAACAGTCCGGATGGCTCTTTTCCTCTTTGGCCCGGAGGACACGACATCCACTATTTCCAAAACAATTTAAAATGTGGACTCGTCAGACCACAGAACACTTTTCCACTTTGCATGAGTCCATCTTAGATGAGCTCGGGCCCAGAGAAGCCGGCGGCATTTCTGGATGTTGTTGATAAATGGCTTTCGCTTTGCATAGTAGAGTTTTAACTTGCACCTACAGATGTACCGACAAACTGTATTTACTGACAGTGGTTTTCTAAAGTGTTACTGAGCCCATGTGGTGATATCCTTTACACATTGATGTCGGTTTTAGATGCAGTGCTGCCTGAGGGATCGAAGGTCACGGGCATGCAATGTTGGTTTCTGGCCGTGCCGCTTATGTGCAGTGATTTCTCCAGATTTCCTGAACCTTTTGATGATATCATAGACCGTAGATGTTGAAATCCCTAAATTCTTTGCAATTGTACTTTGAGAAATGTTGTTCTTAAACGTTTTGACTACTTGCTCACGCAGTTGTTCACAAAGTGGTGAACCTTGCCCCATCCTTGCTCATGGCACCCATCTGTTCCCAATTAGATGTTCCAAATAGGTGTTTGATGAGCATTCCTCTCCGTATTTTTTGCCACCTTTCCCAACTTCTTTGTCACGTGTTGCTACCATGAAATTCTAAAGTTAATGATTATTTGCAAAAAAAACAATGAGTTTGAACATTAAATATCTTGTCTTTGTAGTGTATTCAATTGAATATGGGTTGAAAAGGATTTGCAAATTATTGTATTCTGTTTTTATTTGTGATTTACACATCTTCCCAAATTTTATTGGAACTGGGTTTTGTATATTTTTAAGAGTCCTTGACTCTAAAAAAAAGAGAATCTTGGATGTCACAACAGTGACCAATTGCAGTGGAATAATAATGTTGCAACAGAGAGGAGAGGAATCATCCGTGCCAAATGTATAACTTTGACTGCCTGTTTCAACAGATTGATTTGGGTGTTACAGAAAATCATTATCAAAATTGTTGATGGAAAAGGGGGGGATATCAAATAAATAGTACTTTTGCCCACTCCAAATTTATAAACCAAATCTTCTGTATTTTGGTTTTTAAACTCTTTAAAACTCCTGCCAGTGGGTTGTCAGGAGCCATGGTTGAGTTTTTGTATTGTATTCATGGTCGAACCTAATGTCTGTTGATTATTGTAACCTGGTGTTGAAAATGAAGCCAATGTAGAATTGCATCAAAAAGATGCAATTCTTGAGTGTCCACTAGAGGCTGCTTGCAAAAGCCAAGGAATTCAGATTAACACAGATGTTAAAATGCTTTTTTTTTTTTTGCAGAAATATTTAAACATATCTACTTCATAGAATAAACAACATAACTTTTGAGTCATACACACTTTTCAAGAAGTGATTTTTTTATTACGCAGTTGTTTTGAAGATAGTAAGACAATAATATCAAGACAGAGAAATATATTGAATTTTTTTGTTTATTTTTTTCTTTTTAATTTTTTTGCAGTTTCTTTTTTTGCATTTTTTTGCAAATTTTTTTCCTGCAAAATTTATTTTGCTGTTTTTTTTTTCTTTTTTTTTACTTAATGTAGGATGAAAGAAGAGCTGTCAAACAATAATATCAAGATAGAGAAATATACTTAATTCTTTATTTTATTTATTTATTTATTTTTGCAATTTTTTTTTTTTTCAAGTAAAGCAAGGAGTTGGGGTTTTTCAGTCCTGCCTCTGCCTCTCTTAATGGCAGGGATGATTGGGGGTCATCATGGCCCATTTTTGAACCTTCATAATGGACCGATATACTGTACGAAACAGACACAAGAAAAGAACTAGCTTGTGACTGCTTGTAGGCTGACTGAAGTAGCTCTCTGAGGGATGGTCAGACACTTTCAAAGATAATGTTCAAGATTGATTGTGAATCCCAAAACAACATGTGAGCTTTTATCTGTACAGGTTATTAATGACCCAAACACTTACACTTCCTGACTACCCATTTAGCAGTTTAGAGAAAAGCCGTCAAGCAATAACATTTATAAAAATAAATAAACTCATTAAGGAATTTTTTTTTTCCTTTGCAATTTTTTTGCAAAGTTTTTTTTGTGCTTTTTAATTCCTGCAAAGATATTTTTTTCAATTGTAATTTTTTTTGCTGACTGCACATTCAACAGTTGAGAGAAGAGCTGTCAAACAATAAAATCAAGACAATGAAATGTTCTAATTTTTTTGTTTATTTTATTCTTTGCAATTTATTTTGCAATTTTTTTTGCTTCTTAAATAAAGCAAGGAGCCAGGGTTTTTCAGTCCTGCCTTTGCCTCTTGTATTGGGGGCTGGTCTTGGAGTCGTGGCCTTTTTGAACCTTCATGATGGTCTTCTGTTGATTCTTGTTTTTTTTTTCAAGTCAAAAAACCAACCCTCCTCCTTTCTCCGGGCTTGGGACCGGCAAAATGACCCAATTGAGACCATTTGGCGGAGTTACTGAGGTTTTGTTGTTGTTGTTGTTTTGGGTGAGGGTGTTTGATTTTTTTTTTTTTTTTTTTTTTAATTTTTCCAATTTTTCCAATTTTTTTTTTTTCAGTGAGGCAAGAAGCCAGAGATTTTCAATCCTGGCTCTGCCTCTGCCCCATTAAAGATGAGCTAGCTGGACCTTTTCGAGTTAAAGATGGACTTAAAATCAACTCCCAAACCTACTGCCAGTTTTTAGAAGACACTTTCTTCAAGCAGTGGTACAGGAAAAAGTCTGCATCTTTCAAGAAACCATGATTTTTATGCAGGACAATGCTCGATTGTATGCAACGAAGTACTCCACTATGTGGCTCGCCAGTAAAGGCCTTAAAAACAAAAGAATAATGACGTGGCCTCCTTCCTCACCTGACCTAAACCCTATTGAGAACTTGTGGGCCCTTCTTAAACGGGAAATTTACAGTGATGGAGAACAGTACACCTCTCTGAACAGTGTCTGGAAGGCTTTGGTTGCTGCAACACAAAAAGTTGATTGTCAACAGATCAAGAAACTGACAGACTCCATGAATGGAAGGCTTATGACTCTTTTTGAAAAGAAGGGTGGCTATATTGGTCACTATTCTTTTTTGCATTTCAACAATTTGTAAATTGAGTTGTTTGTTTATCATTCTCACTTTAACAAGTGAAAATAAACAAGTGAGATGGATTTTTTTTCATTTTTAATTTAGTTGCATAATAATTCACAATTATAATAATAATTGTGAGCTAATTCTGAAGAGTATCTGAAAAATGTCAGAAAACACAAGAGAATTAGGCCGTAAATAAATCAAAGTGCCTTTGAGTGTGGCACAGAGGAGAGTTGTGTGCTATAGTGTGTACTCTGTATCCCAGCATCCACCGCGGCCCCACCCCTGGTTATCTCCCTGACGGTCAGAGCAGAGGGGAGGCCTCTTCGTCTAGCTACCCTCAAAACTTGAGCACTGCTTACTGTGTACTGTGGTAAGTTAAAGAGTAAATCATGCATATTTCGAGTGAGATGTTAAAAACTGAAAGCTTGTGTGTTTTGGTGTAAAACCAGCGGCCGTTACTTCAGGTTAGCCCCGTTTCTGCTCGTCTCGGGCGGCTTGCATGAAGCCGCTTCGCTAGCTCTGTTCTCTGATGTCCGGCTGAAAAAACCCTCTAATGTGGGACTTTGTAGTTTCCAGCGTCAAACAGACGACAAAAGAGTCAAATACATTGCCGAAGCCGGGAAACATGAGGTAACTGGAGAGTTTTAGTGTCAGCATGGAGATGTTATTAAAGTATCAAAGTCATCTGAGCCGCTCGGCTAACATTAACTAACTTCGCATGTCAGAAACTGTCCCCTTTTCTAGCCTAAGTTAGCTGACCTGAGGTGATGAAGACAGATTATTTTATGTTGTGTTCAAAGTTATTAAGTAAAAGCACGGATTTTAACCTCTTCAAATTGAAGGTATAGTTTTGTCCCATCCTGTTTTGACAGCTCAGTGTGACTTGTTTCTCTTTCATGTGTATCACCATGTCCTGTAATCGGCTTTGAGTTATTTCTGTCCGTGCTCAGAGACACTGAGTGAGTTTTGTGGTTAGCTAAGGTAACATTGTGGAGGACCTTTGGTGCACAACCATCTAAGCAGAAGTGCTGGAGCTTAAACTCGTGGTATTTGTTATGTTAAAGCTTTGGAAAGTTCCATTACCTGTCATGCTTCATCTGTGAAATATCATCAGCAACTACGTTTTTGCAAATATTGTCACCAAAATGGATGGAAAACAAACTAGGGATGCAAAAAAGCAGTGAGCCTAGAGTATGATTGTAACTGCATGGCTTTGTTTTTGTGACTTACATTACGGTTTCAATATTCTACCTAAATCTCGTTATAGCTGAGAATCTAAACTGTCCACACAGAACATCATTGGGTAACAAGGACTCCAAAATCAGAGCTTTTCAGTCCATCCAAAAGCTTGAAGTCTGAGTTTTACCAGGTCAAGACCATAGGCTGTATGACAGTCCCAACCAGGTTAGCATTGCCAAGTAAGTTGGCATGGTTGTCTTGCCATGTCAGCTTCCAGCCAGCTGTGCTGCTAATAGATGTCTTGTTCAAAAGATCACCCAGCCTCTTATTTAGATTTTTTTGGAGGGCATTTGCACTAATGCAAACCGTGACACTGAGTGCTTCCAGTGCTAAATGCTGCTTGTGCTGTGTGTCTCCACCTTTCACGACATCCTGTATATTTTGTGTATACTGATTGGACTGAGTCTGTGTGACTGTTTGTTCTAACTATGTATTGCTGCCATTCTTGGTCAGGTCTCCCTTGCAAATAAGATCCTCAGTTCTCAATGGGACAAACCTGGTTAAATAAAGGTTAAATAACATTAAAAAAAAATTGGATATTTACTCACATGGTAGTTGAGTGTGAAGAATGAAATAAAAGTTCTACTTACAAGTGCGTATTTAACCAGGCGGTTGAGAAACAAACTCAAAACTGACACTGGTCTCTCTTTGTGAGTTAGAATAGCATGAAAGACAATAATAAGCCGCATGATTTTCCATCTCTACAACACTCTTTTTACATTATCTGCAAGAAATATTTGGGGTGAATGATATAATTGACTGTTTAAAGAAAACAGGATGACTCCTTATCAGAAAAAAAAAGAAATTATAATAATGGAAAAGATTTGTTCTGTCTGTTAAGAAAACTTAAGTGTTTGCTGCCATTGCCCATTCCTGTGTTTGTTGATGCTTTTGCTCTTGTTATATAAGTTTTCATCATTGTACAGCAAGACCAGATCTCAAGAAAACATCCAAAATGTTCTCAACAAAACTGGGAAACACTCACACAAAATGTATGGATGTGTGTCTACTTAGAACTTCTATAACTTCAGACAACTGTCAAAATAATTCTTCGATCCAAAGAGAAAATAATCAGTTCAGTCTATTGTTTTTGTTTTTGTAAGTATCTTGTTGCAGCCTCTGTAAATTCCCTTGCGCTGCTTTCTGTTTTAGGCTTTCTGAAGTTCGCCATGGAGCCATCAGGAAGTACTAAAATATCTTCATCAAGCAACCACACCCAAAACTCAACAGGTGTCGGTGGATGCCCATGGGAGGTCACTGACAAGGCCAGACTGTGCCGCTTCCTCTGCTACGGCTCAGAGGGAGACATATACACAGCCAGGGAGGAGGGGCAGCTCAACATGGAGAGCTCAGCAGCTCTTCTCTCTTTGCTGCAGGAGGGACGAGGCGCTGAGGTGGTGGAGGAGATAAAAAGGTTCAGTCAGGATGGACGTGTTGTTAGACTTGGCCCCTCGTTTTTTGCCTTGGCTTTGTGCTCCCAGCACTCGGAGCTGAAGACGAGGCAGGCAGCGTTCAAAGCTGTAAAGGAAGTTTGTCGGGACCCTGCCCACCTGTTCTCTTTCATACAGAACAAGAAAGAATTGAAGGAGGGTATGAAGTGTGGGATTTGGGGACGTGCCCTGAGAAAAGCCGTGTCTGACTGGTACAATGAACAGGATGCCATGAGTCTGGCTGCGGCTGTGACCAAATGTAAACAAAGGGAGGGATGGACGCACCAGGATCTGCTCAGGCTCTCTCACACCAAACCGGCCAATGAAGGTGAGCTGACACAATATTAGCCATGTTATGCACTGCTTTTTAAAGGGGAGTGGCTCAGATATTGTACAAATTACACTGTTTATTTATTATTTATAATGATATTTTTCTTCTTACGCTGCATACAGTGTTCGTGCCTGTGGGTCACAGACACAGGCAACCACAACTGCAAAAATAAAGTTTAACTCTAACTTGGTGAATGTAAAAGCCTTAATGAGTCTTACCAAGGACCAGACAGACACAGTTTGTATGATGTGAATGAAAAAGCAGAAAAAATCTTCAATCTCAGAGATAAAATAGTGAGAACACAAACTCTAAGGCTGAAAAAATGTGGTTGCTTAATGCATGAATATGTTCTTCCACCAATTTAGTATTGATTCAAATATCAGTTTTTCTGTTATAATGAAGCTTTGTGTGCAGTTTTTATGATGCTGAACCATGATTTCTGTTGTACAATACCCCTCTTAATAAATACAACTGTTGTTTTGTCAGTTAGGACGGAGATGCACCAAATCTATCGAGTTGCAGTCTGAGAAGTGCCACCAAACTCTATATGACTCTATAATTACTGATATGCCAGCTGTTATTTCTCAAGAACATGACACTAGTAAACTACAACTACTTATGTGTGACGGTTGTGCCTCTATGTTCACAGCAATTGCCCTGATCAGCAAATATGTAACAAAAGGATGGAAAGAAGTCCAGGCGGCGTACGCTGACAAAGAGAACTCTGAGGAGGTTGTCAAAGTGCTTTCATATCTGGAAGTGGTGGAGAAGGTGAAGCACAGTAGTGATGAAACAGAGGTCATCAGTCTAATAGAGGAACACAAACTGGAGAGGGAGCAGCTGCTGACAGACCACCTCAAGTCCAAACAGGTGAGTGTTCGCAGAGCCTTCCAGATACACCCATCAGCCTTCACATTATGACCATTTACATGTGAAGTGAATATCATAGGTTGTCTCGTTATAGTCACCGTTGTCAGTGAGTGAGATAAGTGAGGCTGAAAGTGAACATGTTGTCCTTGGAGTTGATGTGTTTGATGCAGGGAAAGTGGGCAAGCATGAGGATGTGAGTCAGTCTGGTGCCTGGACAGCTGGGTCAGAGCTTTTGTGCATTATTATTATCCTGCAGTAGTTGGTGCATAAGTGACAGTGACAGTATTCTATTATGGTGTTTGAAAATCTGAAGGGATCACACATGGAGAGTCATGTTTCTTCCCTTTGACCCCCCTCTCTTTTTAAAACCAGCCTGTGATGCTCAGACACAACTTACAGTGGTGTGAAAATGTGTTAGCCCCCTTCCTGATTTCTTATTTTTTTGCATGTTTGTCACACTTAAATGTTTCAGATCATCAAACAAATTTAAATGTTTGTCAAAGACAACACAAGTGAACACAAAATGCAGTTTTTAAATGAAGGTTTTATTATTGAGGGAGAAAAATCCAAGAGACTCCGTAAGAGACTCATTGGAAGTTATTGTAAATGCTTGATTGCAGTTGTTGCTGCTAAGGGTGGCCCAACCAGTTATTAGGTTTAGGGGGCAATCACTTTTTCACACAGGGCCATGTAGGTTTGGATTTTTTTTTTCTCCTTTTAATAATGAAAACCTTCATTTAAAAACTGCATTTTGTGTTCGCTTGTGTTGGGTCAAGGGTTAAAATTTGCTCCAAACCATCAGCTGGTTGAACACTTTTTATAACCGTACATTATTTCGTGCAAGCAGAAGATACGAAGTTTAATGCAGACCTGAAAAATGAGGGGAAAATCTTGAAAAGGTTTTGAGCTAATACTTTGCACAGTTTTGGCGGGGCAGCAGTAGCTCAGGTGGGAGAGCTATCATCCAATTACTGAAAGTTTTGGCGGTTTGATTCCCCTCTATCCCTAGTATGTCCATTGTGTCCTTGGGCAAGACACTTCACCCACCTTGCTCCCAGTGTGTGTCCTCCACTGGTGTATGATTGTGAGTGTTGTGTGGTGGTGGTCGGAGAGGCCGTAGGCGCAAACTGGCAGCCATGTTTCTGTCAGTCTGCCCCAGGGCAGCTGTGACCACTAAGGTAGTTTACCACCACCAGGGTGTGACTGTGTGAGTGAATGAATGATGTATCCATTGTAAAGCACTTAGAGGGTTCCTGATAAAGCGCTATATAAAATCTGATGCATTATTATTAAAAAGATATGTGTTGTATTTTTCAGGTATGGAGGGCTTTGTTGAAGGAAATGCCTCTCCAATCACTGCTCAGGATCTTGGGTAAGATGACATCAAAAAAAGTACTTGAGCCAGGGAGTTCAGAAACACAAGCTGTCTGTGAAAGAATCCAGAGTGAGACAGTACTAAAGAAGGTACAAACCTTGAAAAGATTCAACGCATATTCACAAGGTTTTTTTTTTTTTTTGGTCAAATATTGATTTTATCTGTGTTTCTTTTTAAACAGGCACAAATCCATCCTTTCAGTATTCTGTTGGCCATGGAAAACTATAAAAGAGGCCAAGGCTATCAGGGTAAAACAAAGTGGGAACCAGACAGCAGCATCCTCAAAGCAATGGACTCTGCTTTTTACAAAAGTTTTATGGTAGGCTATGTTTTACATTTTACTTTGACAGCATTTTAAACCACCTGAGAAGTTGCTCATCTGTAACAGCATTAACACTAAACATTCCGGTTATATTGTCTTCAGAACGTGGAGCCTGTTGGTAAGCGCTTTGTTGTGGCCGTTGATGTGAGCACATCACTGAGCAGCATCGTCCCAGGGACATCAATCAGCACGGCTGTTGCTGCTGCAGCTATTACTATGGTAAGACCACACGATAGATGGGTTTCCACTCTGTGGGTAATGATTGCTCTGACTGGAGTGGAATTCCCTCATAAAGAGGAATAATCAGGAAGACTAACAATGACTGTTTATGTTTTGAAACAGCTTTTCTAATGACTTTGGTTTCTTGTGCAGATTTTTGCAAGGACAGAGGCAGACACAGATGTGCTGGCTTATTCTGAAGGAGCTGTGGTCCCATGCTCCATCACTGCTGACATGACTCTGTCAGAGGCAACAGTTGAGCTGGTGAAGGTAAGGCATGTTTAGACATCAAAAATGATTACTCTGTTACACTTTCTGTGCTACTGCAATCAAGTAATTTTACCAACTGTTTAACAAGCAAAGGGCAGTCTAATAATAAGCCAGCATTGTTTTTTGCACCATTCTCCCTGAATTCCCTTCAAAACTGTTTTTTAACTTTTTATCTTTCTCCTCATCTCAGATCCCAAGTGGGAGCACAGACTGCACTCTTCCCATCGCGTGGGCTACAGAGAACGAGAAAGCAGTCGATGTTTTCATCATTCTAACCAACAACCCACTATGGATGTTTGCTGCTAGCCCTGTGGATACTTTAAAGAAACATAGACAAGTACGTTAGAAAAGGACACAATCATTATTCCGTGAATATATGACCTAGACTGCTATTGATAACTAAGAAACATTTGTCTATCTTGGTGCTGAGTCCGAAAACTGTAAATGGTATGTTTTGGGTTTCAACACACTCAGCCACTCCCTTTAGTAATTTCTCTTTTCTCTTGAATGACAGAGGAATTAATGGACAATTTAAAAACAAAAATTATGAGAAACCATACACAAAACAATTTATGAATATTTATTTATTTATTTTTACAGAAATCAGGAGCCAATTCGAAGCTGTTGATGTGCGGGCTGACTTCCATTGGACATGCCATCGCTGACACGGAAGACAGGGGTTTACTGAGCATCTGTGGTTTCGACCTTGGAGCTCTGAGCGTCATTCGTAATCTAGCCCAGGATCTGTTCTGACAAAGCATAGGGACTGTCTCTGAGTTATGACTGTAGAGTTCAAAAACAAAGGCACAAAGTGGACCAAGGTGGCTCACTAAGCATGTAGAGTGCCCTAAAACAGCACTAATCCAAAAGATGTTGACATTTACAATTGCAGTTCTCCTTTTGTATTATGTGGCTTACAGGTCAATTGACGAAGTGTCCAGCGGGCTGGGCAACACACTGGAGAACTGATGTGCTTTTATTTTATTCTGAAACATGAAAGGAGGTTCATGGACATGATATGTAGGTGTATGTCAGGCTGTCAGGTGTTTAAGTGCAAACAGCTCCCTGTATGATGGACTGTTAAATGCTCTGATGGTTTGTGGTGAGACACAACTCTTTTTGACAATAAATTCCTCTCATTAAAAAAAAAAAATGCTGGCAAACGAAACAAGAGGAACAATGCAAGAGTCTGAATGTTAGCGGTGAGAGCAACTGTAGGTTTATTTTAAGGAGAATTATGGTAGTTCCTAATATGTGTACAAGATATGACTTTAGCAGGTTTGATGTGATGGTAGAAGTATTTTCCATTTGAAAGCCTGTCCCTTTCGTATGTAGCATTTTATGATAAAGGGTTTAACAGACATACTGTAAAGAGAAAACGAAATGAAGCACCAAAAGCAGAGAAACTGCAATGTATTCTACCGTCTTTAAAATCACATTTGTTGATTCATTTGATCACAAATATTTTTGTATTATTTTTAATGTTTCCAAATTCACTTGCTGGAGTCTTGCCTTTAATCAAGATCCAATTTTTAGCTGTTGTGTTAACATTCCCCCCTTAAAGCCAAATTTATTTTAAATGTCTGTTCTGCTCTTGTCGAACTTCCTCTGTAAGAGAAAATGCCCTTGGTGCTCTTAAATGTCACTATATGTTTTTTGTTGGAATATTTGGGATATTTTTGAAGTTTGTTAGTCAGTTTACTGTAACTTGGAGAAATAGATTGGTTGTCATATTTAGCCGGATTTTTTTGCGTTACATTAGTATTTCACTGTATTATAATGTCCTGGAAGGAGCAAAATTTAGCTATCTATTTAATAACTGTTTACCAGGACAAAGACTGTCAGTAATGTTTCCGTTTTATGTGAGAATGTTCATTATGCAAAAACTAACCGTAATTTGCCACCTTCCCAGATTGAATGGATTGAATGTACTTTTTATTTTACTGTGTCGCGATTTAAGTTAGAATGCTTTATTTCCTCAGACACAGATTAGACATGGTGCATACAAAGTTAAGGGGCCAATTTTGTGGAAAGGCAAATAAACGCAACAGTGATGCTTCTTGTTTTAGTCCAAAGCATTCTCTAATCAATCATTCTGGTCTAGTTCACTTCTTACGAAGACAGATTTCTGACCATATAACTGTGAAGAAGTTTTCCTTTTTTCATTCATGCAGATACTGTCACATTCAGTGTTAAGACAATGTCCGTTATCTCTTTGTTGAAGGTCAAAACGCTATAATAATTGTATAAAATATTCATTTGTTGAAAGTCTGGCACGAAAGGTAGTAATTATGAAGTATGGTAGTTCACAAGTGTTTTACCACCATGATTAACTTCTTTTCCCTTATCTTGCCCGCTGTATCCACTTGTTTAACATCCAAGTACTTGACTGTAGTGGCAATGTAAACCCTCAATAAACACTTTGCTGCTTTTTGAATAGTACTGCCTGCTGCATATGATGCTTGCTGGAGTTTGTATTACTGTCTTCTGGTTGAGTTTCCTACTGTGACTAAAATGTCCATTTTGTGGAAGTGTTTTTTTTTTTTTTTTTTTTTTGGGGGGGGGGGGGGGGGGATATGCCCAAAACAATATGTCATCTTTAAAGAGAACGTGAGCACAGTACAGTACTCTGTGTCGCCTGGGAGTGTACCATGTGATTTATAGAAATAGGAGCAGAAAAGACAGCTACTTTAGGAATGCTTTTCTGTCAATGCTTCATGATTTAATAGATTTTTTTTATAAGTACAGCAGAGGAAAGAAGTTGGACAATCTAAAAATGTGTAATTGTGCATCTGGAATTTACAAAAAGAACGGGGTCTATTAAGATAATTTTGCAAGTAAATGAAATAATATACAAAATAATAATAATAATAACAAAAACAATAATTAGTTAAGGGAGTATTGTAGTCTTTGTGGTAAAATTAACAAGTTCATGCTGAACTTGTAAGGGACGTCCAGTTCCGAAACAAGTGAGAGGTCTTGACAAAAAACTCAGCTGGGGTCACCGGGTGGGGAAGGCAGCCTCCCCTGACAGTGAAGTGCCAGAAGGGAGAAATAAACTGTTTCTGCTTCAAGCTGAGTATGTTTGCAAATTATTTCACCAGACCTAGCAGACGTGTGAATAATGTAGCAACTATAAACCAAGATATTCCCGCGACCAATACGAATAAAAGCGATATACCACAATAAAAGTTCCGATCGGATCAGGCGACCGGCGGGGCTGCTTCGTGTTGATATGTAGGGGCCTTCCTACACAGCACATCAAGACGAGTGAAGATGGCGGATGTGTTGAGTGTTCTCCGTCAGTATAACATACAGAAAAAAGAAATCGTCGCTAAAGGAGATGAAGTTATATTTGGGGAGTTTTCCTGGCCGAAAAATGTCAAGACCAACTACATAATTTGGGGGTAGGTTTGTGCTAAACTATCCTTAAAACGCTCCTGTAGGCCCCCCGCTGGAGCCCATCGGTACCTTGTGTTGCTCGTTAGCTGCTAAGATGCTAACCCTACTACTCCGTGTTTGTTTGCGAAATGTCAAGCATTCTTTCGTCCAAAGATTGGAGTATGACTTAAATATAGTGCCCTGAACAATGGAGTGTCTTTTTAAACTTTAATACTTTTCTCTCATCGTATTTCAGAACTTTGAAACTGTACATTAGAAATGCAGCTGAACTTACAACAGTTGTACGGTGCTAAGTTGTTAACGGCGTTAGCTTCTGTTTGAAGCTGTGACCCAATGGAGTCATCTTAAAGTGGAGCGACTTTTGCTTCAGTTTATCTAAAATAACTCATTCAAGCAGCTCTTTTTACTCTGCTAAAATTGAACTTCACAACTGGAGTGAAAGTATCAAATGTAACTGTGTTTATTAGATATAACAGAATAAAAAACATTGATTAACTACCTGCAAAAGTCACTATATCTGTGTCATACGAAGAGGTTAAAGACGCTTCGGGTGATTTTTAAAACGGATCTTCTTTACCTGTTTGTTCTACAGTACTGGGAAAGAGGGCCAGCCCAAGGAGTACTACACTTTGGACTCTATTCTGTTCTTGCTTAACAATGTGCATCTCCCGCATCCATCCTATGTGCGAAGAGCTGCAGTAAGTATCCAGGATTATCTGTCAAAGTGCTGTAACTTGTCCGTGTGTTCATTTCACTTCATTTCGAGATACAATTCATACTGACCAGCTGCAGCATTGTGAATGCCAGAGCAATGTGATTTAAACCCTATCAAACAGCTCTGTCAGAAACTGTACCTTCAGGAAGTTTCAGAATTTTTTGTTTTTGATGGTACGATCAGACTTGTGGTAAATGCACTTGAGATTTATGAATGAAGATGTAGATGGTGGAGACAATTATCCAGAGTGTAATATAGAACCTTTTTCTGTTTTGTTTTGGTTTATATCAACACTTGACCTGGTTAAATCTTCCAAGATAAAGCACTTGAGTACACCACCAACACTCACTACAACTTCACAGATTGATTTTAAGTACAGTTAGCACCTGTCTGACTGCATCGTCAAAAACTAATAATACAAAAACTTTGTTGTAAAAGCAGTATTTGTGGCAGAGCTGTAGTATTGGATTGTGTCATATCCCTGGGTGTTCACAATGTAGTGGCTGTTAGGTGTATTTTTTAGGATAGTTTTATTCCTAAAAAGCTCTCAAGGTGTTTCTGACTCAGCTGTTGTTGATTGCAGACAGAGAACATCCCTGTTGTCAGACGACCTGATCGAAAAGGCTTGCTTTCATATCTCAATGGAGAAAGTTGTAAGTAATACCCTGGAGACCTATTATTTTGTGGTATATTTGACCTTGATTAAGCGCAGTAAGTTTAGGATTTACATGTCCATGCTTATTATATTGGAGAGTATTTAACAATAAAGTTAGAAACTTAACTTTGAAAAGCTCAGTTTTGTTGATCTGAATTTTAGTTTTCTAATTTTGTTTTTTCACAGCTACATCGACAAGTATCGACAGAAGTGCACCTATAGAAATAGGTTTGCAAAGGCCAACGCAAGGTAAGTCCATGCTGTGCATCTTACATGAAGGTTTAACAGGTTATATTGAAATAGTTATTGTTTTTTTGTTGTTGTTGTTGTTTTGTTTGTTTGTTTTTTAGCATTTCACATTGTTAATAAAAACTGTGGTTACATGTTAATACATTGTATGGTGCTGTTATCTAGAAAAAGTTATATAAACGGTGGTTTCTCTCTCAGCAAAGTTTGCACAAAACCAAAAGTTAACTGAGTGAAATAACAAACTCCTGCTTTTTCAGTAAAAAGAGCAGCTGATGAAGTTTCCTCAGAAGCAAAAAAGCCACGGATTGAGGTAAACTGGTGTGATTCTCTTCCCGACACAGTCTCTTGTGGAACTTATTTCTTGTTGACTACAGTTCTCTTGCATTTGCTCCCTCATCTCTATTTTACAAGCCGTACCAGTTACAGAAACTGTTACTTTTCCAGAGACAGACATTTATTTGTTTATTTTTTATTTTTTTTTTAGGTAGACAGTAATTACAATCAACAAATCATATGAATAAAAAGCAGAGAGAGAGAGTGTTGACCTCATTTAAGCTGAACTCAATTAAAATAATTGAAATGGTGTCAAAACAAAAATGTTTTGTTTCCTTCTCAAGATGGTTGGTGAATTTGATTAATAATGACCCAACAGATATTTTTCTACTGTACAATGTTCAGTAATCCAATTTGTTTTTATAGTGAAAAATAAAATGCATTTTGTTGTAGTTTCAAAACATCAAGAAACAGGAACAGAAAAACTTTGCGACCAGCTTGCCTACATGCAAGGTGAAACCAACAGTGATTAAAGAGAGCATTAAATAGTTTCTATTTTTAGTTCCAACACTACCCCTAAGTGCAGAAGTATTTAACCAATGGTGGAAGCAGCTGACTGGCTTTAAAGTTGGATAAAGACAAGGGTCAATGAATAGGACCAGGAATGGCTGGAGTCAAACATACACTTGGAAATGGACTGTGTTTATCCAAAGTTCATGTTACAAAACACCAAATGATTGGAGAGTACAGTAGAGGAAACATTACTGTCCCAGATGGGCAGTTTTCTTCACAGATAGATGTGAAACACAAATGCATGCTATGCAATTATAACATGTCTATCATTCTATCAGCCCTAGTCCTGGAAGAAAGGAATAAAATAGAATTAAAAGAACTAAAGTAGATCAAACCAAAGACAACCTTTATCTACAGTGCTACATGTAGGATGACCTTGAAGGCCTAGATTCTACTCAGCATGTAAAGACCGAGGTAGAGAAAACTAGTTAGCATTTTCACTCAAACTTAATAAAATCATCATTTACCTAGGAAGTAACAGACAGAAAAACTGTAGTTGTACTTAATCAAGTGTTTCTTGTTTGTCATCTCAAGGATGAAGAGCGAGTGCGTCTGGATAAGGAGCGTCTGGCTGCCCGTCTGGAGGGCCACAAGGAGGGAATTGTACAGACTGACCAGATCAGGTGGGATTTAATTAACCCTGATAAATAACACACTGCAGGTAGTGGTGACCTGTGCATTATGCTTGTACATAGTGCAGTTGTGGCTTTAATTGAAATACTATGACAGTGTCATTTGTGTCTGCACAGGTTTACTGCATTAGCACTAATAAAATACATCCATTTTTTTTTTTCAATCTCTGTATTCTGCGTCCTTTAGACTGACTCTTAATCAATTGGATTACTTTTTCATACAAATTCATGCAGTGTCAGGAATATGCAGATTTAGATAAGATTTCATGAGTATTTTTTTTTTTCTGCAACTGAAAACTCATCTGTCCCTGTGGATATGCACTAAGGAGTAAATTCTGCCAGAGTTCACAGATTCCACCCCATTTTGTATGTTTTAAAGTTTATAATGTTAAATGTAAATAAAATGAAATTCAGCATTTACACTCTGTTTATCTGGTCATACTAGGCTAGACTCAGATGTAACCAAGTCTGTAACTAACACAAACAAACAAAGATGAGCTTCTGAACAGTTTCTGCTTTAGATGTTTTTTCATGCACCACTGTCTTTCTATATTATAGGAAGTATTTCCCACCTGAGCTGATAGCAGATCACATCAGAAACAGCTGTTGTTGAATATAAACTCTGTTATGATCATAGAATCATGCTGTTAAATATTGCATTTGACATAAATATCAGTCATTTAAAAAAAAATCTATAATGTAATTTCTCTATTTTTGAAAATGATTTAAACCCTATCCCAAACATGTGACTGCCAAGTTTGTCATGTATGTTAGATTGTATTGCACATGAAACAATGGAGTTGTACTTATTCCTCATTTGTTATTAAATTTTATTTTACATCTTCCTTCTTAGATCTCTGTCTGAAGCCATGTCGGTGGAGAAGATTGCAGCCATCAAAGCCAAGATTATGGCCAAGAAACGTTCCACCATCAAAACAGATCTGGATGATGACATCACCCTGAAGCAGAGAAGTTTTGTGGATGCTGAGGTGGATGTCACCAGAGACATTGTCAGCAGAGAGAGGGTGTGGAGAACCAGGACAACCATTCTGCAGAGCACTGGGAAGGTCAGAATCCATCTGATTAGGCTATTTGGTAAAATATTGGCTTGTCAGATCAAGATGATATTTAATCTGTTGCACTTGTCCCACTGTTTCGAATCTTGTTAAATTCTACCTTACTGTTCATACCAAAGTTTATTGTATTGAACCAAATCTGAGGAGCATTCAGGGAATAAATGGCCCCTGGGTAAGGAGGTGTCTAAACCACCAGGTGGCAGCAGAATTCCATCTGTTTTCAACTTGTGCTCAATTAATTAGGTTTTAGTGCACATTATGCTTGTACATTTCAAAGCTATCATTAATTGGTTATTATAGAGTATTTTATTTCTGGCACAGTTTTAATAACATCTCAAATTAAAGTCAAACAGAAAGTTTATTAATACATATCCACTAGTGGTGCAATGGATCACAACACTCACGGATCGGATCGTTCCTCGGATCAAGAGTCACGGATCGGATCATTTTTCAGATCAGCAAAAAGCAGTTTTGTCTGTATATTAAACACTTAAATGGTTGAATTAAAATATATAAAAGTAGTGCATACGGCATAATATCTTCTTTTCAACATAATTATTAATGAAAAACAACTTAAAGTGCAATATATAGGCATATCTCCTTCCTTTAAAATGTAACAATGAACCAAAAATGAAGTATGTGCGCGGTGGGATATTGTAACGTGGCTCAAGCACTTTCAGCATGTTTTTAAAGCCCTCGTTTGCACAACTGAATATGGCCTCATGTCTGTAGCTATAAACACACCGATAGCGTTTGTGATAGCTTTAACCCGGTCGGATTGCGCAGGAAGAGGCTGCTTAAATGCTGCGGTGATGAGCGGTTGCTGGCCAGCTTTCGTTTTATCTCAGGTGTTGTGACATAGAATGCACCCCTGCCGTAGAATGCACCCCCTGACGGGAGCGCGGTTTAAAGTACATAACGAGGCGAAATAATCCAAGTTTTTCTTACATTGGATGGATTCAAAAGCGTTTGCCTGTAATAATTTCATTCAGGCTATTCAAAGAAGCCAAAAACAACAGCCCTTGGAATATTGCTGTCCCGAAAATATAATGCTCTCTACCTGGACAGCTTTCTGTACAGTTTATACCCAAGTACACCTCTATATTTGCATTTTTGAGACACATAAAAAGAAAATGAAAGTTTGCTGCTCCATTTGACATGTTGTCATGATCTAATACTCGTGTTTCTTTAAATATGAGATCATTATCTCCACTTTAAGAAGCTAACGAGTGGAGGGGATGCAGGGGTGTGTTCTACGGCAGGGGTGCAGTCTACGGCACAACACCTGTCATTAAAACACCCGGGTGATGTCGCTTTCAAATGCGTGAACATGCTCGATGTGTTTCCACTGTCATATGGCTTTCTTATGCCACAGTGCCTACACACCTTCGCAGTTTTGTCCACTGACCTCTTTCCTTCCTCATCATAGTTGACAGGGAAGCCAAATTTTTTTTTTCAGAAATCGAACCGCGGGTAACGTGTGTGCCGAACCGATGACGTCGATCCGAACGGATCACGGATCAATGATGATCCGTTGCACCACTAATATCCACAGACCTTCCCACAAAGATGATTGTGCTCCTGTGGCATAAAGGGTCATGTGCTATTTGATGTCCTCAAATATTACTTTCTTGTTTTATTCATAAATAATTTCATTCTCAGAACAGCATGTGACTTATTTGTGTCGAGGAAGTTTTATGTCAGTGATGTCCGCCACTGATCAACCAATACCGAAGTGGTATTAAATAATGTCTGCACTACTCATTTGAGCTTACAGTCAAGTATTGGAGGAGTGCAACAGCCCACAAAGCACCCAGTTTAGGTCGAATCACGTATTTGAAGCTCTTGTTTTTGTCTGGCAACTAATAAATGAATGAAAATATAATACTAATATTGCCTCTTTACTGCTCACATAGTCATGACTGTAACCATGAATTTCTATTCATAACAAATCACAATGCTTAATAATGTCTCACAACTTCAAATTCCTACAATAAAATAAAAATACAATAAAAAGTCCATTAATCAACACAAGCAAACCCGGGGTCCTATTTTTTTGTATTGAAAAATGTATTTTTGTATTTTATTTCATTCATTTTCAATACATCTGTAAAGAATAAAACATTGAACATATGGGTAGACAAAGCAGTAGACTGTTAAAAGCTCTATCAATTACCAAGTCTCTCAGTGTTGTTGCTGCCAGTCTTCGTATTTACTGACTGAGACAATCCCTTCTCTGTACAGCAGTGTTGAACTCATTATACTCCACTCTGTGTTGCTTCCCTGCAGAACTTTTCCAAGAATATCTTCGCCATCCTTCAGTCAGTGAAAGCCAGGGAAGAAGGACGAGCACCGGAGCAGAGACCAACACAGAACACAACTCAAACAGTAAGAGAAGCCTCCAAGTTATTACCATTATTGTTATTATTATTTTTAAATTTGGTGTTTTCTCCATATTTTTGTTGAATTTCAAAATCAGCCAGGCAACAGTGACGGCTGTTCAGTAGAGTAGCAAAACTTGGGTAGACCTTTTCATCTTTACAAGTCCTTCCACTTGGTCTTTTTAAATAATCAAGCTTGAAATCATCAGGTGAGCTGGGAAGGGTCAGCAGTTGTTCAGTTGTGGGAAATCTGTAAATAATGTGTGAGGTTTGGTTGTATGGTGTACTGACATATTTGGACAGGAATGATTTATTTGGTCGTTATGTGGTTTTGTAGGACCCGTCCTTAAGGAACAAGCAGCCTGTCCAAGCTGCTTACAACAGATACGATCAGGAGCGATTCAAAGGAAAAGAAGGTAAGTTTTCCTCTGGCATCATTAGCATGACATCATAGGCAGGGGTGATGTTTCCAAATTTATACTCAATTCTTGATTTTTGAACTGTCAATCAGATGTAGACTTAAAGACATCTGAATAAAGGAAGGAAGTAAGCTGCACAGTGAAAGCTCAAACACACACTCAGACATAAACACCCCTCCCCCCATTCCACCCTGCTGGCTGTAAGGTTATACATTATCACTCAGCACTTTACATGATGCATATACAGTATATATATATTTTTTGACGAATCAGACTTCTCTCCTTGTCTGCGTATACATGCAGCTAAGAAATATGTATTATTGACGTAAACGTGTCCTCCCCAAAACTAGGAGGCAATATGGGTCTTTTCAGCAGCGCTGTTTCTAGACCTTTTTTGAAGATGTCCCCTTCCTCTTTTTGCGACCGTCCATATACTTTAAAATGTCCATTTCTGTCAGGATGGAAAGCATAATGGCACTCTCCTCGTCATTCCAAAAGTGGACATTCTTTCGAGCTTAAGCCATGTTGTAGTTGCTTCTAAGTCGAAAGTTTTTTAAATGATAGCGCCACTTCTTCTCTGGTGTTTTTGTTCCGGGGTCATGGAGGCAAGGCGCACGCGCACATGCATTGTCCGAACATACTCCGACTACGCTGGTTACATGGTGGAGAAAATTGAATTCCAATCGCATTATCTGGGTGTCTTAATCAGAATTCTCCAACTTCAATCAGAGTTCTCAAACTCTGATTATAGTCGGACTAAGATTTTTACATGCACTTCAGTTGTCCGGTCTGAATCGGAGTAAGGCAATAATTCAGTTTTCTCAAGTGTCATGTAAACATACTAAATAGAAGAATAAAAGAAATAAGAAAAAACAAAGCTGTGGTGTCTCGTGCATCGAAGGAACAGAGCTGCCAATTGTTCATGTCCTCACAGCTCAATGGGAAGCCAGTTGGCTTTTAGCTAAATAGTTTTTTAACAGCTTTGGTGTGTGATTTGGATCAACTAGAAGAAGGCAAAATATGAGCTGAAAGGGCCATACTACCACCTTTGGTAGTTGCCTCTGTGCATTACATATTGTTGATGATGAGGTCCTAAGTATCCTGCCTTTAACTGACAGTCTGTGTGCAGCGTTAGACAAAACACTTAAAAGAAGGATGAAGGGGAGTGAGTGTGTGAAGGAAACTGCAGAGTTGCCTGATCATTGGTGACTCCATGACTTTTACCCGTCTCTTTATCTGGTAGAAAAATTGTTTTCCACAAAACTAAATGGATTTGACGGATGTTTTTTTTCTTCTTTTTTTTGCATGCATTCTTAAGTAATAAACTATTTTCCTTTTTCCAGTTGTCTGCAATTAATTGAATGTTATTATTTTCTAAGAAACGGAGGGTTTCAAGATCGACACCATGGGCACATACCACGGCATGACCCTGAAGTCAGTGACGGTAAGACCAAAAGCCTGCTTCTTGCAAATGATTCTGGAGGAGTCTAATCTCAAGGGTATACTGTACATGCACATACACCACTGTATCATCCTGGATCACAGTTTACCGATGACTCCTTTAGTCGGTTTGGTTGGTTACGTAACGTTCCAGATTTCAGGCCATGAAGAACAACCATCAGACATAAGCTCTGAATGGCCATACATGCACAATAACCAACATTTATCAGCTAGAAAACATAAAATTAAAACATAAACAGAATGAATGAATACAGTTATTATGATCCTGCACTGGGAGACAGCATGTCAGTGCCAACCTGCTTCTTGACACATCGCACTGTCTGAACATTTTACTGTACATCTTATTTGTTATATTGTGTATTTCATACCTTTTAATATCTTATAAGTGATGAAGAAGACAGGTTTTTTTTTTTCACGTGTGCATCAACACCAGCACAAGAGGTGGAGTCCTCCACATGTCACCTGTGTGTTGTAAATTTCTGGATTCGCCGCAGTATTTCACATGGTTGAATGTTACCCTCCTCTTCCCATTTGTCTGTACCTTTGAGTCACTTTTTTCCCACCGTCTTTCTGGGACAGAAGAGGAGGTCCAGCTATGTAGGGTTGTCATAATATCAGAAATTTCATTTCAACATGATACCAGTGGGGAAAAAAAGGATCTTATTTCCCTGTCATGGTGCCATGGCAACAACAAAAGAATTATCTTCTAGACACCCAAAAATTTACCTGCACTGCTTCTACTTTTACAGACGATGTCACTGAACACAGACCAATGTGTGACATAAAAAGTAGTGTATAACTACAATCAGATATTTCCTTTACATTCACACTTATAACCCAGTGGGGGTGTTTAGTCATTGTACAGTGGTGTAGAACTACCTGACAAGCAGCAGGTCACAATAATGAGAAAATGTATAGAGACCATGTGATATGCTTGTCTCTCTCCTCCTCTCACACTCTCTCTGCCATGAACGTAACGTGTTTTTATTTGACTTCAGTATTTGGGTGAATACTGTGGAGGAGGAGAGTTAGAGGAGGGGGCTGTGTCAGTGCGTAGGCATGGCAGAGTCACACACAGCTGGCAGGAAGAAATGTGACTTCAGCTGCCAAAAAAACAAACCTGACACACTTCTGTGTGCGTGTGCAGAGGTGTGGACAAGTTCATAATTATCCAAGAGCGTAACCGCTGTGAAACAAAACCTAGCTGAAGTGTTCTAATTGTAGGCGAATTTATGATAAATGTCTTAAAAATTAATAATTGATCATAATCTTTTAATATGAAATGTATGCACTCATTGAAAGGGGCACTGCCCACCTTAAATAGTGAGAAAATAAAAGAAAAACAAAAGTTTAATTCAGAAATCAAACATGAAGTCACTCTTAAATCAATTTTAAATCAATCTCATATCTCAATCCAGAATTCTCATTTCAGGGATTCCACTTCTGGAAGAACACTAACAGACTAGAGCTTAGAAAAATAAATGATCTGTTTATGACAGGATCAATGATGGTACAATGTACATGCAGTAAATGAGGATAAATAATAATGGATGAACTAAAGATTCTGAGTCAGGTTAGGATTATTAAAGTTAATCATAGTAGTGGAATATGCTCTAACATATAAACCTACATTAACTTTGGTGTAAGGATAAATTTGGGTGTGGATTTGGATAAATTTAGGATTTCTCAAATAAGTGATTGTTTGTTTGTTTGAATGATGAACGCATGAGACATTATCAGCCCTGTTTGAGGCTCTGGAGGTTTGCATACTTAAGTGAGGCTGGTCCTTGGAGTGGATGGAGCAGGTTCACCAAAGGTCCAGGCTACCAGTGGTTTGAGAAGTTAGGCTCAGAAGAGGACTAAAGTCAGCCAAAAGATGGGCCAGGAGTCACAGCACACAGGCCTGAATGCAGAACCAGCACCTTTAGGACCCTTTGGATGCTCCTTCTATCTTACAGCCAAACTCAGACTTAGAAGATGACTTTCTTTAAAAACCTTAGAAAAAGAAGCTTGACGGTCAACTGAAACTAATTCCTGTGTCCTGGGACCAGATAAGGAACCTTTCATGGGCAGGTTTGTCTTGATGCTACACAAGCAAACAAGAATAGAATACAAATACATATTTTTCAAGCCCTGTAATCAGCTTGTGGGAATATTCTAGAAACTAAAATAACTTGTGCCAGTAAATGTTGTCATTCACAACATCACTGCTAGACTGTTGAGCTGTGCAGCAAGGCTAAAACTGTCCTTACAAAACCTAGAAGATCTCTGTTCTGTGAAACTTGAAGAGTCATCAGTTTGCTATTTAAGTGAAAAAAGGGGAAGTCCGTTAAAAATTGACCTCCTTTCACGTACTTTAAAATGTTGTGGCTGAAACTTCCGCCTTTCTCAGAAGTGTCACTTGGTGGTAGGTGTGATGCGTCTGTCTGTTGGCCTTTGCAGGACGCTGCTCTGTGCTGCAGAGGTGAACAAACAGACACATATCACGCCTACCACCAGGTGACACTTCTGAGGAAGAAGTGTCACTGATACTGTCACTGGTAATCCCCGCTGAAACATTTTAGGTACATGAAAAAGATCCCATGTCTGCGATAAAAGAAAAAAGAAAACTCTTTCTAAGAACTGAAGACACAATGAATATCATTCAATGACCTCACTGACTGTTTGCTCCTCTTGCCTCGTATTTCATCCAAAACCCTCATACTTACCATCTGTAACACAAACTTAAGATCTCGGATAAATCCAGAAAATAGCTCTTTATTTTCAAAACACAGATTGTTATTCAGTCGAATATAACATGTACATAAACTCTCTAGTGGTTTGAATCAGACATCAAAATGTCATTTATGTTGTTTGGAAAAACTTACAATCATTGAAGATCACTTGGAATTCTTAAACACAACACATATGCAGCATTCCATGAAAGAGTAACCGCTCGATATTGATTTACAAAGAGATCGCTGACAAATGAAGTGTGAACAATGAGTTTAAGGATAACATCTTTAGCTATGAGCCTGTTTTCTCTTTGTTCGCTCTGTTTGCATGAATCCTGCCCTGTCTTGTTTTCATCATGTTGATGCAGGCGTTGTTTTTGGTGCTCTGGAGGTGATGCCAGTATTTGAGTATTTCATTGGGATGAAAGCCATGTGATGTAATCAGATGGCTGTACTTGCAGCTGGAGTAAGACACCCGCCAGTGGTTAAATAGGAATGCATTGGATGGAGGAGTGGGCCCTATGCCAAGCTTGGCCAGGCATATTCCCATATAAACATCCTCCAGATGAAGGCGAGGGACACTTAGCGATACTCGATAGATTTTTGGCGCCAAATCTCCAGAGAAGACGTAACCAGTCCCAGAGCAGAAGGTGGGATACCTGTCCCCCGGGTACAGATCTGGGGACATGTACCACTTGCTGTTTTTGTTCCTGTTGGGTGAGAAGTTTCTCATGTTATTGCCAGTGAAGTAGTTAGTCTTAGGCTTCATTTCCGGCCGGAGTAGCTTATAAATGAGGTACTCCGTATTGACAAACATGTCACTGTCTGTCTTCATGACATAGCTGGTTTGTGGGCAGTGTACGGCCACCCAGTTTAACCCCATCAGTGTCTTGATGGTCAGATTATTGTAGCTGTCTCTGAAGTCTTGTTGGATGATATCATGATACCTGCGGCTCTCTGCCTCCAGCATCCTCTGTTGTAAAAGTCCCAGCTCTCCATCATTACTCCCAAGCAGAAACAGACGAATGAATCCCAAGGTTGAGGCCACGCTCTCGTTGGCCCACGTCTGTCGAATGGCGTTTCTAGCCTCCACCTGCCGAGCCTCAGTGGTTATCAGCATCACCAGGAACGGTTTGTGTTTGCTCTCTGCACATTTGTTTGGCTCATTGATGACATAAGTGAAAGGCCCCGGGTCCACAGGGCCACTGTGGTCTCTTTCTGCACTGACTGGCAAGACGTTGTCATGTTGACTCTTTACTTGAGGAGAGGGGACAACTTCCTTCTCCCGTGAGCTGTTATTAGCATCAGCCTTGACGGTTGGCTGTGGAATAATGACCAACCTCCATGCTGACACTTTGCTGCTCATGTTCAGTTTGGCTTTTGTGGTCAGAGGCTCACCGCCCCCGTACACCACAGGATGCTGGCTCGTCCACGGTATTCCTGTGAGCCGAGGCAGGTACACCTGGTGAACCAAAAAAAGCAGAACTCCCAGGAAAGATAACAGATAAAAGAGATACGCTGTGTATGAACAGCAGTGGCGCCGCTTCCATTGCATGGTTGCGCCAGGTTTGATCGGCTCAGACAGACCACACACTTGATATGTTGAGCTCTCAAATCCTCTGATGCAGCCTTAGTTCCTGGATGCAAAGTGGGTATTAAGTTGAGTTTTGAGGAACCGATGCTTCATTTTCATATGAACAAATCACTTAGTTGTTGCCATGACTACAAGGTCGAGACAAGTGTCCTTCTAAGTTCCCTTTCCTGTGATTGCCTGTAAAACAGAGAAAGAGACATTGGGATTGTATGTCTGATTCTTCATAATCTACTTCGTTATTTTCATTATTATTATTATTGTTGTTATTTCAAAATCATAACAGAAGTGTGTACTAAGGTACTAACAAAGTAGCAAGGAGTAAGACTGATGTTGGCCTTGTGGCAGTATTTTTTTGTTTAAGTACAAAAACAACGTTGCAGCTGAGTGAAAAACTTGACATGCACAATTTTGTGCCAATATCAGATCAATATCCGTATCAGCCAATATTGAAGGCAACAATATCTGTATCGTATCGGAAGTCAAAGAGTTGTATCGAGACACCCCTTGTCCAAAGTGTCCATTAGCCCGGTAGGCTTGGCTGTGTGATCCTCTAAATGTTACTCATTTATTTTATTAGTTTTTTGTATCGTTGGACATGGACTAATATTCCTATTCTGTTTTTGATGATCAACATTGCCTGCTCATTTTCCTCTGTATTCACTTTCCTAGGAGGGGTCATCTCTTGCCTCTTTGTTTTCCCATGACTGTGTTTAATATTACAAATTAACTGGAGTAAACAAACCTTATAATTGACGTGAAATCAGTGTTCCTTCCTTGTTTGATACTCTCTCGTGGTTTGGAGGCCATAACATTAGATAACAAAAAAGGACAATTTTTTGCTCTTCTTACTTTCTCTGTGGCATGTATGGATTGATATTAAAAGATTAAACCTGCACATTTTGGCTCACTCTGGTTCCTCAAAACATTGTTTGAGGTTACGTTCACATCGTCATCTATGCAAGTCAGTTTTTCACTGTGGGATCCTCGGTTATTTGGCGATAAGGACTTTTTTTTTTTTAGACCCAAACAAAAGTAAACAGAAAATGTCTTTGTCTTGGCCGTCTAGTCTTTTGTGTTGATTCGTATCTTGGTGAGGAAGGGTCGTATAAAGAACAGCCTATGTCTGCGGGCTGTGAGCACCCTGAAGTGGAGTGTGTTCTGTCAGTTTTTTACTAAATTACACACTTCCCCTCTTGGAGGACCCCATCAAGACAAAGAGTGGTCTGTAAGAGCTGAAAAGACTCCTGTGAGCCCCTTTGCATACATAAACAGGAATAGAAACTAGTGCTTTGCTGAAGGCACACCCTTCACATCCTGTACAGCACATAAACACCAACTGATTTAGTATGTTGAAATTAGTGTGTGGCACTGATGTGCATAAGCATTTTTAAGCCCCCACAGCATCAACTCACCCATTTTAATTTGAATACTCGTCTATTTCTGGCATCCATCATTCCGGGATGAGATGAATTACTGTCCCCTCACACTGATGGCTTTTTCGGTCACTGATCCTACTGTGCTTCTGCCCAAATCACCATCAGCTCGACCCCTTATTTCCTTGTGTATTTGCTTTTTACCTTGCGACACGTGACAAGCAGTCTCCTGTTTTTCACCCATACCATCATGCTGTCCTTCCTTTGAGAATTTCTTTCCTTCTAGCTACTGGTAGCTATCCTCCCCATCCATGCACAAATGTGTTTGTGCATGCGTGCATGGGCAGAACATGTGTCAGAGCTCCAGTGTTGCAGCCTCTCCATCTGTCTTGGCGCATTGTCCCTGGAAGCTTGATGCTAACAGTGCTGCGCTGCCGTTTCTGCCTATGGTCGAAGGTGGTGAAGAAACATAAGTTGACAGTTGGCTGCAGCCTTCGGTCCTCTCAGTGTCCTCGCTGGTTGTGTTGTGCAAATCCAAACAGCGGTGTGAAGGTCTGAGTCTTCTCTGGATGAAGCATTAGCCCGACAAGTCTCCATTCATCCAGCTTCTCCTCTGTTTTTTCATACAGATCCTTGTTTCCTCTTGTCCGTCCTTTCTGATTCACACGCTCTCGTGTTAACTCCCACCCCCCCCACGTGCTTCTGTCCCTTTTTTGTTTCCTCTTCCCTCTTTCTCACCCTCCGTATGCAGAAAGCCTGCGTATTGCTTTGTGCTGGCTGCGTGTGTGGGGTAAAGGCAGCGGGGGGAGGAGGAAGATGAACAGGAGGAAGCGCTGTGAGTTGTGTGTGCGTTCCGAAAGGCAGCTCCGGGCTTGGTGGCGGTACGCTCACTCACCACGTCACGCCGTCTCTGCTGCTGTTGCTGCCTGCTCTGTTGAAGGGAGGAACGTGGGGAGGGGGGCTGCGCTGCTGACCTATTTGTATTCACGCCCACTCTCCAGGATGGGGAATAAACCATTATCTCAATTGCGAAATATGTGGAGAGAGGGGATAAGCCTTTATGTCAACACTTCTGTAGATTGAGATTTGCAGACTGACTAATTTTATTGAGAGATGTGAAACAGGAGATTACATTTTCTCACTTGACAGTCAGTGCAACTAACAAAACCACGCTTACTCAGCCTGTAATGCGCCTCCTGCCAGTCTCTTGTTCTGGAGGATAATGATGATTTGAACACAGATAATTAAAACAATGATCCGTCTACGCTCACTCAACCATAGTGGGCTGCACGCCTGAATTTCCACACTGGGCATTGTCATGGTAAATCTGCTCTGTAATGAAAGGGAGACTTTTTTGGTAAGGGAAGGGATGCACTTGTCCATATTTTGTCCCTTTTACTTTTTTGCATACATCATCATAGACATTCATGATTCTTCTGCCTCCTATTAGAGCTGCAGTATCTCATCAGAAAATAATGATCTAATACTGTCTGTATGCTTAAACTCAACCCCCTAATTAGCAGACAGCAAGTGTCCTCCATTAAGACTTAATTGAGTAATAGGCTCCTCTCATACACATATTGACATGACGCATTTGGACTGTGTTCCAGCATTGACTGCCAAGAGAAAAGCAATACAATTTCTTTGTGTTGAACTACAGCTTTAGTTTTTTTTTAAATCATGCAGTTTATGCTCCACCCTTTGGTTTTAATCTCAGCGCTTCATGCATATGGTATGAAAGTTCAACAGCTGCCCCGAGATGCTAGACTCTTGGGTTTAAAGGATTTTTTGCATTTATTCGCTGGCCACCATCCAGCTGCCATCTCGCTGAAATACTCTATTTTCAAACTATGACGAGGAGCGGAGCATATCTTTGTGTAAAGTGCACTATCAGTGGAGAGGAGCTGCTGCTGAGCTGCAGACGAGCAGTTTATCCGTAATTGACAGTGATCCTGCAGAGCTGCTGATAGACCCGGTCCTGCAGCTAGTGGGGAGGATAAAGAGAAAATAGAATTGTTCCTCCTCGTGAGACCCGAGGGGCCTGCTAATGGTAAAGACTGGTTGTTTATAATTCATTTATGTCACTGCCAGAGTGCTGACAGTGTGTAAATGTCATTTTCTGAGCGTTGGCACAGGGCTTTTTTTATTCTCTGCTCTGTCCTGGCATCAGTGGGAAACAAGGAGATGAGGTCTGCAAGCTCTTTATGAGGATTTTTAATCAGCAACACTGCAGCAAAGTCTAAAAATGTATCTCATAAAGTATTGAGTCATTTTTCCGTATTTTTGTGGGCACACTTTGCTTGAATAATTTACTCTGAAGTTCAACAACAGATTCTTCTAACTACATGTCACTCCCATATGAAACAGTTTTGGCCTTTGTAGTCTTCTTGACTAGATTGTAACCAAAAACGATCAACACAAGCTTGCTTTTGTTTGTACACATTTTGAAACATGACTATGATCATCTCGTCCTCCATCAAAGATGTTCGAATTACACTAACAAACTCATACCTTTAAGAGACCAAATAGTCATGATAACAAGAATATGAAAAGGATGCATGAATACACCAAGAAGAGGCTTTGGAAATAGACCAACATTGAAATAGCTTTGCAACATTAACATACATTAAACAGACATTAAACAGCGAGCTCTGGTTACTTCTGATTTTAAAATGACAATTTAAAATGGAAGTTTTTCTTAACCTCTCCCTGATTGTGTCAGATCATGATCCATTTCAAAAAGAAGAAGTATTGACTCAGTGGCCATTTCCTGTCTGTCACAGTGTTCTCTAATCCTTATCAAAGTAGATAGCCGGCCAGAGACACTAGCATCACAGATAAAGAGTTTAAAGCAGTGATGAATTTTGTCATCTTTAATCTGCTCTGAAGGAGTAATTGTGTCCACACAATGAAGCACCTTAGGTTGATTATTTTTTTGTAGTGTTCAATTGGAATGTTTTTTTTTAGAGGGGAACTTCGATATTTTTTAACCTGGGCCCTATTTTCTCATGTGTTTGTGTGTGCTTGATTGATGAGCAGGACTTCTTCTGTAATTGGTCCAGTACTGAGGTAGAGCAGAGCAGAGCAGCCTTTTAGATGTGAAACAAGCTAAAATGTAGTCTGACAGGGCACATGCACATCACCAAACTGTGTCCACTACAAGTGCTTTATTTCACCTATGAGAGGCTCAGGTTGTTAATACTCACCTGTGTTTCTAAAGAAAAATCCACCGCCTAACTGTTCTCAGACGAGCTCTGCTCCAGTCCCAGTGCTCTCTGACCCTCGAGGTGTTACTCACTCATGTGTCCTCTGTAGTCTTCCTGCAACAATGAGATCTCATGAGATGTTTTCTACCGATGAGATTTGGTTGTACACAGACTGGCACAAGTAAAAGAAGAGGGAAACTGTTGTCATTCCTGGAATAACCCGTTTTGCAAAAAAACGACATCTTGGACATTGCACAATGCATTGTGGGTATGCATGGAAGCAGTCTGGGACTGAGAGCATCCAAACACAATCTGTGTGTTTCCATACCACTCTGTAATAGATGTGGATAACTCAATGTGTTGTCCTTCCAACCATCCTGGAGGATATCAGGATCAGGTAGGCAGATTATACCCCCCATCTAAAATGAATTTGGACAGCCTCTGGTTCGCAATTTCTTTGGTATCTTCTTCCGGTGTAGCCTTTGGTCGAAGGTTTAACAAACATGCTGCACGGCAACAAGCAACAAAGTCTATTTTCTCTGCATTTATCGCTACAACATCACGTTCAGATAAATAATGTTTTAGTTGACTTACCGTCATATTACTAGATTGATCTTCTTTCTCCATTGCAGCCCTTCTTTAGAGCTGTGGAGCATGGTGCAGAGATTGTGTTTGGACGCTTTCAGTCCCAGAATGCTGCGGTGCATACCCACAATGCATTGCGCGATGTCCAAGATGGCGGTATTTGCTAAGCGAGTTATGGCAAGGCTGTCCCTCAATACTGGACCAATTTTAGAAATCGTTCTCCCCATCACTCAAGCACGCACAAATACATGGGGAAATTAGGGCCCTGGTTGAAAAATACAAAAGTTCCCCTTTAACAGACGATGCTGTGAAAGTAGAGCAGGTCAGCCAACAGGGTGCTGATACATAATGCAGACAGAGGTTGTTGTTTTGTGTTTGTTTGTTTTTTGGTTTTATAAACTAACACAATTTGATAATAACAGCCATCATTTCATGCACATTACATTCTAGTTTACATTCATACATGAAAGAGTATACACAGTAGTCACACATAGAAGAATAGACTTGATATATCTTATAGATTTCATAATATGTCTGATAGAACTGCGTTATTCTAAACACTATAACAGATTTAAGATTTGATGGGCTGTTATTTAGTGTGGAGCAAGCATTAATGTTGCTCATCAGCTGCAGCCATACTGATGAGTCTGCCTGCAGTGTCTGCAGAAATTATCTTTTTTTTATCAGCCCAATTAATGCGTCTGCCTGCAGAGCTTTGATCCATGTGTACATGTAATTTTTGACACTTTGTTTAACACGCACAAGAAAATCCGAGATTGTTGAAGTGAGAGCTGTGATAGCAAACAGTCGTTGCTAACTTACATTCATTATGTTCCAACGTGTAACATGAGCCTCTGAAATACAGTGAAAACAACCAACAAATCAATTTCCATCAAAACTGAGCCAGTGTTGAGCCAAGTAGTTATCACGTCCATGACAGCTTTAGGTTTGTCTTCATTTTTGCTTTGGGTTCAGCCCAACACTCCACGTTAGCATATGATCGATCCAGTGTGTTATTTGGGTGAAATGATCCCTCTGTTGGCTGTTGGCTCTGAACAATTAGCTTCAGCCACAGGCCAACAAGGTCTGCATTTTTCTGCATCAGCGTGAGCTCCAGCCTGCGGGAATGTCACCACATGATGGATTACTGCCACACTGTCACCCCATAGCATGGCCCCCCTTTGATGCCCCACTTCCCGACCACCACACACACACACACACACACACACACACACACACACACACACACACACACACACACACACACACAGACACACATTCACTTACTCACTTACACAATCACTTCTCTAGTTGGAGTCAGAAGTGTCCTGGAGGGAATTAGGACCACATTTTACAAGGGAAATTCTATTAATATAAAAAAGGGTCGCCTGTCACAAATGGTACTTTTGCTTGATCTACTTTTTCTTGTCACGCTGTAAATGAAAGTTTGTTACATGTTACAACCCTGTTAAGTCACAAGTGTTGTAAAACAGTCTGAACAACTGATTCCTATCAACTGGTTTGGTCTTAAAGATTAAATCACATACTAAGACAAATTATGTCTTTTTTAATCACAAGAATATAATTTAGATATAAAGTATGTTTAAAAAAAATGACTCTTGTGCTGTTTTTGTGTGTTTCTTTTGTCTAGGAAGGAGCATCTGCTCGAAAGGCCCAGACTCCTGCTCTGCAGCCTGTCCCACGCCCAGGTTAGTGTGGAATTCAAAATGTCACATTCATCTAAGTCCTTTACTTAATATCAATAAAAGTAAGTAACAGTTTGGAAACAGAGGGACGACTACTGCTCATTTATGTTTCGGTTAAGTCAGTAGTAACTCATTGTCAAAGGTGGGGAAGAGATACATCAGATGTCACGTCCTCTTCGAAAGAAGCATCAGAGACAGGACACAAGAAGAAGATACAGGAGCCTTTTTCAGGAGTGGCGTTGGTAGCAGAACGTTAAAGAGACGATAAGTTTAGACAATTAATATTTTAGTCACCCACCAGTTGCTCCATTTAAATCTAGCCTTCCAAGTTAAAAATGTTATGACTATGTTTTTTTTATTTATCAGCACAGTTGAGTATTAAATACAGATATAGTGGTACTGTATTGGTTTAAAAAACAGTCTAGTGTTGATACTTTTTAATACAACTTTAAATGCATATTTTATTTGAATCTTTTGTTTTGAAATTTCTAACTGTACCTGGACAGTAGAGGACGAGGAGGTCTCCTCGTGGAATTTAATCCAAAGCTGCTGTGAACTGAAGAGCGAGAGCAGTGACGGTTAAGAGACTAAGAGAGAGGAAGTGAAGAATGCCAGAAACTGAAATAAAGTGGAAAAACAGAAATAAGATGAGACTTTCTGTTTCAGCGCTGTAACATGCAAAAACACAAACTAAGCTACAAAACCGAGAAGGCAGTTGACACTTTTTGCTTCTCTGTGCATCATCCTCTGTAAGGCCTGCAGCTCTTTAACACACGTGCACTAAACTGACACTTTTTAGAGTTCTCCATGCATGTCCCACTAATGCACAAGTTCCATTAGTTACCACAGAAAACAAAGAGGAGAGACGGGGAATAAAAATAGTCAGTTATTCAAAGTCGTGTCTGATATGGGGCTGCTGTCACGTTTGTTGTAATCAGAGTTATTCCTAAGCATCGCCTGGTGACTCTCATAGTTGGGTAGTTGTCTGTGTCAGTCAGTCAGTCAGTCAGTCAACCAGAAAAGAATACACTTCAATCAGTCCGCCTCATTCCCAGACCTGAAATATCTCTTGTGCTTTGGTGTTTATGCCGCAGCTTACTCACTCAGAGAGAAAGTCTACAGCAGAGTACAGGACCTGATTTGACACACATTACTTTCTTATATGACCATGTCACAGAAAGCATGAAAAAGATCTGCGGTTGCAAATGCTTCACTGAAAGGGACTTTTGTTTCGCCAACAGAATGTCATGTCTGTTTCTTCCTGCAAATTCTGACCCTAAGTTATTTCCTGCAGCTATTCAAAGTACTGTTGTGAGGGGACAACAAAGCAGCATCAGTCTGTGTGTCTGTGTGAACTGACTGCTTGACCATGACACATCAGCTCTACAGCGCTGATGGAGATTACCGTATTAGAGGAGTAAAAGTGTTGGAAAAGTACATCTCAATGTTATTTCTGCAAACCTAAGACCTTCAAGTCCGTTTAGAAATTAACTTTTTGTTTGATCTACTCCCCTGAACCCTTTGTGTAAATAACTATTTCACAGGTTTAGAATTTAGGTAAAAAACACAGTGCACAACTTAAAGCTTTGGCTGGAAAAAAAGTCTTTTTTTCACCAGCCAAGTGCCCAAAGAGTGTTTTATTTTTATCTCGTAAGGCCCAGTATCATCAGCATAAAGACAATTCTCTACAAGTGTCATTTAAGGTAGGACAGATAAACAGGACGGTTAACAAATGCTGGTTCCAGTTACAGCGGAAATCAGATGTTGTAGGTGGGAATGACGTTGCACCCGAGTTGACAACGTTCCAGTTTACAAGTAGGAAAACCAAGATGGACGCCTGCTGTCAGCTGTTGTCAGCTGCTGTTAACAATTCTCAGCTGTCATTAGCTGTTGTTAGTTGTTGTTAGCTATACCAGTTGTAAACAACACATAACACAATATTTTACTCTTACAAACACCATAGCACCGTGTTCACAGTAACATGTTGGGCAGAACAACAGATACCACTTGTTTAATTTCACAAAAACAAAACAGAAGTGCAAATAAAAAATACATTACCAGAGCTTTTACTGTTACTCTTTACTGTTGATGCACTGCGCTGCCATCTTGGATTATGACATTGTCGTCAAGTCGGGGTTGGTGAGGATCATCCGACTTTCCAAGGCGGAAATCCGACTTCAGGGAGGTGTTCCAGTTGAATTTCCGACTCGGAGCTCGGAAGTCCCAACTTCTGAGTACAACTAGAACGCAGCAATAGATCTGACTGTGTTCAGTAAATTTGTCATCAACAATCATGCACATGTTTTCATAAAGTTTCAACCTTTTTTTTCCTTTGTTTTCCCTCCAGTGTCACAAGCCAGACCTCCACCAAATCAGAAAAAAGGTACGTAAGTCACACCCAGTCAGATTCTTTGTTTTGCATTAAAGCTGCTGTCAGGAACTTTGACTTTGAGTATGGCGACCCTCATGGACAAAGATGCATGTACATCTTATCTCTGCAATGATTTGGTCCTGCACATGTAGGAAAGGATTGTTCCTCTTGTTTGTTTTAATTAAAAATATATATGTTGTATACAACTCTAACAAAGTCAAATCTATCACGAATCACTATTTCTTCTTAAAAAGGAGACAAGTCTGTTTCCTCAGTGAGCTGTCAACCATCCGGTTCTGCTCGTGTCATAAGCAGTAAATGATGACAGTAACATTTTCAGTTGAACTGGTGATTGGCCTGTTTGCTTGTGTTGTTCAGAGAGAGGTTTCAGTCATTGTTGAGTTATTTTACTGCCTGTTGTAAGGTCTTTATTAACGCTTCCCGCAGGTTCCCGGACCCCCATCATTATCATCCCTGCCGCCACCACCTCACTCATCACAATGCTCAATGCTAAAGATCTCCTGCAGGATCTAAAGTACGTATGCTTACTCAACCTGTTCATATTTGTCTCTATCTTCTTTGAACTCAGCAACTTTTACTCCTGAGGGCTCTTTGCTCTTTTTGCAGGAATTTTATCCTCTTTTTCCTGATTGATATGTGAAAATATGTCAGTTCATTAGGCTGCTGCTCTGAAAGGCAAGACACACCGTTTGTTTATTATCATGATAAGGATGGGTCACGGCATTGAAAAATATGCAAGTGCATTTGAGAGCGATTACAGACTGTGGTGTTTGACAGCAACTAAATGCGTGAAACACAAAGACAGACCAATGCACAACTCTGACTTTTTAAAGATGGTTTTAGTCTTTGCATTAGACTCGCATAGCTGTCACGGGGAGAGACGGGTAGAAATGATAATAATAAACTTTTATTTGTAGAGCACTTATAAAAACAGACATTTACAAAGTGCTCTGACAGAAGGTGAAGCAGCACAAAAATAGAAACAAGAAGCACAAATCAAGGCCACAGAAATTGAAGACCGTTTTCATATCTCATAAGAAACCCAGACAATACAAGAGCCATGCAACATGAAATGAGACCATGAAAGATTGTGGGACCTTAGCTCAAAAGATGGGGTTACCCACTCACCCACAAATTCTCCATTCTATATGACAAACAAAATTGCGAGTGGAAGTTCCTCCTTAATAAAACATGAGCTTCATTTTATTACGAAATGCATTTATTTGAAGTTGTTCAGATGAGTTCATTTACACAAGATCAGCAGTATCTTCCCAAAAGGAAAAGTAGAGAGGATTACACTGCCATCCAGACTCTTCCCCAGTGTACAAATTTTATAGTTCATTGTTTTTTAATGGACCGATTTGTTATTTCTGCTGTCTAGAGATTACATTTACCTGCAACAGAGCCTATGCACTTACACATAGAACCTCGCTAGGGCTTAATATTGCTGTGATTTCATATTGCAATACAGTGCTGTGGGAGCACAGGAGGCACCGCTTGTGAACAAACAGCTCTGTTCTGCCCTGTCTGTTCAGCTCTTACACTTCACCTCTGCCTTGACCTCATAGCACCTTTAGAGCTACCTTTGGGGAGGCGTAATGACTTGACCCCACCATTATGCCTCCTTTCAAGTCAAGTCAAGTCAAGCTTTTTTATTGTCAGTTTCTATCTTATGCGAGCACATTCGCAGGACTTCCAAATAACATTTCTCTCCAGCCCACGGTGCAAAAATACAGAGAATATAGAAAGATACAGTAGAGAGAAGGATAATGCAGTAGAAGAAAGAGTGTTTTTTTATGTATGCATATACACACATATATACCATATGTATTTATACAGTCACATACAGATGCATGCCTAGCCACCAGAAAAATGATTCTGCTGTACATATTTACACATGATGACCTGAAGTGCAGGTGGTGGGTGCAGTAAGCAGTATTGTATTGATGTGAACAGTAGCATGTATGTCAACAGTGGAAATCTAGTGCAAAAAAAACCAAGATGGGTAATTCTGTAACAGCAGCAAAGGTTTAAATGCAAATACTATGTGTCCAGTAAGGGTTGAGAGGGGGTTCAGAGTCCAGTGGTTTGGGGGTGGGGTCATCAGGTCCTGACAGCCTAGTGGAGGAAGCTGTTAGTTTGGTAGAGCAGACCCTGAGGGTGCAGTGCCCTCCCCTGATGGCAGGAGGTTGAACATTGCACATTGCAGGTGAAGGTAAAGTCAGGTAAAGGAGTTTTATCATGTCAGGGTTAGTTTTCCATTTACTTTTTGCAGTCAATTATCACCCCCTCCCTCTGCAGTGAGATCTCTCTATAACAGTGTCAGCTTTGGTTTCTTTTAAGGAATCAGTCACATCACTTTTTCAGGTAACTTTGGATTTAAGCCTAATGTCATGGGAAAAAATACAGATACCCCAAATCTTTTAGTCTCACAATTTGGCAGATGAGGATTAAACTTAGTGTGTCCTGTGTCTGAAATCTAATCCATGGACTCAGAAGGAGCTGAAAAAATGGCTTAATTCAAAGGAGTTGAATAACGGATATAATGTCTTTCAAGTTAACATCCTTGTTTCTACCTGCCAGGTTTGTTACACCAGAAGAGAAGAAGAAGCAGGGCATCCAGCGAGACAACGAGGTTCTGCTCCAGAGGCGCAAAGATCAGATCCAGCCAGGAGGCACAACTCTGAGTGTCACCGTGCCGTACAGAGTCATAGACCAGCCACTTAAACTGGCTGCACAGGACTGGTGAGTGACTGCGCTGAAAAACCCTGAGTGATGCTGCAGGAGGGAGAGTTGAGCGCTTGTTAGGTTGTTTCTGAATCCGGATAAACAGGTTTTCAAATGGACTCCTCAGTGGTACAAAGAGCAGTTGTGGAGTTGGGGTGCAGTGAGTCGACTTAAGGTGTCAGTCGGATTCTGATCCAAGAAGCTAACATCTGATATCAGTGGCAAAGGGTCAGATCTGTTTAACTCAGTTCAAGTCAGGGTTGGGTCTTGTCAGAAAAATTATACTGCATCTGACTTGGATCCGTTGCAATACAACGGTATTCAAATATGGTAAAGGTTGCAGCTGTGGTCTTTACTGGGAGAACAAAGACAGCTTAGTTCATCATCAGGTTCCTGCTTATCAGTTCAATGTCACACTGTTGGGAAAACAACCTGTGAGTGAAATTGAAGCTTTCATCTAGTTACGTGGTTTCAGTGGAAAAGTATCAGTCCCAACTCCAAGGCCATACTTCTCCTTTCTTATGCTCAATAAAAAGGAACAGATATAACCCTGCAACCATTCACACCGAGTGATTTTCAGTAAATGATGATTAACAAATGTATATAATGATAACATACGTATGTGATAGCATACACATGCAATTTTTCTTTCAGGTCTCATTCTGAGGGGATCTTACTAACATTATTACTCATTTATCATGCATTAATTTTATTTCTATTTCCTTGAGGGAACCTTCCCGAAAGAACAAATAAAGTCTGATCTATACAAATAAATCACTCACTTGCTGTATGTAATAGAGGCTTGTCACAGCAGGGAAAATTTGTTCTCTTTGATGAATTTACCATGTTTGTCCTGTTTGGTTTGTTTGTGTTTTTTCTGTTTTTGTTATATTCCTGTTACATTGACAGAATCACATATCTTTTTGATACAGTTCTTTAACTCTGTTTATTTACTGAGGCTCCAGATCATCGTCCAGTTTGAGTTGTATGAAGCTCAAAAGATATAACATTTCATATCATTATTTTCAAACCATTTCACTGATTGTAGTAATCATCCAATATGTGTTTTGTAGTTAGGGTTTTATCCTTAGCTTGCTGAATAAGAACAATTATATTCTTGTACAATATGAACCTTTTTTTTTTTTTTGCTTCATTGGGTTTAAGTACTCCAGCCTTTGTGAAGATGAGCTGTTATGATTGCGCAGCCATCGTATGCCTTTGTTCGAACATGAAACAAACAGACCACTCCACTGATGGCTGAGTGGTTGATCCAAGGCAGAGGTTGAGTCATTACTGTTGAGCTGCATGTGTAATCCTGAGTCATGTTTGTCTGAGTTTTCAGCGCTAAGTGGTTTTACCATGATACAACAGACACAAACACTAACACTTTCCCCTTTTGTGGCACTTTGTATTTCAAATTTGAAAAAAATCCCAAATAAACGTGTCCACGCCAGAGCACAAACCATGCAGTAGAAATTGTTTGGAGGTCTGTTATGTTGCGTTCACACCAAGCGCAAATAAAACCATCTACTCACTTAATTCACACATATCTAGACGCAGGAATGTTGTGTATTTACTTGCTTCATTTGCGAGAATGACACAATTGATTCGTGTGGTTGTATCGCGTCTGCGGAGAGCCCAAAGTTTGGGTATATGCAGGGTCTTGAAAAGTCTTCAAATGTCTAAAATCCAATAATTTGAATTTAAGGCCTTGAAATGTCTAAAATTCCCTAAAACCACATAAAATGTCTTATATACAATTTTGAAAGGTCTTAAAAATGCATTTACTCCACTTTCAATACAGATAAATAACATGACCTAGGAAAAAAGATTGAAGTAATGTAAAATGTTCCGATTTCCCTTCATGTCTTTTGTACTTCTTTGCCAGTATAGATGTTAAATTGGTCTTTAATTGTATTCATAACGGCCTTTAAAAACTCATGTGTCATTATGGCAGAGAAGGGAAAGAGAGGAGGGATTCCTACACAGCTTGTCCTACAGTAGCCCTTGCATGACTTGGTGTGCAAAAACACAGCAGAAGATTTAAACGCATTCTTCCACTGTGGCTCTTCTCTCCATCTGTCTTATGTAACATTTGAAGCTATCTCTAAATCCCCACATTTGAATATTTTGTATCTGGCAGTGATTTAATTCACATCTGTCTTTTCTCATAATTTTGTGAATGTTTTGTGCTGCAGGGATCGGGTGGTGGCCGTATTCGTGCAGGGTCCTGCCTGGCAGTTCAAAGGCTGGCCGTGGCTGCTGCCTGATGGATCTCCTGTGGACATTTTTGCCAAAAGTGAGTGAAAGAGACTGCAATGTTCTTTTAGAAATGTGTGGCATCATTTTGTGTTTGCTAGTGATGACATAACAGCTGCTAGTGTTGAAACACTGAAATGTGATTCAATGGGAAACCAGTGTTCCTGTGTACCAGCGTTTATTTTCAAACCCATTGAAGTTGTAAGCATTAAAAAACAATTGATGCTTTTATAAAAGGTGAGCTTTAGATTATTTTTATATGGGTAGCTTCATGCAGTTTTTCCCTCTTGACACAGGCTGTATGTGAAAACCAGCATCTCAGATTATATTGATTTCCTATTCAAGTGTGCTTTCTAAACTTATGTCAAATTTGGATTATCAGTGCTGCTGGTAAATCAAACAGTAGAATTTTCATGGAGCGTCTTCAAGGGACCAAAAAAAAAGGAACCTTATGTGGGAGTGACGTGGTAGAAATGTTGGCCTCTGAGTAACAGTGGGATAACAGAGTCACAGTATTTACTGAAAGTATTCACAGCCCTACACTTTCGTCACATTTTCTTGTGTTACAACTCGAGATGTAACGATATGAAAATTTAACATCACGGTGATCACGGTATTGTTGAAATATGTTCAAAATGTTTAAAAAGTACGTATACACGCCCTGAAATCATTTAACAAAGTTTTATTTTGAAAAAAAACAATCAAAATAACATGCAGAATGAACTTTTCCTTAACTTAAATAACAGAGGAACGATAAGCTTAAAAAACTGAAGGCAGGGCCTTAAAAGAGCCAGAGGTAATCAACACTAGTACAAGTAATAACAAAGTACAAAGTAATGTGCCAGAGGCATAAACATTAACATAAAAACAAATAAATCAAATTTAAATAAAATGACATTCCTTATTGTAAGAATCTTCAGTGCTCAAAAAGATCTACTCTTACACATATAGAATAGAGCAACACTACTCTATGAAATAATACAACCAAATGTAAACAAATGTGTAGTGCAGGTGTTTAAAATAACATAAAATATGTCAACAAATCAAATGAACCACACCAATTGTCCGTTTTCTCCACCATAAGGTGCTGCTGCTGACTTTGTTCACTACTTGAGATTGAAATTAAAATTTGAAACAGTTGTACTAACCGTCAGACATTTTACCGCGGTTTATCATTTTACCAGTAATCATTAAATCCCCAGTTACAACCTTATTCCAAAACGGATTAAATTCATGTTTTTCCTCAGAATTGTACACACAGTACCTTATAATGACAAAGTGAATAAATTTATGTTCGAAACTTTTGCCAATTTCTTGAAAATCCAAATCAAATATTTAACATGTACATAAGTATTTACAGCGTTTGCTCAGTACTCTGTAGGTGCACTCTTGGCAGCAGTGACACCCCTCAAGTCTTTTTGAGTCTGATGCTACGAGCTTGGCACACCTATTTTTGAGCAGGTTCTCCCATTCTTCTTTGTGAAACCTCACAAATTCCATCAAGTTGGATGGAGAGCATTGGTGCACAGCCATTTTCAGATCTCTCCAGAGATGTTCAATCAGGTTCAAGTCTGGGCTCTGTCTGGGCCACTCAGAGACATTCATAGAGTTTTCCTGAAGCCACTGCTTTGTTATCTTGGCTGTGTGCTTGGAGTGGTTGTCCTGTTAAAAGAGGAATCTACACCCCAGCCTGAATCCCCACAAGAGTTCAAGAGTTCAATCTTTGTTGGATGACACTAGAAAATTTTGTTTCTCATGGTCTGAGAGTTGTTCAGGTGCCTCTTGGCGGACTCCTGGTGGGCTGTCATGAGCTTTTTAGTGAGGAGTGACTTCAGTCTGGTCACTTTACCATACAGGCCTGATTGGTGGAGTGCTGCATAAATGGTTGTCCATCTAGATGGTTTCTCCTCTCCTCACAGCAACACTGGAGCTCTGTCGAAGTGACTATGGGCTTCTTGGTCATCTCCCTCACTAAGGCCCTTCTACTGCAATCACTCAGATTAGCTGATATTGAACTTTCAAATGTGTGTGTTTGTGTGTTTTCCCTCCAGTTCGAGCCTTTCACCTGAAGTACGATGAGGCAAAAACTGACCCAAATGTGCAGAAGTGGGATGTGACCGTTCTGGAGCTGAGTCGCCACCGACGCCATCTGGACCGGCCCATTTTCCTGCGCTTTTGGGAAACCCTGGACAGGTCTGTCTTTACTCTTGTGAATGTCTCTGTTCTGGTTATACAGAATGATGCAGATTTTCCTCAAAATGACTTCTCTTTTTTTCCTTTCTTGTCCATCAGATATATGGTCAAACACAAATCTCACCTCAGGTTCTGAGAAAAGATCCCAGCGTCCCACTCTGGAGATTCTGCAAATAAATTCAGTAACCTTCCAACTCTCCCCGTCCTCCTCCTGCAGAGGTTGCTCTTCACATCCAAGCTGCGATCTTATCTTCTTCCACTTGGTCCTCATTTTAGCAGGAGGAGGAGAAGAATGGATGATCTAGCTTAAGTCCTCTGACGCTTCCTTTTGGATTCCAGCCATGAGTCGCTGGAAACGTTGCTCTAAACACCAGGGAGAAATTTATGTTTTTTTGTTTTTGTTGTGATTGTTTTCAAATGAATTCATGTAGTAAAACAAAAAAAATACCAAAACGTTTTATATACAAACAACTGTGGCGTCAATGAGGAGGGGAAACATGATGAGGTCTGAAGAAGGGGGAGGGGTTATTTTTGTCAAGCATTGGTCAGCAAATTCAACTCAGATCTGTTTGGATTGAAAGGAAACGACGAAACAACTCTTAGTACAAACACAAGATTTGAAAAGACTTTCTTTAGATTGATTTTTTTCCTATGGGTGTTTGTGGTCTAAATGTACATAAATGTATGTTATTACTGCAGAAAAGCTACCTGGCTCTGGCTCAGTACAATGATCTCAGTCAGGCAGTCTGTTCCTAGTTCAGTTTCTGACAGATCAGCACATTTCCTGGTCATACTAATGACCCTGTTCAAGTCTTCTTTTCTTCTTTGTTGGTGTTGTGCTAAAGGAGACATAAGATGGAAGGTATTGCTTCAAAGCGTCATATGGAAATAGACAATAAAGCCTCAGAGAAACAACTTCATGTGTCCATCATATGTCAGACTGTTTGTTTTTAGCCTTTGTCCTTCGGCTCTCCATCCATCACTCAATAAAATAGATATTTTACAAAGACCTTTCCTTGAATCTTACACAAACATCCACTTGGTGTCACTGTTTCCCCGCAGAATTGTTCAGTGGAATCATGAATGTAAAAGCCTCAGGAGGAGTGTGGCTAAACTGACTAAATTCCAGTCAAGAGAAGTTATGAACAAAGTATGATAAGAAAAATGCAACATGTCAAAAAGACTACTGCAACAACCAGAGGGGACGCCCATTTAAATCACTCGTTTACCTAAAAAAAAAAAAAAAGCAAAATCCTTCTTCTTAATGAGGAGCAAAAGCCAGAGGAAAGTGTTAATAGTAAAAAAAAAAAAAAAATTCCCTTTCTAAAAAAATTGTCACCAAAAATATTGACTCAAACACAACACTAATAACCACAAAGCTTAACTTGGTCACAGATTCATTTGGTGTTTGGGAGTTTTAAGACAAAACTCTACTCCAGTAAGAAAACCATTTTTATGAATGATGAGTTGGAAATGTATCAGTCTGCCATTCTTACCTACACTGACAGAAGGGCACACCAGCCGTTAGCCAGGTAGCTGAATTCTCTGTTACCCTACCTCTTTGGCTCTTGATGTGTCGACCAAAAGTTGGGGTTAGGTCAGCAATTTCACTGAGGTGGCCACCAGTGACAGACCTCAAAACTCTGCTTCATTTTCATGGTCACTGAGGCTAGCTTTCTACAGAAGCACATTGCATTCACTGGATTAAAACAAATCTGACACCTTTATTTGTAATTAAAAGAAAAGGTGTCTGATTTTTTTTCAATCCAGTGAATGTAGTGTGCTTCCATAACTTTCACTTCTGTTCTGTGGTTATACCAAGCAGCAATCACAGAGGCTGAGAGAAGAGGCCAATTGAAAAGTTCTGTAAGCTGCAGTACCACCAGTGACCACAAGAGGCTGGCTAGAAAACATGTCAATCTCCATTAAGGCCTATATTACAGTAAAATGTCCATTTTAAAAACTGAGATGAATATATTTGCAGCCTTATGTAACAAAAGCCCCAATAACCAGCTTTAGTCTCTACAACTTATCTTCTGGACAATTGTGAAAAGCTGAATTTTGAACTGATTCTAGTTAAATTGCATTGAGGCTACCTTAATTAGAGGATCATGGATGTGGTTTCTTTGAGTGATTGATAGAATCTGATCCTGATTTATTGTCTTTGTTGTAAATCAAATGTGCTGTTTTCTACAGAACCTCCTCTGGTTTACTGAAGGCCAACCTTTGCCCTGACTGTGTTTGGTATTTCATAATGCTGACCTCTGGTCACAGCAGTCTGGGAAATCATTTTGAAACCCTGGCTCTAAATAAATAAATAGCTGTTGTCGCTTGTCAAACATGGGTGAAAAAAAAACTGCTTTACTGGAAGTGTCGGGGCTGAAATGTACAAACTTGGAAGAGAGTCAGAATTAGAAAACTTCATTTTTCTCGGGGGGATTCGATCAAATTAAAGCCTTGAAATCATTGAGGATCTTGAGTAGTAAAACACCCTTTACATTTGGGTTTTGGGTTTTTCAGTGTATTTGTGTTTGAGATCATGTAGTTAGTTACATAAAAGTGATATAACTATAAAATTTGTCGTGAATGCTACTATGTGAAGTTCTGATTCAATGCTGTTATCAAAATATCCCTTTTAGGATAATCTCATGACTCTGACATACTGACTCATAATTTAAAGACACTGTTGATTTGCGTCTGAAATGTTTGCTGCGTGTTATCAGTATGTTGGCCTCAGAGTGACAGTGGGATGACAGAGTCACAGTATTTACTCCTCATTTCTTAACTGTTGGGGAAATGTCCTAAACAATCATTAACTTATTCTGATCTGAAAAGGGCTCTTTTCTCTGCTGGGAATTTTATTCCTGACACAATGGGCGTGCGATATCTTGGATTTGTTGTGCTGATTTGGCTTCCAGGAGCTCTGCACGGTAAGAACATTCAAGTCCTTCAAGTTTGATGTAAAATCTTTTCAAAGAAACATTCCTTCATAGTAGTGTTCACTTGTGTGACAATCAATTTTTCAGCTCAAAGTGCAGCTCAGCCCTGTCCTCCTCCAAGCCTGGATGGTGGTTACTTTGTCCCAGAACAAGAAAGTTATGATCATGAATCTGAGATCGTCTTTGTCTGTGACAAAGGAAGTAAACCAGCTGTGGAGGGCTGGTGGGCAACAAGCACTTGTCAAGGAGGCACATGGTTACCTGAACCACAATGTATCGGTAAGTGTTTAGTGTCTTACTGTTTAATGAGAAGTTGAAAGCCTGCAGAGGTGTGTTTTTTTAAGATTACACTCTTCATCCCCTTTGTGTTTTCTGCTTTAAACCAGATTAGATAAGACTTCATTGGCCCCCCGAGGGAAAATTCAGTTGTTGCATCAACTCAGACAAGAAAGAATACAAGAAGACTAGTGGTGGGGTAGGAACCCAGTGTAATAAATATAATAAAATATTAGATAAATAGAAGTTAAATGCCGATGTTATGAAGTAAGTATTAAATTAAAGTGAGAGTTATGGGGTTAAGTGACATATTATGATGTGATATATGATAAATATAAGGTGAAAAGGTAAAATAAGTATTAATAAAAAAAGGTCTCCTCAGGGTAATGTACATTTTGATAAGATGAACAAAACTGAAAAACAGTACAAGGTGAAATATACAATAAAGTCATAACCATTTAATATAATATAATGTACTGAAATATAATATGATACAATATAATATAATCAAATAGTAATGCAGCTATAGCCTTTCAAACGCACACAGAGAAGCTGATTCCTGTTTTGTTATTGAGCAGTGAGAGAGATTGTATTCTAGTAAAAACAAATAGTGGATTTTAATCCCAGGAGCGCTGTGTAACATTCAATGAGAAGATCAACCAGTATGTTGTTAAAAAACAACTTGAACTATTTTAAATAGTAAAAAGGGATTACCTCTGACATGAGAGGTTATTTCATGTCAGTCAAGGGGCCTGAGTCAGATTTTCATTTTTTGTTAAGTGTCTCTCTTCTGCCCTCACCTGGAAGTTTCTATGATTGCTTGCTGGTCAAGTTTGGCAGTGAGAAGTTCACATATCAAAAACTCCTCTGCTCATGTGAGATTCATTTTGAACTTAAAACGGCAGTATTTCTCAGCATTTAAACCTCAGCATTGATAAACTTGCCTCTGATATTTATGATCCCTGACTTGCAACAGAGTTTTAGGGCCACATTAAGAAAAAAAAATTAAGACTTTGAGATTAAAGTCATTAATTTACGAGAATAAAGTGATTACTAACAAGAATAAAGTTGTAATCAAGTAATTACTTGTGAGAATAAAGTCGTAATAAAATCATTATGATACTTATGATAATGGATGAGCCAAAAGATTAAGTATCTCCTTGTTTGAGAAACCTTTAGTGAAGTACATTTTCACGAAATACTCCATGGCTTTCATTTCAACAATTTTCATCTTAAACAGCAGGTTAGGACTTTATTCTGACTGTACCCTTGTAAGTGATTATTTTAAGTACAACTTTATTCTCGTTAGCAATGATTTTAGTACGACTTTATTCTCGTAAATTATTGATTTTAGTCACAAAGTCTTTTTTTTTTTTTCCTTAATGTGGCCCTAATACTACATTGTACTGACTTGTGGTTAATATTTGCAACCAGTTGCAACCAGGTGCAGTGATCAATGCATTACAGGCTCCAATGGTGACTTTAGCTTACAATATTGTTTGAAGTTGATGCAAATTAGGGAACCTTGTGAAAGTAAGTTTTCCTCGAAGTCTGTCACACATGAAGCCAAAGGCAATTTAATCAAATGATTTAATCAATTCACAGTCCAAAACTCCTGAAAACCTGAATTATATTTAATAAACTGGAAAAAAATAAAAAGTAAAACAACCCCCGCTGTGAGATGTCTTTGTTTCTCTTTTGCTTACAGATGAATCAGCCTGCTATCCCCTTGAGGTACCCAATGGAAAGTATAAGGAAAGCCAAAATCGTTGGCATGAACAGGAAGCTAAAATTAGGATAAAATGTGATAAGGGGTATGAGTTGAAAAACCGGGATGCCACAGCCATTTGTTTGAATGGAACCTGGTCCTCTGTGCCCATCTGTGAGAGTGAGTCTGTCTCTTGGTCTTCAATCGTTGGTTGTAAAACTGAAAACTGGCTTTGATAACACAAGTGTCTCAATCAAAAAGAATACTAGCGTACATACATACATTTCTTTCTCTTGATTATATGTGCTTACTTTTTTTTTTACAGTGAGTGATTCTACATGTAACATGCCTCCACCACAAATCCCCCATGCAGTCATCATTGGTCAGAATTATCAGGAGGTGTTTGCTGCAGATTCAGAAGTTCATTATGAATGTGAAAACGGATATACTGCAGAGGGATCAGAGGACAAAAAAATAATCTGCCTATCTGGAAGGTGGACTGAAGGCCCAGCCTGCAGTAAGTGAACTGTGCTGAGAGATGCAGTAAAAAAAAGGAAGAGGTCTGTGCAGGTTCTCAGTCATCCAGGTCATGGTAATCCAAATCTTTGTTGAAAGGGAAACTGGACTTGTTTGAGGTTCTTGAAGATGTTTTGCCTCTCTCTTCTAAAAGACATCTGGGTCATTCCATGAAATCGGTGCCTTTTGCGTCCCCAAGAAGTAGTCATTAAAAAAATTATGATAACAACAAATTAATATGTAATTTAAAAATATAACATTACCATGTCTTCTCTCCTTAATATGACATCAAATTAAAGTCAATTAAATATCATTTTAAATAATATAAATTATTTTTATGCTGATTAGGGTGAGATTTTTGGCCTGTCCCTCACTACTATTGCTGTATGTATACAGGACTTTAAATTTGTAAAATGTCGGCAAAATGTTAAAATTTTCACATTTACATATTGTTTTAAGTATGATCTTATTGTTAAACAGTGTTTTTGGTAACAATATATATTAGTCATCATAAATATTTACCAATTTATCGGCGTCCCCTGATTTCATGTCAACCCTGTTACCCTAACTAAAAAAACCCTAAAAAAATAATGGTACATTCCAGATTCGACATGATTGACAGGAACCAGGATGTTAACAGGTCAGTGACAATTAAGTTTCTCTCATCTCTGATGTCCTTTTTTTTTAAAATTTTTTCAGGGTTTAACCAGGGGGGACAAGCATACAATGTCAACCCTGTTACCACCTTTTAACATATAAACATAGACAATTTTCTGTTTCTCAAAATGTAATCAATATCTACAAGTAATTACCTTTCAAAGTACCTAGCTTGCACTTTAGCTAGCACTTATTTAAGATAGCCACAGGCAAATTAGCTTAAAATGGTCAACCCTGTTACTGTCAACCCTGTTACCTTTCCACAGTAACAGGATTTCACATGTGAGTAACAGGGATGACATAGAATAGTGTTTACCCTCGTTGTACTCTCTTTAAAGGTTAACCTTATAAAATTGAAACATTTTTAGGTCATCAAGTGAACATTATCGAGCTAATTAATAGTTTTTGATTGATTGATTCATCGATTGATATGCCGGCGGAGAGCCAGTTAGTCAGTTAGCCACTCAGCTCTGCTACCATAATGTCAATCCTGTTGTTGTCATTAATTTGATAAAAATGTAAAAAATGACAACTCAAATGGGCTTTCTACACTTACCATTATAATTTAAATTACATTATATTTTAGATTGGGCCATTTTTCAACATTTCTCTTCTGAAAAATATCTGATATATGTTGAGACGTGATCGCCATGAAAAATTAGGGCAAATTTGATCATCTGAATGACAAAAATCTAATTGGAGAAAAAAATCTGCAAAATAAAATAATTTCAGTAGAAAGAGAGACTAAAGTACTGCTAATATATGTAACATATATTGCATATTTCTAATTAGAAATATTATATTTTGAGAAGTTTATGTCGGTAACGGGGTTGACAAGATTATGAAAACAGCCAGGAGAAAAACTGTTATAAAATATGAAGTAACACCGCCTGAGAAGGCACAATATAATTTCCTGCCATTTTAAACATTCTTTGATTCCTGGGTACTTAAAAATTAACAATTAAATATAGTTTAAATTTTTAAATTTTCTAAGCTGAAAAGGCACCGATTTCATGGAATGACCCATCTTAAGTCCCAATCTGAAGAATAAACTGCTAAAAAAAAAAAAGGTGGTTTAAAGTTTTTTTCAAAACCTCACAGAGTGCTGTTCATTTTAAAAAAATGTATCTTTTTTTTCAGGCAGAAAGACTAGACAAGATACTGGACATGGAGGACGTACATCTACAGGTAGAACACCTGTGGGTGGAGGAGGTACTTTATTGATCAGTTTTGATTGCTGATTTCATTGGGATTTCTATAAATCGAATCTCTCTTTGTAACTTGTGAACTGCACATCAGATGTCTTTTCTTATTTTCTCCTAGAGAGAGAAACCAGACCAAATACTGGACATGATGGGTCTACAGCAGGAGGAACAAATGAAAGGCGAACTACAGAAGGTAAGCTGTTTAATTTTGACAACTACATTAAAACACAGAGAGGCAGAAGGTCATTGGACTGATTTGTGGCACTGAATGTTGATAGATGATTGGACTGTATACCTGGTATCTTTGTTTATTTCCACAAAGGCAGAGGTCAAGGTACTGGACATGGTGGAGGAACAGTTGGTGGAGACACCACACCCACTGGCAGAGAGAAACAACCTGTTGGTGGAGGTGAGTTAGGGATTTGTTTTAAAGGAGAGTTTTATACTAATTTTTACCTTTTGTTCACTCAGTCCCGAAAAGAAGCTTTGAATGATCTTCAGCTCAAAAAACTCCTAATTTATTTATCTTATTGTAGACTCCATAAAAATCCTTATTACAAGCACTATTCAACTGCTGCCTGATGTGTCATTTTGTGTCATTACGGCTCAACTAACCCTATACACGGGGTAAGTTGACCATAGGAGACTGCTTTTTTTTTGGCATGCTATATTATCAAGACAGTTATTTTTACACTTATTCTGTTGTTTCGAAGGGATACACAACATCTTGAAATATATGCAGATACACTAGTTAGAGACAAAAGTATGATTGCCTTGATGTAGTGATCTCAAATATAAAAAGTGGCTCATCTTACCCCACTCTCTCCTACTGATTTAACTGAGTGCAGATAGGAGAAAAAACAAAGTGTCCTTGCACCTTTTCTGGGAAAAGGCGCAAAAGATCATTCAGAAGTGGCAACTGAAGGAGTGACTTTGCTCTTCTGCTCTGTGTCATACAGGATCCTCTGCCACATCTGCCGTGACTGAGGAAGACACTACACCCACTTTCGTATCAGGTACATCAACTGAACTTGTACCAGTACCTGTACCAGCATTTAGAGTTTAAATGCTTCTTAGGAGCCAAACAAAACTATTAGGAAAAACATACAGCTCAGCTCTTCTTTGACTCTGTCCACCCTGTCCTCCATCCAGCATCTCTGAACAGACTTTTCCTCTTGATTCATTTACTTTCCACTCTGTTTTGGTGTGTGGGTGTCGTGGAAGGTAAGAGCTAGCATAGAGGGGGTAGTCCCAGGACCTGAGACCCATGAGAGATGTTGTGGATCGAACTTGACAAGACATGTCTGAAAAGAGGAAAACACTTTCTAACCCTGGTGATGTACTGGATCTCTGTATCACTATATTTGTTTATGCTTAGGTCATGATCGTGACACAAAACCAAAATTTTACTCCAATGTAGAACTCAGGGTGTGACCACAAAGTTTGTTTGGTCAAAGTCAAGGTTCAGTACAAAGAGGGAAAAATCAGGCACAGGTATCTAAAATGTGAGGCTAAAGGTCAAATTATACATATAAAACCACACAACCCTGAATCCCAAAGCCCTAAACTGCAGTCTACTCTGGCCTCAGTCAAACTTACAGATCCATCATCCAAAGCCCTCAATGGAGAGAGGAGAGAGGAGGTACATCAGCGGAGCAATGAAAGAGTAAAACATGAGAGTGGTCTTTTCAGTAACAAAAACAGCATTTATTAAGTATCACTTACTGACTACATGCTGCAACACATGTACTTCACTGAAACTTTGTAGTTTATTAAAAGAGAAGGTGGACCTTAAAACAGTCACTAAGGGGTGTCTTAAAACAGCTCATAAACAGACGCCTATCTCTCAACCGCTGGTTGGTGATGAGCAGGGATAAAGTACGTTTGACTTTGGTTTAAAGGATGATGAATGATGAGCATAAGTGAAAAAAAATATCTACTACTTCACCATCTAACCAATTCTTTAATGATCGGAAATCATAAAATAAGAAAACAAAAAAAATATCAGTGAGAAGTTATTATTCTTGTCCAGTTGGCTCTCTTTTTTTTTACTCAAGGATGAGAATCAAACTTTAAAAGGAGAGTTTATTAGCAACAGAAACACTCAATATTGACATGAAATGACATTTTCTCTAGAGCATCAAATGACGTGACCTCCATTTGCAATCATGGTATCAGCTGATTATTGTTGTGTCATCTGTCAATAAAAGAAAAGCAAAGGAGAAAAAAGAAATGACCAGGATGAACAACTGATCATCAATATTTTGTTCTATAGATCTATAACATTAGACTACATGACTAATTTGATACAAGATGAATCAAACAAAAAAATGTATTAAGTCTATAAAACTCTGTTTTATTGATTTAATGACAGTTATGCTTCTTATTTTGCACTTAATACTCGTGTCAGACATTTTAATTTCAGCTTATCACATACTGACTGTTGAAAAACCAACAAATGTTTGAGGCCTTTATACTGACTGATTTAAGACTCGTCTCTTTCTCATTGTTTACCTCCACTGGTGTGATGTTTTAGCTAAGTCAAGTGCGCCACAGCGTCCAATCAGTGAGTGAGATTCAACAGGAGGGTGTGAAGCCTTCCCAGAAGGCAGCTCTCTTGTATCCTCTCTTATTGCTCCTCAGATTTCCCTCCTGTACTCTCTCTTCCCTGTCCTCCAAGACCTGTTAAGGGCTTTTGCAGAATAGAGGACAGAGGAGGCTGTGGTTAACAGCTTTGGGACATTAGACAGAGAAGTAGGATGTGAAGACAGCTATGATGAGAGACAAGAGTGAATGTCAAAGTAAAAATGAAAGATGAAATAAAGTAAACAAACTGGAGACATGATTGTGGCGGGCATTAGGGCCACCTGGTATGTGACATATACCTCATCAGAATAAAACCAGATACAAATCAGGATAAGTGAGTGTCTGAACTTTTATTAGAGCAAAAGTTTCTTCTGTGTCTTTAATAATAAGAGGTTTAGGGTTAGCTTGGACCTAAACTTTGGTCTATGACTGCTCAGACCTGTGTTTATATTTTAATATTTGACTTTGATATGACACCATGAAAAATGATATGCATCTCTCTTTGAATTTCAGTTGATCAATGCGGACAAACACCAAGTGTTGCCAATGGTGATGTGGTGCAAGAAAGGGGAAATTACTTGAGATACCAGTGTTTTGCTTTTTACACACTTGTGGGTCCAGAACAAGTCAGGTGTTTCAATAACAGGAGCTGGTCTGAACTGCCTACCTGCAGAGGTATAAACAAATCGATACAACTGTGTTTTTACTCCAAACTGAATATGTTAGAATAATACAGATACATTCTTATGGATATTTTCATGATTTTTTTGTACAGAGGCTTCTTGTGCCTTCAAACCTGATTTGTATTCGAGAATTGGGATCAGGGAACAGGGGACTATATATCTAAAGGAAGGAGAGACGAAGTGGGTTTCCTGTGAAAGTTGGGGAAAGCACAGCCAATTTTACTGCACAGCTGAAAGAAGACGTGCTTATACAGCATGTAAGTATATGTGATCTTTCTACATTTTGACATGCTGCTTTAGGTTTTGTCATCTGTTGTCACCAGAGGAAAGTAATGTAATGCAAGATGACCCAAATGAAGTCAGATCCATTAAAGTGCAAAAGTTTTTAAAAAGCAAATCAAAACACCCAAAGTGGAAGAAAACTATAGTTTACGTAAATAGCTTTAGATATAAACTAAAGACAAAAAGTCAGGATTGTTTTGGTAGATTATTTCTTTGTTGTGACAATGCTTCTTGGAAGTTAATCTTATACTGTTGGAAAGCCTGTTTGGCTACTTTTTCATGGATGCAACTCTCAAACCCAGCTCTACTGCTTATCCCACAAATGCATGTTCCTACTTATATGGCATAATTTTAAAGGAAAATAAACAAGCTTTCAGTGTACGATTTATTGCCAAGAAGCATTTTAACAACAAAAAAATAATTGACCAAACACACATTTCCTGACATTTTATGCTAAATATTTAGGCATAGAATTGTATATTTTTACTGGATAAACCTTGTGTCTTTAATTTCAGCAAATATTTTTGTGAATGAATAATTTAACCATCAAATGATTTTGAAGTACTGCTAACAAAGGACACAAAGTTTTCCTTGTTGATGCAACCAAGCAGATGATGTTTGTATGAATGAAACTACTCTGATTAAATCCTAATGTGCTGATGTTTTTGGATTCTTTTAAGGTTGTAACGACTATGAGCGTTACTATGTAAGTGTAACTCTTTTATTTACCTCACAGAAATTACCTTCATAATTCAATGGTTTTGTGGACTTAGTTTAATGTCATTTTATTACATCTATGAGTTTTTAATCCTAAACCATTCTCTGTTAACATAACTCACTGTGTTTGTTTCAACCAGGGACAGTGCAACACCTATTACGCTTAAAACCCGACAGAGTATTGGACTGACGACAAGCTTTGAGGAAACCTCTATTGGGAAAAACCAGGCCTTAATAATAACATGTTTTTAAAAGTCAATTTCTGTTCTTTACATGTGATTGAAAATGCAGACATGTAATATTTAGGATGTTTTTTGTTTTATATAAGAATTGTTGATGCTTTGAGATGAACAATCATAAAATCAGGTTTGCATGGGGCACTGAATAAAATAAAGTGTTGAGTGCATGTTTGAATTTCTTTGTGTGATTATTTCTGACAGTCCAGGAGGCTTTTTAGGGCTATAAATCCAAAATGTTTATATGTTTTAAGAAGGTAAGGGCAAAGATCCAGGCTGTAGAAATTATTATTTGGGACAAAAAGGACAATTGAAAGAATAAGAACACACTTAGAGTCCAAGTACAGATGTATCTGACAAAGCGGTTCAGCTTTACTGATACAACCAAACGGTTAATATTGATGGATGGGCTGTCTTGCTATCATCACTTGAGGATGGAGCTGTGGTTCTGTAAATGGATATATTGGCTGGAGTTACACACTTAACTTTCTTTAGTCTTGATTAGTTTTCAGACGTGTTCCCTTTCAACTAAATCTCTTTGAATAAAACACTAAAAAAAAAAAAAAACTCACATAGAAGATGAGCTCCTGTAGACCGAGGTACCCACTGTCACTGATATTCCATGAGCACCTACATGGAGGGAGTTGGAGGCATGTTACAGTTTTTCTCAGTCACTTTGGTACATTTCTTAGATCAGGATTATAATTCTTAAAACTGCTTGTTCAGTCTTCACATCATTAAGTCTCTATCCTAGAGGCAGCTAACAAACATGTGGCAGAAATCCAACAAAGTACAAGGTTGACAGTGAACTTTACACAGAGGTATATAAAGCCTAATCACACTGGAGGAAATCAACGACTGAGGCTAGCTTTCTACGGAAGCGCATTGCATTTACTGGATTAAAAAAAATCAGACACCTTATTTTGTAATTATGAGAAAAGATCTTATATTTACAAGAAGGGGTTTCTGATTTTTTTACGTGGTGAATACAATGGGTTTCCATAACTTTCTCTTCTGTTCTATGATTACACAAAGCAGCAATCACAGGCTGAGAGAAGAGGCCAATTGAAAAGTTCTGAAAGCTGCAGTACCACCAGTGACCACAAGAGGCTGGCTAGAAAACATGTCGATGTTAACTATTTCACTAATTCTTGTTAAATTGCATTGAGGCTACCTTAATTAGAGGATCATGGATGTGGTTGCTTTGAGTGATTGATAGAATCTGATCCTGATTTATTGTCTTTGTTGTAAATCAAATGTGCTGTTTTCTACAGAACGTCCTCTGGTTTACTGAAGGCCGACCTTTGCCCTGACTGTGTTTGGTATTTCATAATGCTGACCTCTGGTCACAGCAGTCTGGGAAATCATTTTGAAACCCTGGCTCTAAATAAATAAATAGCTGTTGTAGCTTGTCAAACAAGGGTAAAAAAACTGCTTTACTGGAAGTGTTGGGGCTGAAATGTACAAAGTTGGAAGAGAGTCAGAAATAGAATTATAATTTTTTTTCTGGGGGGGATTCGATCAAACTAAAGCCTTGAAATCATTTAGGATCTTGAGTAGTAAAACACCCTTTACATTATCAGTTTAACAATTAGATTTGGGTTTTTCGGTGTATTAATGTTTGAGATCATGTAGTGAGTTACATAAAAGTGATATAACAGTTAAATGTGTCATGAATGCTACTATGTGAAGTTCTGATTCAGTGCTGTTATCTAAATATCACTTTTAGGATAATTTCATGACTGACATACTGACTCATAATTTAAAGACACTGTTGATTTGCGTCTGAAATGTTTGCTGCGTGTTATCAGTATGTTGGCCTCAGAGTGACAGTGGGATGACAGAGTCACAGTATTTACTCCTCATTTCTTAACTGTTGGGGAAATGTCCTAAACAATCATTAACTTATTCTGATCTGAAAAGGGCTCTTTTCTCTGCTGGGAATTTTATTCCTGACACAATGGGCGTGAGATATCTTGGATTTGTTGTGCTGATTTGGCTTCCAGGAGCTCTGCATGGTAAGAACATTCAAGTCCTTCAAGTTTGATGTAAAATCTTTTCAAAGAAACATTCCTTCATAGTAGTGTTCACTTGTGACAATCAATTTTTCAGCTCAAGGTGCAGCTCAGCCCTGTCCTCCTCCAAGCCTGAATGGTGGTTACTTTGCCCCAGAACAAGAGTGTTAATATCATGAATCTGAGATTGTCTTTGTCTGTGACAAAGGAAGTAAACCAGCTGTGGAGGGCTGGTGGGCAACAAGCACTTGTAAAGGAGGCACATGGTTACCTGAACCACAATGTATCAGTAAGTGTTTGGTGTCTTACTGTTTAATGAGACGTTGAAAGTCTGCAGAGGTGTGTTTTTTAAGATTACACTCTTCATCCCCTTCGTGTTTTCTGCTTTAAACCAGATTAGATAAGACTTCATTGGCCCCCTGAGGGAAAATTCAGTTGTTGCATCAACTCAGACAAGAAAGAATACAAGAAGACTAGTGGTGGGGTAGGAATCCAGTGTAATAAATATAATAAAATATAAGATAAATAGAAGTTGGATGCCAATGTGATGAGGTAGGGGAGACCGGGGCTTGTTGTCACATGGGTAAGTTGTCACAGGGCAATTATTTTTGCTACAAGAGGGCGCAACTAAAGGGCGGAATACTAGTTTTATTCCTTTACAAGGTCAGGGTTTATGTCCTGTCTGAGAAGAGAAGAGCACATTGTGAGCTGAGATGAGCGCCAATCAACCATTTCGTACAACCCAAAGTAAAAAAAAAAAAAAAATGTGTATATTTTAAAAAAAGCTTCTTCCAGGTAAAAATCCTTGCAGTGATACATGTGCACTTGTTAGAGGAGAGATTAAGGCATCCTGTCATACCTCAGTCATTGTTCAGTTTTAAGATAACTTTGTGCTAGAGCTAGAAATAGCAAACATGGTAGTTTGGGGCAACATGTCTCAGTCAGTTTGGGGTTAGTTGTTGTATGTTTAAAAGGGATTAAAGTTAACATAGAGGGCTCTATTTTCGTGCTTCGCCGGAGACGTGCCGCAGGCGCGACGTAAGTCAGGTCCGCAACGCCGACAAGGTGTTCCCAAGCACAATTTGATATTTTGGTAAGCAGCGCAGCCCGGCGTAAGTATCCCCCCTCCCTAACTCAGCTCCTCCCAGCGGCGTAAGTAGTAGCGAGGGAGGAGAGAGAGCGTGAAGTGGGTTTAACACAGCCGAGACCTGTTTTCACCAATCACATCAGCTCCTCTCCTTGCATTTAAATCCGCCACCGGCGAGGCGTATTACTATTTTCGTGAAGTAGTCAAAGAGATCAAGAGATGTCTGAAGACAGTAATGCCACAAGATGGCGACAGAGGGCAGCTCCTCGACAAGTGTCACTGTAAGTGCTGCATTGGGTGTCCTCCACACTCTCTCACATAAGCACAGATGGATTTAGTGTGCGTAATGTTGGACCCAGTGGTAAGACAAACACCCTTTTCCACAAATAACGACACTCACATAAAGTTGCTCATATTCAAACCTCACGTGACAAAGGTGGGTTGAGCGCACAGTTCACAACATAAACTCCAAAAATGGCATTAAAATCAGAACCATCTGTGCGTAAATGACGCATTGCGCTCCGTGGCCTGGCTCTTTCTTTCATAGATGTTGGCATATAAAATAAATTTGGCTCACAAAACTGAATATTATAATATCCGTATGTCGGCCTAAATTAGATAACTCATCTGATCACTGAAACAAATCATCTGATCAGCCGCCGCAGCAGCAGCTGCAGCAGGACGGACAGAGGACACGGAGACGTGCCAAGGTCAAGGTGCACGAGAAATAAGAGGAAGAGGAAGAAGAAAGGGAGGGAGACGAATTGAATATCTTGTTAACTTCATCATGTGTGTTTATTTACTAGATATTTAATTTAATTTGATGCGGTTTCAGCTGTGTTGATTCGGTCAGGTTGTGTGTCCAAACGCGTGCCAAACGCGTTCATCAGATCAGATATAGATCTTAATATATCGATATAGATCTAAATGTATGTGCTGACTCAGATTATTGGCTGTTATTGATTATTTATTGCACTGAAATGTGCCTGACACTGTGGAAACCTGCCGGTGAGGCATCAGTGACGTATGCCGATACGCCGCAGGTCTACCAAAATACTACTAGACCAGCTGCGCTCCGCCTGCACTGAAAGCTGACCAGGTTTGAATCGGCGAGCTTTCAGCGCATTTTACACGCCACTGGTGAGCACGAAAATGTCCCTGCGCCTGCCGATTCTGTCGACATCTCCCCCTGCCATGCCACCACGCTCAGCTTGGCGGATGTCGGTTCGCCTTCTTGCGCCTCAGTCAATGAAAATACCAAACTGGCTGTACACCGGGCTGCGCCAGACGAAAATACAACTGCGCGGGGTCCGCCATCCTTCGTCGCTTCACCGGCGTACATGAAAATAGAGCCCAGAGAGTCTGCTCACCACCAGTTGTCATATTAAAATTTTGACTTTATTCTTATGGAACAAAGAGTGGTTAAAGGGAGAGGAGAAAGCAAAAAGACATGGTCATTTAATAAACTGAAAAATCTGGAAGAAAAAAAACAACACTGTAAAACACCCCCCACTGTGAGATGTCTTTGTTTCTCTTTTGCTTACAGATGAATCAGCCTGCTATCCCCTTGAGGTACCCAATGGAAAGTATAAGGAAAACCAAAATCGTTGGCATGAGCAGCAAACTAAAATTAGGATAACATGTGATAAAGGGTATGAGTTGAAAAACCGGGATGCCACAACCATTTGTTTGAATGGAACCTGGTCCTCTGTGCCCATCTGTGAGAGTGAGTCTGTCTCTTGGTCTTCAATCGTTGGCTGTAAAACTGAAAACTGGCTTTGATAACACAAGTGTCTTAATCAATAAGAATACTAGCGTACATACATACATTTCTTTCTCTTGATTATATGTGCTTACTGTTTTTTTACAGTGAGTGATTCTACATGTAACAGGCCTCCACCACAAATCCCCCATGCAGTCATAATTGGTCAGAATTATCAGGAGGTGTTTGCTGCAGATTCAGAAGTTCATTATGAATGTGAAAACGGATATACTGCAGAGGGATCAGAGGACAAAAAAATAATCTGCCTATCTGGAAGGTGGACTGAAGGCCCAGCCTGCAGTAAGTGAACTGTGCTGAGAGATGCAGTCAGAAGGAAGAGGTCTGTGCAGGTTCTCAGTCATCCAGGTCATGGTTATCCAAATCTTTGTTGAAAGTGCAACTGGACTTGTTTGAGGTTCTTAAAGACGTTTTGCCTCTCTTCAAAAAGACATCTTCAGTCCCAATCTGAAGAATAAACCGCTAAAAAACTGGTGGTTTTTAGTTTTTTTATAACCTCACAGAGTGCTGTTCATTTAAAAAAAATGATTCTTCTTTTAGGCAGAAATAGACAAGATACTGGACATGGAGGACGTACATCTACAGGTAGAACACCTGTGGGTGGAGGAGCACAGGTGTTGCACTCTTTGCAACTTGTGAACTGCACATCAGATGTCTTTTCTTATTTTCTCCTAGAGAGAGAAACCAGACCAAATACTGGACATGATGGGTCTACGGCAGGAGGAACAAATGAAAGGCGAACTACAGAAGGTAAGCTGTTTAATTTTGACAACTACATTAAAACACAGTGAGGCAGAAGGTCATTGGACTGATTTGTGTTACAGATAGTTGGCTACAATGAACAGTACATAATTAACTTTTAGATGATTAGAGTGAATAAAACCTGGTGTCTTTGTTTATGTGATGATGATGACTCAGACTTTATGCCTCGACAGAAAACAGTAGCTAGCCACGAGTAGAAGTGTCCTCTTCACTCCTCATTCAGTCCTGTTAGCATACTTTTGCTATTCTTACATTACCTGCTGGTATATTACACTCAGTTTGTGGTTCCAAAGCTACAGAGAAGGTCCGTATATATGGAGCAGCTCCAAGTTTTAGTAACAACTGAGCAGTAAATCCAGATTACTATACTGGCCTGTGCTTACAAATGAGTCATCAGTGAAGTGGTGAACACAAAAAGCTCAGTTGTGGAAAGTAAAATTGCTTCTGGTTTTCTAGTACTTTCATTTTCATGAAAGCAAAACTGACTTACCTTCATAGCCATAAAACACCTGTAAGCAACTTTCCAAGACATACTGATTTAACTGAGTGCAGAGAGGAGAAAGATAGATCATTAGTGGCGACTGAAGGTGTGACTTTGCTCTTCTGCTCTGTGTCATACAGGATCCTCTGCCACATCTGCCGTAACTGAAGAAGACACTACACCCACTTTCGTATCAGGTACATCAACTGAACTTACTGCTCCTTTTACTCTAAGAACATTAGCTCTGAATAATGAGTTAACCAGCTTATCAAACTTTTCCTACATTTTATTTCTTGTAAATGGGTTTCAGTAAGGGTGAAATGGAAGTAAGTACCTGATCATTCAAAAGAAATCTGTACCAGCTCGGTAGAGTTTAAATGCTTCTTAGGAGCCAAACAAAACTATTAGGAAAAACACACAGCTCAGCTCTTCTTTGACTCTGTCCACCCTGTCCTCCTTCCAGCATCTCTGAACAAACTTTTCCTCTTGATTCATTTACTTTCCACTCTGTTTTGGTGTGTGGGTGTGGTGGAAGGTGAGATCTAGCATAGAGGGGGGTAGTCCCAGGACCTGAGACCTATGAGAGATGTTATGGATCGAACTTGACAAGACATGTCTGAAAAGAGGAAAACACTTTCTAACCCTGGTGATGTACTGGATCTCTGTATCACTATATTTGTTTATGCTTAGGTCATGATTGTGACACAAAACCAAAATTTTACTCCAATGTAGAAATCAGGGTGTGACCACAAAGTTTGTTTGGTCAAAGTCAAGGTTCAGTACAAAGAGGGAAAAATCAGGCACGGGTATCTAAAATGTGAGGCTAAAGGTCAAATTATACATATAAAACCACACAACCCTGAATCCCAAAGCCCTAAACTGCAGTCTACTCTGGCCTCAGTCAAACTTACAGATCCACCATCCAAAGCCCGTAATGGAGAGAGGAGAGAGGAGGTTCATCAGAGGAGCAATGAATGTGTAAAACATGAGAGTCATCTTTTCAGTAACACAAAAACGTATTTATCAATTATCACTTTATGACTTACTTTGTAGTTTAATAACAGAGAAGATGGACCTTAAAGCAGTCCCTAAGGAGTGTCTTAAAACAGCTCATAAACAGACGCTTGTCTCTTAACTGCTGGTTGGTGATGAGCGGGGATAAAGTAAGTTTGACTTTGGTTTAAAGGATGATGAACGTTGAGCATAAGTGAAAAAAATATCTACTACTTCACCATCTAACCAATTCTTTAGTGGTCTAAAATCACAAAATAAGAAAGTAAAAAAAATATCAGTGATCAGTTATTATTCTTGTCCAGTTGGTTCTCTGTCTGTCCCTGTTGGTATGAGAATCAAAATTTAAAAGGAGAGTTTTTTTAGCAACAAAAACACTCAATATTTTCTGTCAGGTCAATAAAGTTTCATAAAAGGTTGATCATATATAGTTATTTGAAAACTGCTGCATGTTTAAAACATGGATGGGTAATAAAACATATCTTTCTCATACATATTTCCCAATTTCTTCACTCCACCTCTTCATTTTCATACATCTCTGGTGAGAGGGACCAAAATGTAAGTGAATGGCACAAGTGGGAAATGTAGGGATGAAATGTAAAGGCTACAGGACTTAGCTTAAAAACACTTGTATAATGATAATGATAACAAAAGTGGACGAAGAAATCTGTTGCAAGAGACATGAAACGACATTTCCTCTAGAGCATCAAATGATGTGACCTCCATTTGCAATCATGGCATCAGCTGATTATTGTTGTGTCAGCTGTCAAAAAAGAAAAGCAAAGAAGAAAAAAGAAATGAACAGGATAAAGAACTGATCATCAATATTTTGTTCTATAGATCTATAATATTAAAATAATATGACTGTTTTGATATAAGGTTAATAAAAAAACTAATTAAATCTATAAAACTCTGATTTGTTGATTTAATGACAGTTATGCTTCATATTTTGTGCTTAATACTCATGTCAGACATTTTAATTTCAGCTCATCACATACAGTTGAAAAACCAACAAATGTTTGAGGCCTCTATACTGACTGATTTAAGGCTCGTCTCTTTCTCATTATTTAACCCCAGTGATGTGATGTTTTAGCTAAGTCAAGTGCGCCGCAGCGTCCAATCAGGGAGTGAGATTCAACAGGAGGGTGTGTCTATCAGTAAATAGCCTTCCCAGAAGGCAGCTCTCTTGTATCCTCTCTTATTGCTCCTCCGATTTCCCTCCTTTATTCTCTCTTCCCTGCCCTCCAAGACCTGTTAAGGGCTTTTGTATACCACTTCACATGGCGAGTCCACAAGTACTTTGAGTTCAGCCAAGAATAGAGGACAGCGGAGGCTGCGGTTAACAGCTTTGGGACACAAGACAGAGAAGTAGGATGTTAAGATAGCTATGATGAGAGACAAGAGTGAATGTCAAAGTAAATATGAAAGATGAAATAACATCCTTGCCAGAGGATGGTCACAGAATCTCACTTTGTGACCCGACTATGTCTGAACTTTTATTAGAGCCAAAGTTTCTTCTATGTCTTAAATAAGTGGTTTAGGGTCAGCTTGGACCTAAACTTTTGCCGATGACTGCTCAGACCTGTGTTTATATTTTAATATTTGACTTTGATATGACACCATGAAAAATGATATGCATCTCTCTTTGAATTTCAGTTGATCAATGCGGACAAATACCAAGTGTTGCCAATGGTGATGTGGAGAGACAAGGGGGAAATTACTTGAGATACCAGTGTGGTAGTTTTTATACACTAGTGGGTCCAGAACAAGTCAGATGTTTCAATAACAGGAGCTGGTCTGAGCTGCCTACCTGCAGAGGTATAAACAAATCAATACAGCTATGTTTTTACTCCAAACTGAGTCTGTTACAATAATACAGATACATTCTTATGGATGTTTTCATGATTTTTTTGTACAGAAGCTTCTTGTGCCTTCACACCTGATTTGTATTCGAGAATTGGGATCAAGGAACAGGGGACTATATATGTAAAGGAAGGAGAGATGAAGACGGTTTCCTGTGAGTGGCCAAATTCAAGCAAATTTCACTGCACAGCTGAAAGTAGACGTGTTTATACGCACTGTAAGTATATGTGATCTTTAGATATAAACTAAAGACAAAAATTCAGGAAATGTATTGAAATTTGTTTTCTTTGTTGTGACAATGCTTCTTGGAAATTAATCTTATACCGTTGGAAAGTCTGTTTGGCTACTTTTTCATAGATACAACCCTCAAACTCAGCTCTGCATCTCTTCCCACAAATGCATGTTCCTTACTTATATAGCATAATTCAAAAGAAAAATAGACAAGCTTTCAAAAGTGTACGACTCATTGCTAAGAAGCATTTTAACAACAAAGAAATAATCCATCACACATACTTCTTGACTTTTAGTGCTAAATATTTAGGCATAGAATTGTATATTTTTAATGGATAAACCTTGTGTCTTTAATTTCAGCAAATATTTTTGTGAATGAATAATCTAACCATCAAATGATTTTGAAGTACCGCTAACAAAGGACACAAAGTTTTCCTTGTTGATGCAACCAAGCAGATGATGTTTGTATGAATGAAACTACTCTAATTATTTCCTAATGTGCTGATGTTTTTGGATTGTTTTAAGGTTGTGACAGTCAATGATCATTACTATGTAAGTGTAACTCTTTTATTTACCTCTTAGAAATTAGCTTTATAATCAAATGTTTTTTGTGAACTTAGTTTAGTGTTAATTTATTACATCTATGAGTTTTAATCCTAAACCATTTTCTGTTAACATAACTCACTGTTTTTGTCCTAACCAGAGACGGTGCAACACCTATTACGAATAAAACCCGACAGAGTATTGGACTGACGACAAGCTTTGAGGAAACCTCTATTGGGAAAAACCAGGCCTAAATAATAACATGTTTTTAAAAGTCAATTTCTGTTCTTTACATGTGATTGAAAATGCAGACATGTAATATTTAGGATGGTTTTTGTTTTAAATCAAGGATTTTTGACGCTTTAAGATGAATAATGATAAAATCAAGTTTGCATGGGTTACTGTTTGAAATAAAATGTTGAGTACACGTTTCAGTTTCTTTGTGTGATTATTTCTGATAGTCCAGGAGATTTTTTAGAGGCAATAAATCCGAAATGTTTGTATGTTTTAAGAAGGTAAGGGCCCAGATCCAGGCTGTAGAAATTATTATTTGGGACAAAAAGTCCGATTGAAAGAATAAGAACACACTTAGTCAGAGTCCAAGTACAAATGTATCTGACAAAGCGGTTCAGCTTTACTGATACAACCAAACGGTTAATACTGATGGATGGGCTGTCTTGCTATCATCACTTGAGGGTGGAGCTGTGGTTCTGTAAATGGATATATTGGCTGGAGTTACACACAACTTTCTTTTGTCTTATTAAGTTTCCAGACTTGTTCCCTTTCAACTAAGTTTCTTTGAATAAAACACCAACCAAAAAACTCACATAGAAGATGAGCTCCTGTAGGCCTAGGTACCCACTGTCACTGATATTCCATGAGCACCTACATGGAGGGAGTTGGAGGCATGTTACAGTTTTTCTCAGTCACTTTGGTACATTTCTTAGATCAGGATTATAATATAATAACTGCCTGTTCAGTCTTCACATCATTAAGTCACTATACTAGAGGCAGCTAACAAACATGTGGCAGAAAACCCAACAAAGTACAAGGTTGACAGTGAACTTTACACAGAAGCAAATAAAGCCTAACCACAATGGAGGAAATCAACCACAAGTTTTCTGCTGTAGTTTCTGTAGAAAAGTAAAATTTGAAAACACAAAAATATACAACAGACAACATAAACCTTATTTTGACCTGGGCATTTTTCTCTACTTTGCCCCCATGGAGCTGAATGAGGGGCTGCAGGACACTTAAGGCTCCAGCAGATGGCAGTCAGAGTCCAAGCTGGACTGGAAACAAGTGGCGTAAACTGAGGTACAGGTGCAGCTCACAGTTTTAGAAATCTAATAAAGCTCAATACATTTCACCATTTATCTAAGAGAGAGTGAAAATTCAATATATTCTCAACCTAAATGTTTCAAACAATCTCCTGTTTTAGGTTAGTAATGGAGGCATACAGTTTAAAAATATTGAAGAATCAAAACTCAACTTTTTTCTGTAGAGAAAATAAGTTAAAATATTGTGTATCACTTGGTCTAATTCAGAACAGGTAACTACAATCCTAGGGAGGACTGCTGAGAACATTGTTAGAAACAGATTAATTGGAGATTATGGATTACATACACAAGTAAACTTTCAGATTTTTTCAGAGTTTATGAAATCAAAGTTCTTGGGATTACCATAGATGACAAACTTGGTGTCAAAAAGAGCTGCTGTGTTGAATATGGCCACACAGGTTTAAGATCATAAATCACTGAGTTTGTACTTATTTCCACTTCTTTTCTGACATATATGAGAAATAATCAGGTGTTTGACAGTCTCGTATGGTGGGTGAGGAGAACCCTGTGTCCACATCAGGCCTCCGTTGATGTTGTTTTTTCTGCTGCATGATCCCCTGCAGGTCTTTATGTCTTTAAATGTGTTGATATCTCCCTGGGTGGTAGCAGAGTGTAAACAATATGAACAGCTTCAGGGGCTGATGAACAGAGCATCAACACTTTATTCTCTGAAGTGGAAACTATACGTTTGACACTGAGGAGAGCTCCCAGCCAAAAACTACAGCCCAGTCTTTTTACCAAGGACTCTCTGTGGATTCAAGGCTCCTCCGGCACATTTAAACCTGCTGAAAAACAAGTGAGTCTTAGTTCAATTCTCAGCAGCTTCTGCATCAGTGTTGTGTTTCTCATCTTTAAATAATTCAGGATTAAGGGGAATGAAAAAGAAACACAAGTGACACTCTGAGACATTTTCAAATTCACTTGGCTTTTATTCACATTTCAACTCGACTTCACCATCTGTCCATACATTCTACCACTTTTCTGAAACTTCCTTTTCTCGACATCCTAGTTGATGAAGACAGGAGGTTAGAACACCACCATCACAAATAATAATAATAATAATAATATTATTAATAATAACAATAAAATAATAATAAAAAGCAGCATTGAGGAAACAACTCGTGATGTCTTTCCCTTCATCACCAGCATCTTTGTTTTAATATTGACCTGAATGTAACCATCAATGATCAGTCAAAAAAAATGTACAAAGAACAAGCTCCTGATAAATAATCATCATCACCCTCCTCCTCATCAGACTTCACACACACAAAGATATACTAATTATGTAAGATACGAACTGAAGAGTTAAAAAAACGACTCAAGCCTTAATGAGGAAAAAAACATGATTGGTCTACAGTGTGTGTGTGTGCATGAGTGTGTATGTCCGTGTGTGTATATGTGTTGGTTATCTGCGTCATTTTCTGAGCCGGACACAAATCTGTCAAAGCAGATGTCAACATCAGGCTTTAGTCTTATATTCAGGTCTGGTTCAACCTGCTCCAGTCCTTATTCATTTGTTTGTTTGTTTGTTTTTTGTGGTTATTAAGACAGTCGTGCAGGAGCAGATGGATCCTGTCAGGAGCTACAGCAGGGTGCTACAGAAGCAAGTTTGGCTCCTCTTACTGAAAACAGCAAAGAAGCACTGGTTATGTTGTGACAGCTCGCACACACACACAAACGCACACACACACAACATTGTGAAACACTTTGGTCCAACTGACTTCAAAATACATAATTTAATGTTGGGTATGCAATGCCTCTCTGTAAAGCCTGAACCTGTTAAACAGTTGTCTGTCTCATTCTTGAAGCCCTTTTCAGACACACAGCATCATTTTGTAAAAGTCCTGATGGGGTTTAAAAAGTCCCTTAACTCTTCCCACGCAGAAAAAGTTTTAACTGAATCAAACCTCATGAACATTAAGACTGCAGCAGATAGAAGCTGCGCATCTTGGGATTAAATGCTTTTGTGCTTCCTCGTGAACAGCCCCTGAAAATTGCACTTTTACAATGATTTATAAGGTCTTGCATGAAAAATAAGTTTTTCTTTCCACCAATCAGAATTCAGGAAAGGTTTTTATTCCTGTCTGCACTACAAATGCTTTAAGTGTTGTTTGACAAACTAGTGATCATGGCCTATACCATGTCTGAAAAGGGCTTTCCTCTCTTTGAATGTCTGCATGAAGCCAGAGGAGATGAAATCACTCTGCATCCATATTTTCATCCACTCTGTGTGATCTGTGAGCGTTATCTTGGGCCCCGAGTCAACCAGATAAAAACACAACTAGTGCTCAAACACTGCAGTAGCCTGTCACCTGTGTTTCAGGAGACTATAAATACAAACTTAAGTGTCCCACAGTTTTGATATGATCACTGACTGCATGTCAGAAAGGCCTCCATGGAGGGATTAGTGTGCTTTCTTGCTGCAGTTTCTACTCTTATCAATAGGTGGCGGTGTTTGTCTGAACACCAGTTTCTGTCACTGCTAACACACTCTGAGCCATCGCAGCATGGGTTTGCATTTGGGGATGGGATACCACCAGGGTGGATAACTTATTTCAAGTCAAAAATTGATGAAAAAGCAGCTGGAGATCAAAAGGAGGCTGGTGCAGTCCTGCTCTGACTTTGAAGGCTTGTTTTTTTTTTTCTTTTTTAATCATCTCCCATCTTTCTATCAATCCATCTGTTGCAGAGCCGTGGTGCTCTTCATCTTCCCACCTCTTCAACATCTGCTCTTTACTTCTGCCTTCTGTATTTCATTCCTTTCTTCAGACTCTCAGGTGGTTAGCCGTGTGTCCATGTGTCCCCAGTGTGCTCTGCTGGTGTCAGTCACTGATATTGGAGGTAATTTTTTAGGGACTGGGGTAGAGGGAGGCGCTCGATCTCCTGCAGACGTTCACGACCCAACGCCAGGCGGGCTGCACGCCGACACAGGTCCATAAGAGGGAGGGGCTCAGCTGAGGAGAGAGGGACAGAGATAGATCGGATTGATTAAAAGTTTGTACTTACACACTTGCCTTTAAAACTTGCACAAAACATGTAAACACTTCTTGTGGATTTATGAAAGACGTACAAGAGTTCAAGTGTCGCATTTTGTTCTTGTGCACAAACTATCCCCACACAATGAGACCTGTTTGTATGAATATTCTGTGTAAAAAGTGAGACAACATCAAAGCTTCCTCAAAGATAAACTCAGCGATCTTGAGCTCTCCAACTGCAGCTGCAGGAGAGGTCTCACAGGATTTTTATGACAAACAAAAACAAACAAGACAAAAAAAAACAGCATTAACAATTCTTATATCCTCGTTTCAATTGCCTGAAATGGGTGTGAGGAAGTAGTAGCTGCTAAAGTAAGAACCTCATTTGTATATTTTTTTTAATATAGGGGACAAGACTGTTGGTCCACAGGAGGGCGCCAAAGTCAACTCAAACTGAAAATTCCTCACAGAAGCTTTAAAGTCCACTTGCTTTACAAAGTTAAAGCAATACAAACATTACCTGCCAAGTTGTGGGAAATTGTCCTTTATTTGAGGCTAGGTGGGTGATAATTTCGCTCCCTTTAAAAAAACGTCTTTTTACAGTCAGTGCTTGTAACAGTTTGAGTCCATCTCAACACAAACGCCATCTGTCATCCTGACTTTCTTCCCCTTCTACAGATAACTTGGCACAGATTAAACTAAGATAACTAGCTCTTCTTTTTGTTGAATATCTGTGATGCCCCTGATTTATTTTCACGCAAGGGTTAAAGAGGGAACTGATACATGTGGCTGCAGTGTGGGGGCTATAGACACAGGCATGTGAGAGTGGAGATGGAGGGGAGGAGCTTTAGGAAGAACCTGTCTTTAACATCCTGATCCACCATCTGTAATGCACTCGTGTTAATTCCAGACCACAGATCATCCTAGAAAAATAAAAAATACTGTGTCTAATGCGACATGGTGATAAAATTCTCATCCTGATCCCCTCATGTCAGTTTCAGGCATGCTCAGTCTACAGTTTTGAGCTCAGACCTTCAGCTTTTATGAGGATACTGCAGCTGTCTTTTCATAGTGTCACATCTAATTAACATCTCATCTCCTCTGTCACTCGCCTCATGTGAGATGAGTTTGGCGCATTAATTAAACTGTCACTCAAAATGTTTGTTTCACACAACAAAAACGGATTTCAGATCGGTTACATGCCAAAAAACTCCAACTATGTGGAGATCTTCCAGAAACATCGTATGTTTGAAAGAAAGCAGATTTGTAATATTTGCAGTAACTTCAACACAAATTAACCGCTGCAGAGATTAGTCACCACAAAGAATTCAAAACATTCATTTTAAGTGTTTCAAACATCGTAACATTCAGGTTTTTTCCTCCTCTTAAACATTGTTTAGTTTTTGATTAGGGTTCTGGTTCAAAACAGAGCTCTAAAAATATTTTCTAAAGCTTACAGGTGACAGTGGGATCATAGAAAAAAAATAACTTTCATTAAATCCAGCAATAAAAGTTTAAAAGTACTTCTGTCTGGGTCAACTATGAGGAAGACAGGAGAAGGAAATGGCTGAAGTCTAGTGGAAATAAAGACCTGAGGATAACTTGATGACTCTTAAATTATAAGGGAGTGTGCAGTAGATCTGTTCACGTGCTGGATTTAACTCTGATTTATTCTCATTGAGTGCAAACAACTTGTCTTCATAATATTCACATAGACATTATCATTGATTTCAATTAATTGTTATGTCCCCATCCGATTAATTGATCTTAATCCCAGTGCAAAGCAGGGTGGGAGGGGCCAATAATGTAAATGTATTATTAATAAGGACATTTGTGATATATAATGCAATCTCTGATCCAAACACCTCACTCCAGGAAGAAGTCACAGGGACAGGCATTACTGTAACTGCACTGACACACATGCACTGACACACATAGACTTGGCCTACTGAACTGCACTTTATATGCAAAAGCCTCAGAACCGAGTGACCTCCACCAACACAAAGGCACCCAATCACAAAACACCGAGTGGGAGAAACTGTAGGGAAGTGAGGCAGAAGAACAACAATGGAGGTCACTCAGTTGGAAGAGTAGAGAGGAAAAAAAGACACATTCAATGTCAGACAGGAGAAGATTTGCAGGTTGGAATGGGCAAGACGAGGAAATGTGTTAAGATTCAAAATACAAAAGACCCTGCTGCATTTATCAATGGATAACCAAAACCAGCTGGTTTAAAGAAGATCAATTCAGGAATATTTTGATAATTTATATACAGTTTTTGTAATTTTTTTAAGTATGGTATGCCACACATGAACTGTTTTCGGCTTTTTAAGTTGAGAAGGAGTGAGAATTGGCCACTTTTTGAGCACTTGAAACAGCAAATTCAGTGTCTTAGAAAACGGGATTGTTGGTTGGAAAACAACGAACATTTAAAGAAATCATTCTGGACAGATAAACCTTGTTTCATGATATTTATTTTTAATGTACAGGCTTAAAGCTGAAATCTCCAGTGAGGAGTTTAAACTCGTATTGAAATAGATTAAAATTGATGCTGAACTCTTTATGTGACTAACAAAAGCAAACCAGGCTGTCGGCAAGGACGCTTATATAGTGATGTTTAATGCTTGTAACCACCAGTGATGGGTTGGTGTTAAAAGGACTAAATCATTGCTTGCTGAGGAAACAGCCTTGTTCAACATTTCTGGTGTTACACAGTCATTTAGCAGGTGCTTTTGTCTGAAGCGATTGGGAGATAGTTTGATTGAAAACACTGTCCTTAGCTCTGGCCTTGCTTCTCTCAACAGGCGTAAATAATTACTCATGCAAGTCTTATTTCAAAAGTGTGAGGACCCCGAGTGACATCAAGCATCTGTCTCTACCTGCTGTTTGTGTTCATACATAAAACACACATCCACATCACCTGTTAGCATGCTGGTCAGACTCCACCACCTGTTTCTGTGGATGCACTGCCGGTGCACGTGCATGTGTTTGAGTGCGTCTGTGTCAGTGTCCAAGGTTAAACCAGCGGGATAAAAGACGACCTAGCTCCTGCACAACCTTACACACTCACACTTACACTCCTGCTCAACATGTGTGTGTCCTTGAGGTGTGACGGTCACGTCCACAGAGAAACACCAAACTTCCACGGTAACAATGAGACAATTTCCAGCCTTTTCTTGACTCTCGGTTATCGCTCTATTTTAAGAGTAGTTTTCACAGCGTTAATAGGATGTTTACAGAACATGAAGGCTGTTGTGTGGGGGCTGAGTGACACAAACAACCGGTTCAGTGTGCTGCAGACAAATGACTCACACGAGTCATTTTTGTCTCAAAGGACAACGCTCATTTAATAACCATTCAAAGTATAATAAGCTTATGCTTACACTACCTTTATTCTTTATAACGATATTCAAAACTCTCATCACAGTCTCTCATGAGTCAGCCTGGCGTCTTCACATTCTTAATGGTTGTTGTAAAGGATTTTTACTGCTTTAGAAATGTGATTATGATGTTTTATAAGAGGTGGATTCAGATAAAGTGTTAACTCAACGTTCTTTGGACAGGTTTGAATGTGAAAACATATTATCTTTCAGGCCCGAGAAGTATGACATACTGTGACACTTACGAAAAATGTAAACAAGAGTTAAGACTGGAAATTGTCTGTGGCAGGAAGACCAACATATTAAACGTAACAAATTCTGACTTTTGGGTTTATTGTAAAATATAAAGTTATGAAGAAATCAGGGGGTTTTGAGGCGAACATCCACACGCCTTAGCCTGTGGTGACTGATGGTACTGCCTCAGATTAGTTTACCCATACTCTGCAAGTTAATTATATTTTGTTTACCTGCAAAACCTGTGATCCTGGGCTACACTGTGTTAAATAATTGCTCCATAATGTGACTACTTTTTGGGTGTCTTCTGACTTTCAGACAAGTTGGCTCATCAGATTTCTGTTTAAACAGCTTCAAAGCATCTCTAATAATAAAACCATGCATGTGCTATTGCTCTGTGCATACCCTCTGATCTTTTTACTGTAGTAGGAGCAACAAAAATTGTTGGTAATTTGGAGTAGTAAAATCATATTCTCTTCACTTCTCAACATGATTTAAAAGTGGGGGGATTGAGAGGAAGTATCATAATGATCTGTCTCAAGGTTAATCAGTGCTATTTCACTGTAGGTAGTGATAACTTCAACTTAAATCATCATTATAAACCCCAAGGTGTCTATTAAGGCCTTTCATTGCACCATAAAAATAATTAGCTGGGCTTAACAACTTCTACTGCAATACTCAGTAGGAGTTAATCTAACCGTTAATGCACTAACACATTTCTATCATGTTTTACGCTCTCAGCTTCTCCTCTAGTGGTGGTGAGAGAGATACTGATGAGGAGAGAAAGTCAGGACGATCAGCATCAGATCATAAACCTGAACATCATTAGACATTAAGCGCATTAAGAAGAACAACACTCAAAATGCTGCAGGACTGAATGTCATCATTGTGAGGGAATCTTTACCTTCAGCTCACTAATCAGATTACAAATACTTAAAAACACCCTCCAGCTGATTAAAAAAACAACATTTTTGTTTTCTGATGATAGATCATTTCTGTTTTAATTTGTAAGTTTAAATGGGAGACAGTCCTGAATGAACCTGTGGAAAAAATTAGCCGTGCCCAATCTGCTGTTTGTATCCCCTCATTTGCATGAAGGTGCAGACCTGTCATGAGAGGGTTGTACTGATGGGAACGACTAGACACCATCAGATTGATACCACATATGAAACGATTCCAGTCTATGCAGATTTTTCCTGATGAGACATTTTATATGGATATGAATCATGACCTGGAGTCTACTGCGACAGGAACGAGCAGTAATAAGGGCACACGATGTGACATGACGCCTGTAATGAGATGCAGGGCACAGCAGAGCAGGATTTATTGTCTATAGACGCTGATAATGGAAGAGAGGGTGAAAGTGGCAACAGCAGCGTCACTTTTATGACAGATGTGAAAAGTGACCTGCGAGGGGGCCGGGAGCTAAATAAAGCCTGACAGATGATCACAGAGTTTCAAAGAAAAAGTAGAAGAAGAGTCAAGAAGAGGGCTCAACTTTTAGTCTAACTTTTAGATGATAATAAAAGTGCTGTTTAGTCCTTTATGAGTTATGTGCTGTGTGCATTCATCTACTTTTGATTTGGATTAAATTAATCTCTGTCAACGGGTGTCTGCATGTAAATTGTGAAAGCAATACTTACATATAGCTTCCAAATACTGCATATAAGTAACAAATGTAGAACGAGTGAATACTGATGCAAATTAAAACAAAACTTTGAAGAGTTTCTCGACATTTGTGTAATAGTCTGAAATTGATATTATTGCTTTTTGTGATATTCAAAAGAAAACATCATCACTGACAAGATTGATTAATTGTATATGGTTTTCTTTCATTCCTGAAATTCATGTGAGGGGTAGGAATTTACAATTTATAGTTTTTAAAGGTATTGTTGTTGTTGTTGTTAAAATCCACTGAAGTGAAGGGCAAGTTTTTTACAGGTGCTTTAAAAGATGAATTATTTTGGACAGCTAAGATACAAAATATAATGATTGACATGATGTTAAAGTATTGGAAACGCAGTAAAGAATTTAAAAATTGAATACTGCAGGAGAGGTGTTTAAAAGGTGATGTTGCAAGATGTAAGGAAAGTAAACGCTGAGACGATATTTCACAAAATTTGAGAACTAAAGCAGTCACATCGAAAAAATAAGAGAAGGCAAACAACAAACAACACAAAAAAAAAAAACAGACAAGGGGACTAAATCATCAATGTTATAATAATGAGTTTTCAAGCAAAACCTGGAAAAATCAACAAAGGAGGTAGACCTAATGGAGGATGGAGGGGGCCAAACAGCCAAAGCACAGTCACCCCGAGTTTCAAATTAGATTGAGGACCTCCAGGAGACCCATGTCAGAGGATTTGAGCAGCCTGCAGGTTGTATAAGAGCTAGGGACCAGGCCATTCAGGGCTTTGGAAACAAATGGCAGAGCCTCAGAATAAATCCTAAAGTGAACTGGAAGCCAGTGATTAAATTCTAGGGTGGGACTGATGTGATCTCTCCTCCTGGAACCAGTCAGAAGCCTGGTCACTGCATTTTTGACCAGCTGCAGGCAAGACAGGGGGGATAGGCTGATCCTTGTGGAGCCAGGTTGAAAGAAAAGCAAGAAAGTATGAAATATTTTTTCAGGGTTGTTAAAAGACAGGATGGGTTTTACCTTTGGGACGGTTCTGAGCTACAAGAAACTGCAAGGCTTTTAAGTGATGTTTGATGTATGCAAACAGATGAGCCAAGTTATTATAAACCAGTTTAGTGGCATCCTAAGGGTCCAAAAGTACAGCTTTAGTTTTGCTGTCATTAGGCTGTAAAAAAAAAAAGAAAAAAAGAGAGAAAAATCAAAGTTTTTTGGATAATGAGAGAGGTAAGAGCCAACAGACCGGTTTAATGAGGGGATATGGTTGTGAGTAGATTAGTTACGTAAGGGTACATGGACTTCTCAGGGAAAATAACAGCCTTTCACTTCAGTGGGTTGTTTTAGAGTTTGTTAAGTGGAGATGGAAACACACAGGTTCTACTGGAATAGAGGTTTTTCTGGATATATGAGCCTCTCCTCTTTCGCCCTGTTACGTCTATCTCCCTCTTTTCCTCCACAGCTCCATCTTCCCTGAAACACTACACCACCCTCCTCTGTCCTGCAGCACTGCAGCGCCACTACTCTGCATGCTTTCTCCTTGACTCCACCGCTCTTCATACAGATCCACTCTCTCTCTCTCTCTTTTTTTTTTTCTTTACTCTCTTTATTCCCCTCAGGGAGTTTGTTTTCTTCCGTGGCACATTACAAATCATCACGGTATTATCTTTGACACTGCAACAAGGGACAGAAACAGGTGTGTGTTTGGCTCGATAACAATGCAGTTTTATCCCGTTGGATTTGAAAGTGCGTAAAGCCTCAGAGGTTGATGAATTCAGAGGAGCATGTAATCCTTTAATCCTTTAATTAAACCCAATATAATAAGGGAATGAGTAAACTGCTATAATGAGGCTTCTTTAAGAAAACAGTGATCAAATGAGCTTTACCATAAAAACGTATGAACACAGAAAGAAATCAGTGAAAGGTTAAAGAGCAGCAGCTCAATAACATGACCTCACAGCACAGCAGAGCTTTTTTTCTCCTGCTCTTAAGTTGTCATATTGATCCACAGCAGGTTTTTTTTTTGTGAACACATGAAGATCAAACATTTACCTGAAAGGAAATCCACAAACCTGTCTCATATGGATTAAAAAAACAGACGCAGGGAGCTCAAGCGCACGGTCATGAATAGAGGAAATCAAACTGGCAAACACAAACATCTAAATCCGATCAAAGCCAGCTCAACAGGTACATTTCATCTATTGAAGTAAAGTTATCTTAAGGTAAATTTTATTAAAAAATAATTTTAAAAAACTTAAAACGATAAGCAAAAGCTAGCCAAAGGAAGGCCAACCTTAAAATGCTTTTACAACACACCTTTCAATCCCCCATTCTCACCACATTGAGAAAATTGACAGCAGACGTTGCCATGTATGGACCTGTTTGTACACAATCCAATCCACACAGCTACACAGCAGGAGCAATGTTGGGGCCAATAGTCATGCCCAAGGACACTTCAGCATGTGGACAGCAGGCTCTTAGATCAGAGTCAACAGTCCAACTGACTCATAGCCCACCATGCCAGTGATGTCTAGACAGCAGACATAAAAAGTTCATTCATATTGATCTGTCGTCATTAAATATGCGATATGTTCAGAATGACCATGAATAAAGGCTAATGTTGTGACTGTAATGTGAATGACAAAGCGAATAAGAATGTGATTTATGACAGTAAAGGAGGATCATTTTTGGACCTAATGTTGAATGAAAATATAAATTTTAGTGTAATTCAATCACTAAGTAAGCTAAGAGGAATACCGTCAAGGCCATGGAAATGCCAATACCAATTATGTGAGAGAGGTCAGCCAATGGCCGATCTATGATGATGACTTCCCATTGTGTTGGTTTGTCTGTATGGCCTGTGGAAAATGTTAGTACTATTTTTCATAAAACTGCATTTTCATGATATTTTTGACTATCATTCCCATATTTGTGAAAAGAATTCCATGACAGTTACTTGAAGATGAACCACTAACAGACCAACGTTTACCTGTAAAAAAAATTGGGTGACATACTGTCAACCCTTTGCTTCATTCACATGTCTGAGCTTTTTTTTTCCTTTAATTTTTAGCTGCCAAATTTTTGAGGCATTGTGAAAAATTAGCACTTTGCTATAATTCATGGCCCCTTGAATCCTTCTCTTTTGAACCCCCTTTAGGGCGCCCCTGAATACACGTGTCCCACTGGCTCTTAAACATATCCTTTTAAAATATTACTAAGGACCATAACTCCACTGCGTGATTCAGTGGGACTTCAGCCTACTGCCTTAAATCCAGATAGCTCTTGGTTATGATTTTATAACTAGGGCAATAGGTAAGTGTATAAAAAATATATGGGCTAGTTTGCAGGTCTACTAAGGAAAAAGACAAGACTGTTTGGGCTGTTTATCATGTGACAACAGAGAAAGACAACACAAAGTAAACAGCTGTACAAAAGCAAAGACTAGCAGGAGTCATTGCTTCCCTCTTTGGTACCATGTCCTCCTTTCTTAGCTCACTGCACTCCCAGAAAATCTCTCAAGTGTTGGTGTTATCCATAACTAATAAGCTGTACCTCTCTGTGCCCTGAATCCTCTAGGTCAGCACCAGTTTTTAGGACAATCACACACAAAAAAGCGCTTAAGTAACAAGCTCTGCAGAACTGATGCTGTAATGCTGTTACAATACAGGAAGGATTTGTTAGCAAACTCTTTTGTGCTAAAATAAGGCTGCAGCCACAGGGTGGGAGGACTAATAGCCTAAAACAGAGTGGTACTGAGTCTATCCCACACAGATTTAGGAGAGCAGGGGCTGAAAATCCTTTTCTTTATTTTTTATCCTGCTTGAGCAATTTTAAGGTATTTGGCCCAAGCAAACTTTCTTTGGGATCCTGTGGTATGAGTCATATCTCACCATCCATATGAGAGTCACACAGGAAAGATGGGAGCTGTGGGAAGAAACTGGCTATTGGAGGAGAGTTGGTGGTAATACAAGCCATGCCAGGGTTTCTTTTTAAAGCCCTGCTCTCTCTTTTTGCCATCCTGCTTTACTGTAAGTCCACAGCACACCGTCTCCTCCGGGAAGAGAGGCAAGGTGAGAAGAGGAACCGGAGGAAGGAAAGATGGGAAAATAAAGGAAACGGAGGGAGGTAGAGGAGGAAGTAAAGAGGAGGGGAGAGCAAAAAGATGGTGGAGGTCATGAGATGAGAGACGGTAACGGGCATAAAGGGGAAGGAGGATGATTAATAGGAGAGGAGGGGAGCACAGCCAGACTGTCCGACCCTCACATATCCTTGACTGTTCATAAAAATATCAATATCAGAAAAAAAAAATCTGTGAGCATAGTTCAATTTTCAAAGCACACTTTTGATTAATATCCTGCCTACGTGCAGGTTTAACAATACCATAAAATATCTTTAATCACTGTGCAATCTGAGGGGAAAATACTGCTGAGGCAATTTTTGAATTAGCATTTTGCAAAAGCTGCAGACACATTTAATAACTTTTTCGTGGTTCTCAAGTCCAGTCCTCGAGGCCCACTGTCCTGCATGTTTTGGATGTTTCCCTGCTCCAACACACCTGATTCAAATGATCAGCTCGTTATCATCTCTGTAATGGCTTAATAACGAGCTGATCATTTGAATCAGGTGTGTTGAAGCAGGGAAACATCCAAAACATGCAGGACAGTAGCCCTCAAGGACTGGACGTGAGAACCACTGATCTAAGTAATGCTTAACATGATCAGTCAAATGGAAGAAACCCAAAAAACTCAACTCAGCTCCCTTGGGTTATACAGCATGTTAGCTTCTTTATGCTAATCTTGACTGTTTTTGTTAAGTCTAAATGTCTTAATAACAAAGCAAAGTGTAAAAAAAGGAAATTTACAGAGATATGGAAATGAAGGTGATTTTACAAGCAGTATGGTGTCTGCAGTGAGTTCTCTGCTCAATATTCTTTGGGGATGTATAAATCCCCTTTACCGGGGGAGTCTTATCTCACCCTGTCAGTGTTCCTCGTAATGTTCTCATTGTACATTATCATTTACTCCTTGTCAGCCATTAGGCTTTTCACAGGAAATCAGGCATGAGAAACCACACTACAGAAACACTCTTTAGGAAAAGTGCTCTTAAGTGAAATGAATCTTCTGCAACGTTACTTTGGACTGTACATAACACTCAGCTGGTAAAGATGGTGTTTCTAAAGGAGCGAGGTCTTGAGCTTTTTTTTCATAAAGGTAGACAGGGAGTCTCCAGGTTGGACAAAATTTGGCAATTCATTCCACCATCAGAGGACAACAGAGGAGAAGAGTCTGACTGGTAAGTTAGGGCCCTGGTCTGATGGGAGCACAAGGCCCATCTCATCGTCAGAGTAAGAGGGAGAGAGGAGACCTGAATGAAGGATTTCAGGAGGCATTTTTGTTGCTGTTTTAAGGCAAAAGGTAGTTTTTTTTGGTTTGATGTGAGATAGAACTGGGAGCAAGTGTGGGAAAGTGAACGTGATCAAGGGGAAAAAAACAAAACAGGAAAAAAAACACAAAGAGAGCAGAGACACGCGGTGGAACTTCTGCTGCTACTGCTGCATCTCCGGTGGATTATGTGCAGCCTGAATGAAGGTGAGAAAAACACACTCACACACGTGCATTAACACGAAGAGAAGCACGGGCTTTAACACGCTCACTCACGTGCACACATGGGCTCTCATGTTGACCTGACCGAGCCAGACCGAGATAAGATCCCCGCTGATCCTTCACTGGCCTCACCTGCCAGGTCAGAGCGTGTCTATCTGAGTGCATGTTTGCACACACACACATACAAAGTAGCACACAAACACCAAACACACTGATGCAGCATGAAAAGATCAGAGCAGCAAATGGAGAAAGAGAGAGGTGAGAGACAAATTGAAAACCATCTGACCTTTGATAAAATACATAGAAAAGCTTTACTCTGGTGAAGAATCAAACTTGACATTTCATGTCATTCTGTGCAACAAGCAGCTTATTCAACAAGTTTGTCCTCAATGAAAGGAAACAGCACAACTGCACTCTGAGAATGTCATGAATCACAAGCTCAGGTAACCCTGAGACTGGTGGATACAAAGCGCTACAATACAGCATTTCATCATTCACATACAGGTACCAGGCTTTTGATCACATGACTCTAACCTACAACCTGACCAGGCTTTTGAGACAACTAATGATCCTGATTGTATTCATATTCAGACATTTTTTTATATTGATATGAGAAAAACAAATGAAGCAATTACCAGTATCAGGGTGGATGAAGTCTTTTTGCAGGCTGATATGACTGATTCGATCTTGATTTTTGCTGGGACAGCATCATGCAAAAGTACTCAGACTTCATTTAAGAATATTTCATGCAATCATAAATTCTTAACCAATGCACGAGTATTTGCTACAGACAGCTGCGGGAAAGTGAGGAGGAGAAACACTTTTGATAAAACAGTCCAAGCATTGCTTGCTGCAGGTACTCCTGTCACCAGATGAGTCTGACCTGTTTATTTGTCTGCTGCAGAATCTCTACACAAAACTTTTGGACTAGTGGAGTTTCATCCTTTTACTTTTACATCCTCATGTGAGGAAATAAACTTTATTGGGACAACTTGTTTGCTATAAAAACCAAAATCAGTGTTGCAGAAGGTGACATATTCTGACTTTTTCTCATTAGTGTGCAACAGGCTTTGAGTACACAGGTTCCTACACTCAGTTTATGCAATATGCATAACATGCACGCATGTATGTATTATACATGTTATGCATATCAACAGAAAGGTTGTATGTATTCAAAGCCTCGTGATCCACAAAGTATTATCCTTGAAGCACGAGATCTAGTTAGAAGCTGCAGATGAAAGATCATGTGAAAGAGTCTTCAAACTATAAAATGTGAGCGGTCCACTGCTCTAAAAATAGGCTAAACTGTCGGGTAGTTATGATGCCTGTAAAACACTGATGGTGGAGGAAACAAGCGGCACAAGGTCACTGTGAACAACAGGGTTTCAACACACTTTCACATGGTGTAAACAGTCAGTCAGGTGATGGGTGTGTGTTATACTGCATCCCTACATTTCTGCACAATGGAAAAGAGTCTAAATTCAGGTCATTCAAGGATTATTCTTAATTATTATGTTATACTTTGACATCTAGCAGTCAGCGGTTCATATCAAAGGATGTCATGTTAACTTGAAACATGCATGCATATCATAGACTAGATCATCCTGTCAAATAAGTTAATCTTTTAAAACCATAGTGGTTCAAATGTGGCACATATTCCTATTTTTAATGTGATTGTTTTTGCAGTTAAGAGTCAGCCGGCAAAACAAATATGATTCATCATTTTACTTGTGGCAGAAATGCACAAGTTGCCTTCAAACTACTTGTGCCTAAAGCCTGTTTTCTTTTCAGGCCAGTAGGGGGCGACTCCACTGCTTGCAAGATCAAGTCTGTTTGTGCAGATGTCTGTGATTAAATGACACTACTTCTTCATCGATGTAAAAGGTTTTCAGGATGTAAAATGTCTTAAATGCTCATACAAAGCATCAAGTTTATTTTTTTCCACTCTCTTTTTATTCTAGATTTAAAAACACGATAAAGCCGAGTCCACTTCAGATGATCTTGATTAGTAAGTAAGTTTAAAGCTGACCTGTCAATAAGAGTTAAAAAAGTACAACCACCATGCAGCTTGCAAAAACTACAATGAAGATGGAAAAAATTAAGACCTCGATAACCCACAGTGGATGGGTTTGTTGAAAGCAGCTGACTTTACATCTTATATTGAGTCGTCATGACAACATACTGTGAAGATAAAACTGTATTTGAACTACATTTAGTAGTACTTACTCTAGTATTCTGATCACTTAAAGCACTTTTACGTAACATATCACACCACACTTACACACTGATGGCAGAGAGCCCATTAGTATTAATTAATCCCATTAACGCACCCATAGCTGCAGCCAACGACAACAGTTTGGGTTTAAGTGTGTTACCCAGGGAACACTTGAGCCTGTGCACAGCACAGCACAGCAGCAAGTGGGATTTAAACCTCCACCTTGCAAATGAGACTCTACCATTGACCAACAGTGTGAAGCAAAGAAAGGAACCTTTTTTAGTTTTATAACGCAACTCTGATTCAGTGAATCCTCTCTCCTGTCATGCAACAAACAGTTTCCTTATAAAAAGGCTTCTTAAGGTCCTTCTCGCGTAAACAAGCAGCACATTTCTCATCAAATGTTGCTCAACAGTCAACAGCACCAGTAAAACCATGTCAGATGTTGCCAAACTTCTTGTTATTGTCTATAAAACAGAACTCAAAGAGAGACTTCCTCAAGGTGGAAGAAATGTTGGTTGGGAAACTTTTAAAGATTGGATTTATGTTCCTCAAGAATGCAGAGTCAGCAGTAAAAAGTGGGAGGTGCTTCAGCTGAAGTGTTTCTAGGCTGAAGTGTTTATAAGAGGGGAGTGCATGCCAGGCCATCAGGTACAGAGCCGGTGAAGAGGCGGGCAGACGGTGATCAAAGACTTATTGTTTTTTTAGCCTGCAAAGTCCGTTCACAGGGATCCTTCATGTAGTGCTGCTTTTATTTTGGAGGGACTTCACTCCTGCAGCTTCTAGGCATCAAGAAAGAAGGAGAGACTGTCATCATGGGAAGCTGGTATCCAACAGGATTAACTGGTATGCAGATTTCTGAGTCTGAGATACAATTTTGTTGTAATTTTTATCAAATGTTGAAGCTACATTTATGCAGATCGATGCAACTTGATGAAAATCTGGTGCATCGATCTGTACATAGTCATCATCTTCACTCTGCATCAGAGTCCATACTGACTATGTGCTTGTTGCTCACTGATGGTACCTGATCAAATACAGAACCATCCATCAGAGAGCATGAAGTTTCTCAAAAGTCATGCATATAAAGTAGCTTAGCCTAAATGACTGTGAATTTGAAAATGTCAGGAAATAAAGCAGATCTCTGCCAGTTAATGGGACAGATTTTCTCCCCTCTTTAACGCTGTCATAAAAGTTTTTCTCTTCTTTAATGCAACAATAACTAATTCAGGTATTATGAGTTCAGCAGATAACACTAAACACAGTGTTTACAAGTCTAGAAACAAACAAGCTCACAGCTGCAGAGAAGAATCTTCTTCACTCTTCTCATTTTTCTTTTTCATTTAGCTCCACGTGATTTGAATATTCTGCTGGTCGGCCACTCCAGGACCGGTAAAAGCTCTACCGGTAACACCCTGCTGGGCCAGGGGCAGGTTTTTAACACTAGAGGGGGCGGGGCCAACACAGCTGCCAGTGCTATTGTTGCTGGACGTCATGTCACTGTTGTGGATTCCCAAGGATGGAGCTCATCTGAGGAGTTTGTGCCCCGAGAGGAGAAAATTGGACTGATGCACTCTTTGTCTCTCTGTGGACCTGGAGGTCCTCATGTTATACTCTTAGTGATCCCTCTGCTGGACTTCACTGAGCCCGAGAGGAGGGCACTAGAGAGGAGGATGGAGATGTTGACCCCGTCAGTCTGGAGACACACGATGGTGTTGTTCACATGTGGAGATCTACTTGGAAGTAGAGGGCTGAGTGCTGAGGAACACATCCGGTCAGGAGGCCCCGCTTTACAGTGGCTGATGGAGAAATGTCGCTACAGGTACCACGTGTTTGACAACAAGACGGCGACTGCCAAGCAAGAGAGAAGGCAACAGGAGGTGAAAAATGACAAAGGTGGGAAGAGAAAGAGCAGAGAGGGTGAGGCAGAAGGGAGGAAGCTTGGACAGCAGGAACAGGTGAGAGAGCTGCTGGGTAAAGTGGAGGACCTGCTGCAAGAGAACGGAGGATGGCACTTCTCCCTTCACATGTACCAGAGGATGGAGGAGGAGTGGTGCCGCAGAGAGCTGAAACTGAGAGCTCTACTGAGGGCGGGGACAGATGTGGAAATCAAGAAGAGAAATCAAACAGCAGAAACAAAGATCAACAAGGAGCAAAGGTCAGAAGAAGAAGTAGGGAGAGACAGCCTGAGGAAAGAGCAAGAGAAGATGGAGGAGAAGAGGATGAAGAGAGAGGAGGATGAAGATGAGGGGGTGAGAGTGGAGCTGAGCAGTGAGGAGGAAGAGTGGGATACAGGTTCAGACAACTCAATGCTCCTTTTCTGTCAAATGAGGGTCAAAGGTTAGCCTTTAGTCCAATCAGAAGGCTTGCCTGAAGAAACCAGGATCACAACGACCGTCATAAACTCCCATCATGCTGTCAAATTGAATAAACAGCTTAAGATCCTCCTGCATGGTTTAAAAGTCCGTTTTTGATAATCTTGAGGATGTCATGATGTTACCTGCTTCACCGAGACAACTGCACACGTTCGCTTGACACTTAAGAACACAGAGTAGGCACTATAAGTGTGACATTACAGCCTGTTGGCTCACTTGTGAAAAAGTTGGCATGACTCAGTCCGATGATATAATCCATGTGGCAACCTGATGTTGACATCAAGACTCCAGGAGGTGCTTGTGTCCAACAGAGACTAACTAACCAGCTATAAAACTGCTTTGTGTCATCAGTACATCTCTTTTTTTTTGACAAACCATGATTTGTAAGTTAGTAACCTTCTCATAAGCACAAATGAGACAGTAATAACTAAAAATATACTTTGTAAAGTCGTGTTGTGTTTTTAAGGCTTTTCAAACATGTGCTGCTAACCCTGTAAAATGTGTAATACTGTGATAAACATAAAGTGCCTTTATATATGTCAAACTCTACATCTGCTTCATTGCGGCTCCATTGTTAGATGCATGGTGAGTATCAGTTGAGTTAAATTGGATGTCTTTTGTTGCAGTTATGCATCAAGAATGACAGACACTGTGACTCCGAACCTCTGCTCTCTCCATAATTATGTACAGTTCATTATAAAACACTAAAGCGGCTGATGGAGCCTGAAAATCTGCATTATTCTGTCAAACTACGATGATTGAATTTCAATTTTCTTGCTCATGCAGCACAAATGTATAAAAAAGAAGCTGTTACTGTTGAAAAAGTTGTCAAATAAACTGTAATAAACCAGAACATCTATTTTTGATTACTTTTATTTTTTTATTTTTTTTTACTTTTTCAATCTGCAGAAATGAGGCAATCATTGTGGCTTCACGCAGGTTTTTTGATGGCAGAATGGAGGGGCCTGCAGCCAACCAGCCGTTTCATTACATCTGAACAAATCATCCGTTGGCTTCGGGGGCATTGCCGTCTCCCTTCTCCGTTGACACAGACAGTTAATCCTCATCTCTGGCTCACAGTCACAATGCCATGCAAGGTCAGCCGTGTTGTAACCATCGAGGTCACAGAATCCTATTTCAAATGCATAAAAGCAGATTAAATAATAACTTCATCCCTCACACTGGAACTGGTTCACTTTGTCCAAACTCTACATAGTTATTAAACAAAGCCTCGCTCAATGGTTCAAACATCCAAAGCATGAGGTCAGTGGTTTTCATATTAGTTAAAATACTTTCAAATCCATTCATTTGTCAGCTACATCAGATATCTGTGACATTAACTGCGTCATTCATTAGGTTTAAGAAGCTGTTTTCTCTCTAATTTGACCGAAAGAGTCCTCTTGTTCCTCTTCAAAAATGTGACACTGAGTGATAAACTAAAAGGGTTTAATTACAACCAAACACTTCACCAGATGCTATCAGTGTTAAGCACGTGTGAGTTTGCACTGAATATTTTTTCAAGTGTGTTTGGCTGGGACCAAAGCCTGCAGACTCATCTTGAAATAGCATGTGCAGTAATGACAGTTTGATGCCCAAGTCTAACTATGTCAATATAACTATTTTGAGTGGAAGAAGGCCTTAAAAACCTCTTATCTCTGTGGTGGTCCTGGATGAACACAACCACAGCTATCTGCTAGAAAGAAAAACTATTTCACATTTTGTGCATTAAGAGTTCTATGTTTGTTATACTAATCTTTTCTTATTTAACCTGTTGAGCCTTTTATTGATTTTATTGTTTTTTTTCTTGCTAATTTTTGTTATTCTATTTTATCATTACTAATATTATCATTATTATTTTGTTATTATTTTATCATTATTATTATTACTATCATCTTTATATATTTACTACCTTGTTTTCTGCTTTCAACCCTCCTCATGGTGTCATTTTATGTCCTTTATTGAGAGACCAACCAGAGAACCACCTCAGAAGCTCACAGCCTCTGCAGACTGGGTCAATTTTACTGCTCAACAATAGTATCAGGGTGAAAGAATATTTGTTTGAGCATATTTGCTTTTTGTGGTTGCAACACACACGTGCTCTCTCACCTATTTGCTAAATTACATTGTTCGACTGACCCAGTCTGCCGAGGTTGAAGGCCTAGCTGCTGCTCCAGTTCTTGGGCCCATATTTCAGAAAGAGGGGGCAAGTTCACCAGGATTCTCATGGACAAGTACCTCACACAACCAAATCTTATAAAAAAAACTGAACTACTCCTTTAAAACTTACTGTGGTTTAATGTTTGTTTGTTTTTTGCTGAGATTCTCTGAGTTTTTGAGCATTAAAAAGGTAGCTGATAAATTTACAAATCGAGAAGTGTTTACAGGTCTAGAGGAGTGTAAAATAAAAGGTGCCTAGTGTACTTTGAGGCTCCAGCAGAGGCTGCGTAATCTGACAAAAATGTCCTGCAAGAATAAAAACACAGGTTTGGAAGTTACTTTAGCAGGAGCCATAAGTATAACACTTCTATCTGATCTAACAGTGACACAATCTGAGTCCTATTACAATAAATTTCATTCATTTCCTGACAGCCTTACTCTTTTAAAGTGTTTAAGTCTGTTATGTCGTTGTTATGAAAAACTATGTCAGCTAATTGATGGATAATCTATCATTTTTAAGAAGTCATTTCTGTCGATGTGATCATGTGATATCAAGAATATTTGACATTTTAGAGATTTCTGGACTCGAAAAAGTTTCCAGTCAAACTTGGATGAAAAAAAGAAAATTGAAGCATTTACTTGATTTTTTTTAATATAGCCTCCATCCTTGTAGCTGAACTGAATGATAAATGAGTTTTTTCGTTAAGGTTTCCACACTCACAGTTTCTGTGAATCAACTGTCATGTGATATCATGTCATGAGTTTTATTGTGCTTTGTTGTCCTAGAACATGGTTGGGTAGTAGTGCAGGTATCAGCTTTATGTCTTCATGAAAGAACAGATCAAACTTGTGACACATACAGGGTACAAAATGTTTATGCCTTGCACAATGTTTATATCAGCTGGATTAAAAAACTTGTTTTCCAGCTGTCTGTCACAATATCAAAGATCACTTCTGGTCAGGAGTCCACATATCTCTGTAAAAATGAAAGCCTCAAGCAATAAACTTGTTAAATAGGAGGAACACCAGGCTAACAGTGCAGAGAAAACTGTGACATGAAGCTGAAAACAACTTTAGCTCCTGGATTTAGAGGCTCCTTTTATCTCCCTGGCAGTGATGAAACAGCTGTTTGTGGGAGGATCAGTCATGGCTGCCGCTGTTGCTATGAGACAACAGACAGCCCGTTAACGCAGTCATCCTTGGCTAAAAGCTGAAAGATTTTAACTTTGAGCATTGAGCTTTTTCTGACTGAAAGAAATGCTCTTATTCACACGAGAGATGGAAAACATACAATATATATTTACAGGGGACAAGTGCAATGAAAAAGAGGTCAGTGATCTGAACACTAATGCAGCTTCACTCTTTCTGTTGCTCTTTTCTCACTCGAGGTTATCTCAGAGTGAACATTTACCAGCCAGTTTCTGAGTGTCTGTATTTAACCACCAAGTGAAGTCAGATTAATCAACTACCCAATAATAAAACTACTTCACTTTTGCTCTTCAGCTCCAGAGAAAACGCACGCTACAATCAGAATGAAATATAAACAAAATAAGTAAAAGTTAATGCAGTTTTTGTTTTATAACATCTTTTTGCTGCAGTCATTACTAAAATGTCATAAGTGTGTCTGTGCCATATTTGCAGCAGGCTCAGTGTGTCTCTGAAAGGACAATAAAAGAAACTTCCTAAATGCTAATGGATCTTTTTTTCCCCAGCTCAGTGTTTCTTAGCATTACCCTTTAAAACCAAACATCAGTAAATGTGGCACCAAATAGCTAAAAACAATAACCCTGATGTTTTCACATGGGTTAATGTTAGAGTTCTTTGTTGTTGGGTTTGGTCCCAGCATGCACTGTGACAGGACATTGACCACATCTATTGAAAAACCAAGTTTTGTACAACAACATGGCCCAGTGACTCAGTGACCCAGTAAACCAGGTCTGTGAGACCACCGTGAAGTTTCAAAGGTTCAACTGTTGTTTCAGGTTCACATAAAAACAGCTACGGCTCAAATCAGTGACCACTGAGAGTTAAAAAGAGAAAGAGGGAAAAGAGTTTGTTTTGGACGGACCATGAACCGGTCATTTTGAATGTTTTCAGTGTGTGTGTGCAAAGGACATGACTATCCAAACAAAGTGCTTAAACCGAAAAGGAAGGAGTGTAAGCTGCAGGTTATTGTTATATATATTGAAGTTATTAAGGCTGTACATTTAACAGTACGAAGTTGGTCCGTGTTTAGATTGTTTTGGTGTGTGAAAGGTCAACAAGGGCAAGGTCCACAGGCATTAAGTCAAAAAGGAGGCCACATCACCAAGTAGTATAGCGGAGGAGGACATACTTTAATCAATAAATCGATTCTCGCCAAGGACAGCAGAAGACAGCAGAAACTAATCAAGCTTTAACTCTAGCTCAACTCAACTTTCCTGAAAAGTTATCCTATTTAGAGGCATGTATGTTTGTCAGAGGGCAGCTGATGTGTTCAAAGACTGATTTGTTGGAGGTGTTTCTTTGTGTAAGATGAGAGAGTTTTACAACACACCGTAAAAAAAATTCTAAGAAATACCTCCAATTAGTCACTCACCTTGTCAGCCTCAAGGCTCATAAATATATACAATGACCTACAATGTAGATACATAGTCTGTCTGTAATGATTCACTACAAGTTGACTTTCTTGACTATATGTCCTTGCTTTACGACACTTTCACCACACACAAACACACACAGCAGATGACAGCACACTGATAAGGCTTTGTCACTATCAGCACATGTGGAAAAGTGAGTCTTTATGAAGTCAAAGTGCACCGTGCAGCGAATGAGAGCATTTAAGGCAGAGTAATGACTGATCATATCAACTTGAACAGCTGCAATGAACAACTCTACACTATTCTTTAGAAAGTCTGAGCTCAACTTTTCTCTTCTCCAGCAGTCAGCATGTGACAGAGGACGGACAGCAGTGTGTGTCTGGTCTGCAGCAGCTACAGTAGCTGTCCGGGCACTCAGCCCAGCAGAGGCTGAGAGGACAGAGGGCCAGTGTGAATTAGATAGAGACAGAGATAAATTTAAGGACAACTAGAGGCAGAGTGATATACTGAAAAAAACAGAGGACGTGCAGCAGGAGGGACGGACACACTGCAGGGGGCAGCAGAGTGAAAAAGAGAGTGACTGAAACTTTAGAGGTAAAAGTGGAAAAAAAGGATGAGTTTGAATGTAAAACTGCATCAGAGTGATACAAACAGCCTTAGCAAAAAGTAGTTAAAGACAACCTACAAATAGATTTTTCATGACAAGATTTTTAAAAGTGACAGATAGATGCCACATCTATCCAGGACTGTGAGGAAAGATAAATCACACTGCAATGTTTTCCACATTAAGAAACTCTTTTCATGCTAAAAACACCTTACTTTACTTAAAAACAAGCAGTATTGTGAGAGTGGCAGCAGTTGACTAAGAAATGGAGACAACATTTGCCCCCTGCTGTTCACTGGCTCTAACATCCGATCACATTACAGTGTGTGACAGGTCATGGTTTCCATAAGTATGTAATTATACCTCTATTAATTCATTTTGAATATTAATGTTAGATTTTAGCCCAAGTACATGGGTGGAATCAAATCAGACAAAAATGAGTTTGGAGCATTTCATTTGTCCACACTCTCAGAAATAAAAAGAGTGATGAAAAGAGTCAGGAGGTGACTGAACAACGTGACTTCAGCCATGCCTGATTTCTCAATAAGTTTCAATAATGTGGGTCAAAAGCACAGGAAGTTATGAACAACAAAACCGTGACTCTGTGTTTCATTAATTGTGAAAGGTCTGATCAGTTGTGAAAGGACTGACAAACAAAAAGAAACTGTCATATTTTGATCTGAACAGAAAGTCTCCATTGTTGTTTTCCATCAAAAGGCCAGACCAGGCCATTTTTGAGGGAAATGTGAAAAAGGGAAAAGTCCAGACCTGCTCAGAGTCACCAATCTCCACACAACAGCTGTAGGAGCAAACAGAGAAATACTGACACTAATTATACAACATTAGTATCAAAAGAATCCTGCCAGGACAAAGCTTATTTATTAAGCTTTCAAAACACAGAGAAACCAGTGTGAGAGGAAAATGTTCAGCAGCTGCACAATGAGTCACAGATGTTTGGTTTTCTCGATTGTATTCACGATTACAAGAAAAACACTGAAGCGAAAGATCAGCATCACATCCTGTCTTCATTAGGTGTATCTACATTTCCACAGCAGCAGGTGTGTGTGAGTCATCAAAGGTCACACTACCATTGCATATATATGCAGTTTGTAGCATATATACTTAAGGTTTGAGAAACTTAAATAGCATAATCATGTTTCAAAATAACCTGGACTTAAAGGGATATTCCGGCGTAAAATTAATTAAGGGTCAAACACACCGTAACACTGAGTTAGACACCCCCTCAAGAGATGAATGTTGCCGACTGTTTGCTTCTCTAGTTATGCCAACTTAAGTAACGACCACACTATAGCTCATTGATCATTTCTTCATGGAAATGCAATCAGACCGAGACGCTAAGGCAGAAGAACTACCGCATATGCAGTGCAAAATGATTAATATGATGATAATTGCTTCAAGGAAATAATAAAGAAATGGTCTTAAATGTTCTTCCTTGAGCTGCGTCACCCCACTGCAGTCGGTGATGGACTCGTCTGAGGTCTCGCTACAAACAAGCGGCTGCTGGAAGAGAGTGGGTGAGTTGTGTTTAGTCTCTTTGCTAAAGAAATTAGGCAAAGTTAAAAAGATGTTTGGTGGCTAGTGCTGTGGCTGGGACCCTATATGTACTGTTGATGAAGTTAGGTGCTGTTCTGAGCATTAGTTGTGGCTATAGAGTGGCTTTTTGGTTGAGGTTTGTGTGTGGCTCTTGAGACCGCTGTGTATTGCTATCGTGCGGTCTTTACTAAAGTTGGTATAACTAGAGAAGCAAGCGGTCGGCAACATTCATCTCTTGAGGGGGTGTCTAACTTGGTGTTACAGTGTGTTTGACCCGAACATAATTTTACGCCGGAATATCCCTTTAATTGCCTAATTTTGGACATCTTCCACCGTAGTTAGATACTTGATAATGATCAACATACTTGACGTACCTTTAGGTACACTTACAAACAGTCAAAAAAAACAGTTAAAAGTTGGGAGAAAGACAGAGGTGTGAGAAGGGACAGGGGATACATGGGCCCCCCCTGAAAACCAAATGGCCACCCCAAAATCCCTTTTTTAATTTTAATAATCCTTTATAAGAATTATTAATTTACCTAATCAGAGACAAAACTTGTGTTAAAATCAACTATTATGCCTCTTTAAATCATCTTAACTACTTTTTGAGCATTTCAAAATGTAAGCCTGGAAGATTTAGGGCTGTATAACTTCATAAACCCTCTGCATTAGATGATGGTACCCCATTACAGCCTCCCCATACAAAACAGTCTAGGCACACCCCTGGACTGAGGCACAATCAAAAAACACAAGGTTAAGAAAAATCATCATTGTTTTATAAAGATGTGTCTGTTTTTACCTGCCAAAATCTAATTGTACTAAGTAACATGGTGTCTTTGGTGCACACTAACACAGACAAACTTACTGTGTATAAATTAAAAAGGTTGAAACTTTTTTGTAGAGCTACAGAAAGTAGAGGACCACTCTATTGGGGAATGTGGGAAACTGTGATTTAAAAAAAATGCCATGAATGATCAAGCACCAACTCTCGGTGATCAAAAGTCGAGGGGAAGTTTGAATGGACACATTTCACAACATCCTTGTTTCTCCTCAGGATTTCTAAGTACCAGGGCCAACCCTTTCACCTGACTCCAGTCATGACATCATGCTCACAGAGACGTGCTAATAGTAAACATTAAGAAGAGTTGCCATGGCAGCGACATAACTTCACAACAGCAGCAGGTGAATAGAACTCAGCGTAAGTGCACGGACAGTGGAGTGTTTCTATACAGAGTCTACAAGCTACAGGTAGCTTTCACTGAACTCTAACAGCGTAAACATCACAGCGATAAATCTAAAGACACTTCAGATTCAGGGAACTGATAAATGGAGTTACAGTTGAATTAATTGCAAGAGTTTGCCCTACCGGACAAAAGAAAGCTTAAGAGAGGGAGAGCAGGCTGAGGGACCTTAAAATAGAACTAAATCTGTGAGCACACAAAGGAAAGCAGCGTGTCAGAGAATTGGAAATGTCAGGGGCCAAATTGAAGTGTTGATGAGCGTCTGAGCAAACAGCTTCCTGGACAAAGACCCAAGGAGGCATAGATCGGGGAGGATTATCTTGCTCTCATTCATTACTGTTCTCATTCATGACAGAGATGGAGCGTGATTGGATCACCTTGTTAATGATACTGGACCTGCATGTGTGTGTGTGCATGTGTGTCGGAAAGTGTGCATGTGTATTTAAGCATTGAACAAAAGGCGCTCCAAATGAAAGGTCACAGACACTTGAGGACGATCTTGTAATTGAGTTTTGTTTTGGATTTTGGATTTACTCTGCGAGGAAAACCCGCCATGTTCACCGTGTTTTCTCCAGTGCATGTTGGACAGGTGAAGGTAACACACGCACATGCACACACCCACGCTCAACACAAAACAAACACACAGAGACACTGAAACAACATCAACCTTAAAGACACGTAACAGCACCTTGTAACAATCTTTCACACACACACTACAAAATGAACTTTCATTCACTTTCATGTACATAAAACTATTAATCACCTGTTTTTCTGTGTTTATTTTGCTGTTTGTTTCAGTCTGATAATCATTTGACGCTTTGGTAAAATTGTCACTTTTATCAAATCCATGCTATTAGAGCATACTGAACGTACGTTCACTGAATATTCATCTCACTTTTGTCCCATCTGATTACACAAACACAGTCTAGCCAGTGTTGGTGTTACATGGGGGATTTATGACTTTGTTAAAAGAAAAAAAAAAAGGCAACAGCTAAGCTTTTATTACTGATTCCAGCTTTTAGGCGCTTTTGTTTTTGCATAAATTTCTCTGAATCTGTGATTGCTGTGAGGCAAAACTGAAGCATCAAAGGCTTTTATTGTTTAAAGTGTATTTCTGGATGTTAATTGGATTCAAATGAGTCTCTTGCAGACAGGTCTGCTCCCGAATATTACACAACAGTTTAGTTTTTTGTTTTTTTTTTAATAGTAAAGCATATCCTTCTTCTAATAGTTATGTCTGAATAGATGCTCTCTCACTGAGTATTTAGCACACACACTCACACACACACATACCACAAACTGGGGGAGAGATGCGAAGATAAGGATTGGTCCCGACAGTAGAACACGATAAATTGGGAGATAATCATGTGTGAAATCACCCTGATTTTCCTTTCTGTTGTAAGTCAGTTGGTTTCTCCTCTCTGCCATTTCTGTTATACACAAAACTGATTGGACTAATCTCCCTGGGCTCTAACACGCACGCTGGTGGTTCACCAGTGGAGTGTAAACTGCTCAGCTCCCACAGGTATGTGACTTCTCCCAGAGAAGCATCAGCATTCAGTCTTTCTCACTGTTTTCTTCTCCCACTGTGGCTCTTTAGTCCATTTTTACACCTCTGACCCTCCTCTGGAGTCTCATCTATTCCATCAGTTATTGCTCTTCCATCTGCTTCATCATTTTACACACTTCCTCCTTTCTGCCTCTCTGTGTCCCAGGTTTGCTGCAAGTGCCTCAATATGAATTAAAGATTAGAGGCTCAATGAAAAGTCAGCAAAAATAAGTGAATGAAATTATGTTGTGTATGAATATTGTTTTCATATGAGTGTGTTATGAAATTTTTTACTTTCTGCTCAAAATTCAACAATCTTGGGTAAAAAAAAAATTCACTTGACAGTTGGTACTAAGCTAAACTAAATGTGCCTGTCAATAGCTTGTTGTTGGCTGGCAGCCTGGCAGAAAACAAACAGTTTTGCACATGGACTCCCCTGAGAGTTAGAGAAAAGAGTTTGTATGGAGAGACAAACAAAAACACACAAAATACATCTGAGGAGCTCAGCTGTTGCAAAGGAAGTGTTTGATTTTGTTGTATTTGAAATATTTTATGAACTGTAATTGTCTTTGCATACATTATGTCTGAGAGATGTGACAGGTAATACTGACTCTGGACTGACTTTTTGCAGCAAAATGTATCCTCTGTTAGTGTGAATACCTCAAAACAGCAGCACTGCATTTTAAATCTTATCAACATAGAACAATCCGAACACATTTGTGAGATTAGGATAAAGTTGGAATTCACTATATGAAGTGTTTTATAGACAAATCTGTAACTATAATGTTTGCTACACTGCAAGAAGTTTGAAACAATATCCAAAACGCCAATATTTTCTAGCTTTACATTTACAGAAACAAATCCTTTTTCCAACCGTCTTCATACAAAGACTACTGCAGAGAAATAAATACAAAATGATGATATCATCTGTTGTGGTGATAGCCTGTGGCACATCATTTAAACACCATCTTCTCAGCCTGCTGTATCAGAGGGGTTTGTCTGAGGGAGGTGAAGATACTGAATTTTTAAGAATTTCTGCTGATATTGATAACACACAGAGAGACTATCATGGAGTCAGTATGACAACAGTACTGTATCGCACCATGCTAGAGAGAATAAGACTTAGGGTCAGAAAATACAACAGTCACTTATTTCAGGAAACAACAAAATGAAAATTAACAATATTACAATGACCCTTAAAGCTCCTGTGAGGACTTTTTCACTTTTATGAAATAGACTAAATTAATATTAATTCACTGTTATGCTATCAAAAAGTAAACAAGGCCATCGCAAACAAGTTTGACCAATTTTTATATCCACATTTTTAATGTTTGAAACTGGAGCGAGCGGGTAGGTGTTAGCTGAGAAGCTCAAGAAACAACCCAGTTTTATTTCCACATAAGAGAGACAGAGTAAGCAGAGACTGTTATGTCCACAGGGGGTGCTAACACTGCAACAAACCTTAATATCCTCAAAGGAGCTTTAAGTACCAGAACACAGATCTCTCCCTTCATTTGGGAGGTGGACACCTCATCATAATTTTGGAGAATATGTACCAGTGCTAGAGGAGCAAGTCTTTAGAGAACTGTAATAGGTAGAAAAACAACAAAGACATACAAACACCACATTACAAACTAGTTGTATTATAATTTTCACATCATTGTATGAAACTAATTTCGAAAAATTTCTCTACAAATGTGCATCGAAAGTTAGAAATTCTAGTCATGTTCTGATCCAACAAGTATTACAGATATTTGATTCTGATTGGTCACCAGGGTATTCAATTCTGCAATTTCCCGAAAGTAAACCAATCAATTTTCTTTCTAAAGTAGGAGGTAAACACTTTTTTTTTAAATCATACTCATTGTTAATACTTTAATTAAGTTGCAGAGCTTGTGTTTCCCCATCAGTGTGAGCATGTGCACATGACCCAGACCACAAAATGCTCCTAAGAGCTGGCATTAACCACTGAAAGCTGTTAAATGTGTTGAAACTAATGAGGGGAAAAACAGAGACTAAAAACAGAGATGTTTGGCCCCCAGATAATAACAGATTAATGAAGGGCGCCATCGAGAAAAAAATTACAGCCTGGTACAAAAAACTGCAGTGGTTTGTATGGCTCACTATTTTGACTCTACAAAATGAAGATGAGTAGAAAAAAAAAGGTATATGCCAAACTTCAGGTGACCTGACATTAGTACATTTGTCCCTTACCTGCCTTTCAGTGTGCTAATGTTCACTTGTTATCCCCTTTTGATTATATATACATAGACATCAATCAGAATCTACAAAATCTGCCTCTTGTGATAACTTCTGTTACCGATGATTTCCAGGACTCCTACACATTGACCCAAGTTTCGGTTCTGAGTAGCCATAATAGTTATAGGTGTTAAAACCATCACTGCAGCCCTTCATCAGCATGTCCCCTCTGTCCTCTCTTCTTTTTCATCACTTATCAGCTCGTTCGATCTCCTCAGATCCGACACTTGTCACCTGCCAAGACTTTTAGTTTGAACCTCGCTCATTCTTAACACCTCTCATCAACTTCATCTGTGACGTCTCCCCTCTGTCTGTCTTTTATTATCCTGTCTGTCACTCTTCATTCTCGCTGCCACACTTTGATCTGTGATGGCTTTGTGTCTCTTTTTTTCACACACTTGCACTTTTTTCTAAACCCTCTTGTCTGCAGTAGGATTCTTTCCTGAAAATGTTTATTATCATCATGACTTTCATTTTTTAAACTTCTGCTTTATGCATGCATCCCTGTTTGACTTTTCCATTTCACACGTCACACATCTCTGCTGCAACTGTTCTCCTTTTTTTGTCTCGTGTGAGTTTTGTGTGTTTTTTGTTTGCTTCTTTTTCCTTCTCATCTCTTCATCTCTGCTGTTCAATATTTGATAACCAGCGCACTGATATGACACTGCTGTTCCCTGCTGTAGTCGAGAGTACTTGGATCTTAGAGTGTAGGATGAAGAGAGAAACACAGACACTTCTATCCACAGATCAGAGCATTTTCTTTGGTAAAAAACCTTCTAACACAGTTGCATAAGATACTTTTGTTCGAGTGTCTACAAGAGCAAGGAGACAAAACATGGCTCCAACGATAAAGTCATACTTGACAAAAGGACTTTAAACTCTGAGAATATGTTTATTCTTGTTTCACCAAGATGGCCATTAGGAAACTGTGTAGGCACTTTTGTGAGGTTTACAGAGCAGGTGATAACACAACTAGCTTACTTGGCTTTAGAGACCCCAAAGCACAAGTTTATTAAATATATCACCAATCAAACCTGGAATTAACTGCACAAAATGTTTAGCTAAGAGGCTTTAAAATAAATGCTAGATTAGAAAACCACCACTGAATGTCTTCGTGTGTCTGCATGATTGGCGAGATCTGCCAAGAAGCTCCTGATGTCTCGCCTCAATGTAAAGCAGGGAACACTTAAGGCAAAACAGGAAACACAGGGACAAACATGCAGATCTGAAAGTAAGAAGTAGAGGCAGAGAGACGGATCAGAAGACCAGAAAAAACAGCATGCACACCATTAAGCCTGCAGCAAACAGTTCAGTTAAAGCTAAAGCAATAACCCACTGACCCACATTTCACTCAGCTAGCAGATAGTGAGAGGCTTTGAGTGCTAGCGTGCTGAAAAACCAGCCTTTGACTGGAAAGATAAGTCACTGCATCCAGCAGGAAGATTTATTATTCAAAGAGTGACAAACAAATGTGTCACAGGGCAGAGTGAAAAAAGAAGAGGGCCAAGAGGGTAAACCTGACCTTTAGGGGAGGAAGCAGCAAACATTTATAAAAAGGATCCAAGAGAAAGATTTCTTTTTTCTTGTTGTCATCTAAACATGATGACAGTCTGGATTTGAGATGACTCATATCTGTAGATAATCTGAGATAAACTTTGGATCATTATGTCAGACAAGAGTTTTCCCAAAGATGGGTCACACAGGTTGATCTATACCCACCAGCCACTGTATTAGGTACACCTGTTCAATTGTTTGTTAACGCAAATAGCTAATCAGTTAATCCCATGGCAGCGACTCAAAGCATTAAGGCATGTCGACGTGGTCAAGACGACTTGCTGAAGTTCAAAAGTTGTCTTGTATTGACCTTCCTCATTTTGATTGCTTGTTTCATTTCAGAATTTCTATATCAGACTCTTATTACAATTGTGATATGTTATGACTATGATACTGAGGTGAAAATTTGGTATCCTGACAGTCGGAAGTACAACTAGCAAAAAGGTCATGAAAACCCTCAGAAAACATCCATAATCAGACACAACCTTTAATAAAGAATCTGAAGAAGAAGAAGAAGAAGAAGAAGAAGAGAGAAGAAGAAGAAGAAGAAGAAGAAGAAGAAGAAGAAGAAGAAGAAGAAGAAGAAGAAGAAGAAAAAAGAAGAAGAAGAAGAAGAAAAAGAAAAGAAGAAGAACAAGAAGAACAAGAACAAGAACAAGAGAAGAAGAAGAAGAAGAAGAAGAAGAAGAAGAAGAAGAAGAAGAAGAAGAAGAAGAAGAAGAAGAAAAGAAGAAGAAGAAGAAGAAGAAGAAGAAGAAGAAGAAGAAGAAGAAGAAGAAGAAGAAGAAGAAGAAGAACAAGAAAAGAAGAAGAAGAAGAAGAAGAAGAAGAAGAAGAAGAAGAAGAAGAAGAAGAAGAAGAAGAAGAAGAAGAAGAAGAAGAAGAAGAAGAAGAAGAAGAAGAAGAAGAAGAAGAAGAAGAAGAAGAAGAAGAAGAAGAAGAAGAAGAAGAAGAAGAAGAAGAAGAAGAAGAAGAAGAAGAAGAAGAAGAAGAAGAAGAAGAAGAAGAAGAAGAAGAAGAAGAAGAAGAAGAAGAAGAAGAAGAAGAAGACCAAATCCCAAACCGCCCCCTACACACTCGCCCTACACAATCTCCCTCCGTTTGCGCGTCCCCGCAGTCCCAAACCACAGAGTGCGGAGGGCGAGTGGACTGTCCAGCCCTTCAATAGCGAGTCTGTACCGATGCACACTTACGGCAGGATTTGCAGGTAGTGCGCCGGCAAAAATGGAGGAGGGGGAAACAACGTAGAAATATAAGTTCCGTATGTGTCCACCTTTGTCTTCCTGACAAAAAAAAATCAAAAAAGACGTGGTTTGGAAAGATCAAATGGAAGTTGGAAATCTTACTCTGTGCTGAGGTTTGATTTGATTTTGCAGGCACATCTCAAATAGTAAAGGGGTTCAAAGACGTGTGGAATCACTAACAATCGGAAGTATAATGTAGCTGCTGTCACTCTAATAGTTACTGGATTTATGATTTCACTGAGAGGATGAAGAAACGAGGCAGCTCAGTGCAGTGTGGCTCAGAACTGTACATGATGTCCATTTACTAAGAAAATAAATGCTGCCTTGCACAGGACGCGTCTTTGTGTCACTATGGCGATGAATCTTTCCGTTTTCTGGTGGACTGAGGAGGGCGTCCCATACCCGCCTGTCTTGTTTATACCCTCCCATTTAAATTGAGGTGCACTCCACAGCTGTGAGTGTAACTTCATTAGGAGTGACACTCGGTAGTGAAGGGCGAGTGTGTAGGGGGCGGTTTAGGATTGGGCCGAAGAAGAAGAAGAAGAAGAAAAAAAAAAAAAAAGAAAGAAGAAGAAGAAGTAGGACAAGAAAAAAAAAGGGAGACGAAGGAGAAGACAATTTGGTATGGAGACATTCTTCGTCAAGGATCAGCCTGACACTGTTCATTTTACACATCATGTAACATGTCATGTTGAGATATCATGTTACCACAGCATATCTGCTGTGTCGGCAAACAATCCATGTTGGAATTACAAATTGGCCATATCTGATTGGACCAAGGCTTTACACTGAATGTGACCCCCTCAGGTACTTTGGGTTTCATGTAAACTAGCTGCTCTTGCATGGATGTAGCTTGTCTCTGACTTTGGTGCATGCAGTAGCAATGTGGGTGGGTGGTGTTAAGTTTCTGAGCTAAGACTGAAGAGCAGCAAAAGGAAGGAGGTCAGAGTATCAGGGAGCTTAAACAAACAAGCAGTGGGTAGCCGTTAATAGACGGACTGCAGGAATGTGACGCCAGAATAAGCCTGTGATTGTGATTTTAACTATGAAGTATGAATTCTCTCTGCCAACAAAAAGACCAGTGTCAATGTTTGTATCCGCACATTTCTTCCATTTGAAGAGGAAGTCTACTGCAGGTTTCTCTAAGTGACTCATCTCTCACACTGTGGAGTTAAAATAGACAAAGTGATGATGCAAAGTTTTGAGTGTGATACAATGACGTCTTGAAACTCCTTTGAAATGTGATCGTTTTTATCACAAGTCAGCTCAGGAAGATTATTAGTCATCATCCCACACAACTGCTCCTCGGCTCTGCTCGCTTTCCGTATCTCCTCCTCCCCGATTAAGTACTCTGTTTTTCTCCTTATAAAACTACTGTACACTCTGTGCTACTTTAAATCTAAGCAGGTCTTGAACTCCTTTTTTTTGCTCCTCACAGTTGCAACTCTTCTCTCTGCTTTTTTTGCTACAATTTCATCACTTTCTCCCTCATATTTTTCACAGATCTTTCCTCTTTTGAGCTAGTCCTGTTCCTGTCTTGTTATCTCCTTGCTATGCATCTCTGACAGACACACCGCTGGTTTGTGCTGCTGAATCATATCACAACAGGGGCATGAACTCTTTTTTTTTTGCTGGTATGAACCAAAGTTAGGTGTTGATTTTGAGGTTTTTTTGTCTTCCTACTGAAATGAAACATCTTCATTTGGGTTTTCAGCTGAGGATGTGGCTTGTCGTGGTTCAAAGACGTCTGAATTTGAAGTCTGTACATTACCTGATAAAGAAGCCACATTGAACTGCAGGATTTTGTGGCGTCAGAGTGATTATTTCACGTTGAGAGAAGAGGACAAAAAGGAGAAAAAGAAGGAGGCAGGGGCACATTAAATTTGAAGCTAAAGACAGCTCCCATTGTAGTGAATCAAAGTGCTGCTAATTGCTGCAATTAAAGGGACAGGACGAGAGAGAATACAAAGCTTTATATGTTTGCGTGAGAGTGTTTGGGGGGTAAAGCACACTAATATTTGACAGAAGAGTGTGCTTCAAGGTAGAAAATAATTTACACATATAGTTTTATACACTTTAATGAATATACATATCAGAGATAGAGGTCTGTTCATCTCTCATGCGAAGGGAGGAGATACTCTCTGAAGTCAGAGTGCTAGGAGGATGAATAATTTACATCACATTTACAGGATAATGCAGTTAAAGCCTGGCTCAGCATTTCTGTGCAATAAAGCTTATATTACACACACTTACCCTGCCCTGATTGCTTTATCTGAGCTTAAAAACAACCATCAGTCTGGAGCTGTGTTGGATTTATGTCTCTGAGGTTTTACTGCAGAAACGCAAATAGTGATCTCAGGTGGAGCAAACTGATGATCAACTGATGGCTCATGATGCAGCGAGGTCTGAGTCACGGAGTGATGAGAAAAACAAACAGTTTGTGGCGAGCAGACGCCACTTCTGCAAATCTCTTTTTGATGCCCTGCAGTCGTGTTGTTTCCCATCACAACAGTAATTCACAAACAATCCGATCTTTGGCTCTCATGGGAACACTTGTTGGATTTCAGTCATTACACAGCTGCGAAGAGGATTTTCATGAGCAGACACACTCTTTAATGCACCGATGATAATTATATGTCAGTTGTATTGAAGTTAAAACTCACACAAGTACTGAAAATGATTCATAAAACAATTTGAAGTGAGGAGGCAGTATGATAGGTATGCTATAACACCATGTCTGTTGTCTGGCTGACCACACACTGAAGGTTTTCCTCCCACAGACAGACAGTAATTATGATCTCATCCTTACTATCCCAGTCATCTGAAGGGCAGAAAAACTGATTCAACTCAGGAGTGATATTGAATGAAGCTGCTACAAAGGCTGTAATCATATCCTGTTTGTAACCTCTGAAACAAAGACAGCAGCTCCCTGAGGCTGTTTGCTCCACCTCTGAATGAAATCCTGGGATATGACTTCTCATTGTGGTCTTTGTTTCACATTCAGAGCAAAGACTGTGGCACTAATAACCCAAAAAGAACTCAGAGTTATGAGTGCGGTTGTGTCTGAATGGAAAAGAGAAACCAGAACTATTGTTTTGGATTTGGTAGTCTGAGTGGATTTCCCCTACCTGTGGCCCAACTCTTGAGTAACCCTTTGTTTCGCCTGTCTGTGCAGACAAACAGATGATTTGATTACCTATATTTATGAGTTTAAGAGGGCAAAGTTGTGTAAAAAGAAACCTCTTTCAGAATCAGATTTCAAGACACAGGATCAGAGCCTGGTCTGAAAATGAATATCAAGGACTGAAGGACAGCGAGTCTGACTTTTAGAGGTAGCTTCAAGCCAAAGTAAGGTAGCTTATGACCTGTTTTACCATTGACTCTCAATTGCTCATTCTTTATCATGAATAAAAGGGACTTAAAAAAAACAAAAAGAAATAGTTTTCAAAGAGTAATAAGAGAAATAGACCTTCGTCTTTTGAATAAACTCTGTGACCTACAGAAATCTAATGTGGTTCGCTCAGCAACAACAAAAACCTTCGCTGAATCTTATGTTTTATAGTTCAATGAATACAGGGAGACAAAATAGCTTAGTACAAGAAAAACATACAGAACATGAGGGAGCTGATGTAGCTTTTAAGACTATATTGTGCTGATAGCTTGCTGGCACGGTTACAGCTAAATCTATAACTATGAGTCCCTGCACCACCACCATTTACAGGGGTGGACATTTTTATTGATTCTGCTACCAACAAAAAATAACACAATCCAAGAGTTATGGAGTAAATAAACTAAACATGAGAGAAAGCTTAATGACTGTTTAACGCACTATGCCCACAGCTTGTGATTGTGAAGTAATCAGCTCACCAGGCAGCTTCAGTATTTCATCAACTCTATCCCAGTGAGTCATGTATCACCAATCTATGAGAAGTAATTATTCACTTTGAGTTCATCCACTGAAATTTCCTTTGAAAGATTCCTTTGAACAACGTGCGAGGAGAGAGATGTCATCTTAATGTAAAAGAAAAGAGAAAGAACTTCTGGAGACGCTTTGATTAAAAAACATGGACACAGCATCAGAGGCATCACTAATGGTATCTAAAGCTCAGTGATGGCCGTCATCATGATGCAAATGCTGAACCTCAGCAGATAGTTAGCCAGAGGTTGGATGGGCCTAGGGATGCACTGATCCGACATTTGGATTGGATAACAGCTCCGATATTGACAAATTAACTGGATCGGATATCTGATGAATGACGCCGATCCAGTGTTCCGATCCATATTTTTTTCTTTTAATTAATATCAAACACAGCAACACAGCGATTCTGTTCGCTCTATATTCTATGTATGTCTATCTATATTGCACTAAATTTTTCCATGGAAGTCTTACTTCTTTTTGATGTGTGCTAATAAGCAATTTGTTATTTGTTAATAAATAACATTAAGTAAATTTATATTTACTTTTGTATTAACAAGGCTAATTTAAAGTCTGATGCCTCACAGGGCAAGGTATACAGTTCATTCATTCAATAGTAGTATTGGATCAGTGTCAGATATCGGCCTAAACACTCAGCCCAGGTATCGGTATCGGATTGGATGGAAAAAAATGGATCAGTGCATGTCTAGATGGGCCCTCCTCAGGGTCTGATTGGCCACCTCTGGGGTCACCAAAAACTTTTTTTTACTGTGTTGGGTTATTTGTTTAGTCAGAAGCAGGACTTGTGTATTTTTTCGTGTCAGGTGTTACACGGTTGTTTTTGTTGGCTCTTTGAAGCACAGAAAAATACATAACCCTGCTGTTTCATAATTCAAGTACTTGGCCAGGAGAGGACTCAGTCTATCCAAAATATGAATGCAAACTCCTACACATTTATATTCATTTGTGTGTGCAGACATATTTCATGCCACCCCTGCATAACTCAGTGCCCTAGGTGGGCCACCCAAGCCAAAACAGTCTGAACACACCCCTGATTACCCCCTGCTAGTGGCCTTTCTCCACCCACTCCATCTTTTCCAATCCCATATGACACACCTAGCAGGATGAGCCTTTCAACCTTCACTCTCCTCCCTACATTAAGCTGTGCACATTTGCTACAGTCAAACTTCATTTCACAGCATGTGCTTGTAGAAGTGAGGTCTTTGAATAGACTTGATATTCTGCATATTCTCCTAGATGGCCCATCACACGCATGAATTTGCCATGAAATCCAGCAGATGGCTCCATAAATAGGAAACGGCTGAAGCTAGGTGCTTTCAACAGTCAAAGTATGTACTTTGAACTAAGCCTGAATGTGAGAGATTACCAGACATCACACAAACAGTGAGGCAGGACTTAAAGTGGAGGTTAAGAAATTCAAGGCTTAACGTTCAGCCAAGTACTTTGTGTTTGTCTCTGATACATATTCTATTTGACCACACCGAAACATCCTGTTTACAGCCACGATGAGGCTGGTGACCTCTTTATAACCAGTAGAAAACAGGCACCTGAAGTCATCTCAACCCTTTGACCAGAAAACTTCAAGAAAATTTATGGAATTTGGGAGGGCTGGGAAAATAAAAAACCAAATCAGATGTGACAAACTACAGAGAGAAACGGTTTGCTGTCAGCTTTCAGCAACTCGACGGGCAAAAACACACCCTGTTGTAACATCAAACAAGACCTGGGAGGTGTGCATAGGGGGGCGGCTGGAGTCGGATCATAAGCATGTTTTCATAACACACTTTCACTTCCTGGATAGTGTGTGTGTGTGTGTATCCAAGTGTGTAGGTGTTTATGATGTGTATCTAAGAGCTCTTCAAACAGGCAGTTCAAAGAGTCACTGTTTAGACTGTGATGAGGAGTGAAAGCCTGTCTCTCCTCTCATATAACTCAAACATGGAGACAGACAGTGGGAGTCAAACGGGAGGCAGAGCCTCTGGGGAACAAAACATACCATATTCAAACACCTGAGCCAGCTCATCTCTCTCTCTTATATCACTCAAAAACACAGCTGTTAAGCACAGACACAACAACCTCTTTACCTGTTTGTGAAGTGTTGCTTCAGTTAGGATAAATTTAGTGCAGAGCGAACTCTTCCAGACATAATAGCAACCCAAAACAAGAACTTTACAGCCAAAAAGTCCCTGTTGGTGCTCTAAAAGGTGCTTCACTCCAAACAGATATAAGGTATTACCATGAAAAAACCTGTCCTTTTCCCATGGGAGAGCAATGCCTCCAATAACATCCACCAGAGAAACCAAAACATCTGAAAGAAACATATTTGTATTCTCAACTAACTAAGCAGAGAATCTGAATTCGTGAGAACAAATACTCATTTTCTAAATTTTACTGTTCAGGTTGAACTTAAGAAATGGCCCAGTAAAAACGGACCTGTAAATACTAATGCCTGCTATTAGATGGTGACACATGATTAGCAGCTTAACTACTGAGTCACATTTTCCTCCAAAAACAGAGGGTTGGCCTTCAATATTGCTGAAGGTGTGGATTTTTCTAACTTGCATAACAAACTGCAAGTTCACCATACCCAAAGCCACCACTGTTGATGGTTATAGCAGCCAGTGACCCACAGCTCAGACTTTTCTCAAGCTTTTTAGCTGACACATTTTTTTTGTTACAAGGGGGGAAAAATCTGCTGCTCTTTTCTTCATATTTGCAGACTCAAGCACATAAGAATCATCAAAGATGCACCATGAGTATCCCCTTTGACGATGCTCAAATGTCATTGTAAGAGTAACATATGGTACTTACGATCCAAGCCGTTGATGTACTTCATGGAGATCTCACAATGTCCCCACACAGCGCTGACGATGGGGTACAGCTTCTTGCCCTTCAGTCCTCTAAAAGCCACTCCGAGATACTGTCCATCCACCATAAAGCTCAGCGTCCCCTCATCCATGTCCAGAATCACTAAGAGCGAGTCCGGCAGGGTAAATGATTCCTCCGGCTCTAAGAAACACGGGTACGTGGGCAGCGAGCTGTGCGCCCTGTTTTTACTATCATGGTAGAGTCTATTACGTCCCAGATCCCAGCCCCAGGACTCACAGTCTGACCCCACTAACGCTGTGTACCCCACTGAATGTAAAGGAGCCTCAGAAGTTGCGACTCCAACCACAGCATGGGTGCCACGCTGTCTGGAAGGCCAGTGGATCCTCCACACATGAAGACCCCGCGTGTATCCAACTCGCCCCCGGATGCAGTCCGTGCTCTGAGCAACCGGATGGCGATGAAATGTCAATTTATCTTCCTCTTTGATGAAGATGTTGAGCGAGCGGTCATCAGGGTTCCATGCGTGTCGGAGCTGGGTCTCCGGTCCTGAACAAGGCATGTCCAGCAAGAGGTCCAGCCGGGGAGGTTTGGAGAAATCAGGGTCCCTAAGTTCTGGGTGCTGCCGCCTGTGAGCCAAGGGCCGGTATGACGGGGAGCCGCCAGTTTCCCCGCGACTGTCTACAGATTTGATGCCACTGGAGATCTTCTGTCCCATGGCTGAGATGGGAGGGGTTGGGGGAGGAAAAAGGGGAGGAGAGGAAGGTATCTGTGCAGGTGGGTGCTGCTTGACGTTACCTCATCAATGCGGTGGAGCTGAGATGAGAGTCCCTGACCAGGGAGAGGTGAGAGGTGATGAAGGATAGATGTAAACAGCCTGGTATCATGCCACAGATGTCTTCAGAGGGACAGAGCTTCTGCTGCCAATCCTGATGAAAAAAAAGAGAGAGAACTATACATCAGTACAAGTATATTCAAGGCAGTGCTTTTAAATCTGTTTTTCAATGACTAACCACTCTGAAATGATCCAAATCCAAGCACAAAATAAGAAAAAGAAAGACACAGGTGAAAGCAGCTTTCAATCTGCTTCACAAAGTGTGCAAGCTTCACGCAACTCTTGACTTCTCCGTTCAGGAGAAGCTGAGGAGGCCTCAAAACAACCTTTGAAAGTATTCCGACTAAAAGATTGCATGTGTCTCTGTTTTAATAAAAACAAAAATGAGCAAGATGAAAAAGCTTATACACACACACTGGCACTCATTTCCTCTGACTCATCCTGCATCCTCCCAATAGTCACATGCTTGAACCAAAACACGTATGCAACGCAGCAACCATTCCCTAGTTGTGTAACACCACTCCGATTTGAAGCTGCATGCTCTCATTTAGGTGATGTAATTTTAATGAGTGTTGCCTGAGTCTGCAACACCATGAAGACACCGGGGAGGAAACAGTAACAGCAGGTAATAATTCATATCCAGTCCTTTGTGAGACAAAGTTGAAAAAGTCAATCTGACTTAAGCTTAACCTCACACTTTAAAAATAGAAAATCAAAATGTGTGCCACAGCAGGCAGGCTCGTGTCCTGGCAGACTAGAAGGACGATGACTGAATATGAAGATAACCAGAGAGGGCAAATAGGTTCTGACTAGGGATGGGCGATATGGACTAAAAAAATCATCACAATAAGATTTGCCATTCTGACTATAATGATAAAAATCCTGATAAAAAATATTTTATTTCCAATCTAAATTTTTGACTCATTTTGTTTTGAAAAACCACAGTTGGATTAGGCAAATAAGATACTCAACCACAAGTTTGAGTGGTAGGTTATAGAGAAAACTAATGACACCAAACAAGTCTCAAATGTGAAAACATTTTCAACTCATATTGCGCAGAGTGAACAGCAGCAGCAGATCCTCTGTTCAATGTCAGGCATAACTGATTTCACTCATCTGAGCCCCAATCTTGAAGGAAATCCCACATGTTGAGCCTCGTTCAGCAAACGAGCTGCTCAGAAACATCTTCTTCATTATCTTCAGCCATGTTTGTTTGTTATTCTGCTTTGTGTGAGCTATGGCTGTGAGTCCGTCACTTGCGCTTCCGTCATCAACTTGCATTTATCGTATTTATCATGAGATGGCAAATATTTATCATGGAGGATCTTTCTGACGATAAATCATGAACAATAATTTATCGCCCATCCGTAGTTCTGACTGATGTTCAACTTTTTTTTTTATTACCTCTTTTTACGACAACAACTTCAAAAAGAAACGTATTTTAGTTTTAACCAGAAGAGCTGAGTGTTATTACTGCATCTAGTTAGTCAAAAGGAAGTGCTGTATTGACAAAACTGCCCTTCACTGACTCTAGTTTGATACAAATACTTACGTTGGTGATCTCAGTGTTTTACTTTCACCTACATGAATCAGGTTTGAGTTTATAAATAAGACTTGATTTTCTTTCATACATTTTTATTTACATCTTTTAAGTAGTTTTTAACTGGTTAAGAAACAGACGGAAAGTGATACTGGAGCCTCTCTGTGACCCTCAAAACTAAATGAGATTATCATCTACGAGGCTGATCATTTCACGGATGTCATTTTTTATTCCTGAAACCACTAATAGGGGGTTGGCGTCAGACCAGATGACTAAGAGCAGGATGATCACACAGCCTTCTTCATTTTTTTTTCACATAGCACCTATTCACAGTGAGTGATAGAGTTCACTTTTAAAAGACATCAAGATAAGGTTTTTGTCTGACAACACTACAGTCACATGTTAAGAATGAGAGATAAGATGTATCACCAGGTCTCTCTTGCACAAGAGACTTTTAACTCTCAATGGGACTTCCTGATTGAATGAAAGTTAAATTTAAAAAATCACTTTGTCCACAGGGAGGGGCACAAACAAAAATTTCATAACAGCAGCTTTAACAACATCTAAAAGGGGTTAATATTTATTTTATCTAGAACAGTGTTTCTTTTTTTCCTCAAAATGTTTCAACTACAAACTTACTGCAGTCTTTCTCAGTCGACTCTTGATTTTGTGACGTTGTCTGTCAGATCATTTATAGAGGTTTGGTCATCCTCTCTGAAACAGCTGGACAACCATGACCCACACTGTCTGACTGTCTAAGGACAGCCAGTAGCCCCCTCATCCTGGTTCACCATTCTCTGAGCTCCCTGATTATTCTCCTACAGGGGTCTGAGATGTCTGATTTGAAGTTTTCTTGGTCTGGTCTTTGTCTTGTTGCACGTGTGTTTCTCTCTTCCAGGTGTTGTTGTGATTGTTCTTGTATGTATGCTTTATGACAGGAAAGGCAGGGTATCTCATAAAAGACGTCACTCTTCCTGTCGGGGTCTATTCAGTCCATTGAGTGAATCAGTGCGGTCTAAGTTTAATGTGGGGTTTTTATGACATGCTGCTGTGATGCTTTTTTATTGTTCTTTGGATGTGTTGTGTTACCCCTCTGATATATCATAGAGTGACTGTTCCAAGGTTTTCGGTTTTTAGTGACACTAAATATCTCTGGTTTGTTGGACTAAAACACTTAAACAATGGTGAGCTAGTACAATACAAGACTACAACAGTCTTCTTTGAGTTTTTTGTTCTCTACATGTTTTTGAGGGATGCATAGCTGTAGAAATCTCCCCAACTATCAAGATTTATTTATTCTTCAGCCCTAGTAAACACTGACAGGAATTAGTCTCTAAAAAACTCTATAAATGTCCAAAAAAAGCATGAACACGTATACAGATATAAATACACACATATTCAAAATGTCCAGTGTGGTAAAAATGACGTAGTAATCTCTTCCAGGAATCACAGCTGCTGCATCCTGTTCACAGGCAAAACAGTCAGTCACACCTCGCGCAGACAGGGAAGTGGATGACACAACCCTGAATGTGTCTCATCTCTCTGCTGCTCGTCTTTACATTGCTACCACTAACCACAGAGTACCGGTTTATTTTTGTGTGTACACTCAGCTGAGACTTCTGGTAAGAGCGTCTCACACCTCAAAGGGAGTGATGCACGGCTTATTTACACCTCAGCTGTGTGAGTGTGAAACATAACTGTTAAAGCTAAACGATAGTTTTACATATCTAATGTGTCAGTGTTTCTTTACATTGTCTGATGTATTTTTTATTTTGACCCACATTTTATTAATAAGAGCCATCGTTTGTGTTTCCTTTGGTTATTAAGTGCAGCAGAGTTTGTAAATATAAAAGTACAATTTTGGTCTTCCTTTTAATCAAATACTCATTATACAAACACAAATATTCCCACCAAGCCTGTCTGCAAGCGGACCACGGAGTGAGGTCATAGTGTGTGAAATATCCATACTGGCCACACACACGCACAAAACACACACATACACACACCCCTCTCTAATTTTGGCCTCTTGCTTTTTCCCCATTCTCTGTCTCTCTCGCTGAGAATGAGGTCATGGCAGCTGGCGGCCAATGTTTGCCACCACTCAACTCACTCCTCAGCATGAGAGGGTTCAATGCTCGGACACACACACACACACACACACACACACACACACACACACACACACACACACACACACACACACACACACACACACACACACACACACACACACACACACACACACACACACATCAGAGCTAACACATACACACAGACAGCTGCCTCAATGTGTGTCACCACAGCTGGCAGGTGGGTGAAGGATGGATGGTGTTTGGAAGATTTCAGGGGTATTTCCAACAAACTTCAGCCAAAAAATACTATTAGAGACTCACAAACTGTCACTGTTTGTGTGTGTATGTGTGTCTGGTACAGTATGCAGACGATAATCGGGCATCATGAGTTGTCATTTAGGAGGCACTTGACCTGCGACCCTGTGTCGTCACGGTCACTGTTGCATAGTAACCCCTCAGGAGGCTGGTAGAGGGCTGGCACAGCGTCTGCTGCTGCAAAAAGAGGCAACATGTTTCAGCCATCTGTTGTTTACTTTTCCTCTATCTCCCTCCTTCTCTTTTTATATCTGCAGCCAACTCATTCAGACAGCGACCACACTCGTCTCTCCTCCCTTCATCTCTACTGTCAGCTCGGTCAGACAGTTACAGTGGGGACACACGATCACATGGTTATACATCAGAAAACACGAACATAAGTTCAGAGAGTGATTCAGAGTTCAAACTAATTAGTAATGTTATTCTTTGTCATTTTTTAATGACTGGCTAATGGAAAGACATGGATGGATTAAAAGGCATAGATTTTGAAAAGCATACAGCAGATTCTTCTTTTCACCTTACAACAAAAGTTTACTAAAACAACCAGTCATCTTCAAACTTCAGTGTAAGTGACTTCAAATTAGGTGTTTGTCTAAATATTTAGCAAATAATGTTTTTACAAACAATTTGCTGATGAATCAGAAAAGGGTTTTAGGTATGTATTGAGTTAGGGTTTGATAATTGCTCACTTATTAATTCTCAACATCAAAAGTGACACCAGGAACAACCTGATCACAAGCACACTATTTCAAATCAATTTGCTTGAAAGACGCACGCTTTACCTCAGCCTGTAGACACTGTGGCAAAAACATTAGTTGCTATTAGCGTCAGGTTTGTTAACACCCATTTTAGTCTTTGACTGATATGATGAGATGATGAGTTAGCGAGCTCAGATGTGGAAGCAGCCTGACGAGTGACTGGGCTTCAACCATTTTGATAGGAAAAAAAGTGGAGCTAGATCCTGTCCTGATATCCAGGCAATATCTGCAGATTGAGTGAGTGCATCCTTGAATTAAAGATCACAGAAAGAAACCAAAAGCTGAAGTTGTCTGATGATAGCAATTTTGAGATTAAAAAAAATCTCACCCTGCCGACTTTTGATAGTCTTTGATAGTAAAAACAGTTTTAAGCATCAAAAAATTAAAAAATAAAATCCATCAGACTTGTTGCTGATGGTTTTGTTAACTTTTATATTTCTTGAAAAGACAACAGTATGAACTAAGGTCTACATTATTAACGTCAAAACACTCTTCATCAGAGCTTTAAATGATGTAGTCACCTATTTGCTGTAAATTTTAACATAAAACTTCACACAAGTAAGCTCTACTGGGAATGAATTATAATGAATACATAAGCAGGACCCTGGAGGTACAGCCAGGAGGGAGAAGAAGAGAAAGACTCAATTAAAGAGAGAAAAGATCAAGAAATCTCAGAAAATGTAAGTAAGAAGTGACACTAAAAGATCAGTTAATATCAGATGAAACTGGAAGGATCAGTTTGTTTAATTAAAAAGCATAAAAGTCAAATAAATTATTTCAAAATAAGGAAATAAGGAGAAGCAGAAAAAAAAACAAGAGACAGAGTTTGACCTGATGGGTGGGCCGACTCTTCCTGTTTTACGGCGAACAAGCTCCAGTCACCAAAAAGCTTTTAAGGACATAGTATGTGTGTATATGTGAGTCTGTCTGTGTGTGTGTGTGTGTGTGTGTGTGTGTGTGTGTGTGTGTGTGTGTGTGTGTGTGTGTGTGTGTGTGTGTGTGTGTGTGTGTGTGCGCCTCATCTGAATCTGTCCAACATGCTCTGACTGAGAGAGAGAGCAAGAGGAGACTGTTGAGGAACCTCTCAGTCATCCTGCACCACCCTCAGAGACCAGACGAGTTACGTCTCTGGGCTTTTCCACAAAAAAATCTCTCCAGAGGATCCAAAGCAGAAAGATGAATGTAGACATATGACTAAGACAAACCAAGTTTTCAAAGTGTATTAAATAGAGCAGGTCAGGATGTAACGTAGTGTGTGACTGGTTGTTTGTGTCTGAGAGGTTCAGACAAGGTCGGTGACCCACAGGGCTGCAGAGCTAATAGTTGGACAGTAATTCATGCTTCCTGTTTTGGTGTTCAAGTATAAATGTCTGGCCTGAGAGAAGGTATTCCCACATGTTTGCATGCTGCATCCTGTATCAGCTGTTCCACTTCTCTGAACCACCTGCAGGCTCTGTGACATAAGAAGGAACTGCTGCAGAGCTAATATAACAATGATCTTAGTAAGCCAGTCACATGAACTCAACTGTCTCAAAAGAGCTCTGAGATGGAGCTCTGAGCTCTTGAAGGAGCAGTGGGGGTGAAACACATTCACGCTTTTACAAAGAATTAAACCATGACAAGGTCAGGTTTTATATGTCTCTGTTCAAACTGCCTGCTAGCACTGTTGGAAGATACCATCGTTTTCTTTCTCCGTTTTGAAAGAACAGTAAAGTGGTGTTTCACTTAAAGTGTCAATATGTTTTGATAGAACAGTTTATTAATCTTACAGAAAGAAGTTACCAAGTTTGCCAAAGCAGAACTCTATTTTAGCCTGAGTTAAAATTTGACAGTCCCCCTGATCACTGAAACATGAGGGACATTCATCCGGAGAGGCAGTCCACTAATTATTAAACATGAAATGAACTGCACTAAAGCATTTCCTGTTTCACATGAGAAATTCAGCAGCTTCAACCTAAAATATTCAGTTTACTTTTTATCTAAGGGCACAGCTGTACATCTGTAATAAAAATGTGTCAGCAAAATGGACTTGACTTACTTTTCAAGGGTGGGTGCACTCAAATTACTCCAAGTCTTTCTGAAGTCTCTCTCAGATTTAAGAGTCGAGAAAGTGTGCTCATTTAAAAGTGTTATATCATTTTTTACCATTACCTCATGACCGATGCTAAACCACTCCAACCTGATTTGAACCTTATCCGTCACACTGACTTACTCCGGCTTTGCCCTCATTCCTATGAAGTCTGAAAAATGAATCATAAAATGGTCATTTCTTCTGCTCTCTTCTCCTAAATGGGACTTGAGGGCATCACAGTGATTTAAAACAGAGCTGGCATGCAAACACAAACACAGAGGGGAAAACAGACACCCACATTTATATTATAACTCTGCATAGCGACAGCTGTACCCACTAGATTAAACAAACTACCATTCGCTCTGCATTGCTGACATTCATACCTACTGAGGGAATCCCTGTGAGTCTGAGGATGCCAGAGGTAGACATAAACTGTAGCGTCTGGCTGCAAACAGAATGTCAAAATACAGACTTGGGCTTATCTTGCTGGTGATGAGAAGCAGCAGTGTGGCACGTCATAGCATGGAGACACAGGCAGAAACAAACGATATGAAAAAGAAGGTATGAAAGGTGGATTCACTCATAGGGAAAAGAGTCTTTTTAGTAATAAAAGCAAAGTTTCATTTGTGTCACTTGTACTTAACACTCAAGAGAGGGACACTTAGAGGCAAAAAGTTCTCAGTAGAGCAAGCAGCAATCTCTGGTCTTGAAAATGAAGCCATAGCAGAAGTGAATAAGACAGCAGTTCCCTGGGGTCCTCTTGAGGCTTGGTGCATACTAACACCCATGTTGAACTGTCCATTTTTACAGCAGAAACTAACACTGTGGTAGCTCATAGGCTCAAAAATGTATGAGCATGCACTACACCAGAGTCAAAATCTATTTTGACTGAGCCAGGAGTTTAACATAAACTTGCATAATGCAGGACACGACTGAAATGAATGATAGCTGGGTACACTGCAGCTGTTTGCTAAAAGGTTAATGACCCCCTCCACCATTGTGCCAATTACCAGATTGGCTTAAATTTCTGGTTAAATTAGCATTTGCAATAAATCAACTGCCAGTGTTTATGTTCTTCCAGAAACCTATGTTTGACGCCACTGAAATAGCATCCAGGTCATGTACAGCCTATGGAGTTCAGCTTAAGTTCATTTCAGTCATATGTACTAAAAACTGAAAGTACTGAACAGCAATTCTGGTGAAAGATTACCAAACTGAATCACTCTCTTGGCAACAAGACTCAGGCAACAACATGCTAGCAGCTCTATGAGGCTGTATTTATCAGGAAATTATGCTTTGAGCTACATGCTAACATTAGCCAAACTGCCCAAGAAATGTCCAAAATATTTACCTACGTAACTCACTCAGCATGAAAGAGTGTTACCCAATGGAAACCCTGTCTGAAAAAATAAAAAAAACAACTCTTGATTTAACTGCTACAAAACAGCAAGCTAAAAATTACAGTAAATAGTTGTTTGTTGATGTAGAACACACCTAAAGTGACAATGCTAACATGCTAATGTAGCAGCATCATTTAACACCAACTACCCCTTGCAGCCTAGTTGTAACATATTCCAATTAGCTTTTTACTGGGAATGTTTTATGATGTGTTGAGGGGTGCGCCCTGTTTATTGTTTCCAGTCTGCTGTATTCAGCCCTTGTGGTAGCGTTGGCTAAGCCCAGCTAAAGCCTGTTCAAATACATTTGTTTGTTTGTTTGTTTGTTTGTTTGTTTGTTTGTTTTTTGATGAACAAGCTTTCTATTCGCGCAGGGTGTTCAGGAGAATCTCATAGTTCAATATCAAACACTTTTGAGACATTACTGACTTGCTGTAAAGAATAACTCAAGCACACCATGTTTTGATGTTTTTCTAGCAAGAGGCTGGTTTACAGTATGTGTGTCACTAACTTCAAAAGTCAGACGTCAAATGTCACATGTCACATCCACATTGGCTGCTTCCCAGCTGACAAGTTGTTCTACCAGAAGCTCATGTTGTTGTAAGCAATGTCAGCTAATATCGGAGAATAACAACACACCACATGATAATTGTGCGGAAAAGCAACATGAAAATATATCCAGAGATAGAACCAAACTAATACTTCTCTAACGCTGAGTGAACAGTGTGCTGGAGCCTCAAGTAAACTTTAAACAGTTAGTCACATAAGAGAGAGAGTATGTCTGCTGTGCTTAAATTTGGCAGGTAATGTTTTCATGTTGGCTTTGTGTGTCAGTTGGGTTTGCAAAGGACAGCCAATTGGTACTTAGCAGGAAATGCTGGGATGTCAGTGTTTTTTGTCAGGCTTGGTTTCAAACATAGACCAAAAAAAAACATGGACATAGACTCAGTAGAGTTAGAGTTTTGAAGCCTAACTGGTAGACATCATGCTGGAAATGCTGATTGAACCTCATTTTCAATCACATAGCAACGGGCAGAAGGGGACAGTTGAGGTGGGCCTTTAGCTTCTGTCTGTCAGTCAAGTCAGCTGTGCCTCTTATCATGCAAAACTTTGATGTTTTCAAAACTATTGAGTGACAAAAAATTCTTTTCAGACCAAAACAGTTGTTGTGCCAAGTTTAAACGTGTTTATTTCTGCTTTAATGGTTGACTTTTGAATGTGTGCTTTTGCTGCTTTTGCATCCAGCATCACATGGACACACTAGTCTAGGAACTGCAGTTTTTGACACATCAAACACCTTTTATTAAGATCTGTCGCCACTTGGTTCCACATTGAAGTATAAATTTAAAATTTTTACTTTATGAATTGAACCATTTATAACAGCACTTTACTCAGCTTGGCTGAAACTCAATTTTTCTGAGGGACTCCTGTGAGTTAGAGGATGCTAAAAGTAGACATAAACTGTAGCATCTGGCTGCTATCAGACTGTCAGAATACAGACAGGGACCTTAAATACAGACAGGCAGTGTTGTGTTTGTGTGAACACTTCTTGACTTACTTGAGCAACTGTGAAGTAGCTTTTATTTTATTTTATTTAATCATACTCCCTCTTTCACAGTGTCTTCTACTTTTACCATTTACCCCCATTCTTCATTTTTTTTCATGTTTTCTAGACTGTCCTTCTCATTTGTCTCTGTTTCTGTCTCTCTGTTGCACTGTACCTCTAAATCCATGGAGACAAGAGCAGAGCTGACATCCTTTCAATTGGTACAAATTATCTCAGGCCTGCCACCAAATGCCCCAGCATTCACCATGCGGCAATCAATGTGAGCTCAGCACGCCTGCAAGCAGGCTCTGCAAAACACCCAACACTAGCAAAGTCACACACATAGCTGCATATACAAGCGCACATGAACCATGATAAGCACAAAACCTCGTTCTAACTCAGCAGGGAATTGACTATGCATGGGATGTGAGAGACACGACCTTCATCCCAGAGTTTGGAGAATTTCCCCTGATACAGCACTTTTACTGTATCCTAGCATGAAAGCAGAGCATGTCCTCTTCTGTCTTCCGTCATCGTCTGAGCTCTTCACTCCAGCAGAATTCACTCCCTAATGAATCATGTCTTCTCTCCCACACCATCCTCCTCTGTTCACCTTCATTTTCTCTTCTCTAGAAATTAAAAAAAACTCCCAAAACTCCCTAACCCTTTTTCTTAAATACCCAACTTGCATCATGATGATCTTAGAAACTGAAACTTAAAAGTTCCCCAACAGAAAACTGCGGTGTGTTTAGACGAATTTATACACAGAGGAAATAAAATCACAGAAACACATGCACACACTCTGTATTGTCTTTTTCCTGCTGTGACACCCTTAAATCCATGATACCCTCAGGGAAGACTGTAAGTGCAACAGTGATTGAGCACTCCTTTACAGACACCTATGCAAAGCCTATTCATCTCCTCCTCTCACACACACATACTCTCTCTCTCACACACACAAATACACACAGAAGGCCTTGGCAGCACAATCCATTAAGCTCTGCAGGGTGGCGGCAGATTCAGGTGGCAGATTCACAACCCCAGCAGTAATGAAACTGAATCAAAGTGTGAATATGACGCACTGCTACTGCTGCTTCGCTCGTTTAACATCCAAACTGCTTGCTCAACAGTGTGATGATAAATGTCACACCCACGCCGAGTCAGACGAACAACCTAGGAGTTTTTTTTCCTCTGGAATTACGCTGATGAAGTAATCACAATTTAAATAGAGTCTGAGGGGAATTCCCATTTACTCCCAAGGATGGTTTAGGACACAGTTTGGAGTTTGTCAATATCAGCGTACCCATTAATTGTTTCATTTTTAGCAACAAAAAAAAATACAGAATTTCACTTGACACTAACATTAGCATGCTTTCCACTTAACAGGCTAATACCAAAATCATTCACTCTCCAATCATTACTTTACGGATTTTTATGTTTAAAACTTTCTACTGTCACTTTGTACTAACTGAGCCATTTGGTCTGAAAAAAATCTTCATTACTTTCTTGTTCTTTATACTTTCATTTCAACTAGCCCACTGCTTTTAACGCTAGTTTCATGCTAATGCTAATAAGTGAGATTGTTGATCATTTCTGAATTATTTAAGGACATTTAAGCCCTCATTATATAGAAACCTGTTGTTCATACATGTACCTCAGAGTGGGTAAATTTCTTAGTCAGACACACTCAAACAAATTTTACTTTGTTTGATTCACACCAGAAGAAGAGGGGAGAGAGAAGTCTTTCACAATGGTGACAGATTTTGTGTTTATATCACTGCCTGCAGCGTGTATGAGGATGTGTCCACAGTACAAAAAATAACAGAATCTAACATAACACCAACCAGGCTGACAAAAGTCAGCTCAACGATGTCGTCATCACTTCACAGACTGGCTTGCAGTGGCTTTTCCTGATGTTTACCTGCTGTGTTCACACCCCTTGTTTCAGCCTGAATTCTTGTGGGAATTGTTGTACAACTAGGCTAGAAAAATATCTAGGCTTGTTTTCATAAGTTCTGTGCACATGTGTAAGAGAACTAGAATCCATTATAAAAGGTAAAGAGCACTAATGATATACGAGACAGAAGTACAAAATGGTGGAGTGAATATAGTTAGCAAATCCATGGTAACAATGCTAATATGCTAACATTTAACAAGTGATGTAACAACGATGTTACCTTACCTCAAAGTGCAGGAAGTTTTCCATGTACCAGAGTGAACTATTCTCAAGTCAAGACACTGAAAAACAACATCTTTGCTGTGGGATGGGGCTCATGACTTTCTGTACAATATATCATGTGGATGTATTCAATAGTTATTGAGATATTTTAGTCTGACTTAAAGATGCAGATCTGCCGGCAGTGCTCTGGCTGTACATCTAAAATATACTGTATATAATAAAAAACAGTTTCAAGCTCCTCAACTTTGTTTTCAGTTTTATATCTTAAATTTGGTGAGTCAACAAAACTCAACAGAAAAATAAAGACATCATTCCGAGTGACTTTTTTGACAATCCTCTGGTCTTTTCTAGACAAAGCTTTTCATCCATAAACCAAGCAGTGATTGACTGATAATGAGAATAATTGTAGCCTTTGCTCTGACATAAACACACACATGCACACTCACACAGCTGTCTAATGGCTGAGACGTTTGTCTCTCTTGTCATAGTGTCCTCCAAAATCGCTCTGTGCGGAGTAACAAGGACGTACTGTGCCAGAGCATTTGACAGGGGAAAGTACATCCCATCTCATCCACACAGTAGGGATGGGAGATATTCACAGGAATAAAGTCTTGATATTTGGGGGGATTTGGGTGAAAACAACAACTGATGATGATCTGCTTCCCTTAAAACTTTGAGGAAAAAACTATGTAATGCAAAAAACATGTTTGTAGAAGTCTGTACTTGCTTACTTTTTTAAAACAGATACATCAGGTGTTGTTGATGATAATTACAAAAAAAAAATTAAAAATCAATGAAAATCAGGTCTTATTTATGAAAACTTCAAACTCATTCAAGTATATACAAAAAAAAGTGAAACCAACAGGGCAAGAGCTGAGTCCAAACACTGCAAGTATGAACGAATCACTTCAAGAACTGCTGACACTTTTCCTTTTTTAAACATCATCAAGCTTAAAATTGAAAACAGTCAGTCAGTGGCATAAAGGAAAGGCATATGACAGTTTTCTATTTTAAGCCCGATATCAATATTTCACATCATAATAAAGACGTTATGTCAATAATTGTATATAAGCTGCAAACAAGAATGACCTTACAAAACTTCGCTGAGTGTGTTTTTGTTTTGCCAGCATCTTAGACCGCTGACCCCTGAAGCTTTTTTATTATTCCTCCCCGATGGTGAAACAAATTAGTCGTTGAGCTGTCATTAAAAACAACAACTCTCCAGCTCTGTATCGAGATTGGTTACTTCCATCTTTTCAGAGCCAGACCACCTCCATGAAAAAAGATGATGTTCCCCGTAAATCTATCAGTGTTAATTCTGAGGCTGGTGGTGTTTGTTCGCTAACTTTTAACTACAACCATGCAGGCAGCTACGCTAGCTTAGCCTGTTGTGATTCATGTGTTCTCAATGCCGACTCAGCTTAATCTTATACTGCGTTCGAGTTATCTCAGAAGTCAGAGGTCCAAGCTGAAAATGACGTCAAACCTGAGTTACCAGCATTTCAGTTACCAAGTTGGAAAAAAGCAAAATCGGAGGCGGAAACAAGATGGCTACATCTATGAAAGTTATTCTAGTGCTTGCCTTGTCCAAATATTAGGCAAGCGCTAAAATAACTTTCAAAGATGTATCCATCTTGTTTCCGCCTCCTAATTTGCTTTTTTACGACTTGGTCTGACATCTGACTTCTGAGGTAACTCGAACGGGGAAATATTCAGTGAACATGTGCAAATTGTTAAGGTATGTTTTGATTGGTTCATGCAAAATAAGTGACATACTTAATAGCATCATCATATATAGTGTTTAAACAACAATTAAGATGTTGTCATGAACTAATCATCACAGAGCGCAACCACACAAACACACACTCAAGTAAACAAAGGAGGGGCATTGAAAATTGTGCCGAAAAAAAGAGTGGATTTGGACCCCAGTTAGTATTCAAAAGAGGCAGGGACTGTGGTAGAGGAAGGCTGTAGCAGTATAGATTGGTTTAGAAAGAAAGCAAACACAAACAATAGCAAAGACGTCGAGGGAGAGAGAGAGAAACAGAGGTCAGCAGCTGACAAAACAAAGGATAAAGTCAGAAAAGAGAGCCGCTATCTCTCTATCCCAGGATGGACCACACAAACACCCCTTCCCACTCCTATCCAGACACCAAACACACAAAGACACACACCCTGTTAGAAACACTACTGTAGGCAGCACAGGGCGAGCTGACAGATTAGAGAGGTGTAAGTGACATATAGACCAAAAGTGTGTTTAAAAATAGAAAGCAGGATCTATTCTATTATTGTATGTGAGCAGGGGCAATCCTGGTTTAGCTTATTCAACAACTCTCACTGCTCTATCTCACCCCAACAAAAGCACATACACACACAGACACACACACACACACACACAGGCAGGCAGAGGGGTATCCCATCTGGCCAGCTGGGGCCTTGGGACCATTAGGAGAATTAAAGGCGACAGAAGATAAGAGAGGAGGGGAGGGGAGGGAGGAGGAGGAGGAGAGGGTGAGTGCACAATAGCATCAACAGAAGAGGAGGAAAATGTTGAAAAAGGTTTGAGAGGTTAACAGCACAAGAAGAGGGTTCGCTCATCTCTGTCAATGAAAACTTGCTGCTACTTTTAATCCCAGTTTTGTATCTAATAGCTGTATGAATTGCCAAGCTGCATCACATTGTTATTTCTTCCACAAATACACACACACACTCCTGAAATAGCAACAATCTCTTACTCACACACTCCCCACGCTCCACCGTGTAGACAGCACCACACAGCAAGCTCCTTACAGTGAATCTCCAGTGGCTCTTCTCATGTCTCGCAGCGTGAAGCCCCTCAGCCTGAGTCCATGTTCAGATCCAGACAAAACACAGCAAAACTCCTCCAGTCAGCCTCCGGCACACAGAGAGAGAAAACCCCAGAAGACTGGTGGTGGAAGAAGAAGAGGAAGAGAGCAGCAGCCGGCGAGTCTGTCTGAGAGAGAGAGAGAGAGAGAGAAGAGACTCCCTCTTTCCTCAGAGAGCTGCCCACCTCTGCCTCCTCCCTTGTTCCCTCCCTCTTTTTCCCTTCCCTGGAGCTTATCTGTCCCGAGGCTCTCACTTCTCTTCTTCCCCCCAAACACACTGCGCACCAACTCCAAAGAGTGTTTCCAAGGCAGCGCTGTCACGACAGACTTTCAGCCACACTCCAGTTTCAGTTCCACTTCAGCCTTTCCCCACAAGAGAGAGAGAGAGATACAGAGAGAGAGAGAGAGAGACAGAGAGAGAGAGACATGAAACACTGAAAGCCGATCCCCTCTGATCTCATCAAGCAAAGTTACCAACAGCAACCAGACCGGCAGGCAGCTGAGAGCATGCCCCCTCCCTGTCCTGACTCTCCCCCTACTTACAAAGAGCTCTCACGGAGCCAACCAACCACACCAACCCCCGCCTCCACACACACCGGCACACATGTTTACGTACACACACACCTACACGTGCAGCAAAAACACGGCACGAGTGGAGCATGTGCACGTTTAAGGGATCAAGGGGAAACACGCCAGTCAAGTCAGGGTGGACGAGAGTTTATGTGAGGTGAAGTACGTGAAGTTTAATGAGGATCTTTCAGAGAGAAAAATGGCTCTATTAAAGTGTTTCACAGTTGTTGAACAAAGTCTCTTTTTCCTGTTTTAAAGCTGTGCAGTAAACACATCACATGCCTCTGTGTCTGGGTGATGATCTGCTCTGTTTATGTTCTCTGTTCTGTCCTGTCGTCATGTTGTACTTCTGCCCGCATCTCTGCGTAACTTGGCTCTGAGGTGATGTGATGACTAATTTCATTTACCGGCCTTTTCCCACATCCACTCTTCATCAGTCATTCACAAAGGCTGGGAAGTGAAGAAAGAGTTTGGTAAATCACATGAATGTTTACAAAAATCCAAGACATTTTGCTTGAAAGCTGACCAGGCATGTAAAAACAAGTCACGCCAACATGCTCATGCCATTTCACTGGTACTAACATCGAAGCTTGTGCAGGAGTATTCCCTGGTGCCTGAGCATGTGCATACATATTTTTCATACAAACACACATGTAAAGTGGAAAAGCAGACTACAGTGTTTGCAGTCATGCAGGACTGAGACCCAGCCGGCTCACTTCCTGTGTGGACTTCCTTTTCCCAGGGCCGCAGCGACCACCAGGGAACCAAACTCCCCACGACACCACCACTCCTACGATGTTTGGCTACTTTATCATCACATCACACGTCTGCAGAGGTGTTGAAAGCAGCTCACAGCAAGATAAGGACGCGATACGATGCTTTTGTCTGAATTCTGTTCTCAGGCATCAACAATTTACAAAGACAAGCATCCAATAAACACTCAGGTAAACCTAATGCCTGTGACACTTTGCTTTAAATTAATTTCATCTCAAGCTTATGCACTTGTTGAATTGTTTAAAAACGTTTGGGTATGTTAAAAAATTCTCAAGAGTGTTTGTGTGGAGTCATGTAGTAGCTATAATCTCACACAAATGTTCACGCACAGGAACAAAGGCACACACATTGAAGTGCACATGTGGAATCCAGTGAAGTGGCCTCATTCAGACGCAGAGGTGGAGAAGAGGAAATGTTCAAATCTGTACAAACACACACAGGCGGCTACGGATCACCTGAAGTAGACATATGGGTGAGACACTTGACCTCTACCCTGCATTCACACAGACAGCAGTACATGGATACATGTGCACACACACCAACGTCCTAACTGTGCAGCCGTTTTTCTCACCAGCAGCCGATGTAGGTCAATGGTTTTCTATGTAAGCAGTTTCTATAGGCTTAACATAATACACACAGGTAAGCGGGAGCAGGAGGAGGAAAAGGAGGAGGGGGCTCTGAAGGGAGGTCAGGGAGCCTTCGAAGAATCTGTGGCTGGAAAATCACACTGAATCTAAACACCCACATGTTTGCGGGTATAAAAGTAGTATTTTTCCGTCACTCTTCCAAATGTTTCTGCCCACATTAGAGGTGTTTTTGGATTATTCTGTCCCCATAAAAATGCAGAAACAGTTGAAAATGCTCACAGTGTGCAGCCAGACCTGTAGGTGGTGATCATGCATACACGAGCCTGTCTCATTAACAGTAAACAGTAGCCCATCAACTTGAGGCTAGGGATGGGCGATATGGGCTAAAAAATTTGACACGTTAAGATTTGCCATCCTGGCGATAACGATAAAAGTCCAGATAAAAAATATTATAACTCCAATCTAAATTTTTGACTCATTTTGTCTTGAGAACACCAGTTTGAGTAGTCAAATAAGATCCTTGACCACAAGTTTAAGTGGTAGGTTATAGAGAAAACTAATGATATCAAACAAGTCTCAAATGTGAAAACATTTTCAACATTTGTTGAAAACTCTGATTGCACTGAGTGAACAGCAGCAGATCCTCTGTTCGATGTCAGGCATACCTGATAGTGCTCATCTAAGCCCCACTCTTGAAGGAAATCCCTCATGTGGAGCCTCGTTCAGTAACGAGCTTCTCAGAAACATCTTCATTACCTTCGGCCATGTTTGTTTCTTATTCTGCTGTGTGTGGGTTATGGCTGCAAGTCCATCACTCACGCTTATGTCATCAATTTGCATTTATCGTATTTATCATGAGATGGCAAATATTTATCGTGGAGGATGTTTCTGAGGATATATAATGAACGATAATTTATCATCCATCCCTACTTGAGGCATTCACAAAACATACAAAACATATAAAAAAGACAATAAACTCTGTTGCTGTTGACATGAAAACAACAACACAGAGTTTTAAAGCTCCACATTGAAGGTATTTTTTTAAACTTTCACAGTCAGTAACCTAAAGCTCTGTTTACCTGAGGTTTTGAGCCAAACCACAGATATAAACCTGCATTTTCTCAAATGTCTGCAGATAAGACCTAAAGGGCCAAGTTCAGGTTTTTTTATTGTGTCTGATGACTTTTCCAGTAAAATAAATACTTGCTTAAAGTATTCATTATCAAAGATTCATTATTAGTGTTAAAGGCAGCAGTATTAAATGTGCATTTAAATTTATGGTAGTTGTTGTTTGGACAAATTGCTTTAATCCCACTGGCTCTGCTTTTAATCCTGTTTTCTGTTGGAGTGCATCAACTGTTCAAAAAGGCCAATTAAGTGCTGTGATATCACCAGGAGACATGACCTGGAGATGCTGCACTGATAGTAAAAGAAGATCTGTCTGAATGTCTAAAGCGTTTATAGTCATTATTTTACTGCTGCTAATTTATACTTCTAATTTGCATTTAAAATTCAAATCCATAAAGTCAGCCTCCTAATTCTACTGGATTAGAGGCTTTTCTGGGTTTTAGTTTTAGAGGCTTTGCTTCAAACCAGTGATCACAAAAATTAAAGTGTTGTCTCTTTTCAAATTGTAAATGTAAATTGTTGAAGCACGTGTCCACATGTGGAAAAAGTGACAGGTTTTCATTATTCTTTCTGCGCTGTCTCCAACTGAGCATCAGTGTCGGTGCATCAGTAAGAGCAGAAGTGTTTTCAGAAAAATCAGTCTCTTCCTGTTCATTTTCAGCTTTTTCCTGGGTAAAAAAGGGATTCGGAATCACTCCTGTCACCCTGAATTGACAAAACACAGATAAAGCTTGTCATGAAAGCTTCAAACTGCAGATTCACCCCCCATCTTCTCTGCTGGACCCTGCCGTAAATTGCCCCCTGATTTTCTGCCTCAAGGCACATTCACACTTAAGGGACCCCATGGGGTCTTTGGTGAGAGTGTGTGTTTGTGTGTGTGCGCTTGTGTGTGTGTGTGTGTGCCAGGGAGAGAGAGTTAATCTGCAGGACAATGGGGGCCTGTCCTCACCACACACACTCAAAATTAGGGCTAGGGGCCTCACAGCTGAGCAGCTTACTGACAATAGAACTGAAGGTGTGTGTGTGTGTGTGTGTGTGTGTGTGTGTGTGTGTGTGTGTGTGTGTGTGTGTGTGTGTGTGTGTGTGTGTGTGTGTGTGTGTGTGTGTGTGTGTGTGTGCTGCCCTCTGCCAACACACGTGTCAAACACAAAGCCATCCAACTGTCCATACAGCCCAGGGGAGAGAGGTTGACAGAGGAAGGGGAGGGGAGATAGATGGATGGAAGAACAGGGGAGCAGAAGGGAAGAAGTGGGAGGAACAGGGGTCTGAATCGTGCAGCCTCAGGGTGAAGAGTGAGGACAGTGTGGGAGTGAAAGAGTAGCAGAGTTAAAAAAAGAGAAACAGTAGAGGGTAGAATTACTGAGTGCAGATGGCTGAGAGAAAGAGCGGCAGGGGCACGGCCTGTCAGGATGAAGTGATGGAGAAAAAAAGGGATGATAAACAACACAGACAGGGTTTTAGTGCTTTAACCATCAGCTGCTGTTTTCACACTCGGATAAAATATCAGACATGTATAATTCTGGAGAGGTTTTCTAGCCTGACCTAAAGACTTATTTCAAATTTGGATGAACTTTGAGAGACTTTTTACTTTTGCACTGAAAGTGAGAAACCACATCCCAGTAAGAATATTACTTAGAGTCTTGTTCGTGTGTGGTTGGAAAACACATAAGAAGGTTTCATGTTAAAAAAACCTATGGGTGGGAATCACTAGTGGCCCCATGATAGGATATTATCACAATACTTGGGTCACAATTCAATATTACTGCGATGTTTAACATTTTGCGATACAGTGAGTATCGGGATACCATATAATGCGATTTGTACAATTTTTTCAACTGCTTAGCTGATTTAGCATTTGTCTTTCCCTAATGTTTGTCTTATTGATGGAATATTTTATTTTCATGTCATCTTGCAAACCTCATATGTCATGTAGCTGTTTTTAGTTGTTCAGCTGACATCTACTCCCTTTGCACTGGTTTGAGGCATCGAAAAGCACAGTATAAAATTGTAAAAATTGTTAATGTTTTAGCCAGTGGTCCTGTTTGCTTCTGTACATCTTTAAAGGCATCAGTGTGAATTTCAGTCTATGTAATTAAAATCAGAAAACTCCATACAGGAGCTCTAAGTGAATAAAGTGAGTGGAGACAGAGAGGATAGTAGGGTTGTCAAAAGTATTGATACTTTGAAAAGTATCGATACTTGGCCAGCATTAATCCGCAGCAGCCATGGTTAGCTATCGGCTCAGTGAATGTTAGTTGTTTTGTGATTAGCTGTGGCTAGCGCTCCACTATAGTCTGCAGTAGCCGCGGTTAGCTTTATGCTTAGAGAATGTTGTTTGTTTTGTTATTAGCCTTTAGCAGCGGGCTAGCGGCTAGCAGCCTTTAGCTTGCTAACGTGACGCAAAAGTGTTTTCTTCTCTTAAAGATGCAGACTGAAGCAAAGAGAAGTCGACCTGCAACTGAACCGATGAAACCACAGCCTACTCTTCCACTGCTATTTAAAAAAAAAAAAGAGAAAGTATGACCCAAAGTCTCCTGAAGTTGTCAAAATAAACAGAGTTGTAGCAGAGTATATCTGTGAGGACCAATTACCCATTTACATTGTATTTTTCATGTTAATAAAAATATTTTTTATACTTTTTAAAGTATTTATCATTTTTTGTCCACGCAGTATCGAAAATGGTATTGAGTATTTTCCTGAGTATTGACATCCAGTTTGAAATTTTAGTATTGTGACAACCCTAGATGATATATAAACCTTTTCATCTGTATGTGTGTAAGCCCACACACTTCAGGTCACCCCTAAGACACCTGGGCCACCAGAGTCAAAATGTCTGGACACACCCCTGAATAGCATACAGACATTTCATTACTTCCTTCAAATCCCACTGATCCCTTTATTTTCTTTCCACTGTCACTCTGGGGACTTAGAGATTACTGAAACACCACACCACACCACCCTTCTCTCTCCTTAACAGCCCTTTAAAGAACCAACAGCTGCTGAAACGTCCTCATGTCAGAGGACTGTCCTTTACCTGTGAAGGCATCAATAAGACAACAAGGACACCAACATTCAGCCCTCATTCTTTGTAAACACAAAAGGCTCACTGAAACACACACACACACACTTACAAACACTCTCATCGAGGCAGATGCTGGCCATCAGAGTAAAGCAGGTATGCATTAATTCAGCCTGGCTGCACAATCAATGACAGTAAATGGAGGCAGCAGGAGGGACGGACAGGGATCTGTTGCTTTCATTTCCCACTTACTCTATCTCTCTCCTTCTATCTCTGTCCATTAAAACACAACCTTTACATGTCTTGTTCCATTATAGCAAAGCTTTCTGAGTGAGTCACAGTCTCACTTTGTGCGGCACAAAGCACACATGCCGCGTCCCCGTCTCTTTCAGGCTGCTCAATTACACTGTCGCTGGGTATCATGTCTGCCCCTCGCTCTTTGTACAACACATAGTTTTCTATTTCATGAAAGGCCATGTCTTCAATAAAGCAGACACATCTGAAAGCCGCGAGTCAACTGTGCTAACTGCTCCATCTGCTCTGCCATTGTCTGACTGACTCTTTCAAGTCTGGGGTTTTTAAGCGATTATGCAGCAGTTTTACGCTTCAGGCCAGAACTTTGACCAAATTCCACAAACCTGTACTGGACGTTTTCTTTTTTATGGTTGTTGTTTTTTTATAAGTGGGATAACTAAAAGTGTCGGCAAATTAGATTTCCTACAAAAGTGCCACATATCAATAAATAGCTAAGATCACAAGACTAGCATATGTCAGCATTTCCTGTTTACATCACATCCACATTTCAGAATCATCTCAAAACTTGTGTTTCCCATCTATTTCAGCTACGTTTGTCCATCATCTTGCTCTTTTCCTTTAACCAAATGTCTCCTTTTCATCTCCGTATCCTGTCCGCTTTTAACCTCCCTCCAGCCCTTCATCTCTCTCCTCCTCTTCCTCCTCTTCTCCCTCTCTCTTTACTCCTCATTTCTTCTATATCTGTTCATCCATCCATCAATCCAGCACCTCCACTCCTCCCACAATTTTTTCCACTGCCAATCCTTACACCACCAACCCCCTCTGGCTCATCTCCCCTTCCTCCAACATCTGCTCTGAGGTCTGCGTCTGTCACTGCTGACCTCTTGCTGCCACGTGCCAAGTCCTCCCTTCAGTGTCCCACAGAGACCCTAAATCTTTAACACACATACACACACACATACAGACACAAGGACAGCTTGTGATAGGTGGCCGTCCCTCACTCACAGATGGGGAGAAAAGCACATAAATTTAACCTCTGATTGCAGACTCTCATTACATCGCTGTATAATTTGTCCATTAAATGTCTTATAAAAGAGCAAATCCTTCAATTAAAGGGGCCTGGACAACATGTGCCCAGAATCCCAAAAGATTTAAGGTTGTTACATCCAGGCGTTAATTACATTACAGATACAGACGCATCAGCTGTGACGCTGACTTTAAGGCTTTAGGGTAAACACTCTAGCTAATTATATGCTGAATAAAATGAACAAAATATGGAAATTCTCCAACATTTGGAAACCAGTTCAGACTAAAAATGAGCTGACCCTGAGTTTAGTTCACACCGATTATAATGAACTAGCCCACATTCATTTTTTAGCTGCTTTTTCCATAAAGCCAATTTTGGCTAAATTCTTCACCATCAATCATCAGCATTTCCTAAACTACATTGATTACTAGTATTTTCCTCTACAAAATCTAGACTGATATTACCATTAAAGCCAATCTGAGTGTGTTTTATCAATTAAACTCAGGAAAAACTTGTAACAAGCACACAGATTCAGAGGGCTAATCTGCTTTGGAAGAAACCATCAGTGTAAGAACGTTTTCAGGGGTGAAAAACGACCAACTAATAAACACAGAAAGAAGTTTATCCATTCTCAAAGACCACTCAAACCATCGAAGGTTTAAGTCAGTCAGAATCTGATCTGACCCCTTCAAATGTTGATGAGAGCTTGCCATAAACACGGTTGCTTAAGAGTGTACGGCTGAAGCACAGAGCCTCACTCCTGCTTGCAGCAAACATCCATGAATCACAACTTCAGCTGTTCAATTTACTATTAATCAAAATATGAGCCATCTTTGAAGCCTGTTCAGAAAATTTTAGGCATGCTTTCAGACCCCTACTACGGCCAGTCACCAGGTTTTGCTACCAGGTCATGAGCTTTGCCTTCACTTTGGAAGGCTGTGCCGTCCATGGTTTCACAAGAGAAGCAAATCAAAAGGGAGCCTTGAGACTGCACCGGTTCTAAAAGCCACCAGGGGGCGACTGCACTGGCTGCTAGAAAACTGCCTGAATAAACTCTATGTCAGAAAAACCTCACTCCTCATGTGATTATTACCATAATTTATATTTTCCTAATGATTTAAAGTACACAATTGAGAGTTTAAGTCCTCTTCACTGCAGCATGGTGTGCCTTTTGTAAATAATGATTTTTTTTTTCTAATAGGCTGCCCCTCACCTTATTGACTAGCTGTCACCATCTTCAATCCTGTAAGTCACACAGGGGTATAGCAATGCACCCCCACTCCCTTACAAATGTTGTCACATCTGGCTCTACTATAAACAGATAGTGACACCCAAATTATCAGTGTGGTTCAGAAAGCAAATGCTTACTACACAGTTGACGTATCCACTTTTTATCAATTTAGTAAACGCTACTAGCTGAAGAGTGACAAACTGACTGTATCTGGATGGAGTCTGTCTTACTGGTCCAAGGCCAGGGGTTGTCAGTGTCACCTGAAAACTGCATTATAAATTTAGCTTGTGCTCAGGCTGCAGCAATAAGAACATTATTGCCGTATTGCAATATACAGCAGTTTACCACTGGGATAAAAAAAAAAAAAGAAAACATGGTCCACAAATTGCTTCTTGCACACAGCAATCTCCTCCTGATATGCTGTGTGTGCAGCACTGTTTTTATTGTATGTATGAGCATTTCATATCCAGTGAATTGAGCTCATCTTTCATTCCGCTTCTAAATGCAACAGAAAATAGGATCCTACAAACCACCAGGACACATCCTCACTTCTTTTTTTTTTATCTGAACCTCACACACCATGTTTGGGCGCTTAGTTTGCACCGCACATGGATGTTGGAAAACTGTGCAAAATGTTTGCAGGAGAAGTTTTCAGCTGAATCAACCACCGATCAAAACCAAGAAAGCAGGTCAGAGTGAAGCAGACAGATGATCTGTTTAAGAGACAGAGGTGATCACTGGAGACAGATATATTTTATCTACACAGATGCACACACTAGCTGCTGGATGGACAAGCAAATGGAAACTGGCTTTAAGGCATATCCTTCACTATCACACACAAACAGCAGAATAGATTCACTTTTATCTCTCGTCATGACAGATATGAGCAGAATGTGACCACACAGTCAAGTAAACTGCTGCGATGATCGCCAACGGCTGCAGAAAACGTCCAGCTGTTTCACTTTGAACATTTTGAAATGATGTCATGGACTGAAATTCTGCAGAAATTATGCTCAGCGTGCATCTTACCCAGAGTTCAGTCTACGGAGACATGTCTGAATCCTCTGTGCGTGTGTGTCCAGGTCAGGGCTGAAGGTGAAAGGTCAGACTAATTCAGGGATTCCTGTCAATAAAGCAAACACATAGAGAGAGAATCATGAGGACTGAAACGTTAACAAAGACAAACGTCACACGCAGAACCTTTATTTTCCTCTGTTCTTTTTCCTCCTCTCCTTTGTGCTGCTGTGCGTTCACAAACTGTGCCACAGAGGGTCATTCCATCTGTCAGCTAAAGCAGCACTGTTCCCACCATCCTGTAGTTTCACATTTTCCATTTACCGCTTGTCTTGTTGAGCTAAGAGACCTTTTACAAAATGTGGTATTAGCCTTGTCACACTCTGTGACATGCAATGTGTTGTGTTGTCAAACTGCGTGACGACAATGCTGCCGAGACCCAGAGAAAGGTCTTTTCTTGCTGCCAGGTTTGATGTGCGTGTTGTTTTCATCTGTTACACTCGCCTAGTTAACATTTGTTGTGTTTATGTGATGCTCAGAAAACATAGTGGCGAAATGCATCTCATAGTAGTTCATAATTTGTCCTGATGATTCAAGGACAGAGCCTGAAGCGCCTTCATCCAGTGATACTGACAAGCTGAAGGCTGAATACTGTTTTTGCTTGTCACCACGCAGACAAAAAAAAATCACTTTTCATATGAGAAAATCATGACCAAGAGCTAAATCCTGACAAATAAAAAAGAAGTTACAGCTGATGATGTTTAAGTTAAAAAAAGACAGGCATTTCTGTTTCATTATCATTCATTCCTGTGTTTCCTGTAAACACAGTTTGCATTCACTGTTTTACAATCAAAACACATCATATGTATCTCCGAGGTGAAATATCTTCAAAGCTGCTCTCTTTATTCAAATCTCGTGTGACTACACCCACGTTCACCAGCTAACAGTGTTCTTCTTTTCTGTCTGTGATTTCACTTTGCTTCATTGGTTGGTTGGTGCGTCAGTCTGCGTGGCATCCATCCACTTTCAAAAACATAGCTCTATACACTGCTAGTGGACAAGAACTCCTCAGGGAACCTCTAATGTTTAGAGATATTTCATGATGCATTCACTGTTAACAAAGATTTTCAACCTACATTAACTTTTAACCAAAGGGTCGCTACATTACACTTGTATAAAAAGAGTTAAGTGGGTCTTTTTTCAATGTGACACTAAAAGATAATCAGTAATCAGCATTCATGGTCAACAGATATCATTTTTTCAACAGCCCATGCCAATAATGCGCGTATCACATTGTTGTTTTATCTGCCTTTGACAAAATAGAAATATTTAATTGTACCTAATAAAATGTCGCCTCCGCTGAGTGATGCTGCCACACGTCTTTAAATTATAATTGTGGAACGATAATTACAGTACCTTACAATTTCATCGGATAATGGCAATAGTGGTCTGCCCAGGGCTGCACTACGCCACTACGCTCCAAACAGGCTTCTAGTGGGCAATTCTGTCTGACGAAGCTGGGATGCAACGCTGACGAAAGACTTGGACTCCGATTTAGGCATGGACTACACTCTGATTTGGAAGATACAGAAAACAAACCAGACTCATTTACCGGTAATGACCAGATTAATTGACTATTTTCATTATGCCACTTTATATGATTCTAATACTCTATCCAGTCTGGGGCAAGTACCAACACGTGTGTTTACCTGCAGCATGTTCACAAAGATGTTTATTCTTAGGATGCTTACAGGCAGGGCTGCATGATAAATCTATTAAGTTGAGTTCCTGGCATTTGTGGTTTTGTATTACTGGAAAAAAGAAAATCAGAGCTTTACTCTGTGTGTTGCCCTGCTGCTCACCCTGGCGTCCTGTAGTTACCCATACATCCAAAAGATCCCCAAAAAGTTAGTAAAGAGTAAAACAGTTAATACTTAAGGGAAACAGTTGAACTCTTTATAATTAATGTACAATGAGGACTCAACACTGTTTCAGACTCAGGTAACAAAGATTTCACTCAAGATTTAGTGACTCGACCACCACACTTATAAAGACCAATCAAAAGACTGTGAAACAGGGAATTATTTTAATACTTACTGAGGTGTTTGTTGTTCTATTTCATACGCACAGTTTGTTCATTTAAACCGTGGAACACATAACCAGATTATCATTAGCCGCACACTCAGACAGCCTGTGTACAACAGCAGGATGGATCAGAGCAGGTTAAGTGACACTTGGAGGAGACAGACGGGCCAGAGAGGACCAGAGGAGTTCAGGAAGAGCTGAGTGATATCGAGCAGCACTCACAAACAGCCAGCACTTTGTCCGCCCGCAGCAACTTAGCAGCTTATAGCAGCTCCATTTCCTGCAGACAGACTGAGAGGAAGCTCCGGCCTGTTACTGTAATCTACTTTCCTCCAGGATTAGCTGCCTGCTGCAGGTGTCAATCTCTGTCCTTCAGTCAGTCTGTCAGTCCAGATATGTCTCTACTTCTTAACTCCCTGTCTTAACAACTCATTCACAGAGCCCGGCTCTCATGTTATGCTTGTTTATAGTCAAGTTATGCCTGGTTCCAATATTTGCAAAAATAAAGGTGAAATGTAAAAGTTGTAATAACTCTTACTTTGAGATGGTTTTATTTTGACTATAGACAAATGACTTTCCTCTGTACTTAACAATATCAGGTCATATATACAGCACCAGTTTAGACCCTCAGAAGGCTTGTCTTGCTGATTCACATAGACGAGGACAGAAGAAGTGAGAATCTGTCTGTGTCACATAGAAGCAACAATTAATGGTCACAGGAGGGAACAAAACAACTAAACTTTGCTGCTGAAATCAACTTGCTTTGACCATAAACCTGCTTGCAAGTGCATAATATACCATAAGTGCACCTTAAAGATTTTATTTTATTTTATGCCACTGAATTTGAGTTGAAAAAGAAAAGCAATTTAGTTAAGCAAAAGTCTCTCTGATTTTAAATATCACTTTGCAGATCTCTAAGCTACATTACTTTTTGAGCCAATCATATCACACCGGTGCCTGGTCCACTAAATCAATGTTCAGTAAGGAAACAGCTCTGCACTTTAACAGACACACAGAGGAGGCTCTGCAATGAATTTGACCTTTTATTTACATTTTCCAAGGAAGTAGCTCAGATAAGTCGCTTTATGTATGAACCGACTCACTGTGTTTGACTCTAGTGTGACTGCTGATATTTGAGCGCTTGACTCATGCAGTTGACTGTAAAACAATCCAGCAGTGTGTGAGAGAAAAATAAGTTATGAAACATTTGAACCTATGATTTCAGAACTGTTTTGCATATGAACTACAGTGGCTAACAAAGGCAGAGCATCTGTCATGGCCCAGACAGTCCCCATAATCAGAAATGGACTCATTTTAAAACAAATTTTTGAAGAAATACAACAATTAAAAATACTGCACATAAGAAAGTGTTGCATCAAGCCAAAAAACATTAAAACATCAACAGCAAGTGCACAGCAAGAGATAAATGTGCCCTAGTTTGTGTCTTTGCAGCACATTTGTATTTTTTAGACTTTTGTTCTAAGTTCCCACAATGAGATCATTCAGGCAGTTGACGACCATCCAACCTTGTCAGCCGACATTGTAAATACAGTAATAGCTCGATAACCACTTTTTCCCCCAATCAGCAACCTTTAATGCCAAATTATTGGTGCCAGAAGTGCAGAGGACGGCAGGTTTCAATTGTCCACTTGAGGCTCCAAAAGCCCAGAAGACTTCATTAACAGCGCTGTAAAAATGTCTGATTTACAGCAGAAATAAACATGTTTACAGCCTGGAACAAAAATGGTTTCGATCCTAATCGCCCATTTCTCTATTCTGACACACTGCACTGAAAGGGGGGGGATTATAATTTATATATGTTTTTAAGACATGCACATTGTTAGGCACAGTCAGGGGTATGGTTGACCAATGACAGTCAAGCTATCGCTTCATATCACAAAGCTATGTTGCAATAATATGTTCGTTGATAAAACTAAAAGACCAGGATCTCTTAACCTGAGCTAGGGCTGGGCGATAAACCACATATTTACTGATACTGAAAATTACGACAATAACCAACGTCATTTTGCCCCCATCGATATATCCGGTGTCAAAAAAATAAATAAATAAAAGTTGGTTTTGGATGTGTGGTAGGCTAGGTAGGCTATGGTCTCATGTCCCTGTAAGACGCTGTCCTACGTCAAAGATGTGACTCCGCCCCATCCAGTCCGTAACAAAGAGGGAAAGACAGGTGAGGAGATGGAGGACGGTTCAAAAGTTGTAGCAGCGGCTTAAGTAGACGTAGTTAATGTGGGAGGGGGTGAGCAGCTTGTGGAGTAGTTATCGTCCATTTTTCGTTATCGAGGTGAACTGCTCAATATATCGTAATATTGATTTGAGGCCATATTGCCCAGCCTTAACATGAACTGTTTTTGGTTCCAGAAATAAGAGCTCTGTTGATTTTGGTTTAACACTTTTAGAATATTAGTATCATGAGGTTTAGCTATAGACAAACAGAAGCTTTTAACCTTCATCATTTTTGGTTCTCAGAACTTGTTACAGTCCATTTTAAAATTTTCTTTTCTTTTGTAGATTCAATGTTGGAATTTAAAACTTTGATATGGGTTTCCATCTTATTGGAAAAAGATCAAGGTCCTTTATTGGATGATTGTTTGCATGAAACCAACTGTCTTCCTCTCCCAAACTTCCAAGTCAGCACCAGCGGAGTGATGAGAGCATCAGCAAACATAAAACCACAGCAAGTGCCGAGTGATGCGTTGCAGCTTTGTGCTGGCGAATCAAAAGAAGCCAGAGCTGGCTGTGGAGAGATGAAAGCTGCTAAAAAAAAACAACAGACTAAAAACTCACTGCAGAAACAGAAAAAGACTCACTCATTCAGACAGCTTTTCAGCTCTGTGGAGGGCAAAGGTCAAACTGATCAACATCTCCCTTTGAAAACAGGCAACCTCAGCTCATTATACGCCAACTTCACTGAAAACATCCTCATACGCCACAATGATCTCATTCATGTTGCTATGACTACTACAGGAAAGCTGAGGAGACACACACACACATGGAGGCAGACAGGGGAGGATGTAGGATGTGAGATGTAGGCCTACGCAGAAGAGGTCTCCACTTTTACATGTGAGCAGAAGTGAGGGGGATACAGAGAGCTGGAAATAGAAACGGAATAATGAGCCTCTTATCGTCTGCTCTATCGTTTCCATCTCTCCTCTGCTTTCCCTCATTGTTCCATCTCCCGTCATCTGTCCTCTCCTTCTCTTCCCCCTGACTGGACCAAATATTTCCCCAGGGTCACTCTCTCGTATGAAAAAGATATATTACACCGGGAGTTTTCGATTATGTGATGGCAGGAAGCTTTTCTTACACAATAAAAAAAAACTGTTGTCGGAAGGCAGGATATTGGAATATTTCCTCATAAAATAGTTCTGTATGTCAGCTCATGGCATAACTATCCTGCAATGATATCAGTTCAACTGTTAAATACAAACGTGTTGATTTTTATTTACTGTGCTGCTGTCAAAGGGCTGGACTGTGTGAATTAAAGAGGAGAGCGGCAGATTGTGGACTGAAGGAAACATTATTGAAAAATATTCAGAGGTACTTCAAATAAATGGAAGCTTTGCGGTATAAATTACTGGATATTTTCATATCACAACACATAAGGCTGAAAGGAAAACCAACGCAATATTGTGTTTTGTTTTTTTTTCCAATATCCTACTTCAGACTGTGAACACATACAGTGTTCATTTTAATATACAGCCTCTGATCTGAACTGGTTTAGATACATCTGTCATCACCCAACACACACACACAGAAACACACGGAAACACACACACAGACTCACACCCCTGGGTCTGACCCAGATCCTCAGCAATGAAAAACAAAAATGAATGAATGAATAAATTATAGCATCTCTATATTACATGAACTTGTTGCCCTTTATATCTCTTATGAGGGCTTTTTGCTTGTCCATTTCTCCTCTATAAACCTCTTCACACTGTTATTAATCCACACACCTGCTCCTGTCTCCTAATCCTCCACAAGAACAGTTTTCTTCCAACCTCACTCCGTCTCTTTTCTTCCCTCATGCTCACACAGAAACTACATTTCACGCTGAGTTGGTTCTGACCAAAGAGCACAAAGTGTTGTCGTGCTGACAAAATCTCTGCTCTGAGAGTCCTCTTAAAACGCTGCTGGAATTTCTCTTTTTATTATATGTTACTATTTTTCCTAAACATGGTCAAATATACAGCAAGGTGTAAATACTATAGGGTAGAGGGGGGTAAGTGGAGCCAAAGGTGGTTGAGCCACTCCCTGTTGCTTGAAAATGGTAAAAGAAATTGATCATGTGACCAAATATTTAGGAGATGGGCATCAATTCACGGAGTCTGTGAAGGTTAGAAGCACATGGGTGAAGGGGTTAGACATTTATTTACAAAAAAACATTTTTCACTCTTGAAAGTGAATTTCTGAGAAAAGTAAAGGAGTGTGACGAGAGGATCAGAGTTTCAGTTCAGGTTGTTGAAATGTGTTACTTTTTCTTTTCAAAAATACAGCTGTGAATGTTCTGAATCACTTAAAGACATTCTCATGTTAAAATGACTTTTTACAAAACAGCTTTGTAGCAGTTATGTGCAATAATAATAAAAAGAATTATTGTACCAGCTGAATAGTGCATAATAGATGAAAATACACATCAATGTGAAGAAGTGACTGTTATTTAGAGAGAGAAGAGGTGAGGGAGGGCTGAGGAGGAGAGTTTGGGGGGGTAGTAGGGATACAGCTCAACTTACCCCGCTCCTATGGTCAACTTACCCCATACACGGGGTAAGTTGACCATAGTAGACCACTCTTTTTTGGCATGCTATATTATCAAGACAGTTATGTTTACACTCATTCTGTTGGTTTGCAGGGATGCACAACATCTTGAAATATATGCAGATACACTAGTTAGAGACAAAACTATGATTGCCTTGATGTAGTGATCTGAAATATGAAAAATGGCTCATCTTACCCCACTCTCCCCAACTGAAAGTCTTTACTCCCTGATAAACCTCCAATCAGGGGGTCTAAGGAGCCACCAAAAGCAGGCTGCAGAGCTTCATTCACATGGGTACAACATGTCGATTGGAAGATTCTGATCCAATTCGGCTCAACCAGAAAGAAATTGTATTCTGATCAAGAGGGGTGGTTTATGCCGATCGTCATTCCTAAATGTGTCCATGTAAACACTTATCCGATCGTGACTCTCTGACCTGACCCGATCTCCACTCTTTAGCCTTTGGTTTATTTATTGAGGTCAGTACAGGAGGTTTCATTATGAACAATCTGGCATAAAACACATCCCGGTGTAATATATCTGCCCCTCCGATAACAATACAGTACATACAGCGCAATGATGTCACATCTGCACGCACAGTGCAACCTTTGACAAAACAGTAAAATAAATACGCAAGGGCGCCATCTAGTGACAACATTTCACAGAGGAAAAATTTCTGAATAGGATGGATTGAGCCACTACCGCATTTGTTGGTTTGTTGACAGCAAAGATGTAAACACAACTCTTCTGCGGTTGTTTAAGCAAAGTTAGACAACTCTGCGCATGTCCAAATGCTTCTAATCTGAATACAACTTGGTGCATGTATACGCACGCTATGACCAGATTATTTGATTTTGCATCCATATAAACAGAGGATTCAGATTATCTGATACCTCCAATTTTTTATTGGATCAAGAAATTTTACACATGTAAACGTGGCTATTGAAATGTTAACAACATGACTGTCTATGTAGACTGCTATCTTTCTACATTTATGTGTCAACAGATGGATGTGCTGACATTTTTGCACTTCTGGTGCTGAAAACAACCTTGGACATTTCCATTCATCCTGTTCTTACATGTCCCCCCTCCCTACAGGTTTGCTAAGTTTCCATGTTATTACATCCGCCCACCTCTTTGAAGTGAATTTCCCTTTGTATTTCCTGCTGCACTCTCACATCTGCTCATCCCTACTCTTTGCCAAAGTTTTACTCTAGAGCTTGTAAAGATCAATTTAACAGTTACAAACCAGGGTTTGATAATATTCTGTTGTGATGATAGAATAATGCATTTTAATTGCCTCGAACAAAAATATGTCACGTCCTGAAGTCTAAACCACAGCAATGTAATTTTCTATTTCATTAACCAATTTAAAATCCATCTGAAACATATCTCTGCCAAGGATAACCATGTTTATTAGATTGTCATCTGCATAGAATAACAATGCGTTTTATTATTAAATGTCAGGGCTGGGTAATTAAACTGATTTTAATTTCAGTTATGATTTTACTCCCCACAAAAATTAAAATATGATTATCAAGACTGACAATTACTGTGCAGCCTGCTCTGTTGCACTGTTTTATTATTTAAGGTAAATGAACCCTTCTCCTCTAACAGCTCTTAGTTTCACTTCATCATGAATCGATGTGCAATAAAGCTCGGGAACATGAAGAAGTTGTAGATGCGACTCAAATCCAGCATGGACTGCTGTACATACAAGATATGCTGCAGCGTTTTAAGCAATCATGCAGCCACAGGTGGGGAAAGGAGAGCAGGGAGAGGGACAGAAAGTCACATTTTTTGTTATATTACAAACATATCAGCTTTCACCTCCTCCATCGTACTTTCAGCTACAATCAGCATCCCAACAAACAGAGGTGAGGGGTGGACATTTGACAGGTTGTTGTTGTTGTTGTTGTTGACATTTTCATTATTCGTTCTACTTTACCCTCTGGAGGTTCACAAACATCCACCAACTCAAGCTTAAAATCATGAAAGAGGTGGGAAAAAAAAGTCCTTCAGTCGATCAGAAACCTCAGCAACAAACAGCAGTGAGGAGCCTCAAAAATACTTCAAAAGCTTTTTGACAAAAGTGTCTGCTTTTCAACTCTGCTCACTGCACAAATTAAAAATAAAATACCATTTGAAAATAAATACATTATTTCAGCCATTTTCCTCTACTCAACAGATACACACATACAGACACACACTCACACAGACAAAAGCATTCTCAGACACACAGCTGCTGAATAACATTATAAGCCTGTCTTTTGCAGCAGTTGTCTCGATGAAGATGAACGGTGATTGCTATTTTGTGATTAAGTGATTACAGACCAATTATTGGAGACAGACAAACACGCAGACCTCATCAAACTGTGGTCTGCTCTAAGTGGCTCTGACACGTGCGTTTGTTTCTCTGAGTGTCAGCCTGTCTGTGTTCATAAACGTGCCAGTGTATGTGGTGTGTGAGTGTGTCACTGTGGCGACGGGCCTTCACAGTGTGAGCTGGTGGTCTGGTTTCCACTCATGGGGCTGTGAAATGGTCTGATGAAAGCTCCCACATGGTGTCAGTGAGAGAAGTCTGATCTCCTGTCATGACCACAGCGCTCAAAAGCTGGGTGGAGTTCCCGGACTGACACAGACATTTACCAGTGACAGCGCAGTTAGCAAAGACTGCAGTCATGGGGATGAGCTCTTCTTTAATGGGTGACAGACATAAAAAGGGCAAATGAGGACGTTTTCAATCAGAGTTAGCAGGAAATATATAAAGTAGGGTTGGGCAACTGAAGAGAAAATAACACAAAATGACACTCAGAGCCTCTTACTGCTGTAGTGAGCCTAATATCATATCATCAAATAAAAATGCAGCACCTTTTGTCTGAATAATCAGTGAAAATGACACTGAACGAAAAGAAGTCAAGTGTAACTCTGAAGAAACAGTCAGTACCTTAAGTCAGGCTACGATTATAGCCTAGTTAGAAAAGTCAAACAGACTTCTGTTTTAAGGCTGGGTGATAAACCGAAAATTTACCGATACCAAAATTTATAACAATATCAGGCATCCTTTTGCCCAAGTCAATATATCTGGTGTCAAATAAGTAAATAAATAAAGTTGGTTTTGGATGTGTGTAGGTAGGCTACAGTCTCATGTCCCTTTAACACACTGTCCTATGTCAAAGACGTGACTCCACCCCATCCAGTCTGTAACAAAGAGGGAAAGACAGGTGAGGAGAGGAGAAAAGTTGTAGCAGCTGGAGTGGTGGTGGAGGGAGAAAGTTAATTCATCATTATTCATCATTTAATTTTCTGAAAGTTAATATGGGAGGGGGTGAGCAGCTTGTGGAGTAGTTAACGTCCATTTATTGTTATCGAAGTGAACTTCTCAATATATTGTAATATTGATATGTGGCCATATCGCCCAGCTCTATTCTATCTGCATCCTAGTTCACAAGCACCAGGCAAGAACAGATTTACTAACAGTACGAGTATGTCCACCTCCACCACTACCTACTGTAGCCGAGGTGGACAGCACTGTATATTCCCACTTTCATCTTGGGCAATCTCCTACTAGATTGTCCTACATCATATGCAAAAAATGCAATTTTAACTTCCAGGTTAAAATGCAACATGCAAACTATGAAGTATGTCCAGTCAGTTTCAGTCCAAGGGAGGCACATAAATACCTCCTTATCTAGGTATGTTTGCCCGACTATGAGAAATTTGATATAGTGTGAGTTCATCCAGACTTACATGTTTACGTCAATTTTAAAAGACCAGTCTCAGTCAGACTAAGTCAATAAATTGATTTTTTTAACTATATGTTATCAGTCCTGAGATTCAGCAACCAAAGTTATTACCACCAATCCATTTCAACACTCAAGACACAGCATGTTACGCAAGATAAACAAACAGTGTACGTTTAAAAAAAGACATGCACCAACCAAGAGGCAACATCACAGAGCAGCTGCATTGCAACACACTATGTGGGGGTCAGTTTGATTATTTCAAATTCACAAAATATGCATTTGCATTCAGTCATAAAAAAAAACCAGCATTGAAAGATGGTCATATTTATCATACAAAGCTTGTTGAATCACAGAGGCAACAAACAAAACCAAAACAGTTGGGCATAGACGTCACAAGACAGATTTTTAAGGCTAGAGTGGTCTTGGGGCTGGATAGCTTTGGTTTAAGGAGTCTTCTGGTACTGTAAAGATCGACTATTTGTTCCCCGTCTCTTTTTTCTGCATGTCCAAGTGTCCTGAGGCAGAATATTGGAGCTTCATTTGCTCCTGAAGGCTGTGCCATCAGAGTGTGAGTGTGTGTGAATGGGTAAGATTAAATGCAGATGGACAAGTTGGCACTTTGCATGGCAGCCTGTGCTATTAGTTTGTGAATATGATGTGATGTGTGTGTGAAATTGTGAATGAGGTGTGTGGTGCAAAATGATCTGAGTGGTTTCAAATTTGAAAGCATGGTGAAAGAACAGCCGATGTAACATGATCTCTGCAATTATCTGACTGTAGATCATGGAGAGCAAAACAGGAGAATCTGAATAAACTTTTTCATCAACATCTTCATATAGACTTTGGGCTACATTGGGCTCACAATCAATCTTAAGGCTTTGCAGCCAAATCTTCCCTATTCTGACTTTTCAAGTCACTAGTCGGACTGTAATCAAAGGTACTACATGGAAAAGAAGTCTTGGCTGGATGTTGAGACACTCCTTGCTCCAAAAGGTTTCATAGTTGTTCAGCAACAGCCAATTGGCTCAAAGACGTTAATTCATCATTGAATTTTCTGCAGATCATTTTGTTTGTTCTTTGCATAGATTACATTCAGTGGATACACTGGATCCTTAGTGTCTCATAATAACATTTTAAGTTTTTTTTAATGCCTTTTACCTATCATATAGGAAATGTTGGCAAATAGAGTTGGTCCAGTTAGAGCTTAAAGAGGTCTCTTTTCGTAAACAACTACCAACTTTGATGGGCTTCCAGTTATTCTTTTTGGGGGGCCAACAGCTCCAATATCGTGTGCTCATCATTGTTTACTGTCCAACAACCAACTAGAAAAGGGAGGGCTCCTTCGATATAAGAGACCAAATCTAGGTCTAGATAGTTAGCTGACTTGTCAGCAGATGATATTTATGAAGATCAACAAAAATTCTAAATTGATGTCAGGTGAAAGTAGCCAATATACCCCAAAGATGAGGGGTATATTCCTCTCCTTAGACTCTCCTTCCCAGAGTCTGTTGCATGGGAAACGACTGGTCTAGGAATCAATCAAGGCGTTAAACTTCTTTCTGTGGTATCAAATAACTAAACTGAGCTAAACATAAAGCAGTATGATAAGAGCTGACTATAAAGTAAACCCTTTGGCATGTATTTTGATTTTAAGTTTCATCTACATCTCATCTGTTGATATTGGGAACATGATAACCTTTGGTTTCACTTCCAGGGAGATGACATGTCATCCATCTTTCAGTACAGTCCATAGCCTGTGTTTCTCTCTACAGGGACTGTTTTACTGTGTAAAGGTAAAGTCTGCCCCAATGCCAAGAAGAAATAAGACTGGAAATACAAAACCAAAAGACTTCCATCACTAAATATTCCCCCTCCTCTGTAGATGCTGTACCTCACTGAGGAATATTTGCACAAATGAATAGATAAAACACTGTACTCACTTTGAATGCTAATATTAGTTTTGCCTCAATTCCTAACCCCTCCATACATTAATGTTATTCAATGATCTGATGCTTTAGGCCAACCGGCGTAGCCAACTTCTAGTGATCTTTCAGTAATACATGCTAATGGAAATATAGCTTCAGGGACCAGCGTCGACCTCTGAACTGACTATCAGGGTATGAGTATCATGAATTTATAAAAACACAGTATGTACACCTCGCTGTAGCCATGAATCATTTATACTATCATCTTGTTTTCTATTCTAGGACTAAACAGAGTGTGTTTGAATTAACCACCCTCGCTTCATCATCATCTGCAGTGACACCATACCCGCCCTCCTCCTCCTAATATATGCTGCAGAGGTCTTTCATCTTTTTAACACATTTCCTTACACTATCCTCTCTTATTTCACATGCATCTATTTCCTGAAATGACTTATTTCAATACGAGCAAACCTCTCCTCTTCTCACCTGTAACCTGCTTTTCACTTTCCTCATTTTCATCCATTTTCCTCTTACATATAGGCTATATACATGTCCTCTCTGAGCCTGCCCACTATCTGTAATGATTTTTCATATCTTTCATATCATCCATTTCCTTGACTTTTTATTCTGAACTTTTATTCCCCTCTTTCCCTTTTCTTCTTTTCTCTGCTTCCACCCTTCTTTTTGTGGTGGTTTATTAATAAATGTGTTCCTGAAAAGTACTTATCCTGTACTCCCTCCTTCTCTGCAGCTGGGAAGCATGACTCCCACCCCCTGACACACACACCTCCAACTCAGCGCTGTCCGTCATAGATCCTGCAAGTCACGCTTCTGTTCACCCCTGCTATGACTTTGTTATATGACATCAGAACGCACACACACACACCTTGCCTAATCCGCTCGGCTCGTGTCCATCATTAGCTCACCATTAAACTTCAGGGAGAAGAAAATACCAGCTGCACAACCAGCTGTGCTATTATTATCTTACTCCTTTGTGTGTGCGTGTGTGTGTGCTGTTTAGACTTCGGTTAAAGCCTACATTAACTCTGCCCAATTTGGCAGCTTTTCATCATGTTCTGGCTTCGCTCCTTCCTTGGAAGAGCTTGTCCATGTGTGTGTGTGTGTGTGTGTGTGTGTGTGTGTGTGTGTGTGTGTGTGTGTGTGTGTGTGTGTGTGTGTGTGTGTGTGTGTGGGTGTTAAGAGTGCATGTGTGGAGGTCTATCTCCATAATTAGGGCAGACCAGCCACACACATGGGTCTCCCCTGACACTTCCCCTCCAAGATCTAAATATTCATGAGCCTCTAAACACTTTCATGAGCTCTGTAATTATGGCCAGAAAATAGAGACAAAGAAAGGAAAAAGAGAGAGAGAGTAGGAGGCAGGAGGAGGGGATGCCCTCACACTTCTCCAAACAGACTGTTCCACAGTGTCAGGGGTTTCAATGGTTTACAGTTCTGCCATACTTCTTACTGGAGATTTCACAGTTTTTGTTTGGTGCAAAAAAAATAGCCTCTTATTTTTTGTGCAGAGAGACTTGGTTTGATTTGGAGAGCTCTCTTGATATGATTACATTTAAAGGATCCTGTCAGATGCACTGTCAGGAGGTGGAGCATCATAAGATTTCTCCAGGGCAGCTGTGCACAACAATCCCTCAAGTTTCAACCATCCAAAGACTCCAAATCTATAACCAATTGTTTTTGTCCAAGCTTTAAAAAACCCGATCTTTTAGTTGATCCTCATTCGACTCAGGGTATCTGCCAAGTGACGGTGGACAAAAATCACAAACCCACTCATAGGGTTATATTAGGATGGCATTAAGATTGTACCCACTACTGACGGATCTAACTTTGACTTTTTTTTTTTGATAAAATCTTCTGAATCGTCTTTGCTGAACCTTTATCCCTAATGGCTCATATGTTAATCATGCATTTATGCTTTGTCTGGATAAAATGTAGTTAAGTTTTAGATTTCTTTGCATGTCCAGACATTATCACAAGCACCTGACCACCAGATCTCTACTATAACATTTCAATGTTATGAATTAACACTTTGTTAGTCAATGCACACATGAGCACTACTGATTGAACATGATGTGATTTGACTTGAGATATACTATTTATTAATGTCAGGGGATCCATGAGACTCCATAACTGATCCTATGGGCATCTAGTGGACTAAACCATTGCTTGTTGGCACCAGAACTATAGTCAGGGCAATGAATGATTGATACTTTTGTTATTGTTGGCTTGAAATACCTATAATAAGTGGTGTCCAATATGTTATGATGCTCTGCTACCTGGATAATAAGGCGCACGGACGAACGATGCCATCAATCTAGAAAAAGAAAGGTTAAGTTCTATGTAGGCTGTTTAGTCAAACTGTCATATAATCACATGACCACCGTAATGGGTAACCACCAGCACAGGAATGTGGAATTTAACCCGTTAAAAACGCTAGAGGTGGGTGGTGCTAGCTCTGCTGGTGTTAGCTATACTTAGGAGTCCTGTTTTAAAACTGAGTACAGACTCTGTAATCCTGTGCTTCGCTATTTTTAATCAAGCGCTGAAATTGATCTTTTTTCCAGAGTGTTTTCTTTCCTTTCGCTGGTCAGTTATTTAAAGTTTAATTCCTGTTTAAAGAAAATCCAGAAAATAAGTCACTTCGGGAAATCTTTGCTTCGTTGACTATCATTTAACTCATATGTTATTGACTTTTGGGTTTTAAAACATGTGGAACCAGGTCTGTATTAAAACCAGGTTTGGATGCTCATCCCTAACAAGGAGGAGTAACAGCTTCCTTGAGCGCCATTCACAGAATCTGTATTTAAAACTATGGATGTCTGTAGGTCTACTTGGTGTTCATTATTTTTTAATTAAAACTGACTCTGACATAACTTGGGGCAGATAAAGCTTCTGTAACAAATATTGATTTTTTTTTTTCTTTACTTCTTTGACTCTTCATACCCCAAGTTTAACACTAGATCACAAAATGTGTACTTGTTGTTAACTAGACGTCCTCATAAGTACAAAAACTGTTTAATTTGGGGTACCAATTTGGCCCAGTGGTGAAGTTGAACACCCATGAACTGAGTCCTAAGTCAGGCAGGACAGGTTTATGTCAGTTCCCAATCCCTGTCCTGGTTTGCAGCTCTATCCACTGTCCTCTCCTCTCTGAATAAAGGCACAGAGTGCCCAACAACAACAAAGTGTCATTGGCTGGGTTTCCCACAAGCGCATTGGCACAGTTTTAACTGCGTTCCCTCTAAAGCCTGAGGACACATCTAATATCACATCTAAAATTAGTGCGAATATGATGTGTGGTGAGTAGTCTTCAGAGTGCTGTCTGCTCTATTTTGGGATTTTTGAGTAAATAGCTGGAGAATAGAACCAGGATTCCTGTTACAAAAACACTGAGAGATGAAACACGAGAACACTTGAAGGCTTTCAGAGAGAGGCTCCGGCAGGAAAGGCTTTTGTTGTTTGACTTTGGCAGACTGAAAATAAAACATCTCTAGCACAATATTTGCAGACTATTTTATGGTAGATTTTACACCCTCTGAGCTATCATACCATCGTCTCTACTCACAATTACCAAAAGCCATAAAACAATCACATGCCTGCTTTACATTCCAGGATGAGTCAATTGATTTTATCTAACAGGAAACCTGGAGTCTCCTGGAAGCCGTGAAATCACCAGCAGACTGCAGCTGATTCAGAGCCGACTGTCCCGCCACATTGACGCATACTGACCAGGCACTGATGCACAGAAAGAGATTAAAAAAAAACCTTTATATATCATATGCAGGGTCACACACATACATCCAAACAAAAACACAGACGTTAAATCAACAAACAGGAGCACTTCACCTCAGTCACTTATGTCATTTATATGCAAACGAGCTTCATCCATCCAGCCCTCTTTACCCCCAGAATTTCAAAACTGCTGGAGCAAGGTTCCACCAGATCAGACGAAATGTCAGACAAGATAATTTGATGACGACAGGGAGCCAAATGATTCGTGACAAGATGGGACACGAGGAGGTGACATAACTGAGGTCTGTCTGCCACAGCTCTGATGATTTCATGATGCCTGATGCCTCACCCAAGGGAACCAGCCCCAGTACAACTCACTACCGCACTCCCTCCAAAAAAAGACTGACGCATGTCACAAGGGACGACAACAAGATGACAAGCAGCCCCAACCTCGCCCTGGTAAAGTGATGAGCGAGCAAAAACACAAGGAGATACACATGTGAAGCTGCAAACAACATCACATTTTCAGGAACATGTGCTGCTTTAATTAGAGACACTTTAACTGTTAAATACACTATTTTTCTTCATCCTGTTTTTTCTCTCTGCAGCAGTTGAAGTCATTAACTGCGTGCTGTTTTCTTTGAGTGACATCTGCATGTGTGCGTGCATGTGAGTGTGCATGTGACCCTTAAATGTGCCTGTGTGCATTTTTTTGTAAGCTCAGCAGTCTATCACTGACTTTACAAAAGGCAGCTGAATATAAATCAATCTCTGCTCCATCTGCCAGTCAAAAGCGCATATATTTGCTTGGCTGTCCAAGGATGGGGAGAAATAAATGACCAGAGCTACAAGGGTGGGAAGATAAAGAGGAAAACAGACAGACCTGCACTCAGCCTTCTATCAGCAGACCAGCAGAATCAACAGAGCATTAGCCTCAAGCCACTGAAATGTGAAATCACACACTGGGGCACCATTACAGCACCAGTGAGGGGTTCAATCATGGGCTGTATGTAGAATAGACAACACCACTTCATTTCCACTCATTGTGAGCAGTAAAATTAAAAGATCACATCCACAGGCTCGATGATCTTACTAGGCGAGACTCAACTTGTCCCATCTTGATGTTTAGTCTACTTAAATATAATGAAGCTTACGGTCTGGGGCAGCTCTTCCTTTTCAGCTTCTTGTTGAGAATTGGCACTAAATAAATATAAATATAAATTGAGTGATTTTATTAACTCTGTAGATTGACCATATCTGTTTATATTACAGAGTTTCATGGCCTTTATTGCAGCCAGTCACCACAGGGAGAGATGAATGTTTGAGCCTCAAGCCAGACAGAAACTTATGATAAACATTTTATATAATCTGAGTCCAATGTGTAGGTACATACATGTAGTGGCGGCAGAACTCCAAACTCTGTTGTCAAATTGCAGGGGTCCCAATTACTACTGCAAGGACTCGCCCACATTCAAATCACTCCAAAAACTCTTAAAAAAGACTTTTAATCTGTGATTGTGTTGTTTTGTCTTTTCTGTCTGTCTGTCTGCTTGTGTCTGTCTGTGATGTGTTGCTTTTAAATGCTTTTAAATTAGGGATGTCCCGATACAACTTTTTTTACCTTTGATTTGATACAGATATTGTAGCCTTCAATATTGGCCGATTTCAACATCGATCTCATGCTAGCACAAACCTGTGCATGACAAGTTTTGCACTCAGCTGCAATGTCTTTTTCGGACTATAATGAAAAATTTCCACAGGGCCGACATCACTCCTATTCCTCGGTACTTTGTTAGTACTAGGGCCCGACCGATTTATCGGCAAGCCAATTAAATCGGCCAATTTTAGCTCATTTGAGACTAATCAGTAATCGGCCAAAACTCGCCGATTTTCGCTGATATTTTCAAAAATAAAATGTGGAGAATAAGATCCGGTTTTACTTCGAAAATGTTCCACCATTTGAAAAGTTCCCCAACTTATCTTGTAGATGGTGCAGCGACCTCATGACAATCTTTATCCACTAACTACCTCACAGCACAGCAGAGTGAGGGATTTGCAGCCGGCAGCTGCAGGGACGCTTGGAGGAGAGTGGTCCGCCTCAACAGTAAATAAACCAGCTTGTGAAATACACAATAAGTCAACAAGTTTCAGTTCAACCCACTTCACAATGTTCTCCGATGTGCTGGTCTCGGTCACGCCGAGTTGACGATGAAGCACCATGTAATATGCAAGCTAAAGTTAGAGTTAGCCACCTGCTATTAGCCTTGCTACACTGTTAGCCATGCCAGTAACGGCAGAATAAACAACAGTACACATGATCGAGCTACTTCTACTAAGGCAGTGGCATGTCTCCAGATGAGACCCAACCAGAAAAGAGTAAGGTGAGTTAAGATGCAAGGCACCGATCGGCCGTATATATATACTGTAGATATCTGTAAAAATCGCCCGATTAATTGGTAATCGAATCGTTTTTCTTATTGCATTGTACAGTGTCTTTGAGTTCTATGAAAAGCACTTCACAAATAAAATGTATTATTATTATCCTTATGGTAAAAGTTGTAGCAGATGTAGTTTGTGTAAGTTAATTTGCACCCCCCCCCCCATATTGTACCCATTGTGTTTCTGTAATGCCAACCCAAATCCCAACCCAAATCCCACACTGTGACAATGATAATGCATGATTGCAGATTCAATTTAAAATTACGAAGGCAAGTTGGTTATCACTGCTACAGACCAACAGCGTAAAAAGAGCTTCATGCCGGCTGAACAAAAAGGTAGAGTCAGAATTGTAGGGTGCAACAGAGCTAAATCAGCATCTGCTTTTTCTGCGAGGCCAGCAGGACAGAGCTGCATCATGTGTATTTAAAGATTGGTTTCTAAGTTTATACTGCATGTCACAGCTCTTTTGTGTCTTCAATGTGGCAACACTATGTAAAATGACATACTGGGGCAGAAGTATGGAAAAGTTTAAAGAAGCAGGGCTTTGTTGCAGTATTTCTACAGGACTTTCTTCACGATGGCAAAGCCAACATGCGGATGTATCACGTTTCCTTCGTTCAGGGTGTAAGTATGCCAACATTTGCTCCTTTGCATTAAAACAGACTTTTTTTTTTTAAAGGCACTGGTTGAGATGAAGAAGCTAAAACTGAAACTCGGGCCTTTAAAAGTAAATGAAACCATCAGAAACAAGGCTGATAATCTTTCAGTTTAAAATTTTGGTACCTGAAACGGCTCTGAGGGGGCAGGTGTCAGACTGACTTTCACATACATGAGGTGTCAAAACTGACTCAGACCAAAAGTTTCTTGTAGCAGCTTTTAGGCTGAATCAATGCAGTTGAAGTAGAAGAGCAGAATAACTGATGAATAAATGGATGGGAAATCAACAGCCAACTATTTCAAAAATCATTTTTTCAATTTGTTAGTTGCAGTTGTTAAATGTGAGGATGTTATCTCTATATCTTTTATCAAATTTCATTAAGGGTAAATAACCCTTGCTTAAGTAGAAACAATTCATCCTAAGAAAGTCATAAATGTGTGCGCAACAGCTCAGAGAAATCAATACACAAAACTGCAAACCAACCAGCTGGCTGACCAACCAACAATAATAATAATAATAATAATAATAATAATAATAATAATAATAATAATACATTTTATTTGTACAGCGCTTTTAAAAACACTCAAAGACGCTTTACATTGTGCATAAAACCCAAGATATTATAACAAAAACATGAAAACAGTAAAATGAATAAAACAGTTAAATATTAAAAGCAATTTTAAATAAGTGAGTTTTTAAAAGGGATTTGAAAGTAGTGGGGTCAGGGCAGTGTCTAATGGAGGGTGGTAGGGAGTTCCAGAGGGAAAGGGTAGCTGTGGAGAATGCCCTATCCCCCCAGGTTCGGAGCTTGGGCCGTGACTTTGGGGTGAGGAGATGGGCAGAGGAGGAGGAGGATCGGAGCTCTAAATAAAACAATATCTCTATGACAAACAAACACTGGTTCCAGTTTGACAAATGTGAGGATGTACCACCTTTTAAGTCCAAAGCCAAAGTGAATACGTCTGTGTTCTGAACTGGTAGTAAGATAAAACAAACAAAGACTAAATTATTGATGACTACTGAATAATGAAAATTACTGCCATTTGCTCTCCCTGATAGAAACACAGATAAATTAAAATCCTTTCAAAGCATTAATTTAACATTTAGTTCCTGCTTGCCAAATTGTGAAAAACACAAAATCCTCACAATGTACTTGTGTCCTCATTTGGTCTAATTTGAGGTTTCCCAGGTTCACAGCTTTGAGCCTGCTTCCTGTAAGAGCCACTTTCTCTGCTGTGGTGCACAACAAGCACAGTGGGAGAGGGGCGGGGGAAATAAAGTCATTAAAAATAATGATGCCACATTCAAAGGAGCTCATACTGACGCCAAATGTTTCTCTGTTATCACCAGTCATCCTTGTATGCTGCTAAGCATGGTGACACTCTTGGCACCAAAGAGAACTCACTCAATTAAGTCTCAGTAATACCGCGTCAACTGCTTTGTGATTGTTATTTTTATTAACCTGGAGAAGTCCCCATGTCCTCAACACTGCTTTAAAATGAGTGCTGTAACGTTACTGGCACCCTTTAGTGTGCATGGGTTACTCTTGTATGTCTCCAACAGATCCCCCACTATCTCAGTTCGAGGGTTTTAAACACTCCATACTGGATAAACAGGCGTGTCTATTCACGTGAGGCAGCAGTGACATGGTATGGTCAGACAGAGCCAAGTTAAAAACCCTTATCTGGCCTACAAACTGAATCCCATCTGCTTTTCTCTGCATACTGACTTATAATACTGCTTATTAGTCCCTCTGGAGAGATAATGGGGACGACACAAGATTTTTGAAAAGGGAGGGAAAAGCTGAGAGAGAGAGAGAGAGAGAGAGAGAGAGAGAGAGAGAGAGAGAGAGAGAGAGAGAAAGTGAGCCAAGCAGGAAGAAGAAAAATTCAAAGAATGTGTATTAGGAAAGGAAAAGCAGGAATTTGCATTTTGGGCTCATTTTAGCAGCGAAGTGCATGAGCAAACAGATTAGAGTTTTTCCTTAAATGCTGTATTATTTAAAGTGAAAGCCTAATGCAGCTGACATTAAAATGTATCCACGCCCCGCCCCCTTAATCTCAGTCAATCTGAATTGACTGGTAGTGAATGGAAATTAGCTTTAAAGAAACTGTGTTATTTATTGGCTATTAAGAGCCAAAATCTAAGAGCCAGTAAGGCAAACACCTGAATCCTGACTTTTTAAATAAACATTTTAAAGTTCTGGTTGACATGAGAGTACCAACACAAAGATGAAAAGCTGTGTGTTAATCCAGCTTTGATCACTTAATGGGGTCATTGATCCAGTTTGATGGAGGCTGACTGAGAGGAGCTCATGTAAACTCAGGATTGCTGATCAAAAAGTCATGATTTTAATCATTACCTCACAGGCCATTAGATTTGGGCTCTTGGTAGCCAATAAAGGATACTGTTTTCTTGTTTTAGACGACCGAGTCGCCCTGGAATTTCCATTTACCACAATTCATTGGTATGGACCATTTTCGTCCAAAAGGAGGCGTGGTCGTTTTTTATCAAGCCTGCTCTTACCCATTACATCACCTGATTGCAGGCTAGCCTCAGACGTTTTCTGTTGGAGCATATCTTTTCAGGTTGTCACATGACTACAAAGCTGTGCAAAAAGTAACACCCCTATGATAAATAAGAAGCTATTTGAACTGCAAATCATTCAGAGCTACTTAACAAGTGAACTACAGAGTTACTGAAATAGTAAAAAGGTGAAAATGAGTAGAATAGGTCAATTTGTTTCTCAAATAGGTCCTTTAAATTATATATCTTTAATGTTCTGCCTTGTTTTCCATTGCATGATACAGCTTTTGCTGTTGGAACTGGGTAATGCAGTAAATGCAAATAGTAAATTCTCATCATATTACAGTAACAAAAAGAATACCAGGATGTAAAAATGAAAAAGGAAGCCAGCATATCAAGTCATGTTTGACATGTGTGGTATGATGCAGTAAAAATAAGGCAATGTCAGCACTGGCAGGTGACTCAAACTCTTTAAATATGAACAGAAACAATTGAACTTCCATTTAAAGAACATGTCGACTGCGCTCATCAGAGTTTTTCCTTTTTGCCGAGACAGCCAAGAGTACTTGAGAGAGCTTTGAAGGGGTAGTGTCCTTTAGCTGTGTCTAGTTGCTAAGTTACAAATATCTACAAAAGTAAAAATATTGGCACAAGGTGAGGTACCTGCTCTGACCCTTATTCTGGCTGAGGACATGCTCAAGCACGCGGGGAGAGATGGCACGTGACGTGGGAAAGACCAGCATTATGTCTCCTCAATGCCATGGAATAAATTAGTAGAGAGACAATGCAAGGTTAAGTGTTTAAACCAAAACAAATGCTTTTTCAGCTCCCTGCAACCACAGGACTTCCCACAACAAGCAACCAGCACAAAACAAACTCTCAAAGCCACATAACGTTACAGACACTGACAGCAAAACCCAGAATTTGCAGGTAGGTTTTGCAGCACAATGTGATATTTAGAGCATGAAGGGTCATTAATAGGGAAACAATGTTTGGAGCATAATAAAGCACTGGTAGGATCAGGCAGCTCATGTTGCATGAGGTAGACTTTTATGACATTAAGTGATATTGCATTGACATTAGCTAATCCCACTGAAGGAGGTAGGTCATGTATATGTGTTGCATCTGCAAATAGTGCAAAATAGGGCTGGGTGATATGGCCTCGAATCAATATCATGATATATTTAGCAGTTCACCTCGATAACGATAAATGGACGATAACTACTCCACAAGCTGCTCACCCTTTCCCACAGTAACTTCGTCTACTTCAGCCGCCGCTCCAGCCGCTACAACTTTTGAACTGTCCTCCATTTCCTCACCTGTCTTTCCCTCTTTGTTACGGATTGGATGGGGCGGAGTCATGTCTCCGATGTAGGACAGCGTCTTAAAAGGGACATGAGACCACAGCCTACCTACACACATCCAAAACCAACTTTTATTTTACTTATTTTTTGACACCAAATATACCAATATGGGAAAAATGATGTCGGTTATTGTCGTAAGTTTCGGTATCAGTAAATTTTCGGTTCATCACCCAGCCCTAGTGCAAAAAGAAACGGTCTTTCTGAAGGCAAAGTACGGTGCCGAAAGTGTTAACTTAAACTGAAATGAGTGCTTGGGGTCAAGGTCACTCAAAATAAGCTGATATATGGCAGGGTTTGCCTCGTCTACAGAAAGTGGAAGTATAGTTAACATGTCCAGTACTCCAGCAGTCTATCAATAAAGGGGCAGATCTGGCCGAAATCCATTGTGGCTCATACATTGACTAAGATGACCCTACTTCAAAAATATTGAAATATCCCTTTAACAAGGAACCTGTAGCATGCTTCTAAGCATAAAGTCAAGGCATTATGTGGCATTAGTAGCATAACCTAGAGCACAGAGTTGTAGTGATGAATACCTGCCTGGTAAAAAGAGGAAATAAAAGAAGGTTTAAAATCATTGGAATCTTTTGAACTTTGAAAACCAACCAAAACTTTTAAGCAACTTTGGCTGAACTAAGTTGCTGATAATTAAGTGAATTACCAAGAAAAGTTGAAATACCCATCAGTACATAAGAATTAAAGGCAACTATGACGTCAGATGAAGAGTTTCAGCTGTAGTGCAGGCTGCAGAAGTTGTTCTGAAGTTACAGCATCAAGGGAAGCTTAAGAATGAACAATGAACTGAAGTGTCAAAAAGTTTTGGACTGCAGAGGCAGGAGGGAAAACAGACACAGAGAGGATGAAGAGGAAGGACGCAATTTAGTGGACAAAAGCAGCCGGAAGAAGCTGTCTCAGTCATAATGTACAAAAACTGAGAATGGAGTGTGTTGAGAGGATTTCTGGAGACCTCCAGGGGAAGTGTTGTGACAACAGGAAAAGCAGAGTGAGGAAGTGAAAAGAAACAGTAAGTAGGAGGTGTGCAGCCTGATCTCCTGTAGTGAGCAGCTACTCACATCCAGCAGACAGATAAATGACCCTCTGCCATTGGCTCCACCCCCTCCTCCTCCTTCTCCATCTCTCTATCCCTCCACTTCTCTCCCCTCCCTTATCTTGACAGGTCATCCATCAACCAGCAGACTTTAACAAACCTGCTCCACACACACATACACACACACGTACACACACAGTTTCAGTTTTTCACTTAGCAAACCAAATGAGGAGACACAGCACCTGGTACATGTGAGGAGGGCACGAGTTCCCTCTGTGTGCCACCTTTCTCTCTCCTTACACTCTCACCCCTCTCCATCTCTCTTTACTCTTCTTTCCTCTTGCTGCTCTTACCACCCGCTCGCTTGTCACCTGTCCCATCTGAGCTGAGTAAATGTCAAGGTGAAGCCACAGAGACAAGTGATCCCTACCAGGAGAGGAATTTCTACTTAATAAAAACATGATCCAGCCGGGTGTTTTCATGTGAGCAGACCTGAATAACTCAAAACGGAAACAATGGAGCAACACTTCTTTTCAAACACTGATTAAGCATATTTTCAGTGTCACAGTCCTTTACTGTGACACCATGCCAGTTGAAAAAAATGCCCTCAGGCTATCACTTTGAAACAACATCATAACACTCAACACACCTGGGCTAACAACTAAAAGTGGCAAATTTAAAAAATAGGCAACAGTGCAATAATGTTTGATGTGAAAAATGCATGATATTGTATTACATGGAGGCTTAGGGCTGAGCGATAAAACAATAACGATATATATTAAAAATTAATTTCTCTCAATATCAATATAAAACATGGTCAATATGCTTTTTCTATAGACAGCAATTTGCCATGTTTTGGTAGACTATACTAATAGCCAATGGAAAGGGGAGTTGCTCTGCTTTGCACCGAACCAATCATGTTCTGAATTAGAACAAAGTAGCAAATAACTGCTATGTCAAGTACATGTTCTCACAAAGTCAGGGAGTAACTCGAATCTTTTTCACCACCGGAAGCAGTGCCACCTTTTGCGTTGCGTGGCAGAGCACACGCAACGCAAAAGGTTACAAACCCTGAGCGGAGCAAGGAGCCAATCGCGCCTGTGCAGCCGAAACAGCCGACCATTCAGTCCGCTTTCTCTAGCCCAACCATAGACTGTATATAGAATGGACAGCGTCTGCCTCCTTTCTGAGTGATGCCACTCCGAGAACAGCGCCCTCTGTTGACAGGCTGCAGTATAGGTCATAAATCCCACCTCTGCCAGCAAAGCTTATGGAGTTGTGGACAAATTTAAGAAATTAATTACACAGAACATACATTTTTCTCCCCCCTGCTTGCGATTTTGACATGTAGTTACAGTAAGACTGGTTTGTGTTCAAGTCGTCTTTTTTTCTGTACAGCTCCATTTTTAAAAGTTATTAGGGGTTTCATGTTTTCTTTGATTGACACCTGATACAGCCTATTGGCGTTCAGGGATTGCGTAGCTCACCCAGGGGATACGCTGTTTGAGCCGAACGTCATCAAAGCGACTCTAGGCAACTCTCCCGCCGAAAGTGCACAACGCTACTGCGCAGCTCTGGTTTCAGGAAATGAAGAAAAACCCCGGAAATATCGAGAGCTTTTTTGGTTCAAATCTGTATACAGGCGGGAGGCGGAACCAAGTTGTCTATAGTGTATACAGCCTATGAGCACAACACCTTATGACAAAATGTCAAAGAGACACAAACAGATGCAGTATCTTATTGTATTGCAAAAGACATGCTACCAATAAGCACTGTTAAATTCCTTTTTTTGTATTGTGATAAATATTGATAGCGACTGATATGAGAATAATATATCATGATGAACTTTCTCCCATATTGCCCAGCCCTATTGAGGCTATAAAAAAAGAGAAATTAACAGCATCAACATTCATGCACTTCTGTAGAATATTGATCTGAATGTATGATTAAACTAGAAATTGCGGAACACACAATGTTGTTACACAACTCCGTGCGATAGACTTCCTCACCCTCAACACAGTCCAATGAAAAAGTAAAGGTGTCGTCAGCCTTTACTCAGTGATGGATGATGAGAGGTGAGAGGACACCGCCGTGTCATGAGAGGAAACCATGTGTAAAAGCAAAGACATCATTCTGGCACAGTCAGGTAACGCACAAGAACAACTCCAGCCAATATGTTCAAAGAGTTTCAGATAGCGGGTGTTTTTCTCAGTTTCTTTTAGATACAATGTCATCTAACAATATTTTAACGTGCAATGAAGGGACTTTACAAAGAAAAAACACCTATTATCCAACCAGCCTACATACTGTATAACCCAGTGATCCAAATCCTGTGGTCATCTCATCCGGTGTAAACACAGGAACACTCACCGATCACAAAGTCAGCTCGTCTCCAAACTACACTTTCCTCTGAGGATTTCTTTTCGGGATGAGAAGAACAGACGCCTCTCCTCCTCTCCGCCGATGACAACAGTGTTATTCCAGCGGTGTTACATGTGGTTCAACGATGAAACGACGGTTTCTTTGTTGCCATAAACAGCAGCTCGGTACATCCAGGCAGCAGAGCAAGGAGCCGATGCTGAGTGTCCGTTTACTCCGCAGACTGAGCGCTGATTGGTGGCTTCCTCCACGACGCTGTACACGGCATTAACGCGATTGGCTGAGATTCTGATGGTGAATTTAAGTACTACTCGTAAACTAAATGACTATTTTTGTTTGACTAATGTGTGATTTTCGACAACATACAAGTGTTATTGGCTTCTACTTTGAAAGTATAAGCTAAAAAATACAACAATTGTTTAATTTGTGGACAAGAACTAGATTTTCTTTTAAATAATTTTTTGATATTGTCTTCAAATTCTATGGAATATATTCAAACATTTCAATGTGTGTCTTTAGCTCTTCAAAAATGAAAATCACCCTTTTGTTTTTTCTTCCCTTTTTCTTCCTTTCTCAGACACCAAACTAAGTCCCTCCCTGTCCTCTCTACTACTGCCTGTGTGACCCTCATTTTCAGCCTGGGAGTTTCATGGATTTTCAATTTACGAAAACTCCCCCTGCAAGCAACACTGTTACTAATTTACTAACAATTACAATCAGCACCGCTACCTCAGCAACATGAAATCCCACCTGCTCTGCCCTTAGTAGGTTCATAATTTGTTTTTCAACTTGCCATTGACCCCAAACACACCTCTAGGCTCTGTAAGGGCTATTTGACTGAGAAGGAGAGGGTCGGAGTGCTGTGTCAGATGACCTGGCCTCCAAAATTAGCAGACCTAAACCCAGGTCAGTTGGCTTGGGGTTGAGATGGAGAGCAGAGTAAAAGACAAGCAGTCAGCTCCTCTGGGGACTAATTCAAGACTGAATTATGTTTTTTTTTTAAGGCTGAGTCAGATGCATCTGAGCCAAGCATTTATTTATACCTCACATAAGTCCCAGACAAGAATTTCAACCAGTTTTACCGTCTTATGGCAGCCCTAACCACCTCACCACAGGCCTGTCTGTCTGGCTTTTTTAGGGGAAATACAGCTATGATCACAGTGTGAAAAGAAGATTACACTTCAACTACATATGGAAAGTCCCAAGCCAGGATTAAAACTGTTTAACAGCTAGGTTCTGAATGCAGTATGAGAAACGCATTTCATTCACACCTCACTTAACAAGTGTCTGTCAGGGACTCAAACCCAGAACCATTTCAATGAAAGAAAGCAGCTCTATCCACCATGCCACAGACCTCAGGTATTGTTGCCATCTTTGTCCTTTAATTTTAACAGTTCATTATTGGTTTAGAAAACACAGAACAAAGACAGTAGTTGAACCTTGGATCATCTGGTTGTAAGGCAGCATTTACATCCAGTGCTGCTGAACATGGTGTCTAATAGAAACTTTATTTTCTCAAGTTTCCAAACTGGAACAAAGTTTAGTTGAATTTCTCGGACAACTTGCTTCAGCATTTCAACTAACCCATCATTTTGAAAGAAACTTTCAGTCTGAAACAAATATTGGTTTTCCATAGACTACCATTCTAATATTTTATGAACACAGCAGACATGTCTTTGAATATCATGAAAGCTTGTTACCAAATGCTGACCTTTTCGTCACCCACTGCAAATGTACTCTGTCATAAATCACTTTGCTTTACCTCTGTTTTTACTGACTTCTCACTGAAACGCCATTTTCAGTTATCTGACATTCCCACAGCTTATGGAGGCACCTTTAACCTCATGTCTTGTCCCTCTACCCTGAACATCAGAATTGAGTTAAGAGGAGGTCAGGTATTCGTAAAACCACACAACTGATAAAATGATCTGCTGTCATAACAGAAACTCAGGCTGATTTAGTCGGAGGAAGGAAACTTGATGTATCTCAAAGGTAGTGGGTTCATTTTGTGCTTTGTCCTCTGATAGCTGAACAATTCTGACAGGAGCTCAACACAAGCGATGGCAGCTCATGATGTCATATAACCATGTTCATATAATCTCTGGTTACAATCACAACCTGCTTAAAGCTGGATTGTTTCAGATTCAGCCTGCACTCTCTGACATAATCTGCTCCAGATATCAGAGGTGCAGTGGAGCTCCCAATAGCAATCAATGTTATCGATTTGTAATTTTTAAAAGATGAGTAATTGTTTCTCGTGTGTGTATTAAATCTTCACAACAAAACAGTTTCTTTTATTTATTTATTTTTTATGTTTCAAGCGTAAACCTGTTTTTAAATTCTTTCAGCAGCTATTTGGCTCCCTCTAGTGGTAGAATTTGGTTTACAGGTTCACTCTTGATTAGCATTTATAATCCTCTTAACTGTAATTTCCTTGTTTTGACTCACACAAACCTCCAAACAACATCGAAAAGTAAACAAAAAATGCAGAAAAAAATTCTTGCAAGTAATTTTTATTCTTTTATTTTTTCAAAAAAAAAAAACCAAACAGACAGAAAAAAAAAACACATCAACAACTGAACTGGCATAAACAATCTTTCTGGTTTCATCAGCCCCGTTGGAGGCTGCACCCTGTCCAAGCATACTTGGTTAAAAACACTGAATTGTGTACAGACTCTGAAATGAAAGGCAGAGAATCAAGTTTTTTTTTTAGCCTTGTTTGTCCAGTTGTATGATGGTGTCACATTTTGGTAACTCTACCTCAAGTATCACTGAAATGAAGCCAAAGACATAAAAGCTATTAGTGTTTTATAGGAAACATGGACATTAAAAGTCAGTGGGTCAGCGTTTTTTTACGCACTGACAGCAACTATGTGGGAGTTAAGTGTCAATGCTGAGTGAAAATCCATAACTATTACCAGTTACAACAAAGGCCTCTGTGCGCCTAGAAGGAAATGAGAGCATTCAAGAACACTGTTACACTTGAACGCACCACATATTCTTTAATCAGGGGAATAAACACTCTTCTAAAAACCTTGAAGATTTGCTGAATTTCCTTTCAATCTGTGCGGAGGGAGCGCACAGAGCAACGACAGCGGCTGGGTCTGAGGTTGTTCATCCAGTTTTCTTTGAGTTAACGGAAACATTTTAAACGCTGGAGGAAACCATGCATTGATAAAACATTCAGGGGAAAATAAAATAAGGTGCTTAAATGCAAAATTTTGGCGTTTTTGACAAATTTACCCAAGAGGTAGTTCTTTCTTTTTGTAACTTAAAGTGGGAATAGCTGATTATTTATGACAACCTCTGCAGTAACAGATAAGTAATCATTTGCTCAATAAATGAAATTCAGTTTTTAACTGTCCCAGCTCGCTGTTCAACTCTGTACATGGGTATAAAAGACTAATCCAGCTCTTGAACGTTCACATTAAGGTACCTAAATCTTAATCCTTTTGTACTGTATGTTGCAAGAAAAATGAGGATCGATGTAAACATTACCAATGACAGAAAAATTCAAACTTCACAAATGCAACACTTTCTCATGAATGCAGACAAACATTGCAGCACAAATACTTGCATGGAGGAATTTGTCCTGGAGTGTTTGTCTGCTTTCCTGAATGCACAGATGTTTGCATGACAGCTTATAGCAACATAACAAACAAACAAAAAAAACACAACTTTAAAAAAAAATCAGCCAAGCAACATCATGTTAACAGTCAACGTGGAAAAAAAGTGAAATTGCACAAAAATTAAAACTACAGCATGATTTAACACGGGCCTTAAAAAGAGATATGCATAAACAGTGTCTATATTATATACACACATTAACATCCTTCACAACTACTGAGAACTCTAAACTGTACAATATATCTGCTTTAAGAACAGTTGATGTAAAATACCATTATGATATACAGTAATACAATTTTCTTTTCTTTTACTATGTACAAGTTTTAACTGTCCACACAGTAAAATGCAAAGCACAAGCCCCAAAAGGCCACGAAAGTGCATGTTATCAGGTCTGTTGGAAGCCACTGGAAGAACGGACCATCAGAAGGGTGGGAATGAAAGCTGCACAGAGCTTTTCCACACTCACAACTGCAGCCTCTTTAAAGATTAATGGTTAGTGGAGGGAAATCTGGAGTAGACATCAATTATACATGCAGGATCACATGACTGCAGACACACCAACACACACTTGCACATGGGTCATCACATTTAAAGTGATTAACATGTTAGACAGACACTCACACACACACACACACACACACACACACACACACACACACACACACACACACACACACACACACACACACACACACACACACACACACACACACACACACATATACACACACACACACACATTATAGGATGATGATAAATCTCCATCTGCACGCTCCCACTCTGTCACTTTATATTCAAGTAGTGGCACTCAAATGTAGAATCTGTGTCTCGGTACCTTTTGGACAATCTCACTCTTCACATATCAAAGAGGACACCATGCTCTCATGTGTTCACACAAGGTTTTGACGTCCTGAGCAGTGACTGACAGGCAGAAGCTGGCCTTGCATATGAGAGAAACTGTAGAGCTAAAGGCCAACTTCAGCCGAAGCTTGTCACAACCAGGCACTGAGTTATAGAGGAGAAAAACACTGAATAGATGTCGCTATTTTAGCCTACTCTTACATTTACGGTAGTTTATGTGGCTTGTTTTTAGCTCTTTGTTGTGTTTTTTTGTGGGTAGTCCACTCACTGCTGTGCGTGAACTTCAGACCACTGTTATCTGTAGAGATTAGAAGAGAATGCTTAGAGACACACTTTCTGTAGTGCAAACATAGATGATTCCAGTAAAACATGTTGATGCATTGCCTCAAATCTAAACCTGCCTCAGAAATACTGCTTTAGAAGAGCATTATTTACCGGGTGATCATCATAGGCTTCTGTAGTCTAACAACACTGAAGGACATGCGTTTTGAAAGTGCAAATGATATTTTCTTTCATATATTAGTATCATCTTTCCTGGTAACTTTAGTTGTCTCCAAGCATTCCCTCTTCACAATATCACCATGATCTTGAAGTGAAAAAAAAAACATTTCCTCTCCTGCTGGTAAAAAGATGGACGCAAATGAAACCTCTTTTTGCTAAGGCCTCTGTAATGTGCTAAAATTCCTTCCTTACATTCACAAACTCTCTTCGTCTCTCCTGTCAGTGCCTTCTTTCTCATCCTGTGCTACCCCTCCTGTGAACTGCAGCACCCTCTGTCTGCAGCCTGACAAAAGGAGCTGGAGGTGATGATGCTGATACGGTAACAAAGGGCTTCCTCCTCCTCCTCCTCCTCCTCCTCCTCTTCCTTCTTCTTAGTCGTCTGGTCCTCTTGAGTATCTTCGGTTTTCCTTTGGTCTTCATTTTGACATTTGTCCTCGCTTTCACTCACACGAGAGGTCTCCTCAGTCTTTTGTTTATTTGAGTGGACTTAACGGCCAAGCAGGTAGACCACCACCTCGTAGGTACACATCATGATGGCCGTGTTGGGGATTTGTCTGACGAGGTGAGTGGTGAGACCACGGTACAGCGCCCCGTACCCCTCCTCCCTGGGGACTGTCAGAAGAGTTTGGAAGAAAGAGCGATACTTGCTGCCCTCCTCTCGTAGCCGTGTACGAATCACTTCTGCGAATTGAGAGTAAAGGGAGAGCTAAGTTACTTTCTGGTCTACCTGCTGATGCATGCTTCTATTGGTCAATAAAAGTCAATAGAGTGACTTCTATATTGTTATGTCTGAAACCACATGTGGATGGTAGGGGTCAATCCAAGTGATTTACAGTCTTTCTTTAAATAGTCTGTGGCAGACTTTTTGATTAGTGATACACTTGAGAGACAAAGTAAAGCAGGATGAGATTTCTGTCAAAAAAACATAGCATTGAGATATACAGGATAGATAAGAAATGAGGGGTACTATTGAGTCAACAGGGGGCATCAGACACACTGAAAGTTCCCCAAAGAGCTTCAAACAAATCACTCCTATTCCCTTCATGTTGTGTACAAATTAAACAAGTTACAGCATACTTAGTTTCTGTTTGTGTTTTTAATGCCAAGTTAGGCCAACCACCTCCCAGTATTTGCCCAGCACACAAACACATAAAGTTTAAAGTGTCTCCTTTGCTGAGAATGTCAAATTAGTCCCTGCCTGTTTCTAAAAGGAATACTTTTCTACATAAAGAATGACATAGGACATTTTAGCAAATATAGACGGTCAAAGTTTTGTTTGTATATGTCATTATCTATAATCCCATCCAGAAGGATGTCGATGTAGCATTATATCATGTCGTATCAATAAAAATGTCTGTAGTTAATTGTGTGGTTTATTAGCTTCATTATCTTTTAAATTGTTCAATAACGACTTTCTAATTACTTGTTATCATTTCATTAAATTTAATGTCCACAAAATTTAAAAAAAAAAAACAATCTTCTTTATAGCAGGACTTACCATGAGGGTAGGCTAAGGAGGTGGCACAGGTCTTAGAGGTTGCTGCTGCGAGCATCATGCCCACAAAGTCTGAAGGGTCTTTGACAGACTCCTCCTCTTCGTCCATGCTGGCGTGGGCTTTGGCCTCCATCAGTTTACGTTTGATGCTCTCATAGATGACAAAATGGATGACAGTCTCAGATATTCCGGCATACGAGGCAGACATGCCTCTGTAGAAACCTCTCAGGCCGTCCATCTGGTACACCCGCTTCACGCATTCATATGCGTTCATTCGTCGTTCACCTCGGTTCCTGTTATCAAACACATCAAACACACTTTTAATTTCAATGCAGTGACAAAACCATTTTCATGATGATGGAAATAATGTTGATTAAGGTTTATTTTGAACATATATAAAAAAATAACAATAAAAAAGTAAAGAATACAAGAACAAATGACAAAAAGCTATTCAAGTTCAAAAAGGAGTGGGAAGAAGTTGAGACTTATCTAGTCCCACCCTTTCTCCTACAATAATGGTTTAAGTATATATCATAATGTTATATAATAATATTAATCACCATAGTAATAATAGCAATAAAAATAATCACCACAGTGTCAATAAAATAATGATAATGATAATAGTTATATGGATGTATGATTGTACATCCCTGTACCCCTGTATGTTTATGCCATATGACACAAATGCTCTATAGGGCTGGGTGATTAACCGAAAATTTACTAATACCGACGTCATTTTATTTGTGTCAATATATTTAGTGTCAAATAAATTAATTAATTAATAAAAGTTAGTTTTGGATGTGTGTAGGTAGGCTATGGTCTCATGTCCCTTTTGGACGCTGTCCTATCTCAGAGACGTGACTCCACCCCATCCAGTCCATAACAAAGAGGGAAAGACAGGTGAGGAGATGGAGGACGGTTCAAAAGTTGTAGTGGCTGGAGTGGCAGCTGAAGTAGATTAAGTTATTGTGGGAGCAGCTTGTGGAGTATTTATCATCCACTTAGTGTTATCAAGGCGAACTGCTCAATATATCGTGATATTGATTTGAGGCCATACCGCCCAGCCCTAACACTCCAGATTCCTCACCTGGTTTCAAGCTGCAGACGAGTCTTGATCAGCCAGATGGGGTTGGTGGCTGTGATGGCGGTGAACCCTGGGAAATTCAGAAAAGGACAGAGGTTAGGACAGAAGCAGAGACATCTGATAAAACACAACCAGATCAACTAAACTAGATTTCTATATTGTACAAGGACAGTGAGGAAGCACTTCACTAAACAGGATCAATCCGCTTCAGTGTTTTTCTACACTGTTAAGACCACGGCACATATGACTTCAGATTATTCCTCAGCACTTTCAATTACTTCATAAATGATTAGTTAATGAAGTATAGTTTTTCCTAAATAATGAAACATTGATGGCATATTGATCCTCTTCATGTGAAATGCTACACAGACGTATGTGAACAGCAGCTCTGCTCTTACATTAAAGTGACTTCACTAACAACAGAGTGCATGAATGCAGCAGCTGTGAGCGGTTTCTTTCTTACATCTGTCAGCTCAGAAATATTGAACTGCAAACGTAGACAAATGAGCCCAAGCAGTGAATTCTTCTAAGGCCTCAACATATTCTGTTATAATCTGATTTATTCCTGAGAAATACTGACGAGAGCTTGTGTTTCCTACAAGAATCCTTTGTCATTAAAACAGTCTTAAAGAGCTTACACAGGAAGCATGTTTTTCCTCATAATATGATTAAGGCTTTGAATTTGCTTTGAAAAACAAACACTTACAATAACGTCTCTTTTTACAAGCAGAAACCTGACCTTCAACAACTTTTACTTCCAACAGAGTAGGTCTGATTCTTAGTTCAGACACGACTCTACATTCCCTGTCGCTGTCTGTTCAGTCGGCCAGTGTTCATTAAATTAACTTTATTTTGTTTACTTCGTGACGCCAACAACTGGTGAGACATTTACAACAGGCTGCTGGTTTCATAAAAGATGACCTCCTATCTGTAATGTAATACGAGCGTTTGTCAGGAAAATATTGATGATAGTCAGGACTATATTAAGAACAGCATTCAGTTTAGCCGTGAAAATTCTGACATGAACTTTCCATGTCATATAAGGCCTCTCTCCCAGCACAGGGAAAGAAATGACTTTCTAAAACGGTTCTTCAGATTAGCGGAGCTGAAAAAGCCTTTCTCTGAGATTACACACTTTCATCCTGATCTTAGCTGAGTTTCAAAGGACTGATAGATAAAAGTGACAAAGTTTTCTCACTGATTATACATTAAGTACATAAGTGGACATGGTATTACATGGACTGATGCATTAAACAGACTGTGTATTGTGTTAATTTAAAACACTACAGACACATTATAATGTTAATTCTATTAAACAAGGGTTAAATGTAATTACTGATCACTTTGGTTCTTCAATGACCTGACACAAAAACTCTTTTCAAAGTTCCTGAGACAAATATCATGAGTATTTGCAGGACAACACTAAGATGAGGACGAGTCTATAAAGAGACCTGAGTTCTAGTGTTCCGAATGCGACACATCCCTACATTATCAAAACTGCGTGAAGAAGAGAGGATGACACAGGTCTGTTGAAGAGAGGAAGAGAAGGACAAAAAGAGGAAGTAGAATGAAGTAGCGTCTATGGCGTGTACTCACGAGGGAGGGGCAAAGCTCCTCCAGCTCCTCCCCGCTGCAGCTAGTAGCCTGCAGATATGGGGGGCTCAGATGGCGGGGGTCTCCCACCCAATCACGCAGGGGTGAAAGCTTTACAGTAAAGCCCTAAAATAGACACAGGCTTTTCTGTACCACAGTCACACACAAGCAGCAGTCACATCCACCCCAAACCCCAAAAACCACCCACCTAAGCCCATGCTACTGTACAGTCAGGTAGGTGGAGAAAAGATGGGAGGTGAAGGATTGATCTCCTCCCCCATCTTTACCCAACTCAAAACCCAAACCCCATGTATCAAATGTTGACTTGAAAAGTTTTGTCTGAAATGTCTCCGTCCTTTAACTCATTTTATCAATTCAAACAAAGTCAGAGTTGGCTGAGCAGAAACTAAATATTTCAGCTCCACCTCTCTCAGTTCAACTTTACAATCTGTGTGCTATTATCTTTGCATAGACCACAAACTGGAGGAAGAACTAAGTCAAATGCTTGCTGTGCTATAGTTAAAAAAAGGTTTAGTGGAAATGCTAACCTTGTCGTTTTTCTCCTGACATCAGAGATCAAATGAGAAAATTGTATGAATATGTGATGACATATGAATGAATAAATGAATGAATGACTGCCCTGCTAGCTCAGAAATTACATATCTGGACCAAAATGGTTGGCCAATTAGAAATCACAAAAAGGACAGTGGAAGTCACTGATGATGATCATTGGTAATGTTTCAAATCATGGTATGACCCTAACTTGTTACAGGTAAGCTTAATAGACCATGTGCCTATCACTAACTTTGATGTCTTGATATACAATATGTTGAAAGTATCTTTTTTTTTTTTTTACAGAGAAAATCTCAACGCTCCATGATACTCCAGATAACCTCAGAAATAAGTAAACAATGCATGCCTGATAAGCTAATAGGTAGATAACTATGCGGCACATGCAGCCTAAACAGTCCCTGATTTAGTCCTTGATATGCTTACTTGTCCCTGTGATGAACTTAATAAGCTGCATGTGTGAATACAGTAAATGTGCTGCTGTATGTTGGCCATAATGAGCCCTCTATAGACCCAGTGTGCTCGTGCAATTCCTCAAGAGGAGGTTGACCTACATTCAGGGAAGGCAAACATGCTTTAGATTAACTGCTGGAAGAGAAAAGAGGTGGTCGGGTTTACCTCTCCTTCTGTAAAGAGAAACCCAGCAGAGAGGCCATGAGAGGGAGTTACTCCACAGAGTTACTTTATAAAACTAGAAGTAATTATCTCAACATTCCAGTCAAGTTGTGGTGTTAAGCCAATGAGATATAATCTGTCTTAGTTGCGATACATTTTCAATACTATGCTTGCATTAAAAACACCGAGACAGTGAGTTTATCATCACTGTCCCACATTCGTGCAGTATGGCCTCGTGCTATTCACAGCAGATGTGCTGACATCTCATTTACATCTAGACAAGACTTAGATGTGCATAAATATCTGCTAATGGTGGGTCATTTCACTGTTTGTAGGGTTGTTTAAATTAAACTGTCAGAACTATTCAGAAAAAGAGGAGGTTATATCAAACAGAGATAATCTGGTATGACTGATGCAGAAATAACAGAGGCACCAACAGTGTTGATGGATGAGGACAGACGACAAAATGGAGCACATGAATTACAACCTTCTGAGGCGGTGACAAGGTTAGCATTTCTTTTGTGCTGAGAACACAAATGCTCCTGAAATATGTGTCTTCTTGACTTTACCTTTACTGTGAATGACATATGAAAACAGGCTATGGGAAGGGTGTGTGTCTGTGTGTGTCAGGACTCAGCAATATACAAAAGCTAATACTACAAACCAGTAGCAAACACACACTGCCATAAGCAATGGTTTTATCATTACATGTGACTCGTCATTCATCATTATGAAATTTATAACACCTATATTATATTAAAAAAATAAAAAAAGAATCACCATGGTGTTCATCATACCAGTGTAAAGAAATGGGGTGCTACCTGACGTGTCCGCCTGAGTGCCAGGGGCCCCGGTTGACCTTTGGGGGCCGTGCTCTCTCCTCTATACACAGAGCAAAGAAGGGGGCCCAGACCACACTGTTTAAGTGACAACTGGGATGTTAAACCATTTACAGAGTCCTCTGAAGAGGACTCAAAAGGAAAGAATCAAAAGGGGAACAAAACGGGCGAGGAGAAGAAATAAAATGGAGGACATGGGGAGAAAAAGGGGGCCCGGAGTGGAGGAAAGCACAACCCAAACTTTGAGGACCGTGTGGTTTTCTTCTTCATGTCAAACAGCTCAATGCTGTGTGTATGACACAGTTATAGTGTTTACACCATCGGTGGCACAGCTCAGCGTGTGGAATTGTCAGAGCGCTGTGTTTATTCAGTTTTTGAATCTTATTCATGTTAAGGTATGTCTCCTCAACAGTATGTTGACTGGGAAGTTAATTGTGGAGATCCTGCACCAAGATACAACATGGCTGTTATTACTGAAAAGAAATGCTCCAAAGAAAGAGCGAGTAGCTGGAAGTGTTGAGCGACTGACATACTGTCAGGGATTTCAAGAAAAATGTCCATAATGCCAAGTTAATGCCAAGTTACAACCTATTTAAATAGTGGAAATATGTTGTAAACATCATTTCCAACATAAAGGGATTGGTAGTTTTGATTTTTTTTTCACAGCAGACTAAGTGAGGCAATTTTCACCACAAACATCGAGGTCAGTCTGATCCTGAGAGTCTCAAATTGTGCTTTCTGACAACCCCCCCGTGTGTAAACAAAACGACTATGCATGTCACAGCTACTAGATACCTACTCACAACAGATAGTTAGCTTTAGCATGCTTTGGAAATTTAACTTTCAGGATAATCTTACCATCCCACACATGTATATGGAGAGGGAGGGGGTAAAGGTGGAAATGAAGTAAAACTCGGGGAGACTTTTTAAATGGTAACAAAAACGGATAGGAGATAAAAATTTGTCTTACGAAGACAAACTAAATAATTCTTGAAAATTTATGTTTAAAATATAACCCATCAGTGAATTTAACTGCTCAGGCAGACTGACATACTAACAGACAGACAAACAGACGGACAGACATAACACTCACAGTCAGACAGTGGTGAACAGACAGAAGGGAGGGGCAGAAGGAGCCATCATTACCTGCCATCCCAGCTGACACCATGTGCACCTGGGTCGAGTCTGGCTCCAGTACCCCATTGAGCTTCTCCTTAGCTGTTGAATAGGCAGCAAAGTAGATCGCCCTGTGACCAAAATCAACAAGAGGGAAAATAAGACCAAGGTTAGTAAGCTATTCAGGACGCCATTAGGCTAACTAATGAGTAACAAGAGTCCCTCGAACCAGAGGAGAAGGATTCAAACCTCAGTCACTCTTTTTGTCAAACACTTGCAGCACTGATAATAATAATAATAATACACCTATAATAATAATAATAATTATTATTATTGTTATCATTATTATTATTATTACTCATGACTTTCAGGAATTTAAAAAGAAAGCACTATAAATGTTACGCCAACTACAAATACAGACACATTATATTATTAATACAAAGATAAGGATGAATGTAACTGTGCTGGACTAATACACATATATCTGTTTAATATTCCCCAAATTAGGTCACAAAACTAAGCCAAGCCGATATGCAAAGTGAAAACAGGCCACTGAAAAGTGATCAGTGCTGCTGTGTGTGCACGTGTGTGTACATCCAAGTGTGTTTGTGTGCGTGCATTTCAGTCTCATAGCAAGCTTCAGTGGCAGATTTACCTCCCATGAGCCTATCCCTTTCACTCTAACTAAAATCACAGGGTTAAAGCAACATTATTAAACTGGTGACCTCCCGTCTCTGCACTCCGACTGTACCAAGAGCAAACAAGCATTTCATCATCGTGCTGCAGATGGGGATGAATTATGTTAAGGAGTCTGTATGTTCAGCTTATCTACATAATGTGTGATGCTGCTGGAGGGAGCTGTTCTGGATGCACGCAATGTGTAATGTGTGTGCATGTTATAAGTGGCAGCCAGAAGTGTGTGCAGAGGGCTGTGCTCTCGATAGCATTAATTTTTTTTTTAGCTTTCCAGTGCCAGAGTGCTGTTGCCTAATTATAACATGAGAAAATTATTCTTTAACCTGCAATATATATATGTATAAAGAGAGAGAGAGTGAGTGAGAAAGAGAGAGAGAGAGAGAGGGACTGTGGAAAGAGCTTACATGCAGTAATAAGTTCATCAGGTTCATGTCTTACATAACTATATTTCCTTATAGCGTAGATCGCAGCAGCTTTGACCAGGAAACATGTTGACATTTCCACAGCTGTACAACTAGCCCATAAGAGGACGCACACTCAAGGACATTTCTACCCCTCAGCTTCCTCGCCAGACAGCACAGACAATGACGGACCCAGTGGACTATCTTGAATTATTAAAATGGTAAACATTGGAAGAGGGGAGAGAGAGAAGAGATAAGAGTGAGAGAGGATAAGTCTGACAGAAGGACGCAGACCTCGACGAGCCAACAGGATGAGGATGGCAATAGTCATGTGATGCGGCAGTAGCTAGGGAAAACCTGGCAGGCCAGAGTGGGGCGTTAGATACGACTGGCTATATATGGGAACTCTTATTGTGTTAATACATAACAGTATCAAGAGTCACATGACCAGTGTCACAGCTGGCGTCCACCAGCTGTTATTGCAGTTTCATACCGACTTTAATTGACTCAGCTCGGGCTATTACACAACACCACCAGCCAAGCCAAGAATAAAGGAACCTGCTCATTCCCTCCTGGATTCTAAGCACAGATTTACATTGCACTGCAGTGAGGTTTGACTCCATTCATGTCTGTATTAACTCCCTGTCGACATAGCCCTGCTAATGAGAAGTAAGCGTAAAAGAAAAAGTACTGAAAAGATCTAGAATGAGCAAATAGTGAAAACAAGGTGAGTGGATATGTGATGAGAAGTGAATTACGCAAATTAGCCTTCATTCTGATAACACTTCATTCAAACACTGATTACAGTGGTTCAGCCTGAATGCTATCAAAGGGTGACCTACTCTACTGTGCTGGTAATCAGATATGCAAGGAAAAGTCTAGTCTTTACGGTCTTAATCTTCACACAAGTGGCATTCCTGCAGATTATAAACCCTCCCTGAATACTGGAGAAGATGGTGAACGTACCTGGAAGGTGCCACACCAACAAGGTTGGGTCCAAGTCCTCTGAAGAGCGAACGGGGTCCCTCTCTCTCTAGGATTAATCTGCAAAGAAAGATTAAATTTCGACACTGATGAATTCTTCCTTTAATAAACAATTTAAAAAATTGTGATACTCAACAATGACATGTCCTGGCTGATAGGGACATTTAGGGTGGTTTGGCCTGGCCTGATACTCAATATGTCGTTGCATGAATAGGGTCAATGTCAACGTATTTCGTGACCTGACGTGTGTGTAGTGACATGTTTCATCAGCGTCTGGAAGTTTATGGCGGTGAAATCGAGTCTGCTCACGTGTGCATTTTTTGCTGTCATGGAGGTTCAAAGATTGTTTACATGTTTCCAACCTAACCCAGTAACCCCATTAGGAGTGGTCCTGATTTATGGACCCTTCGGCAGCACTGTATGCCTTAACAAAAGCTGGTTCACCTAAGCTGTCCCCCAATTTAGAAACAGCCATGACCCAGATATCCTTTATGCAAATATGCTACCATGCTTTCTTCAGCTCGTGGATGTGTGGGATTTGAATTCCTTCCCACACTGTGTGAAATTTCAACTTCTGTCCACAAAAATGATTTATATTGTGACACACCTCTTTCTGGATATGCAGACACTGCCTACACACAGAGACTGGAGAGACAATGTTCTCCACACAAATCTCAAATCATGACTCAACACATACTCTGCTCTAAAATGGGACAATGAATGCACTCCGCTGCACGTTGACCTACTTTTGACTCGTGTGGGTTTTTTTCCGTCCAAACCAGACAGCTGTTCTCTCCTTTCTCCCCTCCGTGACATTTAATAATGGTGTGCAGCTTCTACTACAGCTTTGTATCTCAAGATAATAAGAAGCTGGTTGTAATTCCTGCACAAGACTAAAGTTGAGCTCCAAACAATGCCCTGATAAACTGAAGCTTTAATAAAACAGGACTCGAATACAACATTATTCAACAAAAAAAACCCAACATTATTAACAAGCCTTTAAATGATGCAAAGAAAACTTTCAAGATTATTGCATCAACAAAATGAGAACACAAATCAATGTTCTTGCCAAACAAAACTGAGGGAGTAGTAAACCACTGCATTACTGAACTGTGCAAACTGCAAGATCAGCATATTTTCTGCATCTTTGCATATTTGCTTTTTATGCTCAAAGTTTCATTTTGTTCTCATTGTCTGCATGAATGCATTCTGTAGTTTGTGTACTGTTCACATGGTCAGCGCTGTGTGACATGATCTCTGACAGTCATGCTACCTGTTGCCAGAGAACAAGAGCAGAGCAACGCACCAGAATGTAAAATATTTACTCTAACTCTGTTAATCCGTCAGCAGCTGATGATTATTACTCACAGCAGTTTCTAAATAAACACCACAGATGGACACCCCCAGACTTTCTATTCCAACTTCACGGTAAATGTCTACTGTGAGTGGCGAAGACTGAAGACATATCATATTGCAAAAAGATTGTAACAATGTGTTTTACATTTCCTTTACTGGTTTTTCTACGTTTTAAACAAGTCTACAGAGCTGCCTAAGAGCGGGGTTTATTTTTTCTTTCCCTGCGATTGATACCAGGAAAGACTAAATTAACTTGACATGCTTTAGGCCAGACTTTTAACTTTTTCTCATTAACTAACAAATTAGTAATTTTGCGGAAGGAAAATTCACCAGCAATCCAAACAAATATGCAACTGCTCCTTAGGGCAGTTCACTTCAAGCTATTTCTCAAGTCTGTAGCAATAAGTAGAGCCACTTGACAATTTATTAGCACAAACACTAAACAGGTTGGATAATGGGGTAAACACACACTTGCAGGCCTCTATTATATATTAAATTTTTTATCAGAAAGTTAAAGAACCTTTTTTTCTTGGAAAATTCAAGGCCTGGTGTTGGTTATAACAGTCATTGACTGAAGGAACCTTTGTTAGCAGGACATTGAAAAAGGGAATACAAGCAACCTGCCTCATTATTAGAGTGTTTTCAGCTCAACAACTACCATGAGCATGTGTTGTGAATACAAACACCGACTGTGTGTATCAGTAATAAAAAAAAAAGAAGGATTTTTATACTGTAATCTTTTCAACCTTTTCCTTCTGCAGTTTCGTTCAACTCCATGTTTTTTGAAAGCTAAAATTAGGTCAAATTTATTTAGTATGTTTTTTGTCTTATCTGTGCTGCAGACTTGCTTTGCCTCCATATACAGTACTTTCCCTATGCACTTTGCCTTTACCATGTCAAGTAGGTCAATCAGCCTTTAAGTTGTTGTACTAACTCCTGAGCCAACCCTTTTCTTAACCTGCCTTACTTACTCACATGTTCAAAGACACAAGTATTATGATCATCTCCTACTTTTAAATGGTTTATTGTTCTTACTTGAGACAGTGCAGAGGTCCCGGAGGAGCGACGCGGGCTACACTGGCCCCGTTGACTGTGCTGAGCTGGACTGCTGAGATGTAAAGACTAATGGAAGAGGACTGCAGTCTGGTTTTCACAACCTCAAGAGGACAGGTCAAGATTGCGCCCACTGTGCCACCACATCTAGAGAGAGGGAGGAAAAAAAATAAAGATGTCAGAAAAGACAGAAGGTAAAAAGGTATAAGGTAAAAAAAAAGAAAAGTATGATTACCCTTTATGGCCCTTGAATTGAGGTCTATATTTTTAAGTCATCTGTCACTTTATGAATTTATTTTATAAGCATCTCTGACTATGCTAAGTGGGATTCTATTTATTAGATATGTCTCTATATTTAGTCAAACTCTCATCTTTATTTAGCCATTACTCCTGCTACTTTTTATGTGGCTCTTTTTGACCACAGCAACCACTAGTAACTTAATCTGTTATTCCTTTAGACTCTAAATTTATCTAGGAACAGAAACACATCATGACCTTGTATTGTGATATGCGGGACACTGCAAAGTGTGAGTTACCAGTTACCAGAGTGTTTATTACTGGATTCTGAATGCTGTTCAGTAAACACGGTTATGACTCAGTGCAGCTGGTTTTACTTTAAAAGATGGTCAAAATAAATGTTGTGCAATGCCAGTTTACCTGCAGCCAAGCCCCTAAACCTGACTCCGTCTATAGAAAAAAAATCCAATGCACAAGTCATTGTATCATCTGTTTTGATGTTACTGTTGTTATGAATACTGAATTTTTCAAGCTTAAGGAGACTGGGCATGGCGTCAGAAGAATGTTTTGTCCTAGTACCACACGTGCAGGTTTGTTAATCCTTTCTGCTTTCACCAGACTTACCACAATAGGACTTCTATACACACAGCTTAACAGTCAAGCCAGTACACAGTTGCAAGTCCTAAACCATAGCTGTAATTAAAAATTTGAATGATTTACAGTTTAGGTTAATTGAACACAAGCCATAAGCCCGTGTATGCCATGAATTCCACTCGTGAAGTGTCTTTTCAATCGCACCAGCTATATTTACCTTTCAAAAGACCAACCCACATTCATGCAGCAGTGACCTCTGGCCTAGTTTCAGTTCTGCACTGTCTACAGCTTGTATGTATCTATGTGGCCGTTGCTGATATAGAGAGCAGTGAGTGCAGGTTTTATACGAGACCCACAGCTGATTTTGCTCACTCAAGAGAGCAATATTTGTGTTATCCTCACATTTAAGATGCATGATAAGAGTGATTGGAGTTGTAGTGTGATGGGATAACCATATTTACATATCAATGCTTTGGTGTAGAGATGAAAGCAGAGGTTGCAGCCGCAGAGAACTTGCAAATCATATTCAAATGTGGTAGTTATACCTTGTGAAAAACCTGCTTTATTTTATGTCTGTGTGAACACTGTCTTTGATAAAGAAGTTGTGAACGAGATTTGTTGAGAATCTATTGGATGAGTAGCTAACTTCACCTAAAGTACTCACACTTTGTTACCCTTACTTTGTGACCTTTTTTATGAGTTGAAACAGTCACTCGAGAGAACTTCTTTAATATTGTTACTGTTTCACAGCCTTATATTACCTTCCATCAAAACGTAAAGTCCCTAATTCTCAGAAAAATATACTTTTTATACATTGATTTTAAACTTACTCCTATTCCATATCATTAAATCCAGCACAACAGTTTTGTGCTGTCTATGATTTGAAGTTGACTTTTAAGTTATTTTATTCTTTGACTTTTTAACGACTTTTAAGTGTTCTGCCTATTTCCTCCTGTGGTCTTTTATATTTCTATGCAGAACTTTGTCAAACATCGTTATCTGTCTAAATATACTCTCTAAATGACGTGGACTGGATTGGTAATGCTTATTTGCCAAATAAAATCTAGAGATATGGGGGAATTAATGGAAAATTAATAAAAGACCAAGCTGGTTATTTTATTAACCAGTGTATAAACAAGCAATTCCCTGTATACGTGTGGAGTAATACCATTTAGGACTCATAAACAAGGAACTTCAACCTTATTTAATCAATTTAATCAAACGTCTAGGTTAGAAAATGCAAAATCTTTGCGGCTTCTGCAAGAATTTATCAAGTTATCAAGAGCGAGTCAGAAAGCGTCCGGAAACACAATAAACGTGCCTTCAAAGTAAAAGCGACATATTTTCTGTTAGGTAACACAAAATTTCCTATTGAGGGAATCAGAAGATGTTGGACTGGGGTTATAATTTAAGGTTGACTTCACCTCCGCTCAGACAGGCTGCCTGTTTCTAATATCTGTCAGTACATTATATCGAGAGTGTGACTCTTTGAAACGCTGATAGGAAGTTCACACACTGACGTGACTGACGTGCACACGCCACACAATTGATTGCGTTTTAGCACGTGCACGCGCTGTAGGAACATGACCGTTGATAACGAGAAATAGGTGAAGGGTTTTAAACGTTTAACCGTCGCGACTTTAAATTAACGAGCATTATGTAGGTGTATCGGGTTGTTTGACTCACCCTCCAGCGAACAAATGAACCAGCGTGTCCCTTTGGCTCATTATTTAGCATGCTCTGCCAGGCAGCACACCTCAGGCTGCGGCAGAGGATCGAACTCGGGCCCGGTTCCGTCCCTTCCCCGTTTCTTCTCAGCTCTCGTGAGGATGTGCACGTCGATGATCAACGACGTCGATGTTTCACCAGCGTCAGGGCGAGACTTCGGTGATTCAGACCGCAGTGGGCCAAGAATCCCCCCTCTTCTTTCGTTTTCTGGTAATTCAGGTTCCTCTCTCAATCAAACAGCTTCTTATCTTCCACCCAACCACCAGAGAGATGCGAGCTCGGACCAGCTAGTTAAAGTTACAAGTCTATCTCAGCTCGAGTGAACGGTTTTATAGCACGTCCAAGGGCTTGTCTCGATTTATTCGTGAGCTTTCATCGCTGCAGTGAGGGTGAAGGAGGCAGAGCTCATAGTATTTACTGTACAATCATAGGCTGGAAAAACAGACGCTGCGATTGGTGGATCTGACCCGTGACGTCACGCCCTCTCCGCCCTGATCATGCACTGTTCACATGCTCAACATTGAATGAATCAGCTGCATTATGTATATGTGCAAGGTTATGAAAACCTTTTTCCTCATCCTACATGAATGGTGTAAAAATTTCTATTTCTATTTAGTTATTTTTAAAAATGGGAATATATTGATGAACATTTACATGTAAATATATGGGATTATGGCCAAATGGCTAATTTCCATCCCCAGTCCCATTGGCAGGTTGATGTTAAACATAAAAGCAATAATGTTAAAAGTACAAACAACATGACTAATACAGTAAAACAATGCGCTGACAACATACACATAATATACATAAACAACGTACACAGACCAAATACTAAGTGACTAATAGTAAGGGGACCAAAAAGATTAAAAGAGAATTGTAAAGTGCTAATTAAAGTGTCATGTGTTAAAGGTGCTTAAAGAGCCATTTGCTACACTTCAGCTTGTTAAAGTGACGTGTGCATAAGTGCGAAATCACATTGAATTGCACAATGCCCATAGCACACAATTGCACTAGCAGATGTGTGTCTAAAATTGCACGTTTTGTATACATAAATGTATTATGTATACCCTTTAGTAGCAAATTTGCATACATGAATGAGAATATGTATCCCAGAACAAATTAAGATCGGTACCTCAAAGCAATTCGCCAATGAGACATGACAAACAATTTTAGACATGATTATGATGCCAGGTCTGGTCAGGTTTTCCCTGTTTGTTTTTCTGGCTTGTGCAACAACAGTAAAAAAGAATGAAACTAGTACAAGCAATAGCTGCATTTTTGACTATTTGTGCGCTATGTGCATGAGTAACTTTGTATGCAAGATATAAAGAATAAATAAGACTGGATTTGGGTTTTGCATTTATGTGAAAAGTAGTCCTATCAATATGGGCCACATCAATGACTGACTATTGTTTTCCTTTTATCATTGAGTTTGTTTGATGAGATGTTGACCCAAACTGATATGGTTCTTGTTTTTAGACATTCAAAAACAATTTCAAAAACACATGAATGAATCCACTATCTTTCTCACATTGCAGTATATACTGGCTGAAACAGGGTGAAATTACTGACCTCATGATCATTACTTTATCATTTCCTTGAAGATTTATTTATAATTTTGCACTGCAGACGTGGTACCTCTTCTGCCTTAGCATCTCGGTCTGATTGCATTTCCATGAGGAAATGATCATAAATGTTCTTCCTTGAGCTGCGTCACCCCGCTGCAGTCAATGGACTCGCCCGGAGGTCTCCATACAAGTAAGTGGCTGCAGGAAGAGAGTAGGTGAGTTGTGTTTAGTGTCTTTGCTAAAGAAATCAGGCAAAGCTAAAAAGATGTTTGGTGGCTAGTACTGTGGCTGTGACCCTATATGTACTGTTGATGAAGTTAGGCGCTGTTCTGAACATTATTTGTGGCTATAGAGTGGCTTTTTGCTTGAGCGTGTGTCTCTCTGAATTGCTATGTGCGCTCACTACAATAGTTGGTATAACTAGAGAAGCAAGCGGTCGGCAACATTCATCTCTCAACGGGGTGTCTAACTCTGTGTTACAGTGTGTTTGACCCTAACTTAATTTTACTCTGGAATATCCCTTTACGGTTAGTTTCTTACAGGTTACACTTGACAGATATCTGCACCCACATTAGACTGTCCTTGCGCATTGCATGACAGAGAATACCCAGAATGGAGAACGACTTTTTTTTTCTGTTTAGAGTTGCCATACAATCATCTGACCTCTTAAAATAGTCAGTGGTTGATTTAATGACAGAACTGATTGGATCCACTCAGTGTTTTAATCAGGATCACAGTATGTCGAGTAAGAGTCATGTGCATCTTCTCACTATTCACATTTGTTAAGTCGAAACACATAATGTTGTGTCCCGAATTAGAGTGGTAGTGTAAGTCTCATGATTTTGGATAGAGGCTTATTAAGTGATTCCAGGTCAGATGAAAGGTGATGGTGTGCCTCTTATTATTACATGAATAAATTAAATCTGAGAATTTTGAACACAGACTGTATTTCAAATGAGCAGTTTAATGTTTGAATCAAACAGTTTTTGCTTATCTAAAATCGAAAAGCCTGCCGTTTTACCTGTTGTTTGAAGGGTGTTCATGTACTGAAAAAAATCTGTTGGCTTTTCAGCTAGAAGTGTTCTTGAAATATACTTATTTGGATTTTTTGGAACTGACTACTGATTTGAAAAACTTTACAGTGTTTGATCAATAAAGACTATGAAATGAAGAGGCTGAAGTTGCTTTATGTTTTGCTGTTGTTGCCTCAGGACTGGTCATATAATCAAATCAGTGTAGTCGGTACCAGGTGAAAGTCCAAAACAAACCAAAAATAAACACCCCACTGGATCAATAAACCAAGGTTAATACTGAGAATGGTTCTGAAAGAAATTCCATGACATTCCAAAATAGCTCTGATGAATGTAAGACAACAGCTGTCAAACTGGACATTTACAGAGTGTATTTCCCAAATGTTTAAGATTATATAAAATTAAAAAGAACAGCAGCAGGGTGTCTAATTGTCACCTATGTACCTGTTTGTTGATATAGATTTGTAGCGTGAGAATAGTAAGTGTTCTTCCATAGTGGACCAGGGTGCATGGGAAACTGAATTATGATCGGATCTTGTGAGCTCATTCTGAAAGTTTGAGCAATCACGAGACAGAAGTACAGTAATCAAGTTGTGCCATTATTGAAAGCCAAACGCTGCAGATAAGTTATGCAATCTGTCTGACTTCTCCCATCAGTCTGCCTTTTTCTGTCTCTCCATGTCTTCCCAGTCCAGCTCAGTAACACAGATCTACCACTACTTGTGATATACTGTCACAATTTACATTAATCCCGTCCTATTTATCCTATTCTGTCAATTGAATTTGCAAGCAGAAGCAAACTTACACTTGACAAAGATATTGAATATGCAGACTGCTACGATCTGCAAAAGAAAGTTAAAGAGAAACCATACATGAAAAACTATAGACAGTTTCTTTGTGTATAATTACAATTTATTTTACGTTGATGTGATTTTTCTATCCATTTTTTCAATAGTTATGATGGCAAAATGTCACAGAAAAACAGAAAAAAGTTTACAGCCAGTTTTAAGCAACCAGATTTCAAGAATTCAAACCATATATGGTTGTATTGGATTACCGTATTTTATCATATCTTTTACTTTACTGCATTATTAAGACTTTCTATTTTATTATCAGGACTATCTCCATTATTAAGACTTTATCACATTATTAAGACTGTCTCCTTGTGGGAGTTATAAAGGAGTATCTTATCTTACATTATCCCATTTTATTGTCAAATCATATAATATCATAGCATGTTATTTTTTATAATGTTTCATTTTATAACATAACTTAGAATATTGTGTGCTGCCATATCATATCGTATCATACCCTATTGTGTCATATATTGTCACGTCATATGGTATCGTATTGTATAGAATGATCATTTTTCATAATGTATCCTTTAGTATTGTGTTGTATGATATTGTGCTGTATTGTATTGTATTGTATCATGGTGTATTGAATTATAAAGCATCCTTTAGTTAGTTTTATCATATGGTATCTTTTCTTATCCCAAAATATCTTATCCTATGGTAACTTGTAGAATCATATAGTATTGTATTATATCCTTAAGTATCCTATCGTATTGTACCATATGGCATACTATGAAATGTTTACAGGAAGTTATTGGATAACTTGATTTTTACTTACTAAAGTGCTTTATCATACCATCTTGTATCCAATCATATTCGATTCTATGCCACTGTACTGTATCATTAAGTTTCCTATTTTATGTAGTATTGTGTATTATCTTACTGTATTGTACCCAGTTATTTTTAGTTGCTGCTCTATATATTTTAGTTATGCTTTATCATGTAACTGTTAATATCTTACATTTTCAATTGAAGGCCATATGCTTTAATATCTATGTGTAACGAGTAATGTACTACTTGCACATTTGTGTGTCTGACAGTGTTAAAGTCCACTAACACATGTCTCATGATCCCACACATGCAGGGAGGTTGTGTCTCATGATTTCTGTTGGACTTTGACCAACAGAATGTTAGGATAGCTAACGAGAACCACGCTCTAAGGTTGTGTGTGTGTGTGTGTGTGTGTGTGTGTGTGTGTGTGTGTGTGTGTGTGTGTGTGTGTGTGTGTGTGTGTGTGTGTGTGTGTGTGTGTGATTTTTGTTCTTCATGTACATATTCTGCACTCCCTATAACCAGACCCCTTTTAGCCTGTTTAAATCAGTATTTGGGTTCAAAGGTAATAAAAGGAAGAGGCCAGGGAGAAGGAAAGCAGGGGTTACATGTCAAAAATAGCTGTTGTTTGACCAATGGTTAAAATGTTACCATAGGGGGGTAATATTTCAGGTCAAACTGGCTAATGACATTTCAATTCACAAAGGAGTTCAGCTTAAAACAAAAATATCACTATAATGAAGAAACATATTTTAATACTATTTTATGTACCTAATGAGAAAAATACCACACGCTCACAAAAATGAAAGAGAGCTAAGGGGGCATTGGTCAAGTATGTCAAATGGTGTTCAAAGTATTTTCTTATTTATGTCCCTGACTGTACTTTTGGTGGGTGACACAAAGAAACTATTTTTAACTGAATCATTGTACAGGTCCTTTGATCTCAATTTCTATCATCTTTGACAAGTCTAACTGTTATAAGCAGGAAGTCAATGAGAATATGTTTTATTTGGGGATTCTTATATTTGCATATTATTATTCACAGCTTGTCCATTTAACACAGAGATTTCTCCCAATTCCCTGGATCTTTCAATGATACTATTCACTGTGAAGAATAAAATCCCAACTCTTAGCAGTGTATGCCGAGGAACATGATTGTCAAATGACTAAATTAGACTCCAACAACACCTCAACTCAAACCGAAGTCCCCCCGCGTCTACTCAGCGGGGTCATGGTCCACACCGTTACCTCTGCAACATCCAGGGAGGGTTAACTATTTGCTGACACCTAGTGGTATTATTTTGACAAAACTTATTTATGAAGTTTTCTCGGTAAATATTCGAATTATGGTCCTTTCTTTGTCTGAATTCAAACAGTGAGTGAAAGAGAGTGACAAAATACAGCCTCAATAACAACTAAAAAAAAACACCACCTCACATTTTACTGGTATTGTTTGTGCTCTTTGATGCATTTATGAATAATCGTAAACTGTAGCACTTCAATCGTTTTCGTAAACTCCCAATTGCAGACTTGCTTTTTATAAATATTTATGGTTTACTGTTTTGTCATTTGTTTTAAAACTATTTATAAAGAGTCATAATGTTAAATAAACCGGCTTTTTAAATCCATATAGATAGAAAAACATTCAAAATGTATTATTACTATTATTATTATTATTATTATTATTATTATTATTATTATTATTATTACATTTAGTGGGGTCATTTATAATGTCATTTATGCTAAACACTACTCAGCGTACAAATTGACTGATGCTTTAATTTACTTAAATTTACTTTATGTGGCTCTCTGACGTTTGAATGAAACCATTGTACAAATTAAGTAATTATACGTATAACTTTCATCAAAACTTCGATTGTATTTCATATTTACCGACCTGCTTGGCAATAATACACTTGAACTCGTGGAATTGACTGTCAACTTGCATATAACTAGCCTATTTGACAAGCTGAACTTCGTGAACTTCGTATTTGCAATTTTCTTTACGTCTTTAAATGCAACATTGGGTCACATGACCTGTGCACAGCTGAGGGACGCTGAAGTAGGCTTGCCTGCTGTTGCTAGCTTGGTAGCCACCTTAGCTGCGCTTGGCAATCCTGGCAGACACAGCCGATTCTTCTCACCCTCTTAAGCCAAACCACAGGAGGGAGACATACGGCAGGCCATGGGGAGGACGCAGCGCATGTGGTCGTCGTTCGTATCCCCTCTTATCGTCAGTTTTAGGTTAGATGTCAATGTCATAGTATATAGCTAAAGCTGTCCAGCTAGCTCATCGAGCCTGTGTCTGGTTAGCGGAGGGCCAAGGCCAAGGCCGAGCGAGAAAAGAGAGGCCGTAGTCGGGTGAGTAAATCTACGCTCAGGTCTGTTTTATCACCGTGTTAACCAGTTTCACGTTAACCCACATCTCATATCAACTTGTTGGTTGACAAATGTTACACCACCGATGTGTGGTTTAGATTTTTACAGGGAGGTGCTGCAATTGTTGGTGTTAAATTAACAACAGTGTGTCAATAATGTTCAGATCGGCCCAAACAGGCTGTGTAATTACACCTTTTTAGCGTCCGAGAGCCGTAGTAGGAACAGCTGAGAGCGATGTGAGGTTGAATTAATGGAAATGATTTCTATTCTTGTGTTTGCCTTTTAAGATCTAGTGTTAAGCTCCCTAATTAATTATACTGATATAGAAAATATGTCATTTTCCTCAAGTTTGGCCAATTTTGCTTGACTGTCCCACTCTAAACATTGTCATGCATGTAGACCAATACATTTTTACAATGTTGTTGTCAGGGATGGACATATGTAATGTGAATTATGGGTCTAAAGAGCAGCATGCTGTGTTCTCACCCTAACACTGTTTCTAAAGCCTTATCAAACTTCCTTCTAGAATATGAAAATTACATTAAATGTCATGTTTTGACAGCAAAACATTGTTCTGTTAAATGCATGATCGTCCTAAGTGTATTTGCTGCATGCGTTGTGCTTGTGTTTTGCAAATTTCTCTGAAGGAAAACATATTTGGCATTCTTAGCAGCTGTGACAACTCAATTTTTCACTAATAGCTGTAGGGTACAAGCTTCAAAACATGCTTTTGTACTGACTGACCCATTTGGTTAATAAGGAATTTGTCTTGCCTTGGAGGTCTTTAAAGGTTTTTGGTCTTATTAAAGAATGAAAAGACAAACTATTTCTCCAGCCCCTTTGAAGTTTTAGAGCTCAATCTCATTTTGCTCGCCCCATTAGGGTGTCGCCTGACACTAACATTGGTTTCCTGGGAAAAGTTAACAGTTGCATGGCTAGTGAAAGTCAGTGCTGCTCTTTGTTTGTGTTGCTGTTGTAATCCACCAAGTTTTGTTTCATAGGTGGGAAGAGGAGGAGAAGAGTGGGACATCAGATTTGGATCAGAACCTTCTTTGAAGACGCCTCACCCACTGTCACCCTCCGCTGAGACATGTCTTCATCAGGGTGCTGCCACCTACCCGGCTCCCTTTGTGATTACTCAGGGAATGCTGAATCGGATGCCTCCAAGGATTCGGAGGAGTCTGATTCTACCACACAAGCCCAATATATCGCCAAGGTGACAGCGAAAGATGGCCGCCCACTCTCTACCGTTGTCAAAGCGGTGAGCTTGCAGAGGTAAGAGGGGGAGGGAGTCAAACAGCGCTCATGAATATACTGTATATGTATTGTTCTGCGGTTGATCATAACTTTCTCTCTTCTGTCGCTCCGCAGTGATGTGGGCATGTGTCGGATTTGTCATGAGGGAGCCGGAGGGGAGACTCTGCTCTCGCCGTGTGACTGCACTGGTACTTTGGGGAAAGTGCACAAGAGCTGCTTGGAGAAGTGGCTGTCCTCCTCGAACACCAGCTACTGTGAACTCTGTCACACAGAATTCACTATTGAACGGCGACCACAACCACTGACACAGGTTAGAGGGACTCAAGCGTGGAAAATGTTCACTAACGGTGAAAAATAAGTAATTCTTAATTTGCTAATAGTGTCATGTAATGTAAAGTATGTGTGAGCAGATTTGCTAATATAAATAAGAGTGTTTCCTGGCCTTGTCACAAACCTCTAGTCCATCGTCGTGGATATTTGCCCCATTGACAGACTTTGCCCCATCAGCAAATAATCTGCCAGGTACTGATGTCAGTAGTCAATGTCTGTTGTGTTACATCAATGTATTGTCAGTAAGCTGCTATAGCTAACTGCTGGTTCAAAGAGGAGTTTTTTTTGTGTTGAAGAAGAAGTTGTCTGTTTGACTGGCTGGTGACTTCATGCTGAAATGTGAAAGAAAATGTCAGCAGTGTGGAATTTTTCACCTTCTCTGAGAGAGCTCGCCAAGTTCAGTTTGTAAGCTACAGTCTAGTGAAATTTTGAGTGGAGGGACTACAGTCTAAATACTTCAAATCTCATGGCTCAAGTATAGCAAAAAAATTAACACTAACACTGTCTAGAACAAATCTTAATGAACAGATTCTGCATGTAAATACAGGGAACTGTACGCAGGGGTAGAAATATGCTTGTTTATGTTTGTAGCAAAAGTAGAACCACTCGCTGGTGTTTCAGTGGGCTTTGGTTGTACAGAAGAAAACAGGCTGTGTGGACTGTAGAATGAAGCAGGATGCGAAAACGACATCATGCAATCTGGATCCCATCAGTTGTCAGTTGATGACTTAGCTTTTTGTTGTTGTTGTGCAGTTTACAATCAGGTTTCCTCTCACACGCTCATTTATCTCCTCAAGTTCTCAGTCAGACTGTAACTGATATGAATCTCCCGGAGCCTGGAAATCCTAAATCATTTATCTGAATATCCACCAGCTGTGTACACCAGGCCGGGTTAATGCAGAATAGCCTGTGACTGAGGTGGGTCTAAAGCTGATTATCATCATTTTTCTCTTCAGTGGCTGAAGGACCCAGGCCCTCGCAGTGAGAAGCGTACGCTGCTCTGCGACATGGCCTGCTTCCTGCTAATCACGCCACTGGCTGCCATCTCTGGCTGGCTGTGTCTGAGGGGAGCCCAGGACCACCTGCAGCTGAAGAGCAGACTGGAGGCTGTGGGCCTCATCGCCCTCACCATCGCCCTCTTCACCATCTACATCCTCTGGACACTGGTAACTGATGCACCATGGAACTTATTCTCCTGTGGTAGAGAGAGAGGTGTTCAAAAACCTCATATTTATGAACATGGAAGTCGATATGTTCGAAATGATACCTGTGGCAATACCTTGTTACTCTGTTCTGGTTTATATTATTATAGCATTTAGGAGTATTAACCATAGAAGCTATTTTGAGTTAATTTCTTTTGATATTCACTTCTATAGCTCACACATGCATACACACACGCTCATAACTCAAGCCCCTCTTCTCTAATTTGATCATAGTCTGTAATAGTTGTATTTGTTCTAAAGCTGAAACTGAAGTTTTTAACATCAAAGAAGCATCAGAAATGACTAGTTGTAAAAGATTAGCTCTTTAGCTTCTAAGCCATCATGCTGCTCCACATCCATGCTTCTCTGTCTCAGGTATCCTGCCGTCACTTGTACTAATGTTTGTTTTTCCCCTCTGTCCTCTACTCCTGTCTCACCCCCTCCCTCTCCTTTCATCCTAATCTCAGGTGTCGTTTCGGTATCACTGTCAGTTGTACTCCGAGTGGAGGAGGACCAATCAGAAAGTGCGCCTGCTCATGCCCGACATGAAAGGAGCGCACACCACCCAACGATCTGTGCCGACCAAGTCGACCAAGAAAATGACTGACGAGACCATCGTATGAGTGCAGAGCAGTGTGGAGAGGAGTATTTAAAAAAACGCCCACTGAAGCACTCTCTAAAAAAACATGATTAATCATATTAATGAACTTTTGCACTTCATATGGACCATTCTGAGAGGAGAGAGCTGCTCTCCTCTTTTCTTTTCTTTTATCCAAGCACTTGATGTAAACTACAATGGTATTTACCGACCACAGAAAGTGGTTTTGTGAGGAACTCATTCTGGAGTCCCAGCTGATGTTGAAACACAGAGTCAATGTTGGACAATGAGCGCTGGGATGTGAAAACGACTGAACACGTGGATAATGGACTAACCAGCCCAACTGTGTGTCTGTGACACAAACTTATGAAATACTAAGACACAAGCTAATGTAGCAGGATATAACTGATTCAGCATGCTACTACAGTATAATATGAAACATATTCACTACCTATAATTCCCCCATGCCCCTTCACAATGTATTTACCTGTTTTTGAACAAAGGGCAGTCAAGAGCCCGGCAGAGGATGATAATCCAGAGACATGATTGATAAAGTGTATCTGTGAATATTCTTTAATGACAAGCAGAGAGCGACCGAGCTCATACCAACCATCTTGTCTTTAATCTGAGACTTTAAAAGTTTGGGAATGAAACAATTTTCCAGTGTAGACAACAGCTGAGGCATCACATATTTATCACGCTTGTAACGGGGTCAGTGAAGACTGAAGTATACAGAATAATACCAGCTGCAGCCGTCAAACGGCATCATGGAAACAAAGTACAAAGTATAACAAAGTATTGAAGGCGCAGAAAAGTGTTAAGAATTAGACAATGTCAGAGAAGTGCATTACAGCCCTGCTCCACTTGTAAATGCACCATCCATTGACTGAGCTGCCTAGCAATGACCAGTAGTTTACCCTCCATCACAAAAGATGCAACTTTCAGTAGAGGAGAACCAGTGTTCTGCATAGTGAGATCACAGAGAAGTCTGTCCTCTAAAAGAACACAGAGAGCTATCAGAGCAGGCTGGTACTCTGTAAAGGTGCAAAAACACTAATGTGATCTGAGATGTCAATGTATGCAGCGTATGCTAAACAAAGTATTTTGTGTAATTGTAGTCTTCCTGCTGCATCCCCCTGGAAAAGTTGGGTTATTGTGCAATAAAACACGAGGGACTCCTGGACTAAATCCATGTGGAATGTAACTTGTCTGGTGGTTTGAGGTAATTCCGTGTCTAATAATCTTCATGTGGGCTTTGGAAATAACAGTTTATCTAATAATCAATACTGTGGGGGTCATGCCATGAGACTTTATCTTGTGCAAGTACTCTGAATTGTTTCCCCATGCTTTTATGTGGGGAACCCTTTCACATTATTTTCAGTACATTGAAAGTTCGTATGGTGTGAATAACATCTGTAACATGATGATGTGAGTGGTTACGTTTACCTGGATTATCGCCATTTTAATCGGATCTGTATTTCTGCCATCCAGATGTTAGTCTCAGCTCCATGTATTTTATGTCTAATAGTTACTTAAGAGATTAAGCACATAAAAGTCATACTTTTATACAGTTTTTCATATCTTTTAGACTGGGGGAACAATATCTGCCCCATGTCACATTGAATAATTTGTTACCAGACCTTTATGTTGCTCTTTCTTCCATCAAATAACGTGCCATGCAGAGATCTATCAGGACCTAAAGTAGGACCCATTAGCCACAAAGAAATAAAACTATCTCAATCTTGACCTGAAACAATAGCATAAGGCTTTTGCATCATGTGGTGTCACATATCCTCGATGTACAGTCACCCGTCTTGCTTAAAAAACAGCACACAGCACCGTAATATTGTAAAATTTAATTTCATGGCATTAATATAATGTATGTGAGCAGACAAGCTATCAAAATCAAAACAAAAACAGAATATATTTTACACAAAATGAAACAAGCATCAGCAGCGTCACAACCACTTTTGAGATGATGACTGAAGGAGGAAGAAGTCAAAAACAGGACTGCTGGTATGACTGAAACAGGGAAAGGTTCAAATCTGGACTGCAAACATGGTGCCATAACTGTCTACAGAGGACACAGACTCATAAGGTCTCAGGCAAAGCTATTCTGCTGATCTATCAAGGGTAATCGTTGTACCATTAGTCCTGTTTTTGCGCTGGGGTGTAGCAGATTGTACCTGGGTCAGATTATAATTCGAAATCTATTCAAATTCTCTGAGATTGATCATTTGTTGCGCAACAGCTTTGAATCCACTGATCGAAACAGTGCAGATTAAGACAATATTGCACTCTAGGTGTATGGAAGCAAACCAACACTGATTTCAACTAATAATCAACCCAGGTGGAAGAGAGGTGATTTGCTGCAGGTTACAGGTTCTGACAGCACTGCAGTTTGCTCCCCCTTTGTCCATCTGTGGTGGGGGGCACGCTGATGTCCACCACATTGTTTCCAGGGGACTCGTCATGGGCGGACCGCTCTGCAATCTGTTTCTGCGAGACGATGCGGTAGATTTCTATGTTTGGGAAAAAATGAAGCAGAAACAGATCAGCCATTTACCCTAAAACTGTGGTGTTACTTTGAGGAGGAAACAGGTGACAATACCAGTGTTGTTAAACAAGCTGCTGTTTTATGTGAAAGTGCTGCATTTTAGCAGAAAACCACTCTAAAAATATTAGAGGAACACATCTAATTTCACTGAAACCCAGAGGTGAAAACACTTCATTTTACAGGCTGGTGCTTCAGTTACACTCTTTGCATAAGTTGAATAAACTTCCCTCACTGTAAGAGGAAGTTACACAATTTACACAGTTCAGTTTAGTTGGCAGAAATGAATGTTTTGTCCCTGCCATTGATTTTAGTTGGATACAGTTTCCCCTCTGTTCATACCAATATCTGGTTTCAAAACTGGTTTATGTTCTGGATTTCATACTAGTTTGTAATTTGGTACCAAAACATGCTTTGATGAAAAAAAAGAGGACAGAGGAGGGAAGCTGGACAGACAGAGCATATGCAGCTAAAGGCCGAGGATATAACTGATCCAAGGGTGTCAGTTTTGAGCCTCTTTACAAGGCGCAGTTACAGCCTACCTGTTGCCAAATGCAATAGAATCTTAAAGCCCCAGTGAGGAGTTTCTAACTGGTTATAAAACAGACTGAAATTACTGATAATGTATCTTTATAACCTAGAATTGTAAACAGGAGCACAAGAAACAAGACTGACAATATCTACAAGTTTAGGGGAAAGTGTGAGGCCAAATGACAGTAAGCCATATTTTCACTTCCACATCATATACTCTCAGACTCTATAAATGAAGCAGTAGTGATATTTCTCACTACCATGGTGTCTGAGAAATTCAACATTTTAAGTACTTTTTTCAAATTTAAAGTTCCTGTGAGAAGTTTTTTATATGAATGCAACAGGCTGAAATTCATATATACATGCCTATACTTGATGTCAGAAAACAAACAAGACCATCAGCTACAAAACCGTTTCTTGTTTGAAGTATAACTCTAGATTCCTAAAACTGTTAGGTGGAAGGTGTCAGCCAGGCAGCAAGAGAAACAGTCTTGTTTTTATGAAATACTTTCAAAAAATCAGACTTCTGAAGGTCAAAAGTTAAAGGATGAGATGTTTTATCAAAAGATAGTACTTAAGCATGTGCAGGACAAACCAAAAGTTCCTCACAGGAGCTTTGATATTCACAGTGTAGCTTTGATGTACCATCTTGTTTTCAAGTATACCTGTTAGGATATTCTTGAAGGCTTCTTCAACATTTGTTGAGTCCAAGGCTGAAGTTTCTATGAATGATAGATTGTTTTTTTCTGAGGGAAAAAACAAAACGTGCAAGTTACAGCAACAAAAGGAGAGTGTTTGTGATAAAAATACAGCCAAATAAATCTGTAAGAAACTGCAGTAGAATTACTTTTTTCTCTTTCCACATTAACAAGAACAAGCACCACAGCTAGAGTGTTTGATGATGTTAAATTACATTTCTAACTTTACACTCAAGTGTTTACTAAGTTTGTAATTACAAATAGCCACAAATATCTGTCAATATGTTGTGAAAAAATTGAAATATAAAGTAGACCGTAATACTAAAAATTAGCAAAGAAATCTACTTTATCACTTTCTCTGATATTTAGCCCTCTCCTGTGTTTCTTACCTGCAAAAGCACGAGCCTCATCTGTGGGCACAGCCCTGAGGTGACGCAGGTCACTCTTGTTCCCCACCAGCATGATGACTATGTTGTTGTCTGCATGGTCCCTCAGCTCCTTCAGCCAGCGCTCCACATTCTCATAGGTCAGGTGTTTGGCTATGTCATACACTAACAGTGCCCCCACTGCTCCTCTGTAGTATCTGTACAGACACACAAAGAAACAAAGGTTACACTAAGAAGTCCGCAGCTCTTTAAAATGCTTTTTTTGGTCCTAATCAGCCTGAGTTATTGCTGTATTTTTATGGCTAGCATCTCCCTGTGACTCTACATCCCAAAAACAAAGTCTTTAGTAGGGTTTAGCAGACATGGTTTAATCTGTTTTCTGTCTGCAAACTTAATACTTTCTGCATGCTGTCATGTTTAAGTTCCATGGAGGAAATCAGGGACTTTATTAATTTTAGTGCCCCGTGTGAAGCGCTACCTCCTTTTGCCTCACAAATTTTTGTTCAGTACTTGGTTAAAGACATCTTTATTTTTTGACAAGAAATCCCCCTAGCTGTCTTTTAAATGTCAAATGTATCATTCAACCAGAATCTCTGCCATGAACAACATTTTAAAAGTCTGTTTCTGGAGCTTGCTTTTACCAACTTTATCTGATATCTACCACTTTTATTAATTTTAAACATGATATGTTGAAGTCATAATCTTTATGATAAGTGTCTGGCTTGCCTAGGCCATACAGAGGTATCAATATCATGTTTTAGTGAGTCTCATAAACAACAAAAAAAAACACAGTTCCCTTAATAAGGTCTGCAGACCCAAGTAAAGCTGTATGACGTTAACCTCACTTACATGTAGATTCGTCCTTTATATTCAAATTTAAAAGAGCGACTGTATAAGAAGTGAAAGCTCAGTTTCTTAACTTACTATATTTTATTTCACATTTCAAATGAATATGTTTGACTTAAAGCAGATACACAAATCTAGCTCACTGATGGATGACAATCAAGATCTTGTTCAGTAGTTTCCAGGCTATAAAGAAGGGTCAACATCCTTAATCTAATTGTTGAGAGCATGTTCATAAATTTAATTTTTCTAAGTGACCGTTAACTCACGCCGAGGTAATGGCTCTGTAGCGCTCCTGTCCTGCTGTATCCCAGATCTGAGCCTTTATCGTCTTGCCGTCCACCTGGATGCTGCGTGTGGCAAACTCCACCCCAATGGTGCTCTTACTCTCTAGGTTGAACTCATTCCGTGTGAATCGAGAGAGCAGGTTGCTCTTGCCTACGCCTGAGTCCCCAATTAACACAACTGTGGAAAAAAAAAGAGAAAAAAAATCAGGTAACAGTGTGCTTATTTGTGTAATGGTGGAGCCAGGGAATAGGCTGTATGTATTTTAAGAGATAAAAAATGTTGATTGGGCAAAAGTAGTGCCTCTAAATGCTGGATTCAACAGAATAAAGGCACTTGATTTATGGGCTTTCAAAAACAGCACATTTCTACTTCAAAGTAGGAGAGGAATTTTTGTTAAACAAGATTAACATGTCAAGAGAAGTTCCCAATTTCTGATAAACACACTAAAACATTTAGTTCCTCGATGTTTGGGTTTTACTGCAGCAGAGTTACTAAAAAAAGGCTTAACCACCCAAGCCCATGAAGAGGAATGGTTATTTAATTTATGCAATCAAACACGCCTGAAGGATAACTCACTAAATAAAGAGGTGCTTTAGTCAGCAATTGGTCTCCGCAGAACCACAAAAATCTGAATAATTGGTGAACAGGGATATGTTTTCTAAGAACCAGTTTGTGCAACTGAACAATGAGGGTTATGTTTTCACCATGTGTCTTAAATAGACTGCCAGCACGTGAGTCAAGACTGACCAAAACACACTAAAGATGCTAAAACTCAGCTAAACAAACTGGCAAATCTATTCAATGTCAGTGTGTTTGTCTGACTTTTACCCCAGAGATCCCAAACACACGTATATGAATGTGGCACCAACACTGTCAGTATGAGTACTGGAACTTTCTATTGACACATCTGGAAAAACTATTAGCCACACTGTAAAACACCACCTATGGATCAGAGAGGAATAAATGTTTATCATCTAAATGAATAAATGGATTGATTACTAGTTGGCTTTTTGGGTCAGATGATACATCAGTGGAGTGTGATTGATTAGCTTTCTCAGGGATGGGCCAAAGTTAGTGTCAGGAGGACCAGGCTGCTGTTCTCAGCATAGCAGCAGAGGTGGAGCTCCTTTTGTTGTCTCCCTCCTCCTCCTCCTCTTCCTCCTCCTCCGCGAGAGGAAATAGGGCCGAACTTTTCCCCCTGTCGACATCGCGCTGGTGCGGGCTGCAGGAAGCCGATAACAGGCTTCATCAAAACCTGAATCGACAGTTTCAGGCCGCCTTGCCCTTCCTGTTTCGGCCGGGTACACAGACGAAGGCTCGTCCAGGGAGAGAGGGAGGGTGAGAGAGAGAGGGAGAGAGAGGGAGCCCTCGCCTCCGGCAGATGCCCCATTCATCCCACAGAGGATACTTTGTTACATCTAAATGGCCCTTTGGCTTCTGCAGGCCCAGGATGTTAATGTGGCACAGGAGCTGATATCAGGATCAAAGAGAGCCTTTCTGGATCCAACTGAAGATAAACATGAACCTGAGTCTGGTACCGCTCCAAACTCAACAGATCAGACTCTCTCATTGTCTTTGTAAAGAAAATGCACAAAGTTATGAGAAGGAGAAATACCAGTACTGACTGTCAGATGATCAGCCCTGATGTTAAGAAAAAGAAGATGATTGATCAGGAGAGGAAGAGGCTAACAGGCCTCCAAACAACCTCATGAGGTGGGATGTGCAAAAACATCAGATGCCAATCAATAAATGAGAAAACAAACAAACAATCAGCTCTATGAGTTGATGAAAGTTGCACAAAAGGGCTGAGCGCGGATAGGGTGTTGCATCCTTTACCTATAAATATAGCTGCTGGGGTTGTATGTTACAATGACAGCATTATGTTGTAATAACATCAACCGAGTATCATCCGGGCAGTTCCCAACAAAACATGAGTCTATTTGTTCAATAAAAGGCAGATATTTAACCAGAGGATATGACACAATGAAAGATTAAGAGCTATTAATAAAGCATTGCTTCGTCGGTGAGTAAAGAGGGAATGCAGTCATCTTTTTTTTTTTTTTTTTTTTTTTTTTTTTACCTTTGAACAAGAAATCGTATTCATCGTCTCGGTTCCCCATTCTAGACGAGGCCGCTCCAGCGCTTGTTTGCAGAAGAAGATGAGTGAAAGGCAGAGTAAGAATTCTCTTGGTAAGTCAGAAAAAGAAGAATGGTTTAGGTTAAGGCTGGGACTCTGCGCCAGTTTTGGCTGTCAAGGCGAGCTGCTGCTGCTGGCCGCAGAAGAGCAGAGCTCCAAACTCTGCAGAGGGAGGGGAGGAGTCCCTGCGCTGCGCATAGCTGCCACGCGGGGGCGCTCGTTACTGGCGTTCCTGCAGATAGTATCCGCTGTCATACACAACTTCAGTCATCTAGGACTGAATGAAGCATAACAGGGTCAGACTAGAGAGAAAGCTTATATGGTTTAAATTTACGTAAATTCAATGTGTTAGTGCCCAAAAACTGTAGGGATTTTTTGTATTTTGTTGTATTTGATGATTTTGCTGTAACTAACGGTTACCCAAGGCCAATGCTGAGTGTTAACACGCTGAACCACATTATGGGGATACCTTCAGACAAATATCAAATGATCTGATGGCTAAGAATAGAAATTAATTCATAAATACATCTGTGAAAAGGTGGGACACTCAGCTTCATTTAAATAGATATTCTCCTGGAAAAATATGTCCGCCTATAAATTTATTTTTGTGAATTTTATTTGTACTTTTGGCACACAGTCTCCATTTTTGTGTGTTATAGTAAAATAACCCTCTCAAACTATTTCCACCATGTGCCTGTCAGTACCTTGGTTGTTAATACACAGTTATGGCCTCTTATATGTGATGGACATAGCTCTAATAATAACCGCCATCTTACAGTACCAGTACTAATGATGTGAAGCTGATACACACTGAATTATTAGAAAAGAAAGAAAGAAAAAAAAGAAAGAAACATTTTTAACCACCACTTTATAGATAATCAAGTAAATAAATTTAATAAACTCGTACATATGTTCAAACATACATGCCAACATTCACGTATACATTTATAGCTTACATAATATGTCATTCACAATCCTAAGTATAAACTGTAAACAAACAATCAGAAGTTGGGGACAAAGAGAAACACAAATACATAACTAGAGTGTATGTCACCTTTTTAGGAGTTCTACAAGTGAGTTAAGTTTGTACCCCTTTACCTAATGTATTGATCAGTTCTTCTCCTTCATTTATATCACAGATTTTCTAAGGCTTCTACTTTCACCATCTCTGCCACCAATTCTTGCATTGAGGATACCCCCTCTGTCTAACCACTGGCAAGAATCTGTCTGCCTATTATATGTTGGACCCAACATATAATAGAACATATAATGTCTATATAATAGACATATAATAAAATATGGTACATATATACCATATTTCCTATCAACAGGGCCCATGAATCACCCAGGACAAATAATCAAGCATTAAACAGAACCTGTATCCCTAAAATCTCACAAAGATTATAATATTTTCTGATCCTGGGTTATTGGAATTAATTACAGGATGATAAGATGACCTTCTTCTAATTTGTATAGCAAACTTGGATGCTTTTTTAGAGTCCTAATATATAGTTTTTCTTTTCTTTTTTCTTTTCTTTTTGTTTGTTTGTTGTGTTTTACTCAAGACATCATCTTGAAGTTGGCTTAGAATTTTAAAAATGTTGAAATTCTACTATGACACCGACTTTTTAGCTTTTTTTAAAAAAAGAAAAAAAAAAGGAAGACAGCAAGAAGACAAACAATATTTTTCAACATTACAAAGATCATGTCAGTGACAATAGGATTACTGTAGTTTAAAAACGCCTACTGCGTAAAACAAAGGCTACTTCCCCTTTAAGTCGCACTGACAGTTGGCCCCGCCCCCACAGTGCAGGCTTTACTCTTATTGGTCAAGCGCGGGCCAGTTGTGCTGGCAAGTGTGCACGTGCTGCTCCGTGCATTTCAAGAGCAAGATGGCAGCCTCCGTGTGTCGTTGCTACGAGGTTAGTCAGTCATTCATGTCCTTCATGTCTGCTTTTAGCCTTTAATACATAATCGAAGACAGAGAGAAAGCATGCACGGATTTGTTGATGTTTTTGTGGCCGGGTGTGTTGCATTTAGGTTTTTATCCAGCTAGTAGCAGAGATTTCCATTGGTTCAGGGCCCTGTTACATCAGACAGACGGCACGGTTCTCTATGTTCTTGTTCAAATATTGACTCATGAGGGTTACATTTGATCTAAGGGGCTTAAATTATACTCGTACCTCTGTGTCTGGGGCTTAAAACTGTTAAAGGTGGGTCTTAAAGCTTTCATTCTGGCACCTGTACCGAGGCACTGACACACTGTACACTACTGTGAACTCTAACATATAACAGATGCAATAGGTGCCGTGATTTCTTGTCGTTATAAGACATGTTTTATTTAGTTGTGATACTTATCTTCTATCTGTTTTTCACCCAACTTGAAGCATTATTTACTCCCCCAGTGTTTATGGTTTTTATAATAGGGATCACATAAAACATCGTGACAGCTGTTGGTAACCATAAAGCACCTGATGTAATTTTCTTAGATTAAGTCCACCAAAACTCTCACCCCCTGACTCTGAGAGGAAAAATGTAGTTAACTAGATTCAGAATTTAGCTTAGTAATAATATAAAACCCTGTGGGTGGGTGTGATAAAAACCCCAGACATTTTTAAGGTAATACAAAGTCATCAAAAAAGGCAATATTTCAGTTGGCATTTGCAAAATTTATGAGAGAAAAATATAAAAATTGAAACAGGCATGAGACTCCACCTAAGAAAGAAATATTTGACGCTTTTATAGAGATGGTGAACTTACTAAAGCGTGTATTTTTGATAGCAAATAGTTTCATCACTATTGTGGTTGGCATGTCCTTGGTATATTTTTAAGAAATATCACTATGTACCCAAAAAAACAAAATCCTGCAAATTGAAGTATATTGTCCTTAATCATAACAAATATAGAAAACATATGGAGTGGGTCATTTCAGACCAACATTAGACAGTGCTCTATACTACCATCATCAAAAACCATATGATTGAAAGGATGGTATTAAGCATGGTCTGATTTAAACCAAAACTAGCGGTTTAAGGGATCATTAATCGCTGTATAACAAAGACTGATTCTTTTGTCTCTGCAGAGCTGTTTGAATATTATATGTATTATGATATGCATGTTTGTTGCTGAAAGTGATTTTCCCTCTGTTGCAGCTGGTTGGCAGACGGGCCTTGGCTCTCTGTTCTCGGCCTTTGGTGTCCTCAGTGTGCAGAGGTGATGTCTACAGGATACAAGGGAGCCCAGCTGCAGCTGTGCAGGTACATACTGACAACTCTCTTCAGCCTTCTATACAACTGCTAATGACTGTATCAAGAATTTTCACAGTATTTCAGTGTTTTTTGCATTTATTATTATCCACTTTTCTACTAAATAGTCCATCAACTCAGATTTTGTCTTTTTTATGTCAGACAGATTAAAAAAGAAAGACTCTGAAATGGAAATAATGAAGTATTCTCAGTCAATTCTAACTTTCCTATTTGGTCAAATCAGGTGCGGTATTCTTCGGGCCGTAAAGGTTTCCTGGGAGAGTTTGTGGAGAACCTGCGTCAGGAGTTCACTAAGAATCAGGAGATGAAAGAAAACATAAAGAAGTTCAGAGAAGAAGCCAAGAGGCTGGAGGAGTCTGATGCTCTCCAACAAGCCCGCAGGAAATATGTAAGAAGACTATTTGGTATATAACTTGAAGGACTTTATTTGAATCATGTGAGAAGAGTTTTTAATGAGACAGTATTTTATTACTGTCAACAATGGAAGCATACATTATTTTGTTTCTATTCCCTTCACTAGAAATCAATAGAGGCTGAAACAGTGAAGACTTCAGAGGTGTTTAAGAAGACGTTTGGCTCCCTGTCAGACACTGTTAAGGAGGTAATGTGTCAGGACTCTCTAACAATACCAATAATACATAAAGCTAAGTCTTCCTGATCTCTGGATTGGAATACTTGTGTTGTACTGTCTACTTTACTCAAGGTCTTTGTGTATCTTTGTTTGTGCTTGTGTCCACAGGGCCTTGAGGAAGTGAGTCGCACTGACATAGGTAAGAAGATCAAAGACGGCGTGGAGGGGGCAGCAAGAACAGCCATACACTCCGCTGAAAGTGTCTCCAAAGGAGGAGAGAAACTGGGCAAAACTGGTGCATTTAAAGCCATCTCACAGGTAGGAATAAAAAACATTATCCCAAACTTATATTCAGGGCTCTGGTTCTTCTAAATTTGTCCATAATTCTGGATTTTCTGATCTGAAATGTCAGCTGGTGCTTCAGGTCATTATTTAGAGGGCTGAATTAGTTTTTCAAGCCACCAGATGTCACTGTGTTTGTTAAGCTTGAAGATAGAAAGTTGAAACTCTCCTTTCCATTATCCAACCGATAGACAAGGACCTGGTGATGTTGTGTGGTGTCGGCATCACTTAAGTTATTCTTTCTGAATTTGAAAATGTTATTATAGTTATATTATCATGCTATTCTTATCTGTTTTGGGCCATAATGATCGGAGTATACTCAGTTAAAAGTGGAAGAGCAGCTGTCTCCACTCTCTAATTGATGCAGACTGACGACAGGGAGTTACCATGGTAACAGGGAGACGTCACATCAGTCACTTTAACGCTTTCTCTTAAATCCTAATTTTTCTGCAGTATTATACCTTGACTGAAAAAAATATATAACCATGTCATTGAAGTGGCACCAGTTTCCACCAGACTCCGAATCATCTTTGAGATAAAATCATTGAACGGATGCCACTTTACTTATTTGCCCCGATAAAAACCAAACTTATTACATTTATTTTAGAGAAAACAATATTTGTTGTATACTTATCCACTAAAGCCTGTGCTTGAATTGTTGCTTAAGAATTACAGTTGTTGTAAATGATGGTGCCAGATGCACAAAATAGGGAGGTCATATGTACAAACCCAAAGCACAAAGGAGACTAGAGGGTAAAGAAACAAATTTTAAGAACCGTTAAAAGTGTTGCGTAGGAATTCTCTAAAATGCAAGAAATAAAGTTTTTCTGCTGAAATTTTTTGAGGGAGGATCTTTGACACTTGTACTTGATGTTCCTGTGTCGAGGGTTTGTAGTTTATCTAACTCAATAAAATCACCTGTTTATTGAGATCTGCTTCACAGATGAAACTCATGGCGAAGATATTGTGACAAATATGACTTATTTAAACATAACCTGTTGGTTCTTAAAAGTGTTTGTGTCGTTAAAATAGTAATATTTGTTGAGCCCTGCTCTGTCCTCTCTGTATATTTTCCCTATTTTTTGTCCTTTGCCAATCCCATCCCTGAATAATGTCACCATCTTTTGTTATTGTTGTCTCGCTGTTTCTGATCAGAATTCATACTGCGGTGCACGCTGTGATCTTGAGTCATACATTACTATTTAATGATACAGCAGGAAACCAAGTGATTGTTTATAGGCCAAAGTTCTTGTAGAATTAAGTTGACATTTGCATAAATTAATTTGTTTATGTAAAAAAATTTAATTGCAAGGGCGAAGCATGAGGGATTATAGCTTTGTTTGTTTGCCATGCAGCTTTTTCCAGAGATATAAAACTGACTAAGAAACTTTGGTGTCAGACACATCAGTCTTAACAACAGTCAGAAAGTCAGCTGTGGTTACAGCAGTTTAAATTGAGACGAGACTGCAGTTCTTCAGCAATAATAAAGAGGTGTGTTTCATTTACAGGGTGTGAAGACCATGAAGGACGAGATAGATGTTGGCGATGCCGGCCCTTATAGAGCTCCATCACAGCTGAGAAAGAGAAGTGAATTTTCCTCGAGGGGATCCGACAGCGACTCCAGAGTGTTTGAGGCCAATGAGTGAGTAACTGTTGGAGCTCCAACCTGTTTCTTCTCTCCTGTGAAAACTCCTGCCAGCTTCGATAGTGCATTCTCCTTTGTAGCCCGTAGCCCTTCTTAATGTAAACATATCAAAAGTTTGAAAGTGGAATGTTTCATTTTGTGCTGCAGAGAGGCAATGGGTGTCGTTCTTCACAAGGATTCGAAGTGGTTCCAGCAGTGGAAGGACTTCAAGGACAACAACGTAGTTTTTAACAGTAAGAAAATCATCTGCATTTATTTGCTTGATCACATAGGATGTGTAGGTGTGATTTTCTCCCTGGGCAGCAGGTGGTGCCAGACTCTTTAGAGTAGATAGACTGTGTTTGTTTCCAAGAGGCACATGGTCTCACACTGATGAAAGTCATATCCTCAGTTATGTCCCCAAATGTGCACATTCATGCCCATCTATCCACACTGCAGTTTTTCACTCTTGGTTCTTGCAGGGTTCTTTGAGATGAAGATGAAGTACGATGAAAGTGACAACGCCCTCATCAGAGCGTCCAGGGCTGTGACTGACAAAGTCACTGACTTCCTAGGTAATTCTCCTCCATCTGTTAAACAGGATTTTCTCATCGTCACTGCATGAACAGATGATTTCATGTTGCTCTTAACACTCTTAGACATCATAAAACCTAATGATGTGTAATTCATCTTTTTGTCTTTTTTTTAAACCTTATCTCACATATTTTTGTTATAATGTCTTTGACTGAAAACTGGATATCATGGAAACACAGAAGTAACAACTTTTTGTCCCATTTTTCACACCGTTATCCTTCTGTGGTTAACTTTATTCTTTGGTTTGCTCTTCAGGTGGTCTGTTCTCAAAAACAGAAATGTCGGAGGTGCTGACAGAGATCGTGAAGGCAGACCCGACTTTTGACAAAGACTCTTTTCTCAAACAGTGCGAGAAAGACATCATCCCAAACATACTTGAGGTAAAAAAAAAAAAGAAACTACTCTTCAGTCATTTCCTTTTACCGCTCTTCCTCTCAATGCTTCATTCATGTCTGAAAGTATTTCACACAGAAATACCTTCAGTATACTCACTCATTGAATGTAAGCATACTGCAATTACAAATATCAGTTATACAGCAAAAGCTGTTGGAGCCGTTTAATTCAAATTAAAAGAATACAATGTTTTATAAAGGATGGTTTACTGAATGAAGATGCTATAACTTAGGCTCAGGACAGGACTCGACTATGAACCTGTTAAAATGGTGTCTATTTACACTTTATATTTGGTTTTTAACATAGTTCAACTTGAAGCACAAGTTACTTTTACCATTTAAATGGCTTATATTGTAAGAAAGGGGGCTTAATAATTAACTCAATATGCCCAATGTCCCATCTAAGTCACATAATAAATGCTTCTCAGTCTTGAACATTTAGTTATTGTATTGTGTTGTAATTTTGTGTGTCTGTCCTCTTTTCAGGCTATCATCCGTGGAGAGCTGGATGTGTTGAAAGACTGGTGTTATGAAGCAGTAAGTCTGTCACACTCAATCAGTTTAGGATACATACAACAAAAATCAGAATCAGAATACTTTATTTATTCCCAAAGGGTAGTTTGGTCATTACCAAAGTTTGGTACTACACTTGCTCTTTGTAGAAGAGAGTAGGAATAAATAAGAGTAATAAGAAATTACAACAGTTAATAAAAAGAGCAGAATATTAGAAATAAAGCTATTTACAAAGTGCAGAGTGTTTGAGAAATAAAGATGTACGAGCATAAGAGTGTATACAAAACCACTTTGTAGTAGGATACTGCACAGGGCTTTGTACAGTATAAGTTAGAGACAGTATTCAGTATTGAACTTTTAGATTATTGAAGTTGGACCCATTTACAAACCGATGGCACAGTTGACTGTAATTATATGAAGTGGAGAAGCCTGAGAGTAAGTCCAGGGACAGACATAGTGAGTGACCCTCAGAGGGAGCAGTTACAAAAAAATTGATAAAGTTTTATAAAGTTTGTCAGTCTGGCCACAGGCAAGAATGATTTCCTGTGACATTCTGTGGTACATTTAGGGGGAATGATAAAACATGATAAAGCTATCACAACTGCAGAAAATAAATGACTCCAGGGTCATGATGGAACATTTTCCATGTCTGTTTGAAAACAAGTATCATTACCTCGAATAAAACTAGAGATGAAAGGGAGCTGATTTTGTTTTCATATACCAGAACATTCACAATTAAGAGGGCAGAATTAAAAGACTAAACTACATTAACACGACTAAGATAACAGGATCACATGATTAATCATTAAAAAAACTATGACAAATATTTGCTGCTGGTGTTTTCCTTTTAAATAGTTTGTCACCCAGTTTTCCTGAAACATGATTTTTGTCTAGTAAGTGTTTTTCTGTCCCTGTCCTCAGACTTATAGTCAGCTGGCTCACCCTATCCAGCAGGCCAGAGCACTCGGGCTGCTCTTCCAGTCGAAAATCCTTGATATTGACAACATTGATGTAAGAATTTTCACACTTTTACAACAACCATCACACCTTTTGTCATGAATATTTCTGTAAAATTTTCTGTCTCCTCTTACACATTTCCCCTGTCTTGCTCTCTCTCTGTAGTTTTTCCTTCTCTTTAACATCCATTGTATTTTCATACAAGAAAGCAGGCATACATTTACAGCTTTTTAATTTACTCATTTAATTCCCAGCTGATAGTTTTGCTCTGTTTTCTCTCCCTGTGTTGTAGCTGGCGATGGGTAAGATGATGGACCAGGGCCCAGTGCTCATCATCACCTTCCAGGCTCAGGTCGTCATGGTGATCCGCAGCCCCAAAGGAGACATAGTAGAGGGAGATCCGGTCAGTAAACTCATAATCCCCGCACCAGCATGAATCAGATTAAGTTAGTTATTTCAAGGAAGTAAACAACTTAAATGGCTTAGATTAGATTAGCATTCAAACTCTTTTCCATCGATCTGAATTACTTTGAGTATCACAGGCTTGATTTAGAGTCAGGACTCTGGCCAGGACTTCAGTAGTTCTGTCCTAAACCTCTGTATTGTCTCCTCTGGATTGACCCCTCACTCTCCTTCTCCTCCATCAGGGTAAGGTGATGAGAATGATGTATGTTTGGGCACTGTGTCGTGACCAGGAGGAGCTGAACCCCAATGCGGCCTGGAGACTCCTGGATATCTCCGCTTCCAGCACTGAGCAGGTTCTCTAGGTGGAGGAGGAGGAGGAGGAGGCAGAATTGGAAGAAAAGATAAACTTGGACTTATGAACTGTGAAGAGAACAGGAGATCAGTGGATGTGCCTGGAACCCCGGCTTGTTCGGACTCATGTATGTACACATTAACATCGTCGGGCAGGGTGCAAACATGCCCCTGTGTTACACCAGAGACTGTATTAACGCTAAGACGTATGTGCACATGTATATAGGTGTGAAAATGTACATGAACATAAAGATAAACAACCAGTATATGATAAGACCATACAGTAAGTGTGTGAAGTCCCTTGCACTCTTTAGATCAGTGTTTGGGTTCCCAGAACATTGACATGAATTCTTGAATGGAAGGGACCAGCTCACAGAAGATCCTGCTCCATACCTGCTCCATTAGCCTTCATTTTTTTCTGTTCTTGCCATTTCTACAAATCTGTGAGGATCTGTAGGAGAAGAAAGACAGTGGCTGCTACTTTACCTGTCGGTTCAAGAGGTATATTTGATGCTAACCCCTCTCTTTGTCAAATAATATTGGCAAGATATTTACTCGAGCTGCAGCGACCAAGACGGCCAGAGAGGGATTGTTTAAAAGATGATCAATGCAAATCGATACAAGTGGTTTATTTATTTGTCACAGGAAAGCTCACTCAGACTCTAAAGACTGTTATATCTTTTGCTCCTCAGAGAACCTTCTTCAGGCTGGAGTGAGCAACTTAAAAAGTATATATAAATATAGTAATTTGGCTTAATTTTGGAGATAACTCAGTCACTTTCCCCAAAACAGAAAAGTTTTCTGCCCCATCCTCTTGTGCTGTTAGTTTGCAGGCAGAACAGATACTAGAATGTAAACAGTTGATAAAGTGAGTGATAAAGTAAGCTCTTCAATCATCAAATATAGTTTGGTTGGAATTATTGAACAGCCTTATTACAAGCCTTTACAGCTGCAGACACCAGATTTCTTTTTATTTAGCATAGTTTATGTGTTTCCTTAAAGACTTGAAGAGGAATATTAAAGTAAAACAAACCCATACATGAAAATATGCCTCTGAGATTTTTAACACAGAAATATACAAATAGAATCAAAATGTTGAAATCTTCATCACAAATTGGGCTGAAGTCTCAGAGACTACAGCCAGCTGTCATGGTTCCTGCTGTCTACTTCTTACAATTTATGTGCAAATACAACTAGTGAGATACATTTTATCCTGTAACGTATGAGGTTATAATAATAATCTGTGGTGCCGGGATCCATGATATCAAACTGAATGTAGTTCAAAGCTACAACTACACCATGGTTATAGCAGGATAAAGTGGAAACAGAGGGAGTATATGCCTGTATTTGTTAGTGTAGCACATTTCAAATGTAGGACATTAACTGTAGTTATACCGAGCTTCCAGTTACTGTACATATCTGCAATGTGAGAAGAAGAAGAGTAATGTATATCTAAATTTCCCTGTAAATATATTACATGTTGTGCACTGCTGCTTCTCAAGTGTAAGTGGGACCATGTTCAAATCTGTCACCATGGCAGCTTTATCGTTTGAGAAACATGTCGGCTCATGCTGCTCATTGTTCAGCTGTTTGTTTACTTTTCTGTGTGCAACTTTACATGTAAAAAGTGCAGAAGAAGAAAAGCTGAATGGATGAGTCTTTAATTGTAAATGTTGTGTCTAGTTTTATTGACATTCATACTGTGCGACCATGGAGGTACATTTAAGGGTCACTTAAGTCTGAACACATGATGATTGTTTTGTAACTCTTGATTGTTTTTTTTTTTTGAGATAATCTTTCCACACGAGGAAGAAGGGGTTGACCCCCTGAGGGATATATGACCATTTAAGTGACCATACTTTGAGGATGTTTTGTTTTTGTTTTTTTAATATAAAAATTCATATTTATACACACATGGCTTCTGACCTAAATCCATTACCTCCAATGATGGTCACACCCTGCGTATGTATCATTTTCTCTGTCATGAGTCTCTGCTGTGTGTCAAAGATGAAAACCTGTTATTGTAATTTTAGAAACAACATTCAGTTTGATGGACTCTCACCATTAAATGAGCTGTTTCAACTGCAAAACTCGAGTAATCAAGGAATGCAGATGGTTGAAAAGTTCAGAGCCTTTGAACACATAACTATTTGGACTGAAATAAATTAAAATAAATACGATACATTCAAATTATGTTGTATTTTTGTCATTTAGCATGTTAAAGTATAATGAATGGAGTTAAAGCAAATTCTGCCAGAGACTGCTGGAAAGGTACAGCATGTGTAGCAGATAAGCTATTAGCACACTTTCTGTTTCTAGGTGGAGTTCTTTGGATTACGCCTGAGTTTACTTATTTATCCTGAATAAAAAGTAATTACATTTTAATGACTAAATTGGTACCTATGTAGAACAACTGATAGCTCTGACTGCATTGAAATGGTGTAAAACCATGGCCACTAAAACATACTACAGGTTAAGAATAAGAAGGCGTTGCTTGTCTAAAATATTTTTCTTTGTGATAAATACTGACTTTGATGTGTTTATTGTCCATTTTCATATTGAGATACCATCAAAGTGATAGAAAATACACAGGCCAGGTGGGAAAGCACTACTGTAGACCTTTGTGATACATTTGGACTGTCATAGTGTGTTGTGATTGTTCATCTCATGATAATACTCTACCTATTTAGAAAATTTGAGTAGGAAATATTATCAAAATTTTTCCAGTACCAGCTAGAAAATTAAAGATTGGCCAGCAGACCTTCTGAATATAGCACCAAATTTATTGAATCTGAGTCTGCCCTCTACTGAACCCTGCTGTGAATTACAACCTTAAAGCTCCAATTGAGAGCGTTTCAATGTTTAAAAAATAGACTGAAATTCATACAGCCTTGTCACGATCACCAAAAGCAAACAAGACCATTAGGGATGAGGCTGACAATTTGGATGTTGCAATTTTTAATACCTGAAACTGGGGGAAGGTGTCAGCCGTTAATGGCATAAAATACTCACAATTAATGATACATCTCAGTGTCAAAAATCAGCTGGGTGAGATTTTTCTCTCAGAAAATTCTTGTTAAACATGTAAAGGACAAAATAAGCAAAGTCTGATTTGTCCATAGGGGGTGTAACAAACTAATAGTTCCTCACATGAGCCTTAATCAAAAACCCCATAGTTTGATTCGGCTAATGTTTAACAATTATGCTTTACAAAACTAAATATATCTTGATCCAGTTTTGTTTGGTGGGAGCAGATTGTGTTAAAGCTGGTGCTAACAGATGCTAATTTGACAGCATCTCTCACAAATGCACAGTCAATATAAAACAAACGAGATTTGATTGAAAATGAGTTGATTCTCGACATATCACTATGAGAAAAACCCTATTAGATCCACCTCTCCTCACCTCTCAAATTCTCCTTCATTACTTCTCATGAGTTGACAGAAGAGTGATATATTCATCACTTTTTCTGTTTTTTCCTCCATCAATGTCCGTCTGCAGAATAAAGAGAGCTGTTTTATGATTTGTTTCATCCAGACTTCCTCAGAGTCAGCAGCTGTGAACGCACCGGGTGTGTTGTTCTTTCAAGAGAAAATTAAACTCTGCACATTGTACGTTTATATGTGTGTGAGTGTGTGTTTGTGCTGGTGTGGGTGTGGCCTTTGTTTTCTCATTTCAAAGCTGACATGCTTTGATAGATGTCCATGGATCTTGCCATTGACACTGGTTGATAAACCTATAGATTTGGTGGTATAGGGATGATAGATCAGGCTTTAAATAACACATGCCTGTAGATTCACACCCAGGGCCAATAAATAGGGGACCTCATCCCACAGCTGTCTATTGTGATGAATGACCGGGGACGTCCTTATACTAACAAACCTCTTTCACTCTTCAGAAGTCCACTCGCTTCTCTTGACTGCCACTGAAGCCTGCAGAGTCTTAAAGAGTCCATGTGTTCAAATATAGGCTGCTCAAACCTGAGGAAAGGTAATCCTTCCTGATTAATAGTTTAATGAAGGAGTTTCTGCACATTTTCAGCATGAGTTAACAGGAAATCTTTGAAATAAAAGTGTACAATAAAAGCCTCATTCTGTAAAAAGTCCATGGTTCGCCCCCTTGAGCAATGAGTACTCATATTGTACCTGAATGAAAAGAGCTGAGTGCATTAACACAACAGACTGGAGGCTGAAAAAGCCCCAAAGGCAGAGCACTTCTTCCCTATCTTTATGTACTTCTTCAGTTATTACAGTATGTTCTTGGTGGCATAATAACGTGTATACAAGCTGTGCTCCAACCTACATAATAAAATGGCTCTATGTGTATGCATGAATGTCAGACCGTTACATAAGCAGATATTGTTCAGTGTTCAAATGCCGTCATACTAGCCTTTATTTTTACCTTTGTGATGGTTTGATAGAAACTTTCTGGTTTACGGAGAAGAATGACAGACCTTCTGGTGGATAAATTCACATTAAAATGCTGCTTACTCCTAACTGATGGACTTCACTGTGAGACCTTGATTTGCTCTCTCTGCACTCACATTACATGGTCTGTGATGAAACATTTCTGATAGGTTATATGTAATAAACAGGCAACTTCTTGGCAAAAGATGACCATTTTCTTGGAAATATGTGATTTTATGCACTTTAGAACGTTTTAAAAATGGTTCTCTCGTTTAAAAAAATGTAATCCATTTTTTTTACATTGACTGCATTGATCACAGCATTAACCCGAGAGGTCCCTGCATCTCATTATTCTATGATTCAAAAGATAAACTCCTGTGTAGTGACAACTTGTGATTTTTATTGAGTTTAAGAAAATAAAATGAAACCTGTTTATGTGAAAGTTTTATCAGTTCTTTCGGACAGTTTTTTTTAAAATCAGTGGACAGGTTAAGATTTCTAATTCACTGTCAACTGTCTTAACTTTGAAGAGCTATGCTAAACTAAGTTACAGTAAGTTTTTCCAAGTTTAACCTCAGGTAAACTAAACTTAGCTTAACTATGATAAACTATGATTAACAATGTTATTATTCTAAACCAAGACTATGCTAAGCTAGGGTGACCATAGTCTGAATCCCCAAAAAGAGGACACTACTGTGCGGGGCGGAGTCACAGAGTCACGCGCAGTTAATTTTGAGTTTTTTGGGTTGGGTCGAGTGTTTTTAACACGCTTGTAACTCAGTAAGTCCATCTGACACAAACTCAAAACTTCCTTCTAAACCCCGGCCATTTGAAGAATTTTATCAAGCCCCCTGGACAAGGCCGGACAGGCTGGACAGCCCCCCAAAAATAGGATATGTCTGATTAAAAGAGGACGTAAGGTCACCCTAGCTAAGCTGTGCTTAACTAGCTATGCTAGTCAGACGGAGAAGTATGCTAAGTCTTACGAGACAAAAAAAAATACAGATAAGCTAAACAAACCTGCTGCTGGCTCAAGCTTTATGTTCTCTAATGTTCTCCTAGGAATTGAAATAAAACATTTACCAAAATACTGATCTATTTCTTTAGTTGTTTTTGATATCTGTTCACCAACAATCATGGAGAAAATTACAAAAAGAACACAAAGTAAAAAAAAAAAAAAAAAGGCAAAAACTATTGATATATTGCGCTGGTGATTATTAGCATCTTGTAGATACTGTAAGCTGATGCAGAAGTGATCATGCAGCCTGAAGCCCCTTTTGACCTTAATACTCTCTGGGTATTATGCTTATTATTATTGATTGTTTTTAATACAAAAAAAAGCACTATACTACCTTTTTAATTTACCTATAAAACATAAAGATCCCTCAGGAAAAGTCCACAGCTGAGCAGTAATGACCTGAATGTAGGGATTTCACTAGCCCTTCTATTCTACTGCTCAATTAATCCAACGTACAACAACACTGCAGGAGGGGTGTGTTTATCATCAGAGCTGTCAATCAAATACCCTTCGACATCAAATAACTAATTAATGAAGCTAGTCACAAGGAGAAACTGCATAAATTTTGACTTCACTCAGGGCTGCTTGTTTTGTCCACATCAGTCTGTGATAACTATAAACTGTGAGTCCAACCTTTATCGAGTTCACATCCCACCCTCAGCTCAGCCTGTCAAGTAGTACTTTTCTCCAAGTCCTGTCTCTAATGAGATGAACCAACCTACGTTTATTCTATGCCAGGTTAAGATAAGGGTTTTGGTCTTGGATAAGGTAAGGTTTGACCAACTCAGGTGGAAGAGGTCAGACATGTCCACAGTTTTATTCAGTTTGTTAACTGCAGTTAGATCATGTGCCTCTTGTACAAAGGCTGCAGTGTTTGACTCTATTACCGGTCCAGCCCCCCTTCCTCTTCCACCCCTGTTAGCCACTCAGTCCACTGTTCCAAAAAAGTCTACAGCCATAGCTCTGTCTGAAATAGAACAGTCTCAAACACAAGCTTAAGTGCCCCACAACCAGAATTTGTATGACTCATGGTCTCAGTACTCAGGGATCCTGGTATCCTGTAGCTGTGACCTACAGCTGCCCCCTAAGCCACAGCTTAACCTCCCTGTGAACTACCTGTTACCACATGGAAAACAACGGAAATGTCGGCTTTCATAAGCCTGCATGTTGGAAATATTTATCAATTATAGCCTCAGTGGGCGACCTGCAGGAGCTCTGCCGGCTGTGATTTGATTATGAGCCCTTCAGGACGGCATTACAACGCACTGACTATTAATTAAGCCAACGGGGAGATCCCAGGAGGCCTCAGGCAGGGGAGACATGGATGTGTACGGACTGCAATCTATCCCGGTGTTTGCACTCTTTTAATTGTGTCAATTAATTTCTCCTCACAGTGAGTGTTTGGGGCTTATAGCTGCAGGTGTAAACCAGGTCGCTCTACTTGATTTGCTCCACATCTTGATCATGTAATTCTTTTGGTGGTCAGCAAAACTTAAAATTAGGTCCTGTAAAACTAATCACTTTGTACAACCCACAGGAAAATGAAGTTTGCCTCTGGGTGTAAACATGGGACATATTCAACTTTTATTAGTTAAAGCTCCTGGTAGGAGATTTTTGTGTTTATAAAAAAGGAGTGAAATTCATAAAGATATATTTTTATAATTACCTAAATCAAACACGACCATCAGCGATAAGTCTGGCTATTTCTACCAGGATTTTTAATGCCTGAAAGTTGAGTGGGAGGGTCGATGTCAGCCAAGCAGCTGAA